GCATCAAGCTGTATACACTGGTGCGCAGGGTGGAGAAGCCATTCTTCATCGGGTTTGCCATTCTCGACATGTCCAAGCACATCATCTATGATTTCTACTACAACGTGCTCAAGACGACATTTGATAACGTGGAGCTGTTGGGACAGGACACGAACTCACTCATCGTGCAACTGCACGATCGCGCTAACATCGTTCACAAGATGTGTGATATGTACAAATCGTTCGACTTCTCGGAATTGGATAACACGAGCTACTTCTATGGAGAACTCGTGAAGTATTACGAGCATGAGGTGGACAAGAGCAAGTTCCCTTCATTGGAATCGTTCCTCAACTTCAACAAGAAGTTGCCTGGTCCTATCTTCAAGGACGAGCACAACGGACATCGCATCACGGAGTTCGTGGGATTGAGACCGAAGATGTACTGTCTGGTTGATGAGAAGCATGTGATACACAACGCAGCAAAGGGAGTTCCTCGCAATGTGGTGATCGATGGTGAGAGGATGAGCGTGAAGAACATCGACTTGTACAAGCGTGTCCTTGAGGCAGAGAAGAAGAAAGATGCAGTGATCGAAGGCAGCTTCAAACGCATCAACAACCAGGCCTTCGATATCAGCACGAAGGAGCAGACCAAGACCCTTATGACGTGCACGGATAACAAGCGATGGATCTTGGACGACAACGTGCACACACTTGCGTTTGGACATTACCGATTGAAGGACATGTAATGCCCCTCTGTAAAGGAAATGTTGTTTTTACTTTGTTTTCTTTATCAAACAGTGTATAAAGGGCAGACAATTACCACATTGGAAGAAAATGGCCGAAAAGGTTTTCGCGCTTTATGCGCCATGGTTCTCGAGGTAGGCAAGTAGGCTAAGGTTATTTTTTCGACCCTTATTTCTTATGAAAGCCAAAAATTACAGGTTGACCAAAGTGAGTCATGATGAGCTATGGAAGTTAGGGTTTGAGGGGTGACTTTGGACGACGGGCATGCAGTTGAGGGGGTCTGAAGGGCAACTTTGGCCGAAAAAAAGCCGAAATATTTACCGCGCTTTATGCGCCATTTCCCTACTACTACTGATTTAAGTTCAATTTGTTTTGATTTGCTTCGGTTTGTTTCAAACACTATTTGATAATGGAGGTGGAGGATAAATATGGAATATGGAACATTATTGATAATAGTTATCGTAGTGTAGTAAAATAGATTGGATTCTACGAAATAGGAACAATTTTGGGAATTCCAATTATTCTCAAGAATTTAGAGTCATTTTCTATGGATTCGTTTTCTTTTTGGCTATTTGCACTATTTACTTGATATTATTATATATAATGGAATTATATAAAAAACCAAATCCTATTAGTGAGGAGAATACACCTATAATTAGTGTTACTGTTGATATCAATGAAGAAAGCACTGATATATGGAACAATTGCATTTCAAGCGAATTTCCAATTATTAATCTAGATATAAATGAGAATAAGGCCATTTGTCAAATCGGTAGCCCTCATCACGGTTATACCCTAAAAGCAAGTCAAAAGATTGGAATATTGGATGGAACGGCGTTTCTTTATGATTATGATAATCGAGTTGTAGCAAGTTTGACTTATCAGGAAGGTGTTGCTAATGGTATATGTAAATTGTATTATAGGTCCGGAGATATCTATTTCTCTGGATTGTTGCATGAAGGTTATCGAAATGGTCCAGGAGTGGAATATAGTAAAGATGGAAGTACAATTTATGAAGGATTTTATAGAAATGGTCGTCGAGCACCCAATATCAAGCTGAGATCGGATGGTTCAAACTACTGGGATGAAAAAGATGAAAATGGCAAAATGGTTTCACTATTTCAAATAGATAATAATGGCTTGAACCATGGAATATGTTATATGTATTGTGATGGCGAAATTAGTAAGATAAGCAGATGGGAACATGGTAAAGAAACAGAATTACTAAAGGAATTCAATGGTCATAAAATGAAAGTGTTTAAAAACGGGGAAGAAACATTCAGTGGAAGGTATAGAAAAGAGTCAGACTTTGAATATGTTCCAATCTATAAAAAGAAAATTAAGACTGGGAGTCTTTCAATAGAGTCAAAAGAAGATAATAAAAGGGATTGTGAATGTACATATGATTGTTTTGAGAAAATTATACGTAAGATAATATTGTGGATAATGGGAATTAATATAGGTTTATGCGCTTTAGCTTTATTTATTTTAATTGCTTTTGGGAATTGGAAATATGTTAAAAGAACTGTGGAAATCATTTATTGCTTGATTATGTTTTTGCTTATGATCGCGGGAGTCTTTGGTCTTCTTTGGATGTTTGCGGAACTCTTCCATGAATGTAAGTGCTTCTAGAATTGCAACAGTTATCTGCTATAGAACTTGGTGTTTGTTTTCAACAAGACTGGAACATGATTATCCGCAAAAGAATGATAAGTGTGCGATTTCACAAATTGTCATGTTCATTCAAATTAAAAACATATTGTTTAAGCACTTTAGTCATTAAAATCCTTTTCTTATGAAGATGTTGATATCCATTAGAATCCCTTACATGATTGTATTGTATGATCAATTTTGATTGATCTATCAATATAGATAATCCAGCAGTAGTATATAATAACAGAATTAGTATTTATTATCCTTTTAATGTAATAGCTGAACTACACATATCGTTACTACTAGTAATTTATCAGGTACAACAATCACAAGTTCTGGACCTACTGGAAACATCACACACAATCAATCTATTACATCACATCATTGAATAATTCATTTGTTTCTAATCATTGGTATTCTCATAAGAATTATTGGAGATGTTACAGGATCTAAAACAAGTAGTGTGATGGTATATTCACACTCACATATTCATTTCTTGATACAACGGTTCCAATTCCTTAAAAGTATTTCACAGGAATTTCACTTTTCCAGTAAAAATAATAATATGTTGGATAATCTATATTTTTTTATTCTCAAAAATATACCAGATGTAATACATATAATGGTGGAAGTGTTTTTAAATTTAAATCGTAATTAGTTTAGTCGAAAGTTCAGCCATTTTCTTGTAACATAAAAACATAGAACAACAACAATAATAATCACAATAATAAACATAAATGTGTAATCGACTTGTTGTTCCTTTTAGTGATTACTTGAGTCTCTTGTTTCACTTTTTTACACAAGCTCATGCTCTGCATATCTCAATTTGCATATAGAAATCCTAAATGAAATCTGATTACCCTCACATCTTTTCATCTTTTAAAATTCAACATATTTTCTTGATTTACCTTTTATTATTCATTTACACAGCATTTGATCGATTCAACATATTACCACAACATCCTTAAGACCATACTATATTTTAGTATTTATTGTTCCATTTAGTTATTAACTTTTTAGAGTAGTTCATGGCCATCCAAGTCATCTTGATTTGCATTCTTTTAGTAGGAGTGCTGTTTTCAAATACAGCCATGTTGATTAATCGACGTAGTAAGTCTATCATGCTACAACCAAAATATGAGGTTAAGTTATCTCATATTTGTAATTCTTAGAATGTGGAAGACTTTGACTCATATGACAGGCAATATGGTAGATACAACGCCTATGTCAAGAAGATCAGTAAAAGAAGTGATATTGGCCACATGAGTAATGAGAAAGTGTGTTTTCATCAACTTGTACCCTATGAACTTAATACCTATCTAGAAAAGAAGTGTGACTCTGCTGATGGTTTGTTTGGCTCTTTTGTGTTATGTAGATTTGTTTTCGTTTTTCCAAGAAAACAAAAATAATATGCTGTTCACATGTCATAGTAGTGCTGTATTTTCTCATTGTCAAGTTTTTTATGTGGTTCTTTATGATTCTGGAAAGAGCATGTGTTCCACCTTTCGACGAGAGCCCTGTAGCATAGTCCCGTACTCTTCATATTATAGATCTTGACAAAGATTTCGATGATGTTACGTTAATCACGATTCTGACGCTGAACCGCAAGGACAGGCTTCCTTATCTGATGAAACGGTGGAAACATCGCATTAACATGGCAATCTTCTTGCATGAACGAGATATTCCAGAAGTGAAACAACTCATCAATGATTACTCTTCCTATCAACGCATCAAATTCATTCTTTATATTGTAAAAGACAAAGTCGATACTCCCTACCGCAGTATCTATTTCGATCCGGTGAAGCCTCTCTATTCCAACGAGACGATCTTTCCTATTAACGTTCTGCGTGATTTAGCCATTGAATCCATCGAAACGACGCACTATTATGTGAGTGACATCGATGTGTTTGCGTCTGACACGCTGTACGATACCATTCTTTTACATAAGGACTTGCTGCGAAACCCCAAAACCGTTTTTATTCTCAAGTCGTTTCTGATGTCCGAGCGGACAATTAATCACACGGACTGCTACAAGACTGGAAACTGTTCGTGGATGTAGAAAAGAAGGGTAGAAATAATTTGTAGCTGGGATCTCGTTCCTCACAACAAGCAGGAATTAGTGGACATGTATCGAGCGAAGCGGATCGTTCCGCATCCTACGGGGCGTCATGTGTGGAATGGGAGAGATTGCGATGTAGAAAATCATCGATATCAACAGGTTGATGTGGACGCAGAGTCGAAGAGTGGTCTACTACCGAGCCGATCACGAAATGGAGCCGTAGAGGAAGAGAAAAAGCGATGAGACGTAGGTATGCGGTGATTCGTCGCTCCGCAATGAACCCAATCTTTCATCCCTACTTTATAAACTATGGGTATAACAAAGAAGAACTCTTAAATCGTCTCATTTCTCTCAGTATCCATTTCCTTGCCTCTCTTTCTAGAATACAACTACTACGTGTTTCTCTCCGAGTTCTGCGTCGAGATCCCCCACTTCCGTACTCTCATGTCCAAATCCTACAACAAAACCGACCCCATGTGGCATCTCGCTCAAATTATCCGCGTCACCTACGGAATCAAACTCGTGTGTCCTCTTTGTTCCACAAACACGCAAAACATCCACACAATTACTGCTCCTTCCGACTCAGCAGCGGCTTCACCTCCGTGTCCTTCGTATCCGATCCAACCGCGTCCGAGTTCTCGTTCACAAAAGCCTCATCCGCCTGCGCCTTCTTCTTCGCCTTCTCCAGATCCATCTCGCGGCTGCGCACCAGCGAATACAAGAACGTGCCGAACAGCACCAAGAACGTACCGAACGCCGAGCGGAGCGACAGCTTATCGCCCAGGAACACCACGGCGACGATGGTCTGGACGCAGGCCTTCGCGGTTCCGGAGATGTTGTGGGTCAACGGCGAGGTCAAACTGATCTGAGCGATCGTAACGATGCCGATCAGGAAGCCGAAGATGCCGGCAGCGTTCATGACGGTCCAGAAAATGGGCGAGGCGAAGGCTTTGATGTGCTCGAGGATGATGCCTCGCTCGAAAGCGAGGATCAGAGGGATGAACAGGATCGTCGAGTTCATGTTGTTCTGCGGATTAGACGGCGAAGATCGCGGATACGTAAAAGCACAGCTTCCAGCTGTTGTTGTCGACGATGGGGATCATCTTCTTGGTGTAAATGCTGTTCAGGGAGACGAAGAGGGAGGACAGAACTCCGAAGACGGTACCGATCAGGGAGAAATTGACCTCGCCATCCGAACCGATGTAAAAGCCAAAGATTACAATGGCACAGCACGTGATGACTGCCAGAGAGGTTTTAATCCCGAGGAACAAGTAACTGAGAAAATGACGGACCGCACACAATTCTTACGACAAAACAACATTGAATACAATGGTCAGAGACCGAGCCACCAGGTAGAATGAAACGTTCACATACCTAGGGTAACAACGTAACAAAATGCAAACTTGAGACAGAGGTTATTAAAGGTAATCATACCGACGAAAATGAGTGAAAGAGGAAGAATACGGAACGCTGTTCCAATATCATAATACTGCTCAGGGAATTGGTGAATGAACGACGCTAGGAATTAGCAATGCTCCTACATCCACCTACACTCACTAGAAGCCTTTCCGCATAGTCCCAGAGCCCAACAAATAATAGCTGTTAAAACACACTGGTACCTTCAGATTAGCACGCAAACCATCCTCCATACCAAGTCACAAAAAAAGGAGCCGGTATGCTCTCCTCTTTAGCTAATAAAAACTTGTTCATCAGAACCATCGAGATGGACACAACGAAATAGGAAGCAACCACCAAAGCGATCTTTACCTTTTCACCGTACATTCTATGATAATAACGATAATGGTAATCCAGAAAAATGATGAGGGTATGAGTTTTGAAGGAGTGGCGCCCACAATTCATGTTCTGTTCTTGCGAATCAGCGTTGCTTGTTTACAGAGAGAATTATGACCTTCTGTAGTGAAAGGAAACAGTTGGCGGTTTGTGCTACTCGCGTCTTCTACTCCTTTCCTATTCGTTTTTGCATAAATTTGAATTCGAAGTTGGCCATTATTTCCTTCATCATGGACGACAATGAACTGATATCGGTCTGCAATAACCTAAAGCAGCTGCAGCAAGTGATGGTGCAAATAAATTCGGTCGTTGAAGGAGTTACGGATAAAAGCTTAACCGAGAGGATGACGGACATGTCTTACCTGGAATCCGCTCAGATGCATTTAATGATGGCAGAAATCTCCATCAACCTGTTTTACTGTAACTTTAAACTTCGGTTCGTAATTCGTAGCATATTTGAGAAGTAAGGGCGTCGATGTCGAAAATCATCCTATTAAACGCGAAATGGTAAGACTGTGTCGGATGTTCTTCATCTTAGGAGCGACTGGAGAAATATAAAGAAAAGGTGAGAGAGGTGGTCGAAGGAAAACGTTTGCTTACTGTCTTGTCGTAAGAACTAGAAAAGCCTTCTATGCGTATTGACACTGAAGCGACGGCTCGAATTATCCAGCACAGCTTAGGTGGTTCACAGTAGTCTTGGGAGTCATTGTGGATTGTTTGTTTCTTGATAGAATTGCTTTTGGCTTGAATCCCTTTTGCTCATGAACAATATAATTTTGAAAAGAAATAGATCCCCTGTCCAGGGATCATGATTGCTTCGCGCTTTGATCTCATAGACAAACAATGACCTTTCTTGTTATCGTTGGCGCTGGAATCGGAGGTGGAATCGCCGGATTTATCCTTCTGGTTATCGGAATCATCGCGATTCGCAGTAGAGTTGGATTTTGTCCATTCCTTTATTTCCAGAAAGTTAAGTGGGTCGACAGCATTGGAATTAATTTTCTCACCTCAAAAAAGAATGGAATGGCCACAGTGACGCAAGACATCGTCACCTTCCAAAATCAAGTGACGTATGAGTCGTTCTTGAAGAAGTGGTCCGTCGTGTTGGTTCTGCTCTCTTGTTTCCAGTATAGACTTGCCAATTACCCCATTTTTATTTATCCAATTAAGAAGAGACGATTCTTGTGGAGCTATTAGTATTGACTGTGTGTATAGTTCATGTCATAGTGACGAAAATAGCACTTTTGATATAACCAATCATGTGTTCTGCGTGGATGAGCCAATCACGATGGAAAACATCCATCAATACAGTAGAGACTTTTCGCTCGTAGCCACCCTCCACCTCCATTCATTTTTAGGAAACACTCCCCATCGAGCTACCTCTCTGGCGAGTGATCATCTTCTCCAACCTGATCGGCAGTTCGGAAGGATCTTCAGCCATTTTGTTCCGCTACCATTGCTGCCTCACCGATGGCATTTCCCTTCTGCAAATGTTCTTAACAGAGGCGCAGAACAACTCGGAGCTGATCGACACCGATGTTCTCCTCCGCTCCTCTTGCAGCTCTTCAGAGAGCGCAGACGGCATCGAGGAAACGCTCCGAACCGAAATGGTGAACGAAACCCCCATCGTGATGGTTTCAAGCGAGCAAGAGATGGCCATGCATCCCTCCGTTCTTTCGAAGAAAGTCCCGAAGCACTGCGGATTCAAGTCGTCGCGAACGGCAAGCTATTGGAGACTGATTTGTACGAAGAAGGACGAACCGAATCCGCTGCGAAATAAAAAGTATGTCGATGCGCCGAGGGAACGATGCGTGGAGTCGCGAACGATGGACGTGAAGATCGACGAGCTCGGTGCATTGAGCGAGCACGATTTGACTTTGAATGATGCGATCCTGGGAAGCTTATTCTTCTCGATTCATTCCTTCTTAACGCCTCTGCTTCAACAGAAAAAAGCGAAATCTCTTCATGTATTCAAAGTCTGTTCGCTCGCGATTCGTAGAGTTTGTTGTGGGTGAATCGAAAAGGAACCGATCTCATTTACACGCCCATTCAGTCGTCGACCGCGACTCCGCTCAGCAATCGCGACCTCACCGCTCTCGTTCTCGATCTCCCCTTTGGACGCGAGAGCGCGTGGGACTGCGCGATGTTCATGCATCACCAAATGTGGCTGAAGAGCAACAGCGAAGAGGCGTCGGTTATTCAGCGATGGCTGCGATACTGGGGCTGGATGCCTCGCGTGTGCGGCGATCGCTGCTTCTCTTCCTTTATGTATTGTTTGTTGGATCGAAGTGAGGGGTAGGAGGAGAGGAAGCTTCTCCGTGTCTGTGATTCCGGGTCCCAAAGAAGTCGTGCGGATGCAGGGAAACCCGGTCACGTCGATTACGAATCTGGTTCCTCCGATCGGGAACGAAGAAGTGCACTGCTCTGTGATGTGCTACGCCAACAAGATCTCCGTCTCGATCACTTCTGATAACTCGCAACTGGGGAAAGAGAATATTGTGTCGCTGCTTTCCCTGTGTAACTCCAATCTTCTTTCGATTCAGTCTCGTTTATCTGCCTCTCGAGTTTGTTCAACAAACACGCCAACTAGGACACGTAAACAGCTGCGTCACTTCACTTCGCACCTCCTCCGGCGGGTGCGTCAAATACGACTTCTTATGATGCAGCGAGAAAGGCAGATCGCGATACGCGTTCCACATCGTCACATACTCCTTCACTGCTTTGTTCACCTCCTCCAGAATCCGGTTCTTCAACTCCGCGTTTTGAATATCATAATCGAAATGCGACGGAACCAGCTGCTCGTAGATCTTGTTCCACTCCTACACATCGCGATCCTCCCTCACTCCGACAGCGAAAATCGCTTTGATCGCGCGACGACTCGCCTGCGTCAGCGCTTTCTCGCTCTCATATTGCGGCGTGACCTGATTCACCGCCAAAGCATACAGTCGACTCCATCTACGATCAATCTCCCTCTCCATCCGAACGAAATCGAGAGATACGTAGACAGCTCCTGCTCGTACATCTGATGGAGAAGATCCGCGATGAACTGCCCGTAGGCGATATGTCCGTCCTTCGCTCCGTTGATTCTGCGGTTCATCCATCCATTCATTGCATGAGTCCTACATATACGCGTAGTTTACCAGCAAATAGAGTCGGAATTTCGGGAGATCGAAGCAACTCCGACCCGAATTCATCAAATACTGCTTCAACGCCAACACCATCGACGCTATGCATCAAATCCGCAGCTCAACCGCACCGCAGTACAGTTCGAAGTGCGAGAGTGTCTGGCTGCTGAGCTCGGGGAACTGACTCACATAGCGACTCAGCACTTGAGTGTCCAGCTGGCTCGCAAAACCGTTAATCGACCGCAGATAGTTCACGATCTAGATGAATAACCGCGGATCGCCGGCTACCGTGGAGGTCAGCATGCTGGTGGTGGCCTGGTCGTTGACAAGAGAGAGGTCGGAGCGCGTGAGCGTGACGATACGGTTCATGAGGTCGCTGCAATAAGTCCGAATCTTCGCCATTGCCTGATTCCATTGGTACTGAATGTCCTGACTGGCGTGTTTCTGCGGTACAAACCGGCTCTTTGGGTACCTGGAGCAGCTTCTGGTAGCTCGGCTCGCCCTGCTGGAGGAACTGGATGAAGATGGCGCAGCTGTGAGCGAGGCTGCAGAGCTTGGAGATGTGGCTGGTGACGTTGACGTCGCTGGTAATCTCCAAGTTCAGCGCCTTCTCGATGTCCTCAAAGCTATCGCGGAGATTTCCGAGGTACTGCGCGTTAGGGAGGAGGAGAGGGAGATACGCTGCTTAAGGCCTGGTTGAGAATATTCCCGAATTGCGTCTCGTCCTTGTGGAAGAGTTCGTTGGCGAGCAAGTATTCGATTTGAAGGTAGCGAATGATCTCGTCGTACACGTAGCCTGCGATCTCGATCGACGCGCGACGACTACGGGTGAACGATTGATAAAAAAAAGAGAAACGGGTGGTTGTTTTGCATGTAATCGAAGGCTTTGCGGATGATGCCTCGAAGGGAGATGGCCATAAAATCGCGGCAACGGTTCACAAACCCTTGGATCTTGCAGGTGAACAGCGTCTTTGTGATTTCCTTGAGGATAGAGAGTGTCGAGGGAGCGATGCCAAAGAAATCGTTAATGAGCTTCTCGGGCTGGGAAAAATCGAGCTCCTCGCCATCTTTCGGGATGTAGCGAAGCTATGATCAAAATTGGATAAGGAGGCTACGGCATCGGTCTTGAGATGTTTTTGCAACACGGAGATGCACTCCTCTGTGAGTCTTTTGATTTCCTTATCTTGCATATCGGCCGTTTCACGACTGTTGCGTAGTTCAGGATGTTGCTTTAAAAAGGCATTAGCGGTGCAGATATCCTCAAATGCATGCAAGTATCTAGCGCATTACGAAGCAAAGACTGAATCTACCCTTTCAGATCGCGTATAATGCAATCCTTGCCGATTTGATTTCCGTTGCGTTTGAGTGCCGTCATGTGTTTATTAATCTTAAATTTGTAAAAAATCAACACCAAATCCTACAATTTCCAGCTCTTTGCTATACTTCTTCATTTTGTCCAAAGCACAACGATACTGCAGTACATCGCTTTTCATACCCTTCATAAGTCCTTCTATATGTCCCAATTCTTGCTCCACATTGTCAAGATTTGTTGACACCTCATCGGCAATATCAGCATTCTCCTGCACAACCTTTCTGAGTTGTTCTACTTCCAGGGCAAACTGGCTTTGCTTTAAACTCATTATTGCTCCTTTTTGAGTAGATCCAATCTTGAAGAAATCGGTAGGATTTTTGGTAATAAACATTTTCCATTTTTTGAGTTTCTAGCCTCAGAAATGGTATTGACTGTCACCCCATGAGTTATCTATAGAATGAATGTGAAAAATCTCAACCTCTCCTTGATCAAGTGAAGGAGAATTGTACGATTGTTTTCGAACTCTCACTCCACAGGTACATCTTCTGAGAAGTTCTTAGAGTGGTTTTATCTTCATGGCAGAGAACTCTCTCCAGAAGACAGAAAACTGGTCTATTCTTATATCGCAGAGAACAAAGAGCTTGGACGATCCCTGATGGAGCTGTTTATTCAGAGTGAGCTGTCTGAATGTACGTGTTTCTCTTGGATTTTGACTCCTAGCAACGCCCAGCACGATTTATGATCTATTGAGTATACTTCTCGAGCAGTATCTCGAAACCTCTCCATCTCTTGGTGGTTTGGTTCTTTTCGGAAATTGTGGCGACGAATCTGTTCAGAATCCTTGTATCCCATTGCCAAAAGCTCAAATAGGCGAGAATGACGTGTACGTTTATTTAGAGTAAACAAAAACTCACACTCAGAATCCACGTTCAGTCCTGGCTCACCTTCGTATCTCCAAACGAAGCATTCCTCAATCAATCGCTAACTCTCTTCACGATTTCTCTCAGCTCCACCAAGCTGACGGTTCGACTTCTCTTTCCCACCAATTCGAACCCTCATTACACCCTTACTCTCTGTGGAGAAAGTTTCCCCATTCCTCTTTCCTTTGCTTCCCATTTTGCTCACCATTTGCTCACCATTTCGATTTCTTCCACCGCCATTCAACTCTTTATCGACCAGCATTCTCTTTCCTCCCCCTTCTCCTATTCCTCCTTCAAATCCACAGAAAAACTCTTCGTCACTCTCGGCGCAGGGCTAAGCGGTGATTCGCAGTCCATTTCGCAGCTACCTGATTCGCCTCTCATTCTAATCCACAATGTTTCGGTTCTTACGGGTTCGCTTTCCACTTCTTATCTCTCAACTCTGTTTCCCATCCCTTTATCCAATCAATTCGTAGCTGCTCACTCGGTCCTTCAGCCAACGGACGAACCTTCCAATCCCTTTCCGAACCCGCACAACTCATCCCTCCTTCCACCCGAACTCCCTCCGAGGAGCCTATTCTCCTTCGGGAACACTGTTCCATCGATTGCTCGGAGCCTCTTCCGGAGGGCTGGGTTTGTTCAACCAATCAAACACGCTCCACCATGCCTAGCGCGATCTTCGAATCCGGTCCGAACGCCGGTCGATCATTCGTTTCTCCGAAGGGCGTTTCGCTTCAGATCACGAAACTCCCGCTGCTGTAGCTGGATGGGGTTTGAATGAAGCGTAGAAACTGGATCGAGCGGAAGCTCTGCTATGATTCGGTTCGCTTTGCTTATCCCAAGCTGCTTTGGAGAATCGTGGAAACGGTCGCTCGCGTTTTGCTGGTGGATTCGTGTTTTCTGTCGATGTTGCGCGAAGTTCGATGGCTTTCTGTGTTGGAAAAGAATCTCCTTTCGCTCTCCAATGAGAACGAAGATTTATACACTTCCAAACTCGTCCATGCGCTGCTTCTTCTCTGGGACGCATTCAAACAAACGGATCTTTCCGAAGATTCGGTTTTGCTTCGCGAATTCTTACAAAACATTCTGTTCCACCCTTCTATTCATTCCCATTTCGGACAAGACGATATTGTAGCGATTCATAACGCGGTGATTCGCGATTTTACGTCTCTCACGCGCGCGATTCCCGTCGATTCGTACATTGATTGGCTTCGACGCACCCAATTGACCAATGAAACGTCCGCCATGGAAGTGTTGAAATGGTTGGCCGAACATTCCGATTCGTTCGCTCCCTTTTACCGCGGTTTTGCGTTGATTGCATGCGAGGAGAACCCGTTTCCCGCGATTTTGTTTCTCCTTTTCTCCTCATGTGACGAATAGACCGTTCATCGATCTCATTTCCTCGCGGTTTTTCAATGAAACTGTCTCCATCGAGGAGCTAACGCGCGAAATCGAAAAGGAGAAAATCGTGGAAACCTGTTATTGCCTGTTACCGCACGTGCCGCCCGACCAACTCGCCCAGTTCCTTCCTTTCTGTCTGTTTTCCCTCCATTTGGCCGCTCTGCAACCGTCCAATGAGAAAAAGCATGTCGTCTCGCGCATTCTGGATATTCTTTACGACCTGGCCATTGTCTGCGATTCCTCGCTCATTCCCGCGGAGGTCGTTCAGCGGTGTACGGAGATTTTGGTTCATTGGATGCACGGCGTGGCGGTGCGGAACTGTATTCCGTGGAAAGAGCCGGTTTCGTTCTGGAAAGCGCTTCCATTGTGTTGTTGGCTCTTGCGACTCACCGAAAAGAGAGAAACCGTGGAAACCACGCTGAGTGGATTTGTGGAAACGCTGTCGAAGCCGAATTCGGAGGAAATCTGCCATCGAATTCTTCGAAGACAGAGCGTTCTGAAAGAACTCGTTCTGCTTCATAAGGAAGAGAATGCGAACATACTGCTTTTGACGCTGGTGTTGAGTGATTTCAATTACAGTTCGTTTTCGACGAACTTTCTGTACACGATTCGGTTCATTCTCTCCCTTTTGAAGGAAGAGGGGCTTCATTTGATCGGGCTAATATGCTCGAATATCAGCAGTATGCTGCTGAATTGCGAAGCTTTCTCGACGACGATCCAGCTGAACAATCTGTGCGTGTTCCTGTCGGTGATCGAAGAAATCGGAATCGCCTCCCCCGATCAAATTCGACACTACTGCGAGCTGGCCAGTCTTGAAGCCCTTCCAGAAAACGTGGAAACCGTGGGGAAACTCTTCGGCTTGGAGGACAATCCGGGTCTGAATAACGCGGTGGAACTATTTAATTCGCATCGAACTCTGTTTGTTTCTTCGGAGGTTTCGGTCAATCTGTCGATCTACGCGGTCATGATTCCCTTGCTGCGATGGGTTTCGCTGCAGAAAATCAATTGCGACAATCGCGTCTGTTACGATTTCCTGATGCTCGTTCTCTTCCGAATTCTCTATTTGTATTCGGTTTCGCCGGAGAAAGCGGATTGCTCGGTCCACTCGATCGTTCAGGAAATCCACACCCTGCTGCTGCTTACAGAGAGCGATATCACACAATACGGCTATCATTTCTTTTCCTATCTTGTGGTTTTGAAGGAATGTGTGTCTATCAGTTCCAAAAAAACGTATTTGAATAATGAAATCATTGAGATGTTGAAACTGTATTCCAATAAGCATTTTCTTCCCAAACTTTTAAGTCTTCCTGTCGTTTTTTTCCTTATCCAAAATCATTCTTAGAATCTTTCGACTTCTCCGTCTGAAGCCATTTTGCCGATCGTTTTGAACCAAATCGGAGCGTCTGTCGTGATGCAGACCATCCAGTTTATGTTTAACGCGTTGGATCATCGAGCGTTCGGCTCGTTTATTCTCAACAACACGCCAATGCGCTTAACCTATTCGCGATTGCATCCGAACATACAGAAAGACACAATGTTCTCGAATCTTGAATCGCAATATTCGGACGATTTGCTTCACCGCAAAGCAGAAGAGCAAACAAAACTCGAAGAAGCCAACGCCGAACACCAAGCAAGTCTCGAGAAAATGAGTCTCGGATGGGCGTATTATCAATCGCGATGGTCGGAGATCTTTCGAGAGAGCTCGCTCGCCTATCTCGGCAATTGCGATTATTTCATCATGGATCCACACATCAGCAGCGATGGCGCTCGCCATAAAATGCGCAAAGTCCCTTCGCCCCTTTCGCAGTACATCACATCCGAAGAAAGCCATTCGCCCGTGGATACAGAGAAAGAACTCAACTCTTCGGCTCATCTTGTGAGTCTTCTGATGAAACAGCGAAGTGTTTCCTCCCCGTACTTTGCGTTTTTTGGAATTAGTGAATAGAGAAGTGATGATCGAAGAGACAGAAAAGAAATTCTCCGTTACGCAAGTGAAGTCGCTTCGGATCTCCGCGTTTGATTCCAAATGGGGTACCTTAACGATTCATAAAGGGCTTCTTCTCTTCACGGTCGACGCCAATCAAGACGTGGAAGGATTCTCCATCATTTCATCGCCCACTCCCGTTCAGTCCCTTCCCGCCATTTTTTCGCTTCCTCTCTTCCAATGCGTCGCTCTGTACAAGCGAACGTATTGCTGTCAGCAGAGCGCGCTGGAGCTTTTCTTCCGCCAAGGAGGATTCACCGACTCTTTATATCTGTTCTTCACGGAAAGAAAGATCCGAGATCGCGTATATCGCAAGATCGCCTCGCGTCTTCCCGATTCAGCGATCGTGCAGAAGCTGAGCGAGTCAAACATCGATTTAATCAAGCGACTGAAGCTCGACATTCAATGGCAATCGGGACAGCTCCCCAATTTTGATTATCTAATGCAGCTGAACATCGCAGCCGGGCGTTCCATTCAAGACATCACGCATTACCCGGTGTTCCCTTGGATTCTCAAACGAGCCGACGCCTTTTTGGATCTCAAGTAGTCATTTCAAAACCCGTTCAATGTAGCGATAAATGGAACTATCGAGACCTGACGCTGCCGATGGGCGCGCAGACCGTTCGTCGACTCAATCAATACATCGACCAGTATGAAATGATGGCGGAGCTGTCGTCTCCCGATGATTTCGCGCGCGCTCGTTCTGCCACTCTGGACGGAATGGACGATCAGATTCCTCCTTACTATTATGGCTCGCATTACTCCACGCCGTTGGGCTGCGTTCTGCACTACCTTCTTCGAAAAGAGCCGTTTACCCAGCAGCATGTGTTGCTGCAAGACGGTCATTTCGATGTTCCGGATCGTCTGTTCTACTCGGCCTCGGTCACCACAAAGGCGTGTTTGGAAAACCCGCCCGAAGTCAAAGAGCTGATTCCGGAGTGGTTCTTCGATCCTCACTTCTTACTGAATGAGAACCACTTGACGTTTGGAACCACGCAAGACAATGTGGACATTAACAACGTCGCGATTGAGAGCTCGCCTTCGTTGTTCATTTCCCAGAACCTCCGAGCCCTGGACTCTCCGATCACATCCGCGTATCTCAGCGATTGGATCGATCTGATCTTCGGATACAAGCAGCAGGGAAAGCCCGCAGCGGCGAACTACAATGTCTTCTTCTATCTCACTTATCCCGACAACTGCGATGTGACCAACGTGCAGGACACCGCAGTGAAGACGTCCGTTCAAACACAAGCCACTCACTTTGGACAATGTCCTCAACTCGTCTTCGATTCTCCTCACATCCGAAAGCTTCTCCCCATCAAAGCGGCGCGCTCGCTTCGAAACGTTCTCTTCGAAACCCCCAGAGAATCGATCTATCACGAATCGCCTCGACGATGGATGGGTTCTCGCTGTCGGATCCAATCCATCTCCGACTGGGACGCTTCGGCTCTGCAGTCGTGCGTCAGCACAGTCCAAAACATCCTGGGTGAAGGGTTCAACGAGCCCGATCGCAAATCAGCGGAGCTTTCATGGCCGCGCGAGAGCTCGTATCCCTGGACAATCACCGTCGATAGCATGGATTACATCGAAATGACGCTGCTTCGTGTGGTGCTGAAAGTCCCCAACGCGCTCTCTTACAACATCAAAAGCCATTGCTTTGAAATCGAATACTTGAATGAGCAGCGCGCCTGGACCCCCATCGAAGTGATCGCAGAGAATTCCATTCTGCAGCAGCCCAATGTCATCACGATTCTCTCTTTCAAGACGATCATTACGCGGTTCTGGCGAGTTCGCATCGTCGATATTCCCTTCACTGAACGCTTCCTCAAACTAGACGTGAACACAAAGCCGGTCTACACATGTGGCGATCGTTCCCGCGATTCTAGCTCCATTCCTACCAATTCGTTCGTGATCTTATCGTCTCCAATCGTTCGCCATTTGGATGTTATGGGTCGACCACTCATCCCACATGTTCCTTCGAAAGAGATCAATCCAATCGGCGCGGCGCTCGAATTCAAACCATCATTATCAGCGCTTTGGTATACACGGGGCGATCGAATGATCGATAGGGACAACGCTTTGATTGTTTCGGATTCGCGCAGTGTGGCGATGCAAGACGTCAAGACCAAGAAAGCCAGAGAGACGATTTCGCTGCCTTATCGCTATTTGGTGTCTGTGCGTTGTCTGCATCCTTCCTTGCCGCTTTTCTTTGTGGACAGCGGAATGAGGGGTTGTGTCGATTGTGTAACGCAGAAAATGGAAATTCGAACGTTGTCGTTACTCAATGAATCCATTCGATTATTGGCTGTTGATGACTCGCTTCTTGTGGCCGTCTCTGAGTATGAGAACGTTTACTCTTTATAAAGGCGTAGAAACGATGAAATCGCTTCGTTTGATGTGTCGTTCACTCCGATTCCTTCTTGCATCAACGCGTTGGCGCGTGCTGCTCTTCCTTTTAAGAGCCATGTGAATCAAATCCGCATTTCCAAAGAAATGGATTGCGTTGTTGCTTTCTCTTCTTCGGATTCTTCGGATTCTTCGGATTCTTCAGATTCTTCGGATTCTTCAGATTCTTCGGATTCTTCGGATTCTTCAGATTCTTCAAACACATCGCCTTCTGTGCTGATTTACACATCATTGCTGAGTCTTCGAGCGGTGATTCCATCGCTCCCAATCAAAGATTGCTTCATTACGCGCTCTGGAATTCTCCTGATTGGATCCAAGAAGGTCACGAAAGTCGATTTTGTGGGAAGAATCGAAGTGGAATTACTGCTTGATCAGGAACCGTAAGTTCGATTGATTCTGTTGAAGTGTAGTATTTGTGGAGATGTCGCTGATTTGATTCTGGCGCTGGTGGAAAAAGATGGAACAATTCTTTTAATTGATTCAATCACCACTCAGATTTTGACTCGAATTCCGACAGAAAAGTCGATCATTCGCATTTTATTTGATTCGGATTCTACAGGTATTTTCGCATGTGCGCAGGATGGAAACGTGTTCTATTATCCACTAAATAATTGCTTGAGTCCAGCTTTTTGGGAGACTGACAAAGCATCGACTGGAGGAGGGGATATTAAGTCGAAGATTTGGAGTTTATTTGCGTTTTGTGTTTGTTGGAAGAATCGTTTGAGTTAGAGTTTGTGACATATTTGCTATGCATTGCTTAACTTTGATTCCTAGAACATTTTCTTCTTTCAAACAAACAAACAATCTGGAATAATCCGTAAACTCTTGGCTTACATCTATATAAAACTCTATTCGAAGCATCACTTTCGTTCACATTTCGAATATCGACGAGGCGAAGCGATTTAGGAAGCACAATTTCCACTAAGTTCGGAACATCTACTGCTAAGCTATAAACCATTCTGACAAACCTTCCACAGTCAATCGGCGTTGCAAATAGAAATTCTTCTCTCCTTTCGACACCATGCTTCTTAACTTGGGTAAATCTAACTAAAAGAAAAGCATCATGCAGACTTTTCAAAGTCACCGAACAAGTTGAATTACTAATTCCTTGCAGAGCCCATTGTCCGAGCTGAACTGTTTCTAATTCAGGGAGATCTTCGATTATAGCAAGACAACTCGCTTACTCTCAAAAACGGTCTGATTTGCCCAAACAAATACAGCAAACCCTAAGGATAGATGTTTCAAGCGCGGTAAATCTAAAGATCAGGGTAATTCCAGCAGTACAAACCGTGGACAATTAGAGAAGAGTGAGCAAAGTTCCATGACTGAGTGACCAAATCTCCAATCTCGATCCTTTCTAAATTTGGAAGGTTTTCCAGCTCTATTCCATGGCTCCAGTTCGTACAGCAAAAGGTTCCCATTTTGAATGACACCAAATGTTCACAGTCCGCTATTTTGAAGCTATACGGAGCATCACTTTCCAAACTGGGAGGCAAATGCTGGGTGGTGAAGCAATGATTTCCGATAGATATCGACTCCAAATAGGGCAATTTAGAGAAGGTAATGCCGTGGATATTACCAAAGCTGTAGTCTCCAATTGTGAGAGATTGGATCATATTCCACTGGTTAGTGTCGAAAGAAATCACTGAATTAAAACTGTTTTCTTCTATCCTTAGATCATTCACGGTCGCAATTAGAGACTGTATGTCTTTTTCTTCATGAATACTCACAGAAAGAGGCTTGTATTTGTAACAGCCATTGATTAAATCGACCCCTTCTATTTCCTCTCCCTTTTCCCAGGTGCTTTCACGATATGCCATTCGCGTTTTGGGATCAATCAAACAGCCGACTCCATGCCGAACATATTTGCCAGTTGATTCGTCAAAGCAATATCCTCCCATATAAACAGGGATTCTAGTTTCAAATTGAAAGCCATCACCTTGCTCTGAAAACTCGGTCATTACACCGTTTTCAAATATCTTTGTTATTTTGCATAGTTTGTCGTCAGCCCATATACCTTCTAACAATTCTTTGCCATCATTCTCATCAAATTCGATGCCTCTTCCATGTTTTTGTAAGTTGTAGTTATACTGGCCTCTGTATACAGTTATGCCAGTTTTGCGCTTTATAAGTACCAATTCTAAGGCATCTCTGCTACAAGTTTTGAATTGCACATAATCATCATAAAGTAAGTTATCAAAGGATCCACATAACTCAAGTCTTCCATTTTCATAAACATCAAAGTTACCAGATTCATCTTGGCAATCGCCTTCCCATGTCCTTTTCAGAACACCGTTATAATACAAGCTGCTCTTATTAGACGAGTCAGTAATAACAAATTCATTTTTGTGAGCTCCTTGAAACTTTTGTATCCTACATTCCTCTCCTAGCCAATTTATTTTGGTTTGATCTCCCTCAGTATAATATCCGTCGAGAGTGTACTGAAATCCGTACACAGTTTGCATGACTTAACAAATAGTTTTAGCAAAATAACAGCAGACAGGATCTATAACATTTGCATGGTATTTCAAATGATTTTTTTAATATTCTGAACGAACCGATAAACGATAAATACAACAGATTCATTGTCTCTAAAACTGTATATCAACATGAATCCTTTTTTCTAGAGATGTGATTCTATGATACGAACAATGCATTTTGCGTTAAATTATGTATCTACTATATTATATAAATGAGAAATGAATATGGATCTGGATCCTCAATAACCATCAAACAAATCAGATGTTCTTCTTTTATTTCTTGATAGATGTTGTAGGATAGAGACTATTCACAGTACAATCAAGGTAACTGAATGCTATGAGACAATCTATCATTCTATTATTCAATCATTGGCATAAAAGCAGAATTGATTGAAAAAGAAATCTTGATTATTTATACAAGATTTTCAGCCTCTGAAGTTGTGATCAAGACCGACGAGGATGAGATCAATGATATCAAGTTCCAGTTCACCATTACAAGAGCTTAATCAGGGATGGACTGATTGTTGGATAGACTGCTATCTTTGTCTTTTTTATGGCAAGCGAATTGGGACAGGAGATGAGTCTTGATTTCATTTATTACCATTGATACACTTCCAGATTAATATAAACCCACTTCGAACATTTCACAACACAAACATTGATAGGTTAATAATAGATTCGATGCAGGAAGAGATTTTGTATGTGAAGAAACTTAGCGAAAATGCCACAATTCCTGTACGGGGATCGGTTCATGCAGCTGGATATGATTTGTTTAGGTAATGCTTGTTTTGATCAGTTGGATCCTATAGTGCTGCCGATGTGACAGTAAAAGCACGTGGAAAGGCTCTGATTCCGACGGATCTGTCTGTGGCTATTCCTCCGAATTGTTATGGTCGTGTTGGTATGAAGTGCTCTTCCCTATTCTATTTTGTAGCTCCGCGTTCAGGCCTAGCCCTTAAGAAGTTCATTGACGTGGGTGCAGGCGTTGTGGACTGTGACTACCGTGGTCCTCTGGGAATCGTACTGTTCAATTTTGGAGACGAGGATTTCGAAGGTATTGTCGAGTTATTGCGTTGTTTGTAGTGAAGAAGGGAGATCGTGTAGCTCAGCTTGTGTTGGAGCGAATCTGTATGGCTCCCATTGTGGAAGTGGAGAGTCTGGATGAAACGAGCAGGGGTAGTGGTGGTTTTGGGTCAACGGGGGTAAAGAAAGTTCGTACTGATTGTTGTTTTTGTTCAAATCAAACTGTGTTTTTGATAGCAATAAAAATGGGCAACAGCTTGGATGGGATTGGATTGGATCAACGAGTGATTTGTGAGTTGTATGGATGTTGATTAATATGTTCAAACATTCGATGTGTGCTTTAAGATGGAGCGACTAGATTCAATGCATAACAATGTAGCAAAATGAACCAACGTGAGTTGTGAGCTAGTTAATGGATAGAATAGAAGACGAATAGAAAACTTGATTTAGGATTCAAGTGAAAATAGGGGAGCAGAGAATGCTGATTGAACGCATTTAGAGAAGTTAGCCATCATAAATAATCTTTTACTGCCATCTCTCACCAGAATCAAAATTACATATATCATAACACACTCTTCATTACTTCTATGCTACTATCTTTCTCTTGCACTATCTTATTCTATAACCACATTAAATCCAAAACAATGATTTGCAACAAACAACTATGTTGTTCTAAGGCTTACATATCATAGTAACGACTTGGAGCCAAGAAGTTTACTGACTGCCTACAGATGACACACCATAAAACTCATTTACGGGTCAGAATATAGTGTCCACGCTTGGAAACCTCCACAATCTTTCCCTGCTTGAGCAGCTCACGAATTCCAGCACGAGCACAAGAACCATTGATCTTCAGACGGTCCACGATCGTGTAAACCGTAATGAGCTTCATCTACCTATCATAAGCAAATCCAACAACCGACCTTCGGCACTTCAGCAACCAACTTGTCGTAATCAGCCTGCTCGAAGTAAACCTTGTTATCGATAGTTTCACGCACCTTTCCCTTACTCCACTTCTAAACAAATAAATCGATCTTATTCACTCGCTACCTTTTTACCGTTACTAGACTATAATCACGTTAGAACTCCACACATATCAATAGTATAATTCACAAACAACTAGAAAAGAACCTACCATGATACTCTTAAGTAGTCTAAAAGAACAAACTTGCCTAGAAATAGTTTGGTCACGGCAGAATCTGCGATACCATTTATGCTCGCTCGATTAACCGCTCATCATTTCATCGTGCAAACCAAAACCGCGGTTCCCTTATTTTGGATGGATTGCAACAAACAAGCAAGCTTCTCCAGTCATCTTCACCAAATGGCGTTAGTTGCACTTTTTGCTTTCGTTTCTTCTCTTCTCGCTTTTCCTTCTGAATCTTTGTCATTTCCTCTTTACTTAACAGATAATTGCTGCTCCCTCCGCATTCGTCAATAATATCTTCAATCTGCCGCACCATTTCCTCGGGGATCTCTTCCTTCTTCATACCCACAGTTTCCAAAAGCATTCTATATGCCCTATGCATCAGCAGAGTAACGCAGCATTACTCGGATTGGATCGAGTAGGCAATATTGCTCTCGTCCAGTCCGGAGATGACTTCTTCTTCAAATTGCCTTTGCTCTACATAAAATACTTGAGATTGCACATACTTTCAGCTTCCTCTTTTTCTAAGTCTTTAATCTGCTTTTCTTCCTTTCTACTCTTCATTCATACTCTTATTTTCAACCTTTTTAGCTCCTTTTGAGCATCCTTGGCTTTCTTTCCCATTGCCACGGCGCCTTGTACTTTATCATCGAAGAAATCAGCAGGAAGAATCTCGGATATTGGTTTTTCCTCAATTGCAGGAGGTAGTTCTATTTCGGGTTGTTTCGTTTCTTCCTTTTGTTCTTTCGCTCTAGTCACTTCAAAATGGAAGAGATAAGCTACTTTTGTTGGATCAACACCTTCTTCGCTTTCGCCTTAAATATTTGAACCATCTTTCATTTAGAATACAAGCCAACAAAAAATACTCGGTTATGTTTTACAGAGGCAACATGCTCAGCCCATTGCGATTCTGATGCAATTTTTTCTTTACACAGCTTACAAGAAATCGAACCATCTGAATCATATCTAGAAAGTAGTAATGGCTCCGAGAATGGCGTACTTGACAAAAGGAGATTTTATTTTTTGTTCAGATGACATAAGGTCGTCTTTTTAACAAAAAGAAGCAACTACAAGAAAAATTAGTAAATTCAGGAAAAACTGTCGCTTTCTTTATCATTCTAAAATAATGAGTCATTTGGTTCATGTGTTACGCCATTCGGTCGTTTTTGCTTCTTTGATCGACTTGACTTCTTTTTGTTCATAGATTTTCGTATCTAGAGTCATACAAAACACAAACTCCCCACATTTTGGTCATTTGGAACTTCCCCCTTCCAAGAGTAACCAGCATCATGTAAACGCGCGATTAGAACCTTCTTTCTCTCCGCTAGACTCTTTATGTTTTGTAATCCGCGAAGGAAATTCTTTGCTTTTGGACGCTTCTTTGCAAAGTTCACAAGAGACTGCACATCTGCCTGCAAACTGTCTTTCGACTCCGACAAATCGTCATCATCACTCACTTCGGAAAGTTGATCATCTTCAACAGGTTCCTCTTCAAGATTGCCTTCTGAATCAAACCTCCTCTTTGTTGATAGCTCCAATACTTTCTCCTCCGAAGTGATTCTGCCCATGGTATCAAGTTCAATGGATTCATCTTCAAAATCTTCAAATCGCGGAGCATAGTACTTGATCACCTCCGGCTTTCGAAATTGGAATTGAAATGTGTCATCATCAAAAACCGTAATATGAGGCTTTGATTTTTGGATGGAATGCAGCTTCTTTATATTTGAAGCGATTATTTGCAAAATAGCAGGAGTCATGTTTTCAGCACCGATTTGTTTGCTTATTTCTTCAGTAATCGTTTTTGCGTCGTTTTCTCTAGCGATAACGGCAAAGAACTACATGATACGTTGATGATTTCCTGGTAACGACATCCATGATCATAAGCCCTACTATTTCATCACTTAGGCAGTCCATTAAGTGTATTGATGAACTTTGAATAGGCTATTTAAACTGAGTAAGAAAAACCTGCTATTTTGGCATATCATTATTTTCTTATTATCGTCATGAATACTGATAACCAAGGCATCATCCTTGCTTTAGATATTGGAACAAATAATACGTGCGGTAGTTTTATAAACCCCTATACAGGCAAAGCTGAAATTATCGAGGTTGATGGTTTACGGTCAGTTCCGTCATTCTTTGGATACAATAGGAACGGAGAAGAAATTATCGGATTGGCAGCCAAAAAAAAGTTTTGTGATGGAATCAGTGAAGTGATCGGAAGGGCTAAATATCTTATGGGGAAGCAAATTCCTCGAGATGCAATCGAAAAATATAGTGAAAAGTGTGGAGTCGAGATAAGGATTAATCAGGAAGAATACTGCTATTTCCATTTACCTAGAAAAGGAGTTGATATCAATCCAAGCGAGTTGTATAAACGAATGATCAATTTATATGTATCTATTCTGGAGAGTAAGCACATTGGACGTGCTGAGAAAATCCGAATTACCGTTCCTGCGTCGTTTAACGCCATTCAGAGAGACCTGGTGAAGCGAGTTGCAGAAGAGTGTGGCTTTGAAAGTGAAAACATTTCGCTCCTAAACGAACCCTCAGCTGCTGCCTACATGTATTGGCATGAGCAGAAGCCAACACAAGGTACGTTTTTGGTATATGACTTTGGAGGCGGCACGTTCGATCTTTCGTTGGTAGGAGTCAACAATGGTGTATTGGAAGTTCTTGATCATGATGGTGACCCAGAGTTGGGTGGATGCGATATTGATAAAGCGATTTCAAACGAGTACCAAACGGAAATCGAAGGCAGAAATCTTCCGATCATTCGAAAGGAGATGCCTCAAAACGTGGTAAAGCGGATTATTGGGAAGTTGCTGCTGAGATGTGAAGAAAGCAAGATAAGATTGGGAGAGACATTCGCACCTGGTCATGGTGGAGAACTAGTCTTGGAGGATGATGATGAGATGGTGATGAGGAGGTGGAGGAGAGAGTAGAAGAGCCAGTAGGGAATGACGTGGTTACCATCAACATAGCAGATATTATATTTTTTAAAGAAGACAGTGACGATGAACAGGAAGGTATTGAGTATGAGTATGAATATGAACTCACTCGAGAAGAACTGATTCATTTGTCACAGCCATATATCAACAAGACAGTCGGATTAGTACGCGATCTTCTCGAAAAGAATCATTTGCAAAGTTCAGATATCTCATCTGTAATCGTCGTGGGTGGATCAAGTCTACTACCGTCGGTGAAAAGAAGTCTGGAAACGATCTTCCATCCCAGACAGATTTTAGACACAGTGCCTCCTAAGGAAGTTGTGTCCCTTGGAGCGTGCTATTCGCTCTTTGAAAACTATGGATTGAAGGAGCGAAGCACGTATAGTCTGGGAGTGGAGATGAGGAAGAAGAACCATGTTCAGTGGCTAATTCCGAAGAATGCTCCTCTTCCCTATCAATGCGATTGTACCATTACGACCACTGAAGATTACCAAACTTACATTGTTACAAACCTGGTTCAGGGAAATTCAGAGGAGGTAGTGACAAGAAAAGAAAAGAATCTGATTCGTTTGGGATCTATTTATTGCGAGATTAAGACAGTTGATGAGAAGGGGAAGGTGCCTTTTGATGTAACTTACATTTTTGAGTCTGACGGATGTGTACATGTGCGTATCGTTGAAAGAGGTGTGGCTGAACCGATTTTTGATCAGAATGTTCAATGGAAGGATTACAATGTTTGTTCTAAAATGATTCCATTACTACACAAAAGTTTCAAACAATCAAAGAAAGAAAGAAAGAAAGAAAGAAAGAAAGCAAATCTTAAAGCTATGTTGAGTAATGGGTGGGATGGCGAGGTGGAGCAAAGCTTTTATGAAGATTAGGCATCACTTCCTGTCGATCTTCCCTATTCTCCTCCTGCGTTGTTTTCTTCTCTGGTTCCCTTGGCCTGCTCTGGTTCATCGGACCAAAGTTCAAGCGATTGAACAGCGGATTGTTCCTTAACTGCGAAGGCTTCAACATAGCAATTTCTTCCTTCTCTTCTTCTTCTTTTTCTTCCTTCTCTTCCTTCTCTTCCTTTTCGTCTTCTCTGTCAAAGGACTTCACTTTTCTTGCCGGTACTGCAAAAGATTCGGTAGAATCGTGAGAGACTGGCTGGCTCTTCGACGAGCCACCACTTGATGGAACGGTAGGAGAAGCATGTCGTTGAGAATCCGAAGATAACCGTCGCGAAGGCAGCGAATTCGGAATAGCAGGCACAGAATTGGGAGTTGGTGGTACTGGAGATGGCGATGGATGGCGTAGAGAAAGCCGTCTGTTGGATGAAGGAGGAGGAGGAGGACACGGAGGAGGAACCGAACTTGGCTTTGATGGAGTGGAAAGAGAAGCGTTTGATGGAACTGGAGGAAAAGGACGTGGAGAGCTTTTCATTGACGAGGATGAAGCTGGAATAGAGCTTGAATTGGATGGAGGAGATGTGCTCATTTTGAGTGGATTTGAAAGTGAAGCACTCAGTTTCTTTGTGCTAGGAGGAGGAGGACTATGCTTTGGAATAGGTGGAGGGGATGATGTAGGACTCTGCTTGGTAATGGGTGGAGGCGGAGGAGGAGGTGGAGTTGGACTGTGATCGGGTTTTGATAATGGAGCCGGATTCTGTTTAGGAATAGGAGGAGGAGGAGGAGGCGGAGTTGGGCTGTGAACGGGTTTTGGTGAAGGCGTAGAACTGTGAACGGGTTTTGGAGGAAGAGGAGAACTGGGTTTGATCGAAGCCGGGAAGGTAGCACTGCACACAGAATCGAAACTTTCATTGGAAGAAGTCGGTCTTGTTGAGCATGATTTCGAAACAGAATCAGCGGACACCGAAGTGGAAATAGAAGCAGAGAGCGAAGCAGAGAAAGCCTGGGGGAATGGAGGTGGAGGCGGCGATTTCTTCGGCGCTCGCTTCGGCGATGGCGTTTTCTCGACACTCACAACCGAATCGGAAGCACGCGATGATCGCACACTGGGTGACAATAAACTCTCCTTCTCGATTGACCCTTCGCCCACCACGCCTTTCGCGCTCGATTCCAAACTGTCCAATCGACTGCACAGCTCCCAGATCTCGGGCGTTACGCCCTGCATGGACTCAAGCAGCTCGCATTGCTTCTCGATCTCTGCTTGCTCTCGGCGAATCAAATCGATCTCGCTGATCGAGTGCAGCACTTGGTCCATGTCCTTATTCAGCTCGTTCACTCGCTCATGAAGAGAAGAGAGTTTTGTAGCGTAGAGTTGCTGTTCTTCGATGAGAAATTCTCGGATTGGCTGGATGGATTCGTCCATCACTTGATTCGAGTTGAGCAGATGCATTTCTTCTGCACTCACTGAATCCGTTTCTTTTGCTTCCATCTGATTGAGGATGATTGCAAGCTCAGAAAGACTCTATTCTTTAATTCTCTCTGCGAATTCTACGGTTTGGGTGACCTGCAACGAAACGGTGGAAGAATCGAAGAGCTTGTAAATCTGCTCAGTTGACGCGGTAATGTATTTTCGAGACTGCGGAGAAGAAACGATGTATACGGAGAGCATGAGCGGATCGAGGTTGGTGTGTTTCTAGATTTCGATAGGGTTGAAATGAACTTTACTGCAAACTCCTCGAGAAGCGAGGGAAAATGGGTGTAGTAAGGTTTGTATAGAGTAAGCGAGGATTCATCGGGAAGACGAACGTTCATCTCATAAAGGTCTGAACAAACATAGAGGGTCGAGAACGGAGGGATTTCACAGTCGCCAACGGTGAATTGTTCGTTACACACGATTTCATTAAATATTACATATGATAGATTCAGAGTTGAATTGGATTTGCCAAAAATCTAGGATAAACAACGCGTCATACTCCTACTCGACTACAACGGCGTTTGATATCTCCAATTTTGCAGCCGCTGTCAACAGACAGAACTACCTTTTGAGTACCAAATAGAATATAAATCGAAATGGGCTGAACACTCGTTTCAAATGAAACTGGAGTGGAATCCAGCGTCAAAATGTCAGAAACCATGCTTTTGTCATCGAGATAGAAGTGTCCTTGCTTAACCTGTATTAAGCAATCTTCTATGCCAATCTTCTCCTATTCGCTCACATAAATCGAAGAGCAATACGGATATATGGTGTTTCACAGATTCAACTGACAGGCGAGGAGATTGAGCAACCGCTATCTCTATTCGCTCTCCATTCAGATTTCCTGAAACGACGATACTCATGGAGATGATTTTCTACAGGTCCTTAATACTAAAAAGGATATTTTTCTATCCCTTAAAGTTTTGGCATGAATCCAATGATCTGCAGGGATAAGATCCTATGGGTATAATCGATTTACAGATTGCCAAAAAGGGGTCAGAAATGTACTTCGATAAAAGAATGTTGTGTATGCAAAATGTGAATGGATAATGCATCACCTAGGCCTATACTTTCGATTCAAGCCTATTTGGATAAAAGGTACAAAGCAATGATCCCCTCGATCCAGACATGAATGAGTACGGTGATGAGTGTACATCATAGAAGCTATTATTTGTAGTACCATTTCATCAAAAAAAGCGTAAAAATAGGTAGAATCGAGGGTGCCGGTTTTGATGCATAGCGGGATAATTATATAGGAATTTATATGGCATGAACCAAGCGTGCATCAAATCCGCAGCATTCCATGGTTTGGATCTATCAGATATTTATATTCTTTTCATAAACAACACAGCAAAATGGCCTTTCGTATGCGAAGCTTGAAGAACTTCATCAGGGATATTCGCAACTGTAGGTTTGTGTAAAGATTGAGCTGAGGTGTTTAGGCCAGACAAAGGAGTCAGAGGCGACCCGTGTGATGGAGGAGATGGCTACTATTCGTAATCAATTCACAAGCGCTAAGCTTTCTGCTGCTGATCGTAAGAAGTACGTCTGGACCCTTGTCTACATGTAGGAGATAATTGTGTGGGTTGATTGTGTAGCTATCTTCTCGGATATGAAATTGATATCGGTCATATGGAAGTGATCACTCTGATCTCGTCTCCAAACTTCCAAGAGAAACAAGTCGGATATCTAGCAGCTGCCGTCTTGTTCAAGTGCACTGATAAGCTGTTCACTCTGATTGTGAACTCTATGAGAAACGATGTCATCAACGGCGTGGAGGTGAACCAGATCCTCGCTCTGTCCGCCGTCGCCAACCTTGGAGGCCGTGACCTTGCCGAAACCCTTCTCGAGGATATTCTGCAGCTGGTCCAGAAGAACACCACGACCAACCTGGTCAAGCAGAAGTGCGCTCTGACCCTTCTGTCTCTGTACCGTTCGAGCCCTGATACCGTGGGAACGCAGTGGGTGGACAAGGTGCTTCCGATGTTCAACGTGCGTGCCAACTTCGGCTGCGCTCTGTCCGTGTCGGGTCTGCTGGCCAACCTGATGGGCGCGATCAAGGAGGAGGATATGATCGACGAGATCCGCCACACTGCGATCGGCGTGCTCCGCGCGCTGGTGCTGGAGAAGGCCTGCCCGGACGCCTACATGTACTACAACGTGGCTTGCCCCTGGCTGGTGGTGAACTGCCTGCGTATTCTGAAGTCCTGCCCGTACCCCACCAACAAGAAGGAGGTCAACCTGCTGGAGGACGCGCTGCACACCATTCTGCAGCACAACGAGATGACCAAGAACCGCAACCACGACAATGCCACGCACGGAGAGCTGTTCGAGGCTGTGAACCTGATCATCTCCTACGAGAACCAGACCGATCCGGAGCTCCGTGCGTCCGTGGTCAGCTATCTGGGCCGCTTCATTATGTACGATGAGCCCAACATTCGCTACCTGGGTCTGGACTACATGTCTCGCCTTGCCCAGCTGCAGGGAGTGAGCGACAAGATCAAGAAGCACCAGGACACCATCATGCAGTCGCTGGATGACCCCGATCTCGCCATTCGTAAGCGTGCTCTGCACATGCTCTTCTCGATGTGCGACGATGAGAACGCCGAGGAGATCGTCAAGAAGCTGCTGGATCACCTGCACAGCAACGATTACATGATCAAGGAAGAAATGGCTCTGAAGACCGCTATTCTGGCCGAGCGTTTCCCCAAGGACAACAGCTGGTACTGCGATGTGATTGTGGAGCTGATGCTCTACGCTGGAGACTACGTGTCCGATGATATCTGGCACCGTATGGTCCAGATCGTGTCCCAGCAGGAGGACATCCAGGAGTACGCTGCCCACAAGATGTACGAGCAGCTGCAGCCCACCAACGTGCACGAGATCATGGTTCGCTGCGGATCCTACATTCTCGGAGAGTACGCCGAGCTCATTGCTGACCCCGAGGACGAGGAGAACGAGCCCGTGGAGCCCGAGAACATTCTGGAGACTCTCCAGAAGCACTACCTGAAGGTGTCTCTGAACACCCAGATCCTGATGATGACCGCCTTCGCCAAGCTGCTGGTGCAGTTCGAGGAGCTGGAGGACGAAATCCGCGGTCTGTTCGAGCAGAACCTGTCGCACATCGATTCGGAGATGCAGCAGCGCGTTGTGGAGTACAACGCTCTGGCCGATTCCGATATCATGGAGGACATTCTGGACCAGATGCCTCCGTTCTCGGAGGATCGTGAGAACGTGCTGGAGTTGAAGCTCAAGGCTCCTGAGGAAGAAGAGGAAGAGGAGGAGGAAGAGGACGACAGCGACGACGATGATGATGATGATAGCGATGACGACGATGATGAGGACGAGGACGAGGACGAGGACGAGGACGAGGACGAGGACGAAGATGAGGACGAGGATGAGGAGGAAGAGGAAGACGAGGACGAGGAGGCCGAGGGCATTGACGACGATGTGGCCGAGATGATGCCCGCCTGGTTCAACAACTGCGTGATGAAGAACAAGGCGGTTCTGTACAAGGACGAGCGCATCCAGGTGGGAGTCACCAAGGACGTGCAGGGCTCCACTGCGCGCTTCAACATGTTCTACAGCAACAAGTCGGGAGCCGCGATGAAGAACTTCAGCGCGGAGATCGAGTCGGAGGAGGGCGGTCTGGCTCTGGACGCCACCGAGGTGGCGGACAGCATCGCTGCGGGCGCCAACGCGAAGCAGCAGATCACGGCGACGTGCAACAAGCCGTTCACTGCGAGCCCCACGCTGACGGTGAGCTTCACGGTGAAGGGCAAGAGCTACGCGCTGCCGATCGAGTTCCCCATCGTGGCGGTGACGTTCTGCACGGCGAACGAGCTGGACGCGGACACCTTCCAGCAGCGCTGGTCGAACCCCGCGCTCCAGGAGAAGGAGGCCAAGGAGACCTTCCGCGCGGGCGAGGAGAAGGACGTGAGCTCGCTGGAGGAGCTGCTGCCCGCGCTGGGCTTCAGCATCGTGGAGGGCGTGGACGAGTCCGCGAACAAGGTGTACGCGGCGGGAACCTTCGTGACGAGCAAGGTCGCCGCTTCGGGCAAGCCGGTCACTGTCGGAGTGCTCTGCCTGTTTGAGTGGGCCAAGGCCAAGAGAGCCTTCCGTCTTACTGTCCGCGCCTCCAATGCCGTCGTCGCTGCCGCTTGCAAGGATCATTTGAAGGCTGAGCTGGAATAAGCAGCAACAAGTGGAAGTCGAAGTATTGCTTCTTTGTTTGTTCGATCACGGATCATGGAGGCGGAAGCGAGCCGCGAGGTGTTGCTCGGATCGGTCTCTTTTTACCCCAGTCAGTGCAAACAGCTCCATTCCCTATCATGTCCCGAATTTGTAAATGGCTGTCGCTATGCTGTGAGCTACAGGGTCTCAATTAGAAACAAAGCTCCGATCATACTCTCTCTGTAGGAGTTCGCCCATCACCTTATTCCTAGAGATATCCAACTTTTATATCCCTGTTCCCCGTGCATTAGTGTAGATGCGGCATTTGAGATCCAGCTGGGAGTGATCGAGCGAAGGACTGTGACGATTATCCACCAAGAGACCAAACAGGTCCATTACTCGTATACTTCGCACAGTTGTAAACTGCAAATCGACCTTGTAACAGTTACACAGTCAACCCACTTGCAGCTCTCTCTGAAGAACTGCTATTCAAAGTCATTTCCAAATCTGCTTGTAATCTAGAGTCGCTTCTCTCGACTGGATACTCTCTCGCGATCCTACAGAAAGCCCAGTGGGCATCATTAACAATGGTGCTATCTGCTATCTGAATTCTGTTGTTCAACTTCTCTACAGCATTCCATCCTTCCGCTCCATCATCGAGAGCATCGATTTCTGCTCTCTTCTCCACTCCTGCTCGACTGTTGAGAGCATGAAACGAATCCTCAAATCGACCTTTTTAGCCCTTCAAAAAACGTTTTACGCACTGGATCATTCTCGAATCCCCGTCGATGTATCCAGTCTTTTTGAGTCCTTTCAGTGGAAAGACGAAGAACGCAACGAGCAAGTAGATGCTGCATGATCGCTTCATGGTAGAAAGATGCTCACGAGGTTCTCTTGCTTCTTCTCAATCGCCTAAACGACGAATGGAGAGCGTTTCACTTTACTTCAGCTTCATCGTCGAGGGCTGAAACTCCCTTCGGTAGGGATGAAACGGCCGTTCTGTAACGTAGATTCGCTTTTAAAAGGATTGTTTCTTGTTTCCTTCGGAGATAACGAGAAGCGCTTCTCGAAATCCCACAAAGACCCGTTTTATGTCATTCCATTAGTTGGCACTATTTTTGTGATTGTCACTTCAAGGATGTCGAGGGATGCTCCACGCTTCAGGAAGCATTCCAGCGCTTTCTACAACAAGAAAAACTGGAAAATGAAAATCGAATTCGATTACGAACCGGCGAATTGGTCGATGGTTGGAGGAAGGTGGAGATTGTGGGAGTCCCGAAGGTTCTCATTCTGCAGTTGAAGTGGTTTCATTTCTGCGCGGAAACCTTCCAGATAAACAAAATCAGTTCGTTTTTTGAATTTCCAGAAATCCTGGATATTTCTTCGTTTTCTTCTCTTTCTGAAAAATACACTCTGCAGAGTGTAATCATTCATTCAGGATCTACGTTGTTGGGTCATTACTATTGCTATGCAGCTCATAACAATCAGTGGATTCAATTTGATGATCATCAAGTTTCTCCAGTTTCCTTCTCGGATGTGCAGAAATCCGGTTTTGGAGTACGAGAAACGCCTCCTGCTAAGCGTTGCAAGCGATCTGAGAGTGGAAAACCGCCTCGCCCATCGCGCATGGCGATGAAGTTGAAAGGAGGGAACGAATGTTGTTTGATGGACGAAACCACTTCTGCGTATTTGTTGGTTTACACACAAGCAAACGAAGGAAAAGAACGCGAGTGGAAGAACGATTTCCCTCGAAAACTGCTCCTGCAAGAAATGAAAAAAAGCGTTCAGCAGTACTTTGATAATTATGGAATCACTATACATGTCGTGTCGATTCATTCGCTGTGCGAAGAAGAACCGACTTTTTCTCTTTTGTGGGATTTTGTAACGCCCTCTGGAGTTTCGTCCTATTGTGTGAATGGAAAGCAGAAACTCTGCGAGGAATTTCGACGCATTGGAGAGAAGATGGGGATTCCCGCGGGGAAGCAAGTGTGGTGGAGAATGCGGGAAGTGGATTCGGTGTGGAGAGTGGATCGTCGAATTCCAAAAGAAGAGCAGAATCAGACGTTCGAGGAATGGGGGCGTTTTTCCCGCGGGGCAGCGAAGATAATGCTGTATGTCCAGGAAAACGCGATGGAGGAAGACGAGATTTTGTTATTTGCTGGAGATATGAATCGAATGAATGAACGGGTTTTGAATGAATTGAATGAGTCAAATCGAATGAATGAATTGAATGAACGGGTTTTGAATGAATTGAATGAGTCAAATCGAATGAATGAATTGAATGAACGGGTTTTGAATGAATTGAATGAGTCAAATCGAATGGATGAATCGAATCGAATGAATGAATCGAATCGAAACAGTCGAATGAATGAATCAAATGAATCAAACGAATCAAACGAATTAGTTGAACCGAATCAAATGAATGAATCACAAAAGTCTTGTGAACTGAATGAATCATCCAAACCGATTGAACCGATCAACTCAGCCACTACAAAATGGAGGGAAATTCGTGTGAATAAAAACGCATCCATCAGCCAGTTGGCACAATTGCTCAAGATTCCTTTGCATGGAATTTGGTTGGTTCAAAATCACACGCTTCATAATATCGATTCCGATCCATCAATGAAAAACATGTCACTCAACGATGCAGGGTTTCGAGATGGCGATGTGCTCTTTTTGTATAACCCTGCGAAAGAATTGAATTTGCTTCCTCACCCTTTCACTCAATGCTTCTCCGTATTTTGCTTTCCCATTTCAAAATATCCACAGTATGACAGTTTCATCTTCCCCATTTTTGGAACGGATGTCATCAAATCTCTGAAAGCTCGAATTTGGAAGAAATTCCAAGAATCGCCTCCCTTTCCTTTTTCCAATCCTTCATTTCATACCATTCCCGCGGTTCCAAAATCGTGGAAGGACATTCGAATCTTTCGATTTGCGAGACCGCAAAAGTCCAAAAATCAAAATCCTATTTGGAAATCGTATTTGAATCTGTTTGTCCCTGAAGGAAATGCCATGCGACATGAATGGCTTCTTTCTCTCATCCAGGAGAGTCGAAGATCTGGAAGTTTCGTTGATTCTTTCGGGGGCGATGAGGTGGACGACGAAACTCCCGTGGAATTGGCACTCCGGTGGAAACCCGCGGAGGTTTCTCCATCTTCTTCAGAATTGTTTTTGATGTATGACGTGATTCCAAATCGAAATGATGAATTTGAAGTGATTTATGTGAACTTGTTAATGGATCATAATTATCAAGAGATTCCTATACAAGTCTGTGATGACTGTACTTGCAAAAATGTGCTTGATTCAATTCATCGATTGCCTGAATGGTCTGAAAAGGAATTGGTTTGTTATTGTGCTGCGGATGGATGGATTCGATGTGTTCATGCCTTAGAAGATTTTGTTCGTTACGGCTGCGTTGCCCATCATCGCAGTTTTTTGTGTGTGAGCGAGAAGAAGCCATGCAACCAGTTCGAAATTCAGTGCGAGATCGCTGTATTGAAGGGATGGGCGAATGGTTTTCCCGTGTATTCATCGGAGTTTATCCCTCGAATCCTCCCTATATCGCTGAATAGCACATATCAAAGGATAATGGAGGACGTAAGCAGAGTGCTCCAAGTGAAAAGAGTGCGTGACGTTTATTATTTGGATGCAGGGGAGTCGCGAACTGCATCGAGAGAGAAATGGATTCGGATTGAGCGGTTGGAACAGACCATTCAAGAGAATCCGTGTGACGAGAAGTTATTTGAACCGCAAGATGACGAGAAGAGCTTTCCATTATTCGCGTTAGACATTAGTTGATTCTTTATTGTGTGCTACTTTGGATTGTTTTGCATCAACACACGATTGATTGATGGATCGATGGATCGATGGATCGATGGATCGATGGATCAAAAGAATTTCTAAAACAAACATCAAATCACACAACACAATTATTCAATGAGTTTCATATAATATCCAGACCGATTCTCCATTTTCCACACAATGTCCACAAATCGGTGATCTTTATCTGCTAATTTGGGAACCAAATCTATGAATCACACTCCCCATTTACAAAAACTTAATCGACTTAATCGTAGCTCCAAAGGATTGAAATGCTCAATAAAGTCCGTATAAATGGAATTCCCTTTTTCCGTTTCGCTCTTTTCCTTCTTTGCATCCTCCAATTGCGCGGTTATTCCCGTGATTATGCTGTGCACCGTACCTGGAACAATATCCTTCAGAACCGCGGGGAACATGGGCTGGATATGGCAGTAGGGACAGGATGAAACGACCTACCCCTCAAGTGAAACGCCCTCAACTACCGAAATTCTCTCGATTTTTTGCTCGTCGGACACGTTTTCCACAATCGTTTTATAGAACGAAACCCCCTCATTCACCGCGATTTTCTGCTCCTTGCAATGAATAAGGCGTTTCATCGGAATGTTCCTATGGAAGCGAATCATTCTCCACTGCCCCTCACACGTAACAAACAAGAAAACGCCCTTCAATTCATACGTTCCTTCGCGCACGAACTCATTCTCCTCGCTCTCCGGAAAGTGAATGAAACTCCCGATCTCCAGTGAAACTCCCTCCGGGAGCGTCTCTCCCTCTTTTAAAAGAGAGTAGCACTGCACGGGGTCGGCCTCGCTGCTGGTGCCCAGCGAGAAAAGAGCATCGCAGACCGTTCGATTCAATTGATGAGGGAACCAATGATAGTTGTTTGTCAGCAGGATTACCCCCGAAATCGGGCAATTCCCGCGGTTCGTGAGAGTAATGGGGAGTTTCGAGAGCTCTGAGAAATAGTGGAAATCGTGGAATTCGCCCAGCTCGACGCTCAGCGCGCAATCCTGCGGGACGACATGCATGTGCAACGCGGTGTCATTCCCGCGGATATTGTTCTGACGCTGCTCCAGCGTGTGATTCAATCGAATTCCGGGAAGCGAAAGCGGCTGTTTCGCGGTTATTTTGCGTTTTTGAGAGGCCGTTTCGACCTCGAACCGAATCTCTTCGATGTCAATTTCGCCCGATTCCCGCGGAACCACAAACAGCGTGAGCACTTTCCGCTCCAACGGACCCAATTCCATCGAGCTCGACTGGGTTTCCACGTTTCCACGAACCCCCAAATCGATTTTGGGGCATTTCAAAACTTCGTTGAGCGGGTTTTGGACCTCGATTTCCACCGCGATTTTCTGGCCGATCGATACCACGGTTTCCCTTTTTTCCCCTTTTCGGTTGTACCCGTCGCCTTCGTGGAACTGGGGAATCTTCGACGCGGTCACGTGACTTCGAACGATCCGGCTCAGAATCGCGGCAAATCGGACGTCTTCCTCGCGGTTATCGCTCAGATGCGGCCAGTTCGCGGGGTCGTCCTCCCCGCGGTTCTCCTGATAGCGTACGCACGTGGACCGGATGAGCGGAACCGCGATTTGCGCAGCGAAGGGGGCGAAACCCGCGGGAATGTTCTCGATGGGCTTGAAAAAATCGGGAATCGGGACATTTTGGCGGGTGGCTTCCATCGAATTCGATCCATAGGCCATGGACTGGACCCTTCGAAAGAGTTCCTCATCGAAGGGCGTTTCCTCGGCGAGAAGATCGAGGAGTTTCGTTTTGAAATAGGATTGGATGTGGGGCCATTCCGCGGTTTTCATGGCGGTCCAGGCGGTGAGAAGATTCCACGCGGCGTAGGCGGGCAGGCGGAGTTTGTGATAGCGGAGATACGCGAGGACGAGGGAGAACGAGGCGCGTTTCTGGCGGTTTTGGAGCTGTAGGAGGCCTGCCCAAGTGAGGAAAACCGCGGAAATGGTGTCGTAGACGGAGGTGTAGGAGGCGAGGAGGGCGATTTGATCGTGGAGAGAAATGATCTGGGCTTTGCGAGCGAGTTCCTGGCACCCCATGGAGAGTAAAAGGAGAATGAGGGAGAGAGAATCGTGGAAACGAGCGATGGGCGTGGTGGTGAGTGCGTAGAACTTGGAGGCCTGCTTGAAATAGTATTGCACCTCGCGGACTTGGATGCCGCCCTGTCCGGGCTGCGATCCGAGGAGAAAGAAGGCGAGTGCGACCATGGAGAAAACCTCGCCGAGCTGGAAGAAGGACTACAATCGAAGCGTGGAAGGAGAGCTACGCTCGTGGTGCGATAATCATCGAATATCATTTGGTAGTAATCGATTGCGGACTCGTAGTCCTACGAACAAACACGGAGAGAGAAGCAAACGTGGAAGAGAAACGCCATATCGGCGAGAAAACGAATCTTAAACTCGATCGTGTCGCAATGGTACAGAACCAGTTCTTCTTCCTGATTGGTCGCTAGAATGTTCGAGCTGCTGGAGTTCCGAAGCCACGAAAACACGCTGTTCACAAACCCACGACGATCTGCGATCACTGCTTGCGTATAGGACTCGATGAGCCTTTGCAGGTTCGGTAAAATGCTTTTCGAAATGACGTTTTGCATGATTTCGCGCACGCTTTGCTCGTTTTCCGCGGAAAGAGCGAAGCTGGGAGAGGACTCGTCGTCTCCCCAGTCCAGAGATTCTTTAGCATCGGTGTTAAAGCGAATGACTTTGCACTGGGAAGCGTTAAACGAAGATTTCATTCGTCGAAGCAGGTCATCGACATCGACACGGGAGCCAGTGTCGTGGAGCAGAATGTAGAAAAACGGAATTGCTTTGTTGTACATCCCCATCGAGAACCGTGGATAATGGAGCACTCGCTGCGACAATTCATCAAACCGCAGGATAGGGTCTGGATCATCGCTCGAAACGACTAAAAACACGCCAAGTGGATGATGCAGTAAGTTGAATTCCCCAAAACGGCAAGCAGTTAGCAAAGACGAAGTAAAGTCAAGGAGCCAATCTTGATTTGTATCGGTTGTCGCTTTTCCATCACAAAGATCACGAACCATTTGATGAATCGTATCAGTAGAAGGCTTGTGTAGAATTAGGGTTTGGAGAAGGGATTCCTCGATTTTTGTTTCATCCCAATGGCTTATCGACTCCGTGTATTCCAGATGAAATGAGACACGATCAAGAGGAACACTCCGATTTTCAAACTTGATGAAACTCATTAAATTTTCTTGTTCTGCATAGGGGCTACATGTAAAAATAAAGAAAAAGGCCGAATACCGGAGCAACTGGATGGTTGACAAACCTACTCTTTTGCATACTTGCTCTGCAAAATTCGATGACTCAACTGCAATGAGTGGTTTATAGTGATCCTCAACCAACTTCCGCAGTTGTGAATAGGATACCATTTCTTTTTATGAGTTTTCACTGAGAGTTGTGCGGATTTGACAAGCAAAAATGTTAGGTTTGTATGGAAAATAATGGGAACAACCACCTAGGAGTGTCATAGTCTTGCCTAAAATTGTAGTTCTTTCTAAACCTTGTAGTTATGGACTCAATACAAGTGGATTGAAAATTGTAATAAAGAAAAATACTCTCACAGAATATCGCATACTGTTACTTTATTACAAAATGGAAAAATAAGGCAGTATTTTCAGACATTGTATTGCACTATTCTATAATCAAGATGAGCAAGATCCTCCCTGCTGGAATTGATTTTGGAAACTTGAAGACTCTAATGGAGATTTTCCAGATCAACGAGAAGAATCCGGAAACATCTCAGTTAGTGAATGTGGTTGATCGCAACGGTAGCAAGGTTCCCCCGTAAGCTATTAATACGAATACCGTGCTGATTCTTTAGAACTGAAATCTTCTTTGAAAATGAAAACCGTTTGACCGGTACTGCAGCTACGCTTGTTGTATGTGTCGAGAGAAATTAGTTCCTCGTAGAGCAGCAGCGATCATACGCGAGAAATCCGTTTTCTCAAGGCTTCGATCAAGCGGCCTTATTCTGCAATTTCAGAAGATTTGAGAACCGCTCTTCCCTCAATGCGCGAGGGAAAAGATAAAAATATAGAGTTTGTCGTGAACATAAAGAACAAGGACCAGCATTTGTGGCCCTCGCACCTTTCTGCAGTGTACATTTCAGATCGTATTTCGGATATAAAGAAGGAGCGCAAAACGGAAGAAGTGAATGTCGTGATAACCGTAGGCATCGACTCTGTTTTTTTCCATTGCAGATCCCCCGCTATTTCAACGAAGACCAAGTCGTGGATTTCCTGAGCGGGCTGGAAGTGATGCAGGTAAAGGACTACATCCTCCTGTACGAGTCGGACGCGATCGCTCTGAACTACGGCTATTTCCCGAACCTCCGCAACGAATTCAGCTCCAGACCGGTGTACATTCTCTTCGTGGGCGTGGGATTCATCGAGTCCCAAGCGTTCGTGATTCGATATACCAAAGTCGGTTTTCAATGCATGCTTTTACCCGCAGGACGCATTCGAAATGCTCAGCTACGAGCACACCAACAAAGTTTCCTCCTCGATGGTGGACGGCTTGATCTACAAGCATGGCATGGACCTCTTCAAGCAGATCTGCGAGGAAGAAGATCCCAGTTTTCAGATCTCTTCGCAGATTTACTACAACATGCTGAACAGCGTGCTGCAAGAGAAGAAGCTGTTTTCGTTGCCAGGTTCGCGCGTGGCTCTTCGGTTCATCTCTAGGCATCGACATCGTGGAGTTCAAAATCCCAAACTACAACCAAATGAACGACGAGGGTGGCACGGAGGTCGAATCGCAGCAGCTCTTCCAGGATATTCGCTCGAATGGCCTCACCGCTGCACTGCGCCAAATGGTCGAAGACGCCATCGACAATGCGCGGAAGAGCGACCCGCAGCTCGACCTCTCCCACGTTCTCGTCTGCGACTCCGGCGTGCTCCTCATGGAGTTCCAGAACACCGTGAACAGCGTGCTCAGCGCGAAGTTCCCCGAGAAACCGAACGTACTTCCCGGCTCGGCGTGGCATGTAGCTGCAACTGGAGACGGACCAGCTGGTTAGCGAGTACGTGGTGCGCGGCAGCGCGCTGTATTCCTTCTATTCGGTGTACTGCAACGATCCGAACTACCAGTCCGTCGTGTCGCAGCTCTGCGCGAGCTGCCAACCGCTCTACTGCGCGTCGCACTACGCGGATCCGTCGATCGCGTCGCGCTGCCCGAACACGCTGCGGGGTCGGAGTTTGAGCTGCTTCTGACGAGCAGAGAAGCTGAAAGGCGATGAGATCGCGGAGGCGACGAACGCGGAGAAGGTCTATCGCGCGGACCACGAAGCGGCGAATGAGCGGTCGAAGGTGCTGAACATGTACCAGACGTTCATCGAGGAGACGAAGGCGAAGATCAAAGGGCGGAACGCGAAGGATTCGTCGCAGAACATGTACCGGCTGGACGGGAAGGTGCGTGAAATGGTGGCGTCGTGGGACCAGTGGCGAAACAACGACGCGCTGACGAGCGAGGAGATCCGAACGAAGCTGGAGCAGATCCGCGTGGAGCTGGACACGGAGATCGCGACGTTCCGCGAGGAGTGGGAGCGTCGGATGGAGCAGGAGCGAAGGATGCGGGAAGAAGAAGAGCGGCGCCGACGCGAGGAGCAGAAGCGAAGAGAAGAAGAAGAGCAGAAGCGACAGCGAGAAAAGCGGATCAAGAGCATGATCCAGGTGCGAGACATGTGCAGACAGCTCTTCGACGTGTCCTGCTGGTTCTCCGACACCGAGCTCCAGTCCTTGTATCTGTCCCTCCAGGACATGTGGGATCCCTCAATTTTCGAGTCATGGATAGGGTCAAGGACCCGCTCACCAACGAAGTCCAGTTCTTCACTCCCTACGTCTACGCCGTGCTCAACTCCCTGTACCTCCATTTCCACCTTTCTATCTAGACACTCCCCCAAGACCTCCGGCCTGCAGGACTACGGCTACTCCCGCGGGGATTCCGGCTATCAATGGGGCGCGGGAATCTCGAGTCTGTTCCACAGGAAATCGAAGGACAAAGCGAAGGCGAAGCGAACGCAGCCGCTGCCGCCTGGTGGCGAAGTCGTTCTGTCGGCGATGCACGAAGCGCAGGGCAATCTGCTGGAGGTTTCGGGCGAATCCAATGGGGACTGGGGCCACATTATGTCCCCTTATCATGAATCGAGTTGGGACTATCTGAATAGGGCCGGCAGCACGGATGCTTACGCGCTGATCTCCACCAAGGAATCTCTCGTCTCTGCCTATTCAAACCGCGGTTCTGCCTCCTCTTATTCCTCCTTCAATCGCTTCTCAAGCTACCAGGCTCCTTTGTTGACCCGTCGAGGTACCTCCGTTTCCACGTTTCTCCCTGTAGGCGGGTACGAGCGCGAGTTCCCCGCGCTGCGCGCGGAGTACAGCGATCCGTACAATTCCCGCGGGGATTCCGGCGCCTACGAGGCGGCAGAGGCGGCAGAGACGGCGCAGGCGGTGCAGGACATCCTGTCGTCGCTGTGGTTCATGCTCCCGCGGGAATGTGCGCCGCAGAGCGCGCCGTCGCTGCGGGCCGAGCGGTGCGAGACGACGATCCGGCTCTCCCCCGCGGCAAGCTACACGGGCGAGGTGCTGCTGGGGGTCCCGGACGGGCAGGGCAAGCTGGTGGACGTCACCGCGGGGAAGCTGGTGTACGCGGGAGCGTGGCGCGAGGGCAAGTTCCACGGGCGCGGAACGCGGTACGCGGGGGAGCTGGAGCTGGAGAGCGGGGAGTGGGAGGCCGGGCGGTTCGTGCGCGGACGGAGAGTGCGAGCGGACGGAGCGGTGGAGATCGGAACGTTCGTAAACGGGGCGCTGGAGGGAGAGGGACGCGTGGTGTTCCCGTCGCTGGCGGCGGTGAGCGGCGTGTGGCACGAGGGCAGGCCGGTGGGTCGGATGCGGTACGCGCTGCCAGGGTGGGAGGAGTTCGAGTACGACGAGGCGGAGGCGGAGAAGGAGGTGAAGAGACGTGTGGTGGTGAAGGAGAACTATATTTACTTCCGAACCACCGAGGTGAAGGGCGCGATCCCCGACTTTTTGTTCTACTCGAACGGAGATATCTTTGTGGGGGAGACGCAGATGCGGACGCGGCCGCATAGGGGACTGTTCTTCCACATGATGAAGAGAGGATATTGTCGGATGGAGATGAATGGCGGATATCCGGGAATGGAGATTCATGATATTACGGTGCTGGTGACTGAGAATAATAAGCTGAAGAAGGTGTTGTTTTGCTAAGTTTTTTGTTTGATGGAAAAATTCGGTTCGATTTTTGGAATGGTAATCAACGACTCACGAAGAATCCGCAGCGGCTGGATCATTTTTAAGGATATATTGCGGCTTTACTTCGTATACTGTCCCTGCCATTCTTATTTTTAATGGAACCAACAGTTAGCAGCTCAGCAGATTATCCCAGCTTTTACCGTTCCTGTTTTGGACTGTGATTACACGTAGAGTCTATCTCCTATGTCTGGGACACACTACGAATCATCCCAACGCGATCCCTAACAGAAGGGGAGGTTCAAACATTACTCAACCAACACAACCGATGTAATTCGAATGGGTTGCTGTTTACCGTAGGCGCGGACCCCACGTGGAAGAGTGTTAAAGTCATGTCGGATTGCAGAGGTATGGATCTTTCGTCCATTCACGACTGTTTCTTCATCGACAATTGCATAATCTCGACGCAACAAGGAGTCGTTTCATACAAAGACGAAACCACTCTTCCTGCAGGAATTGCGCATTGTACGTTTCGAAACTGCATCCTTTTCCCGTCGATTGCAGTTTTAAACAATACCCTAATCGAAAACTCTATTATTCTCCCCAATTCTATTGTGATTGGTTGCGGACGCATTTCATGTAACAGTAGCTTTCTCTCCGCAGCTGCTAAATTCATAGAGCAAGTAACTTATGGAAACGGGACTAAGTGCAACATGGGGAACGAAATGGGAGGCCTTGTTGTCTCTCTGTTTGCAGATTTGATGTACAACGACCTAGACAAGCTTACGAGTACGGGGAAGGCCGATGAAGCATTTCTACCAAACTATCTGTAATGCAACCATTTCTCTGCCAATTTAGGGAGCATATCCGCGGGGATTTTTGCGTGATTGATTCCTCCTTTGTGGAGAACTGCCCGCTCGTGTTATCTTGCTTTATCGGCCGTTGCTCCCATGTTATATCCAGCACGCTGCGAAGCTGCACCATTCTGAGTTCGACAACGAACTCGACGTTGTATGTGCTATTTATTTATTTAGTAATGTTCACAGAATCGAGCAGAGTAATCTAAACAAGTGTATCGTTCAGTGGGGCTGCTCGATCGAATCCGGAGCTAATGCGGAGCTTAGTTTATTTTGCGAGCATACTACAGCGAGCTGTAATGCAAAAATCGTCAATAGCATTATCGGTACGCACTCGTTCCAATCCACTCACGCTTCTAGCTCCAAACACGGGCGTTTCATCTGGAGAGTGTAATTCCTCTTTAGTGGGTCCGTTTATTGGGTTTCATCACAACAGTGTGTTGATTAGTGGTACGTGAATTTTGTCTCCTCCTGATTTCCAGCACTGTGGTTCTATGGAAAGGGAAACATTGGCTATGGAGCCAATATAGGAAGCAATCACACAGGTCGTCTTCCTGATCAAGAAATCATTCCGGGAGAGGGCGTTTTCTTCGGTTTGGGATGCAACATCAAATATCCATGCAATTTGCAAAACTCTCCCTACTCGATCGTCGCGTCGGGCGTGACGATGCTTCCACAGCGAATGGATCTTCCGTTTTCGCTGATTAACCGGCCCAGCACCCATCGCGAAGGCGTTTCGCCCGAGCTGAACGAAGTGTTCCCTGGGTGGATTTTATACGGAAACTACTACATGATCGTTCGAAACGAAGATAAATTCGCGAATCGGAACAAATCGAAGCGGAATCTCTTCGAGATGTCGATCATGCGTCCGGATATTATTGCGATGGTTGTGAAGGCGAGGAATGCGCTGGCGTTTGTTCCTCATTCGAAACGTTTGATCGATTTATCGACAATGAGCGAGGCGGAATGTGCATCGGACACGACCATCGAATTGCTGGAGGAACCGTGGAAAGAATGCGAGGACGCTGGAGACCGCGTGTATCTGGAGCGAAACGTAGAAACGGAGAAGGAGGACGATGGGTAGATCGACGGTTTGGGTAAAAACGTGCTGACGGAGGAGAATCGGATCAAAGGAATCAAGATTTATTCGTTCTTCCTTCGGTTGTATTTGCTGCGAGTGAGCGAAGAGGATGGAATTGAGCGTAGGAGCTGTCGAAGCTGATCGTGGTGACGCAGACGAGCTCGAAGGACGAGCTGTGCGCGATGAAAGAATGGAAAGGATTGGCGCAGTAGGCGATGCGAAGGGGCTGAATGACTGCAGATTGCTGAAGCAGGAGTTTGGAGAGCTGATGTGCTCGCAGGCGATCGCGAAGTATAGCGATATGGAGCTGGAAGTGCTGCAGTTCGCGGAGCTGAGCAAGGAGAAGGATTTCGTTCGGGGAAAGCATGTGAATAGCGTGGGAAAGAAGGGAAGGAATGAGGCGTAGAAGTATGAATTGACGCATCCGCGCGAGCGCGAGATGGAGGTGATTGAAAGGCGTCGGAAGTAGGGGCGGAGAAGGGGTGTGTGAGGGGGTAGAGTGATTAGCTGCAAGATTGAGTCGCTTACGAATCAGACAAATGAACTGATTCGAACTTGTGGGGATTTCAAGGTGACGGAGTAAGGAAGCGAGCAACGAAAGCGATTACTGTCATAATCATTCATTATTATAAGGACACTGTTAGCTGTACGGTGATGAAAGTGTTTGTTTTTGAATCACTCAATGGTTTTGTAAATGAATGAATGAATGAATGAATGAATGAATGAATTGGATATAGAGTGATTGAATCATTCAATGGATTCAATGGACTCATTCCTTTATTTCAATCCAATCGTGAACCATTCATTCATTCATTCATTTATTTATTTATTCATTCATTCATTCATTTATTTATTCATTCATTCATTCATTCATTCCATTTTTCATTCCATTTCCTCTCATCACCACTCGCTTCGTTTGCTCCCTCAAACAACCCACTACAAAATACAACAAATACTACATCGATCCCGATCCTTCAGCATCTTCGAACTCTCACTTCGACTCTCCATCGTCATCAATCGCGTAATACTCTCCAAATCCTCCTCCGTGAACGCGTCTTCGTCCACCAACAGCGAAGAAAACAAAATGTTCTCCTTCTGCACGAACTCCGACAGCATCGTCAAGTCCTCGCTCGACAGCGGATTCCCTACTTCTCACGCCTTCTTCCTCTCTCCTACCTCGCAAATCCAACGCATTCACGCAATGCAAGATCGGAGAAATCGACCGAATTAATGCATTTCCATTATTCGAGCCTATTTTATTATCTCTCTCTTTCGATTCCCACTATTCACCGACAATGTATCCAAACGGAGGTGGACCTCCTCGCTCTTCTTCATCTCCGCCTTGTCCTCCTCCTCCGTAAAAAACACGTCTATTTTTGGAATTCCAGAAACACGCGTACTGCTAATAAAAACGGATTTTGTGGTCACAGGAAGCGAAGCGAGCATTTTCTGCATTTCTTTCGGCGTGTCGGTGATTTCCGAAATGTGAAACTCCGTCAGATTAGGATAGTGCACCTCGTTGATCGAAGGTGGAAACAGAGAACTCAGCGGTAGTCTCGCAGTGTCTAAAATCGGGACTTTTTTCGCAAAACCAACTGGTGAGTTGCAGATAGCGCGTGGTTGGTGAGAAATAGGGGTGATAATCGGCCTCTTTGCAGCTTAAAACTAAACAATGAAGAGCGCTGGGCGCCTCTACGATCAATGATGAGTTTCACGCAGATGTGCTCGTGGTTCACGATTTCGTACGATCCGCTGATCGAAAACGAATCCGTTTCTACGTCTCACGCGTCCTTCATCGCTACGCTTCACCGCAAACTCCACCAACCGCGGGAATCCCCCCGCATGGATCTTCCGGACCAGCGAGAACGCGGCGGTGCACGACACATTGCAATCTAGAGAGCAGAAAGCGGCGCCGCGTACTCTGCAAGACGAGTTTCTTCAGACTGGTCAGCGCGCGCGTTCGGCTGATGTCCAGCAGCGCGCCCAGCCCCGAATCGGTGAGAGACTCTTCTAAGAATGAGAAGAAGGAGCGAGAAGGGACCCAGAGTGAGGGTTTGGAGCGTAGGGATCTGCGTTTTCTTGAGGGTTTCGAAAAAGTGGTTGATGTTCGGAAGGGAAAGATGGTTCTGCATCACCGTCAGGTAGCGCAGGTTGAAGTCGTGCTTCCGGTACGCTTTTAAAAACTGCTGAAACGAATCTTCGGCGTTGGTTCCTGGATGTGAGCGAGGAGGAAGACAAGGAAAACGGATGATGTTGAAGGTCTCCCAGTATTTGGAGGAAATGATAAAGCCAAGTCCTTCGCCGTTGATGGGGTTATCTGGAATGAATGGAAGAGTTTGGACATACCACTAAAGTCGATGTTTAGAATGGCGTCACTGCGACGAATGAGCTTATGGACCAAAACGGCTCCTCCAGTGGTTATTGAAGTGTCTGCAATGAAAATGAAAGAGGAATCGGACTGATAATGTTAATTGATCGCAGAGATGGGCAGGGAATCGGATTTTGCCTGCGTAAAACGTTTGTGATCACTTCAAAACCTTTATCTCCAATTTTATTATCTATATGAGACGGTGAAAACGACATTACGCGAAAGATCTAATAGTTCCAGCGACTTGAAACCTAAGCGGAACGTATCAGCTAAAAGACAGCATCCATTGTAAGATAAGTTTGTATCTTTCGTTCAGCAACACACTGTACAACCTACTAGAAAGATAGATCTTTTTTATCCTTTCGCGGATTGCGTTGTTGTCAAAAACCGTGAGAATTCTCCGTAAATCTTCTTCAGTTAGATTGTTGTCTAGTCCTCATACAACTCGTTATTCAACCAACCAGACAATTTCAGCTCCGACGATAAAGACTAAATGTCATAAGAAAAGGAGAGTCGCTACCTCAATCTCAATTACCGAAGAAACGAGTTGAACTCTATATACACTCATCTCGGGATCATAAGTATAGCATTTTGATGCTGGCTGACTAAAAGCCTCCATATGGTATGAGTGTTTTTGAGCTACTACGGAGGTGGTGAATGGAGTGGTGCTACTCATAGCAGTTGAAATCCATTGGAACTTTGTTGCACACAAATGAGACCAGTTAGCTTAAAGGACGGGAATGGGTATTATACAAGGTGCTGTTTCAGAATATACCGTTTTTATGGATAATACATGGACAGTACAGATTCTGAAATCTGGTTGGCTAAAACTCCCTCCGCAAAATGAGCAACTTGGGTCGATCTAATGCATTTTTCATTGCTTTATGAGTGCGCCTACATCAGCAACGCTTTCCACATTCGTAACAATTCAAAAGTACAATCCCATCTGCGTTGTCCTGTAGATTTCTCTGTGCGTTTCTCGATCGCCTCTCTAAAGCGAAGCTCTCCATCGAGCGAATCGATCCAGATGGAAAGGAGATTGGAGACATAAGACAGCTAAGCACGCGCATTATCCAGCAGTGGAATATCCTATTTCCTAACAGTCCTATTCATAGTATTGATGATATCACTCCAAATACACTCATTGCTACAAAGACAAGGTTTTCTAAGACCGCCATCATAAAAAGTAGAGAAGAAGTGGTTTTAGACCGTTCATCACGTCAGAAGCAAAAGCTGCTAATGGAAGTGGAGGTTTTGCGAACTCGTCTCAACCAACAAGAGGCAGAATCGGCCTCTCTGACCGAAGAGTAGGCTATACGATTGTCTCAATCACCCCTCATTTAGAATCAACCAATTTAACAAAAAGATCGAAACAGAAGACAGCGCCCTTCAGCATCTCCAGCAGCAGCGCCACGCTCTGGTCAACACCCTCTCTTCTCTCCAGACCCAAAAGCAGCGCGAGTCGAGCGAGCTGCAGTCTCTTCAGTCCGCCAAGCTCTCGATTCTGGAAGAGCTCGTGAACCTCCAGCACACCATCGCAGCCCACCGGACGTCCATCGAAGCCCTGCAAAGCGAGAAGCGATCGCAGAGCAGCCATCTCGAGCAAGTACTTCTTTCCTCCCCTTCTCTCTCACCTCGCAGCTCCGCAACGAGCAGCTCCTCCTCAGTCACGAGCTCCAAGTGCTCCAGCAGCAGCGCCAGTCGCTCGCGTGCGCCGTGCAGCACACGCGCGAGCTGATCTCGCAGAGCGTGGACTGCGCCAATCCCACCGACACGCGCACGAGCGAGCTTTCGAGTGCTACGGCCACAGCTACAGCCACAGCCACAGCCACGGCCCTAGCTACAGCCACGGGGATGGATAGTGGATTCGACTCGGTGACGGTGCGATGGACGCGTCCGCGAGGCCGCCAGCGACAACGCCAAAGACAGCGGCAACTGCGAGGGAGCGGAGAGGCGTTCGGGAGTGTGCGAAGACCCATCGCGAACGATACGAATATCTTCGCGGATGACTCGTTTTGGTGGTGTGTTTGTTACAAACAGGACGAGGAATAACATCACATCGGAGGCTCCGCCGCTTTACTTCTTGGTGGAAACACCCACAGACTTGCCGAAGCGGCCAGTGGTCTTGGTGTGCTGTCCACGCACCTTCAGGTTCCAGTAGTGACGCAGACCACGGTTGGCTCTATGCATCACCATCCCTAATCGCTCTTCTACCTCATCTTCTTCAGACGGTTCAGATCCTCACGGAGATTGGCCTGGAGGTTGTTGGAGACCACCTGACGGTACTTTCCGGTCTCAACGTCCTTCTGTCTGTTCAGGAACCACTCGGGGATATCGAACTGGAGAGGAGTGCTGATCACAGCAATGAGCTTCTCAATCTCATCGTTCGACAGCTCTCCGGCACTACACAATGACCAGAACATTAAAAACGCTCTACCGTCTCGAAATATCGATCTCAGCCTTCTTGCACACGGCCATGGCGAAACGACGACCAATACCCTTGATAGAGGTCAAGGCATAGACGATCTTCTGCTTTCCATCAATGTTCGTGTTGAGGACACGAAGAATGTGCTGGAACTCTCCCTGGTTAACAAGAGACTACAGAACGGTGAGCAAACGAACCATAACCGATACACACCACCTACCATGTTATTACTCCACTATTTTGCAAAAAGAGCTTTCCACAAACTTGAAAGGCATAATCGCGGGAAAGTGGTAAATCGGAAAACAGTGCTAAAAAGCAATTATTTCAACAAACACAAGGAAAGGAAGGAAAAGAAAGCACCGATGAAGATGGGTTATCACCTATGAGGCTTAGTTCCCTTTCAAAAAGAGTTCTGCTAAGCTTCCTGAAAAACTAAGCTGCTGGTAGTCGGTAGGGTCCTAAACATTAGCGCTAGTCTTCGTTGGTACTTGAGGAAGAAGATTCGTCTGGGATTGTTGCACTAAACTTCATACCAATACAAATTCATACTATTATCAAAAGGAACAACCCCTGCCGTCGCATATGGACAAATGTACGTTTTATTTCGTTGAAGAACAAAGGCGTTGATTTCTCCCGACTTTGAAGTAATTTCCACCCTGTCCTCCCTAGATAAGAATAGCGAGATGATCTCATACCCATTAGCTTCAGATTTCTTGATTGTTACATCGTGAGGAACAGAGGCGATCACTACCACTTGGTTTTGAAACGATGGGAGAGCATAAACATGCTCTATGCCATTGGGAAATAGCTGGGGTGAGTCGAAATTTAAAACTGCATACTTTTAACAAAGAGCTATTAGGTTCATCAGTTGATACAGGTAAATTGGTATAAGATAAATTAGAAATATGTACACTAGGTATCATACGTTTAGAAGGAAAACACTTGTCACTTAAACGAAATGTTTTGTGCTCACTTTCTCTAACAATACCTAAAGAGCAAAAGCTATCTAAAACAGATTCAATCGTAGGCTGCGAAGCCCTTACAAGGGAAAGCAAATGTTGTAAAGTTATGCAATGGTCCTTCTGACTCTAGAAATAAACGAGTTCCATTTCCCGTACATAAATGACACCCAGAATCCTGCCTGGTAGATCATCAATCGTTTCCACCTTTTCAGTTGAAGAATATGCATCCACCCCTGGTCGTTCAGACATATCCTTACGATAGGTCTATCCAACTCGGAATCAAAATAGAAATTTAAATTTTTATTCTAATTTTGGAATGACGGTTATTTGCATAAATTGAAGGACTTTGTGCAGTATAAACTGTAATTGCATTTTCAGCAAATTACATATTCCATTGTGAACGAAATACGATGAATTACAAATAATTTTAAAAGAACATATGTCGGCACAGTTCTAGAACACATAATCACAACATGTATATCACCGTGATGTGATTCGGAAAAAGGTAGTTTAGTAATAATCAAAGTGTAATCACAACAATAATGCAATACTCAGCGAGATCTGTAACTACACGCTCTATTTCACACATACAACTAGTAGATAATTAGTATCGTGGCATATCATTCAAAGAGTGACATAGATAGGCGATACAAATAAATCTAGTCGAGTGTTTAGAACAGAACGATAACATGTTGAACACTATTCTATTTAAAAGTACCTCTTATGAAGAGCTAGAACAGGAGCCAAGATAGCTCAGTTGGGAGAGCGTATGACTGAAGATCATAAGGTCAGGTGTTCGATCCACCTTCTCGGCGCTTTTTACTTCCATTTTCTTTTCCTTTCTCTCCTTTTAAATACTCTTTTGAACGGTTCATGATTTAAGTCAATTTCCCAGAAATGAATAATACATTTTCTTGCACGCAACTTTTTTTGTTAGCTGCGTTGTGTTTAGAAGGTATTTAGTGGATTATGGAGAATTTGGGGAAGAAATCTGTGGATCAACCCGATGCCAGGTCAGCTGATTGTTTAGGATCTGGTGCCATAATATCCACTTCAACAGAGAATGAACAAGATTGTGGAATATCCAGTTTTTGTGTAAACGAAGGTTCTGTTGAAAGTGCTTCGAATGTGTTTATGGAAGATAGTAATAGTGCAAATTCTGTGGATGATTCCTATTTGAGCTCTTCAAATGTGAATTATTCGGAATTCGATGAATTTCCTTTGGAGTCCATGCTCAGTTTGGATCATACGAAGGAAGATAATTTATCAGAAATTGGGGATTTAAGAGATGCTCTGTCGGTCGTATACTACCAGTATCTCTCGATGAGGTTGAAACTCCAGGGTGTGTGTGATAACTTAAAGTGTCATGCTTCAGAGAGCGAGGTGGTTCAATCTGCAGTGGCTGAAATTGAGGACATTCTGCATGCTCCCTCTGTCCTTCCAAGTGCCATTTTCCCTGAGACACAAAGCGATTTTTCGCCGCTTCCAAAGACAGAGAACAACTCACCACCCAGTCCTCCCGCATCCGCCGCGCCTCCCTCATCGGTTCCTATCGAATCCGAAATCACCTCGGAGAGTTCGATGCAAGAAGCAGTGGACGATCTGGAGCGCGCAGTCACCTACAACGGCGTGCTAGTGGACTCTCTGAAAGACCTGCAGTTGCTTTCCTCCTCCTATGAAGACGATCTTCGCCAGCGTCTCCAGATCCTCTACACAAACAACGTGCTGTTGACGTCGATCATCGACAGTAACAACACGCACACGTTCGAAATGTCCTCTCTGCTCTCCCAGAAATCGAGCGAAGTGCTATCGCTGCAGGACGAGCTCGCGGAGACGCGCTCGGAGCTGACTTCGCTCTCCGCGCAGTTCTCAAAGACATCGGAAGACGAAGTGGAGTCGCGAAGAAAGATCGCCTGGCTCGAAGAACTCACGAATTCTTTGCGGTTGGAGGTCGATTCGTCCTCGAAGCAATGCGAAGAGGACAACCAGAAGCGAATCGACGCGCTTACCAAAACCAATCTGTCATTGCAACAAGAAATTCGCAGACTGCGTGCAGGCGTGCTGATTTCGACAGCCGCTGGAGAGTTCAGCTCTGCAAACCCGAATGCGATCATCGCTTGCATTCAAGGGCTTACATCCAGAGTGGCTCTCGCGGAAGCCAAAGTGGAGACGGCTGAGAGGCGTTATCGCGTAAACAAACTACGAGAAGAGGAAACAGCGGTGGGGAAGCTTCGCAACGAGCTTCAAGTGGCACATCGCTGTCTCTCGGAGAAAGAGAGTCTTCTTCGTGAGTACAAAGTGAAGCTTGGAAAGATGAAGCAGAATGAAGCGTCCTATAAAAAGATCGTATCTGAGTTGCGAGTTCGCTTACAACAACGACAGAGCGAGTTAAAAGAGATATACGCATTTCTTCAAGGCCAGGTGTAGTGTAATAAAACGTACTATAGTTGAAAGAAAGTTGCTTGTTAAATACAGTCAATGATCACTCATAATCGGGACATTTCTTTCAATAATTGGTACGCAATTATATAAACGCCATCAATTCTTGGGGATTGAGTTTGCAACACTCTCTTATGTCGTCTAAGATATCAAAATTTTTACAATCTTTGACTGTAGCCCAGAGGACGAACGGTGATTTGTAGTCCAAGCCTAGTCGCAAAAACCAAAAGGCAGAGGAAAGAAAAGAAGGGAATAAGGAGGAGCTGCCGCCAAACGATCCAGTTCCACCTCAGAATCTGCCAGAAGTAAATTCGGAAGAAGGAAGTGATCCGCGCGCCATTTCGCGTGCTAGAAGATTGACTATTGTGGAAGATAGCAACACCTTATTTGATACAACTGACTTGGTAATGGACATCGAGCCCAAGCAGGACAGTGTGAAGGAAGAAGCTGGATTCGTGGGTGTGTTTGCAGGAAGAACTCAAAAGGGTTATGTGCCCTACAATCCGCACAAGGTTAACCAGGATTGGATGCTAATAAAGGATGACGTAGCTTCAGGCACGCTTATTCTTGGTACATTTGATGGACATGGTGAACATGGTCATTGTGTTTCTGAAGTAAATTCGTGCGATACTTTTAAATTATAGTTTATCTGCACTTCCTTCTATAATAATCTCATTGCCCATAGCAAATTTTTGTCGGATGTCAAGACCGCCGCCTTGGAGGCTCTCCAGAAGGCCGAAGAAGAATGCGTCAACAGTCCTTTTTTATTTCTCACTCTCACCCGCAGATCGCTTCATCAAAACAGAATTCAGTGGTACGACGGCGGTGATCTGTATCATCCGCGGCAGCCATCTCTACACGTTCAACGTCGGCGATTCGCGCGCCATTCTCGCCTCGGAGGTGAATGACGAGTGCATCGTGACGGAGCTGACCCACGACCACAAGCCATCGCTTCCAGAAGAGAAGGCTCGCATTGAAAACGCGGGCGGCCGCGTGTTTTCGATGGAATACGAGGACGGATACGACGGACCGGTGCGCGTGTGGCTGGCCGATCAAGACATCCCCGGATTGGCCATGTCGCGGTCTCTCTGCGATACGGTAGCACACTCTGTCGGCGTAATTTCAACGCCGGAGGTGTGCGAGCGAACATTGACGGATGATGATCGCGTGATCGTGATGGGTTCGGATGGACTGTGGGAGTTCATTCCGTCGGAGGAGGTGATTCATTTGATCGAGGATTGCGAGCAGCCGGAGGTAGGGGAGGGAGAGATGATGGAGCGTAGGAAGCGATGGAGCGGCTGTTTGCGATCTCGTGGAAGCGGTGGTTTGATGCGGAGAAAGTGGTGGACGACACGACGATTATTGTTGTGTTTTTAGGACATGCCGAAGAATAGCAAGCTGTGTATCATTTATGTGTAATCTCTGGGTTGTTTGTTGGAAATATGGGAATGAGAGGGAGGGAGGGCGGAATGTGTATAATTCACAACCTCTTTGGGTGTTTGTTGGAAATATGGGAATGAGAGGGAGGGAGGGAGGGATGTGTAAATTCACAACCTCTCTGGGAGCTTTCTACAAACAAACAAACAAACAATACCAAGCCACTAAAGCGGGATTGCATTCAGATCCAGATCCGAATCTGACGAATCGCTAGCGTTGTTAAAATCCTCTTTCTTCTCGAATTCGTTCCTATCATCCTTTTCCTCCTCTTCCTTCTTATCCAACGCGTTTTGGAACCGTTTAAAGCTATCCTCCAGCCCGAAGACCTCATCCTCATCCACCCTTCCCTCCATCGCCTCCAACTTCAGCTGCAGACTATCCGCCAAACTTCCCTTCTTCGTCCCCCTTCCCATCTCCCCATTCGGGTCAAACCCATCCATATGTCCCATAACCCCCATCCCATCATTCGGGTCAATAGGGCCCACAAGCTCCGGTACAGGCGGCACGATCGATGTGATCCCGGGAATCGCGGGGAATTCGGGCAAATCGACCATCTCCACTTCGTTCCCCACGCCAAAATCCGGGACTTTCACCACCTCGATCTCGTCGTTCTCCTCTTCTTCCTCCTTTTTTTCCGTCGGCAATTCCGCACTCACCGGCTGCACCATCACGGTGGGCACTGCCGAGCTTCCGCTGAGCATTTCCGGGAGCAGCCAGTCGGGGTGGAGCAGCGCGCGGAGCTGGCGAAGCAGGCCGGTTTTGGCCTTGGCGAGGCTGCGAACGACGCGACGAAGCGGCCCGCGGTACGGCTGAGTCTACGGGGAATGCCGAGGAGAGGAGCGACGTCGTCGACGTGCTGCTCGACGAAGGAAAGGAAGCCGGTGGAGAAAAGAAGCGCGCGCTGCTTGGCGTCCTGCTTCAGAACCTTGCGGAGCAGCTGGCTCAGATGATAGTGCAGCAGCGAACACGCGGAGAACCGCGGGAACAGCGAGAGAAGGTCGTCGAGAAGATGCTGGAGGTGAGGTGAAAGAGGGAAGGGAACGGCCTGCACGGCGGAATCGAATTCTTCGGGGGAGCAGCGAATCAAATAATAGCGGAGAAATTGGCCCAATCCCAGAATCGATTTGGGACATTTGGGGTTATCTCCGGAACGCTTCGAGTCAATGAAGGCATGGAGCTCCGGAAGAAACTCCTTCACCGCGGGGGAAACGCGCTGGATCTCCGAATCGCTAAGCACGTTTTTGAGGGCGTTTCGCTCCGTTTCCCACGCAGACATGAGTACCGCGTGCGTTTTCTTATTGGACGCTTCGTGCCCGCCCATTCCGGCTTCTGCTAGAGATAACCGCGGGGATGCATGCATGAACCTTCCTTCATGGAGTCCCAGAAAATCCTGGTGAGCACGCGGAAGGCGGCGTAAGCGACGTCCTCGCTGGGAGACGAGAGGGCGGTGCGAAGCAGGGAGCGGAGGGAAGACGAAGAAAGAAGAGGCGGGAGCACGAAGTCACAGGTGTGGATTTTGACCGGTCTAGAAAGGAGAAACGGGGAAAAGGGGAAACTCGAGGGGCAGACCGCGGGTGAGGATGGTGTAGAAGAGGAGCTCGATGTTCGGGGCACAGTCGGGAGAGGCGAGGGAGGAGATGAGGAGAGAGAGGAGATGATTGCTGTCATGCCACCAGGGACCTTCTAGAATCGATCCATCGCTGAGAGTTGAAGTTATAGGAGTGTCTAGAAGAATGCGGAATATGTTGACAATCGAGATTTTATCGAAATTTGATGCAAAGCTTGCGAGCAGGTGATCCGAATTGGTGGAAAGGTACTGGTAAAGCTCCTCGGGAACGATCGAAATTAGCTGCTCAAACATATTGAAGAATAAACCCTGACGACTACGCATCACTCCAAAAACCAAAGCATACAAAGCAGATATATCCTTGCTGAAGATACAATTAAACACACGATCGAACTGACTGTAATCAGCAAATAAAACCTTCATTGATGACTCAGGTAAAATCCACATGCAGACACTTGCCAAATAGGGAGCCTTATAGCTCTCAAAATCATCCATTCCCGGAGTGAGATCTAACAAAGTGCTAATTGTTAATGGACCGCATAAAATCCACTCCAACGCTGCGTTATAATATTTAGGCAGCTTTAAATACGCTAAGAGCTCAATATTTGTAAGACTTAAGTCCTCCATGATCTCGTTATCATGAAATAGATCCATCAATGATAGACTTTCATCCACTGGTATAGATATGTCTAGATCTATAGAGTAGACCCAAATGAAAGAGAATGTACCATTACTAGATTCATCGTAACTGTAGGGCAGCATTTTTAGATCTCCACGGTATATCGATAGCTGGTATTATTTTAACAAAGAACTTTACTAATTGGAATTACTAAAAAGTGATTTCATAATTATCATATATTTCAGTTCTTTATCCTTCATTAACAGCGATCATACATGCGCTCCGAATCATATCCGCTACCTTCCCGACATTCCGTCCCTCCTTCGCACTTATTGGAATAATCGGCAACTTCGTAACACTTTTCAATAATGCCAACCCCTTCTCGGCTCCTTCCTCGTCTATCTTGTTCGCTACGATGATTGTAGGTTTTCGGAGCAGTGACTCATCGTAATGCAAAAGCTCCTTCTGGATCTCCCTATAGACTTGATTCGGCAAATGCACGCTGTCAGACACATCGATTACGTAGGTCAGCACCTTCGTTCGCTGAATGTGTCTCAAAAAGGAAAAACCCAATCCCCGGTTGTTGTGAGCTCCTGAAATGATTCCTGGAATGTCTGCCACTGAAATCATCGAGGAATCCGAATACTGAATGTACCCTGCATGTCAGTTTGTGCAGCAGAACGTACCTACGAGCGGTCGAAGCGTGGTGAATGGATAGGCTGCGATTTTCGGAGCTGTTTTCGTGAGTTTACTAATCAAGGTGGATTTTCCTGCGTTTGGATATCCAATGAGACCCACTTCCGCAAGTTTTTGGGTTTGCAATAGGAGGGAAATCTCCTCTCCGGGCTCTCCTGCATTGTGATTCTCATCATGTTTGTAATAAGTCGCTTGGAGGCGGCGATCGCGGTTACTTCCCCAGTAGTGGAGATGGGAACGCTTCATTTTCTCATACCATTCGTGGTTGCCCTCTCCTCCCTTGCCCCCTCGGGCGACACAGAAAAGCTGCTTATCCTCTGCAAAGGACGTGTCAAACAATAGTTCCTTTATCATCTCACTGTTCTCATTGGATTGCGAAGATTGCGCTTTTTCGGACTCTCGAACCTGTAAAAAACGGGAGCCCATGTGTTGAATCATCTGTTCTTCAAAGGAAGCGCGAGCCTCGTTCTCCTGGAGTGAGTTTCCGGAAAAGTTTTCATTTTCGAATATTTTATACACTAACGTCCCTACAGGAACGTCGATAAACATGTCATTCCCTCCTCGGCCGTGCATACACTTTCCTTTCCCATTTTGTCCATCTTCCGCTTTGTACACGCTTTTGGGGAGGGTCAATGCGTCCATATTTGAGTTCACTCGAATATACACACTACCCCCTTTGCCTCCATTTCCACCCATGGGCATCATTTTTCCTGGTTTTATCACTACAAAATGAGTACCAACTCGAAAACACACTCAGAAACGAAGACACGCCCCTTCCTCCCGATCCTCCGATCGCCCGAAGAGTAATCGTGTCGAAAAACATCTGCTTCTTTGTAAATACTTTCGTAGAATACTTCCTCACCAAACCAAGCATTTCGACTGAAAAACGAAAGTATTCTTGTATTTCAATAATACTTTTCATGAGATTATTCTCGTTGTTTTCAAAGGAAAAACTAGATATAGACACATTTGAGGGATGGGATAAGCGTATGCAACAGATTTTAGATGTCATAGTCATTTTGCCGTTTTATGTGTAGAAAATTGAGTACGCTGCAAAAAGAAGAGATAGATTGCACTCGCGGATGCGAATTCAATCGTTTTTGCAATGGCTGCCGTTGGTGTTAATCATTGGAGAATTGTTCGTTGTTTATAAATGGGATATGGAGATTGATATAACAGTTCAATCGTTTTTCGCGGCGAATGCTTGCATTTTCGTATTTTTTAATGCTTTGTATATATTGTAGTTGTTGATACGGATTCTACTCTATGTTGAAAGGATTCAATTGACAACTATTCAAAAGAAGGGTGCTGAGCTAGTAGCCGAAAAATCCGAACATATTAACCATCTTTCCGTACTCTGCTGTGGATTGCCATTATCAGTAGAAAGTGAGAGCGCGCATCACGGAGATTACCCAGCTCCTTGTGAAATACGGCATTGATTCCGCGTATTTCAACACTTCGCAGCTTGAAGACATGAACAACACAATTTCCAAGCTGCTCGAAGTGATTCAAAAGTTGATTGAGCTTCCTCTCTGCGCTGATTGTCGCTGCTACACACACGACGAAGTGCGTTTTCTCATTTCTTTTCGAATCGTAGCGTCTTGAGATCTTGAAGCTGCTTCCCAAGCCGTTGCGGAAACAGTTCGAGAATGTGGAGCCGCGTAAAATGGAGGAAATGTCCAAGCCTCTGGACGAGAAGCGTACTGCTTGGTGGAGAGAGTGACGTGTAGTGATGTCCCTGCTGGACAAACAGGAAATAAAGCCGAAGATCGTGAACGTGATGCTGCTGGACAATGAGGAACAGAGCAAGGCGAATGAAGACCTTATTATCGAAGAGATCAATGATAATGAGGAGGAGGAAGAAGAAGAAGAGGAGAAGGAAGAGGTTGAAGGAGATACAGAAGAAAAGATTGAAGAAGTGAAAGAAGAAAAAGAAGAATCAGAAGAAGAAGAAGAAAAGGAACTCTTGTCAGAAGGATTGCGTAAACGGAAGAAATCTGCACAATTCCCTGTTTTCTCACAAACACGAAACAAATGATCGCTATCACTATCTAATTCGAAAGTAAGCATTCCCTTCTTTCGTTTTGGCTCTGGAGCTTTGGCGGGGGTCACACGTTTCTTCCCTGTATCCTTTTTGGATGAAGCAGCTTGCGTTGTCTTTGACGGAACTGCGGTTTGGTTCGCGACAAGCTTCTTGGACAACTCATGAACGAGTGCATTTGTCTTGTTGGACATAATACGACTCTTCTTGATTTCCTCTGCTCTACAGATTATCATCACACTACAATTCTCACTTCGTCGTTTGTGATTCCTCTCTTGATTCCTCTTTCTTTTCCTCCTCTTTCTATTACGTATCAAGACGCAAATAATAAAATATCTACATCCTTCAGATCCGAAAAGGTTTGCTCGTCGATTTCGTCATAGCCGCTGTCTCTCTCCTTACGCAGCTGCTTACTAAATACAGAGTTTTCTCCAAGCATATCCTTATATCCTTGGAGAAACTTGGGGATTTCCAGACTGCACTCGAGTTCCGGTCCTCTCCTTCCTCTCGGCTGTTTATTCGGTGGCATATCTCAACAAACAACCCAAAAGCAAACAACTTAGAGACGAATCTGGTAATCTCCGGACCGCGTCATATATCGGACCCACTTGACGGTCTGGTAGGAGCTCTTCTCATACACCTTCAAGAATCGGACATGGAGTCCGGAGGCAGTGAAGGAGGGCACGGCAAAGATGATATTGATGGGGGGCTTGGACCAGACCTTCTCCGTGGTCATCTTCAGCATCTTCACCTCCGCGGCGAACGTGACCTCCTGGCCTCCGGTGAGCTTTCGCAGCGTCCAGTCGATGGTCTGGTCCTTGGCGTTGTAGGCGGCGGTGCCGAAGGCGGCCTTGGGCATCACATTGGCGGTGTTTGGCGGGACGGGGAGCTTGATATCCACGTTCTGCGCCGAGACCTGCTTGCTGAAGTTGGCGATCACCTTCACGTTGATCTTCAGCGTGGTCCCGCTGATCTCCTCGTACACCGGCAGGATGCGGAACGGCAGGTTGATGTTCTCCGTCACGCGGTACTTCATCAGCTCGAACTCTCCGTCGGGCGGAATGAACGTGATCGTGCGGTCCTGGTCGAACCGGCCCAGCCGCACGCACCGGTGGAACGAGCAGTCGTCGATCTCCACGCCCGCGCCCTTCCCGCGCCGCTGCCCCTTCGCCTTCTTCTCGTTCGAGATCAGCAGCTTGTCGTTCAGGCCGAAGCGGCACTCGGGCATGCCCGTCAGGTACGCCTTCATCACGATCTTGCCCACCACTTCGCTGTGCAGCACCGCGCCCGTCTGCGAGATCAGCAGGTTCACGCTCTCCAGCGTGTCGATGAAGATCTCGTTCTTGCGGTACGTGATGCCCTCGCGACGCCTACCCTCAACGCCATCCCCCTTCTCTACCAATCGATCGCTCCCGTCACCTGCGAGGTAATGCTGCTCGCGTCCTCCTCCACAGCGTCGTTCGCCTTCCCCAGACGAATCAGCTGCTTCATCAGGTCGATCGCGCAGTTCTGCGGGTATCCGTAGTCCAGCACTTCTGCATGTTACGCAAAGAGGGAAGATCCACCATCGAAGATTTCGTACACCACAGAGAACTTCTCACGAAGGTCGTCCTGCATGTTAGATCCGCGCTTCTGCATCGCCTACAGCCTTGTAATCCACGCCGAAGTAGCTCTTGAACATCTTCACGAGATGGAAAAGGAAGTGGAAAATCATGCCTGCCAGTCATCCCGATCCACCGCGTCCTTACCGGGAGAAGCGTTCTTCTTCGTTACAGCGACAATGTAGTGGTCACTGTTGCGGACATAGATGAAGGTCGTTCCGTCAATGTACGTAATAGGAGGATTGCTTCCAGTATCCTTCTTTGCAATAACGTTTGTTCGGAAAGCATCGGCGCTCTCTTTTGTCACGTCACTTCTATCCACTCAAAGAAGGATACTGCAAAATACCGATAATAACGAGACACGATGTTCTTTCCCTTTGCATCAATCAACAACAACGCGCTGATCATCTTATATCTATGTCTATTTAGGATAAGATTAAATGATCAAAAGATTGCAAACAAATCACACGATCTACCTTTTTTCAAGCAATAATGCTTGTATCAATGAAACCCAGGGGGTCCAAATGAATAAAGATTGTCGTGGGAAATGAGATGGATGATTTTGCACCCCCACCCATTTAGCGAAAATCAGGATTTTCTCAATAAACGTTGTTAAGGAATAGATATGCTATATGAATTATGAATAGAGTTGTATAGTAGCGGAGATTGATAGAATATTAATTGATTGTGAGAGAAGGTCATCATTATGGAATTGTATATGTATCGAATGAAAGGGATGAGTGTAATAAAGATATAGGATACAATAGAATCAAAAGTCGAAATTGAGTCGTTTTTTTTGTCAACCCTATTTTTCTCAATATCGAGGGAATGGAAGCATCTCAAACGCTGGAACTGGAGTGATCGATTCGAATTGAGATTATTCCGCTGGGGAACACGCATGATAACGAAACAGCGGCAGTTCAACATTGCCTTTCTCTAACTGAGTAATAAACATGAATATTTATGATATACAGAGCTGTGAAATTGTAGAGTAGTCTAGAATTTGAGATTTACTCAACTGGTTACAAATGGAGAAAAATGAGTCGAAATGAATGTACTGCACAAAGTAATAAGATGAATGAATACGAAATTGATCATCTACCTTTTCGGAGGACTAACAAAAGGAAATCGACTTGAGATGAGATTTTGATTCATTTTTTGTAATCCACAAAAAGAGATTGTTTTCCTTTACCAAGTTCCTCGTCTGTATATAGTTCAACAATCAAACATCGTAATTCTTCCTTATAGTTGTATTATTGAAATAAACTCTTTGGTTATGTTATAAGTGCAGAATTGCCTGCTATTGTTTTTCTATTTTTGTGTCACAATCAATACGAAATAACCTGTCGTGTTAAACAAACCAAAGAGCAAAGTTCTGTAATATTGACCATTTGTATGTAAGCAACCATCAAATTCATAAATGCTAATAAGCTTGATTATTGTTTACAACAGATCGGTCCATTTCGAAGAAACATCTAGTAATGACAAAACCAAGCTAGAACTACTCGAAATTGATTTCTTTTTAACAAATTGAAATGAATAAGGTAGTTTGACATTTTGAAGATTTGGAATATCTAAATACTATCAATATTCAATATTCAGAAATACTTGCCAATGTCACCCAACGAGGATACTTGAAACTATATTGTACAGAAGTTATTGATGTTAGATTTGGAAGATCTACAAAGTAAATCATAACCAATCAGTTTATTATTACTTCGAAGTGTCAATGTATTTAAATAATCATTTCTTCCAAAAAGTGCACCATAACCGAGTTGAATGGATTGTAATGATGGAAGATCTACATCAATCATTTCATTCTTATTCATTCAATACTTTCCATTATTGTTGTTAAGGATCTATAGAATGCACGATCACCTAATGTAATGGATTGTAGATTTGGAAGATCTATGCATCATTCAAACATTCAATATCATATCAATACCTCGAACCACAAATGAACTACAATAGAAATTGTATGAATCACTCCAAGTTATGCCAATTTGAATGGATTGTAATTGTGGAAGATTCTTCAATTCAAAGTCGCCAGCAAAATCACTGAAACTCCATTCACCAATTTGAATCGATTCCAATGATTCACAATTCAATATGTGGAATGATTTCGATTCATCATTTCCCCAACTATACCTTTTCTGAGTAAATGAATTGTTTCCGATTTTGATAGTTTTCAATCGATTCAATCCATCAATTTTGAATGTTTTCACTGAGCCAAAACAATCATTGTTAATGTTTATTCTTTTCAGAAACAGGTTATTGGATAATGCCAATACTGGGATATGATTGTAGTGAAACGATTCAATTTCCAGCGACGTTTGAAAAAAGCCAATATATATTGAAGAATAGCAAAAAATCACATTGATAACCATTATTATGATATTAATTATTAACAAAAATGGTAAAGAACGATATATAACATAAAAGGTGAAATGAATCATTGATTTTATAGATATGTCATATGCATTAAACATGAGAGTTATACTTCTTACTAATCTAAGACATGTATAGAAATCAATATTTCTTAAATAGAAGCGACAGAAATCCCTTCGGTTTTGGCTTAACTCATAAATAACCGTCAATAAAATAAGCACACACATTGGAATAAATAAGATCCTCAACACCTTTAATAGTATTATGGCAATGAATATAATACTGAGTAATACCCACAACAAGTGGATACTATAATATCCTTCGGTCCATTTACTCTTTCCTGTTGGTTGCCCATTCATATATACAATTCCTAATCCGTGCCGTTTTCCATTTTTATATTCTCCCTTAAAACTCCTCGTTATTCCATCTGAATTAAATTCTTCACCGCAGCCATTTCTTGGATAATTATGAATAAAGGAATCTAAATACTCTCCCTGGTATACTTTTTGCTTGTTCTTGAATTCAATCATTTTGTCATTACTAAACTGTTTCCAAATATTGACTTCCTTGTTTTCTTTCCAAATACTTATTCGGGCTATTTTTCCATAATGATAAATATAACTAATCCCTTCATAATTTCCAAAATCGTCAATTTGACATATCCGAATCAAATTGCCACTTTCATCATATTCTTTCCAATATCCTCCTCCCATTTCTGATAATGGCTCTCTATTTAATTTAACACCTTTCGAATAATAACCATCCGATATCAAATTATCGTATTCATCATATTCCTTTCCTCTTCCTTCTTGATATCCATTCACAAAATAGCCTTCAAACCAGGTTTTACGATAATCATTATACAATTTGTAGTATCCATTATAGGCTATTTCAGATCCATTATGCCATATACAGACTCGATCCAAATTGTGATCTTCATCATAACAATAACAAAGTCCTGCATTATTTCCTAAAACATCTTTTTGACAAACTCGAATCAATTGACCATTGTCATCGTATTGTTTCCAGTATCCCCTTCCCATTTCTCTTGACGGTTCCATATTTAATCTTACACCTTTCGAGTAATATCCACAAAATACTAATTTTCCATTTTCATCATATTCCTTCCCTATTCCTTCTCGATATCCATTCACCATAAACCCTTCAAAAAACAAAAGCCCATCATCATCATATAATATGCAGGGTCCGCAAGCAATTCCATCCATAAAATATAGGGCAGCTATACGTACATTACAATCAGAGAAAATAGCAGCTATTCCATTCATTTTGGAGTTCCTTATAGTCGTTGCAATACTGTAACCCTCATGAGGCTTCGCCACTTTAATCGCAACCAAATCTGCATTGGCTAACTCACACTTAACAGGAAACTGCTCAGAGACATTATATTTCCAGCAATACCCTCTTTCCGTAATTTCCTTTTTGTCAACAATTGTCGAACTGAACTCGATACTTGACGCTGCATCATTTTTCGTAAACAGAGAATCCATTCTATTTGAAAAAAACAATTTTCAATTGTAATATGGTTTTGTATTTATGGTAAAATGATATTTTGTAATATGTCAAAATGTAATTCCGAGGTATTACTTGTGTTTACGTTATTCTGAATAAGTTAATTGTAATTTATGCATACTACGGGATAATATAATCGATAATATGCTCCGAGTTCAATCGAGATCAACATTTCACGGAACTCGTTGTTTGTTCGAATGTAGCAATCTATCTTGAGCCACCATTTTGAAAATAAACTGTGATAATTCAAGTTGAGATTTTGCCGATTCTTTATTGAAATGCCTTGTAATTTACATTATTATAATTAGGAACTCAATTGTATTTCAGAAATTGGAACAGCCTACAGCTCACCAACACTATCAAAAATACTATGGAGTGCTACTGAATACTTAATATTACAAGAAAAATGTATCAACCCATTCAATATCTGTTCCTAGTATTTGTCAATCACAACTCTCACTCTATGCATATCGATTCCGTATGCAGTGATCATTATAAAGCAACCCTATTTAAAATGGCTTTAATATTGAGCTTATTCATAATCTATTTTTGGAATGGTATTCTTCGCGTTCTACAATTCTAATCTTGTAGGCAAACCAGGCTACAAAGAAGAGAGAAAAGGAAAACGCAGGAATCGTTCGCTATGTGCAAATCTTTCTCATCGCTATTAACGTACAAATTTTTATTTGCTCTCACTTCAGCTGTGGTTCTTCATCTATAACATAGTGTTTTTAAGGGGTAAATATTTGTCCTTTGGAACTCTCTTTCTTTATGCTATTCATGTGTCGGTACAGGGAATTTGTTACTACATGATCATGGAAAATTGCAAGACAATGGTTTTCACTGAAGCAATTGAAGGGTTGTTTTTTCACTCCTATTTCTACTATGCAGATACTTCGGGGATATGTTCATTATATCATGCGTTATCTCCTTCTTCATAGCCTACTCCAGAAAGTGGATGTGGGTTTACATATTTGTATATTTACGGACGGTCTTTGAATTAGATTCCCATCTACTTCGGCTACTTAGGAATTCGTTTGCTGCTCAACTGGGTGTTTACTCCTGACGAATCTCCGGAAGTTTGTGATTTCAGACGGTCTAAATATGTAGAAACTAGAGGAGATGAAGAGCAACCGTCAGAAGAAGAGAGAGGCTAAGATGGCAAAACAGAAGGCAAATTGAGTTGTTTGTTAGTGAGAGTTTTGATTGTTGATTAGAGCACGTTTGCCCGAGTGGTCTAAGGGGGTGGATTCAAGTCCCACTGTACGGAGTACTCGTGGGTTCAAATCCCACAGCGTGCATTTTTCTTTTTCTTTCTTACTATTTTGGTTTTGGTTTTCCTCTCAAACAAACACGCCCATCAACTTTGATTCCATATTTTTTCCACTAACGAGCGGTTCGCTTGCTACAACTCATCCTTCTTCTACAAAAACTACATTGCAATGAGTGCGAAGAATGTCCTGAATGACCAACGATAAAGAAACGTGCTTTAGGTATTGCGAAGATGAACTCCTCAAAAACTTGCATATCGAAGATAAGTATTCCATTCGAGCTCCCGATTCCCTGGTCATCACCTCGTCCAGGCAGTTTTTCACTTCTTGCAGAGAGAGTGGCTCAGACTCTTCTTGGAGCGAGACTGGACTGGATTCTTCTTGTTTCGACGGAAGAACACGGCGCAATTCAGTCATGTCGGATAGGACTAAATAAGTCATATTGGCACGGATGCGATCGGAAATAAAGAAGCACTCCGTGCTATTCGAATCCTGATATACTACGGGAGAATCTCCATATTCGGGAAGTTCGTTTTGGTAGGGAGCCGGAAGTGCTATGTTAAAGTATGCACAGTATTTGGGTAATAGGCGGGTGTCACAAGAACCTTTGACGTACAACACACCACGTACAATGTTTTTCTGTTGTGTTACATCATTCATGAGGAATACAAGGTAATCTGAATCATATAATGTGGAAGGTTCCTCTTCGAAGACAGAGGGTTTGAGCTCGACAACATAGTCGGGCAACTCTTCATGTGGGGCTATATGCACCTTTACTTTGACTTCGAAAAAACGCTCGCAGAGAATACGGGTCTTTTTTCTTGGAATCGTTATCTGAAGGAGTTTCGGGAGAAGCAGATGCCAAACACTTTGACTCGGTACTACATCAATAATTCGCAAAAAACTTCAAACTACTTTACACATTCACCAAAAGATCTTCTCACAAGTTGATAGAATCCTCCCCGTGGTACTCGCCCTTCACCTTAGCCAACATAGGTCGAATCATACTTGCAACAAACATAAAAATTATGATTACACGATTACAGACTCAGGCTTGGAAACTGGCGTGTAAACATTGATTAAACTCTCCGCAACATCATCATAAAACATACTACACAAAAACGAAGCGTTCTTTCCCTTTGATCGAGTGTCCATTATTCTCTTTGTTGTCGAAAAGCACGGATAAAACACCAGAGAAACCAAAATAGAGGCCAGCGTTCCAAAAACAATGCCACCAATCACATCTTCCGGACGATGTCGATAATCAAACTACACATCACGGAGATTTTCAGTCCGCACGATGCGACTTCCGAAAATGAAACTGCACCAAACAACAAACGGCAGGAGAATGACCACTTTCAGAATCCGAGTGGAATACTGTTTCCATGCGAAATGACTGTCCACAAACCGGAAAAATAAAAGAGTGAGCGTCACGAATGCGTTGGCTGCAGTCGCAGAGTGACCCGAAGGAAAGGACCGAAAGGCGTTGAAAATGTCATGTTGCTACAGAGTAATTGTAGAATAGAGAAACACACTGTCCCATGGCACTTTGTTACATTTCCCAATACACCAAAGGTACCGAAAGTGCGAACTATCTCTCCGGAAGAGAGCACCGTCTCGACCTTTTCGTACTGGCATAACTCAAAGAAGCAAGGACGAGGTCTGCCGATGAAGTTCTTCAACGTGACGATAAAAATCTCGCTGACTGCATAGGAACGGGAGGCAAGATAGAGGATATCATGAACCCACTAAAATCAAGACGAAAGAACTCACGTACGACGGAAGCATCTTTCGGACGACACACTATGACAAACAAGCATAAAAGAATGGTGGGAACAACGTAACAATAAATAATCACGTATTTGTATCTATGCCATCAGTTCAATATGACTATGCTCCATACGGCACTGTATCGTGAACAGAGTACGATAAAGCCAAATCCCCTTCAAAAAACTCGGTATACTTTGGAGGAATGTTTTCGATCCAATAGGTTGATAATATGAGTATTAGGGTCAAAATCCACCCCGCAACCAACTGTCTGGAGATTTGGAGATTCATATAAACAAACAATGGGGAACACGTACGATTTTGCTAGGAATAACATCGGAATAGTACATTACAATAAAGAAGACTTCCATGTAGAGTATTACAATTGGTGAGAAACATCCATCATGTTGGAAGTTTTCAAGATTCTCCTTTTTCGATTAGAGCTAGGATTTGTTCAGCACGCAACTATGGTGTTTTCAACTATGATATCTTTTTATGTGTAAGAAGAAAACTGAATAATGTTTTCTATCTCATTTAGTTTTAAATTGCAGTGTGTTTCGATTATTTGCATTCAAATATTAAAATACTTGTGAATATAGGCTTGATGACAAGAACAATCTTATGATCGTCTTTTCAGTGTGATATTTCAATTTCATATATAATAGCGAACGTTCCACCATAATTATAATTCAAATAGCAAGTTTCCCTGATTCGTGGAATTCATGTTTTTCGAGAATAATTCAAATAGCGCATATATAAGGTAATGATTTCTATGTAAAATTATCGGTCCCATGCTATATTATAGCACAGTAGAAAAGGAAATCCAGAAGGAGAAACTCGAATTGTTCCATGATTATGATGCTAATTACTGTGGTGACTTTTGCAAAAATGAGTAACCCTAAAATACCAATATTGAGAGAATATTGATTGTTATCACTATATCTGAAGATAAACAGGAAAGAGAATGTCAAATAGGCAGAGTGGAAAAAAACGAGCACATCGTGAAATGTCTTGAGTTGATATACCAGAAAATCAAACAGTCACAAAGACAAAAAAAGAAATAATCTCAAATGAATGAATGAACACGAGAAAATTGAAAAATGAAAAAATGTCCCAATTGATTCCTATTGGCTGTAAGAAATTAGTTACCATTATTGATCAGCATTTGCATTTATATTTCCGACGGAAAAATTTTAACTATCGTGAAGGAGCAAATTAATGTCATTGATTAAGTGCGCCTATTGCGGGCGTGCATATCCATTTTATGCATTCTACGATAGTGGAACCTCTCAATACTATCCCGCTTGTTACCAGTGCAGATCCTCTGCTTTTGCTAGTAGAATAGCGCGATTTCTCTGAAACATAGAACAAGAATCGGTGACATCGGTATCTATGTCAAGCAGCAGTAATAAAAGGCAAAACGTTGGAGACAGTGTACCATCGACACGCAAGAAATTGGCAACTTCTCTTAGTTCAGATTCTGTTGTTACTCCTAAGGGAATTGGCTATCAACCGAATTCAGAGTATCCATCTGTGGTCCCACGATCTGTATGGATCGTTTCAAATGCCAAATCGTCAAAGAAACAAAAAGTGGAATATTTTGCAGCTACCCTTTTGTATCATCGGAGTTATATTCCTATTCAGAGCCATCCAGGATCAGGAAACTCTGCTCGTGTATAACGCTCTCTTTATTAAAACAAACCACCACGACTAAAATGGAGTTCTAATCATCTCTTTCACTTTCCTCGTCTTCCTCCTCCTCGTCCTCCTCCTCCTCGACATCCTCAATCTCCTCTTCCTCCTCCTCCTCTTCCTCCTCCTCCAGCGACTTGACGAACTCCAACGCTTTCTGAGCCGCTTTGCGCGTCGAGCGAACGCCCGGCTTCTCATCGATAATGAATTCGCGCGCCTTCTCCTCCTTCTTCATCAGGGTCTCCTCTCTCGCCAATCGCGTCTCCTCCTCGTTCGGATATTCCCCCGCCCAGCTGCGATTCAGCTCGTGCAGGCGGCGGATCAGCTCCTTCTCGCGCTCTCTCATGTCCTCGATCTTTCCTAAATTGCGGAAACAACGCGGACTGCCATTTAGGGAACTCCAAAAATACACACCCCAGTTTCAGAGCGGTCGTGTAGGCGCGCAGCGCTTTCATTCCCGCTGATTCGTTCGCAACAATTTCGCGGCGACTTGGTCTCTTCACAACTTCGACCTTTCTTCGCTTTATGCGAGAATACTCCTCCTCTTCCTCCTCCTCTTCGCTGTCGTGTGTGTCTGCGCGTCTTCCGGACTTGCGTGGCTTCTACTATTAAGGGAACGGCAAAACACCACAGGAGAGTCTTCATCAGAAAACCAGTCCTCTTCCTCCTCTTCCTCCTCTTCGATGTTGTAGTCCTCCTCGTCGTCTTCTTCCTCAGCCTCTTCCTCCTCCTCCTCTACCTTCTACACATGAACGAAAACAAGAAGAGTGCTACGGGGTTCTTCTTCGAGCGAACATTAGTTCTCTCCTTTTCTCCTTCAGGCTTCACCAAAGTAGACTTGGCAACAGAAGCAACTTTAGCCTGTGTCTCTTTTGGTTCCTCAGCACTAAATATTATTCGCCACTATAGAGCGATATACGGAGGATTCGCTGGGTTCGCCTCAGCGACAGGATTCGAAACCGCAGGATTATCGACAGTTGGAACTTCCATTCTCACAGGCTATTGACCCTAACTGTAAGCAACCAATTATGAAGAGGAAGTACTTCTTTTGATGTATATGAGAGACTTAGATTCAAATAGAGAAATTGATGAGAACCGCGGGAATTGTGATATGAGGTAGGATTGATTGGTTCTCCTTTTAATATCCCTCTTTTGCTCCATTGGGGAAGCATAGTCAAATTTCTCACTTTTGCTCTTGACAGGGAGTGAGGGGATGAGCATCGAAGATGCGTGCTATCGCGGAATCTCGCTATATCGCTGGCGTCTAAAAGCAGGTTTGTGGAGAAAACACGTCATTTTGTCAAAACTTCAAAAACCATTGACTCCAACTTCTGGATTAGTTGATTCCATGTGGAAGAAGGATCGTCCTTGGTTATGCTTTTCAATATTGCGACTATTTCCTGAACTCCAAAAACATCACACTTCATCCTCTCTTGCGCCAACTTCTACATTACAATAATAACAATATATTCAGCACACATACGCAGATTCCCTCCATCGCTTCCACGTTCAGCTCATACGCATCGACATACTTCTTCACCGCGAAGTACCTCTCTTTATCCATCATCGGAGCCATGAGGTTCTCTACGAACCCCACAAACACTCTCTTCTCCTCCTCCCCTTCCGCAAACCTTCGGAACAGTCCCTCGAACTTCGCGGGGATTTCGCTCCCTTTCTCCAAATACGATCGAAGCATTTCCTCCTGCAGCCCGCGAGGCAGCATCCGAAACACCTCCAGATCCAAGCTGGCCAGCGGAGGCAGATCGATCATGGGAGTTTCAGGGAGCGGGTGCGATCGATGTTCGTTTAGAAGCCGCGTGATCGCGCTTTCCTCCTTCCTCGCAGTCGCCTTCTTTTTTCGATGCGGCGATCCAGCAGAGCGGTTTTGCGCGTTGAAATAATCGCGGATCGGCGTGGCAGACGCCTCGGAAGACAAGCTCCGCAAGGTCAACCCAAAGCCCCGAACGTCTTCCGGCGCGACGCGCAGCGATTCCCAGAGCGAGGTCGCGTGCTCCAGCAGTTTCTCCGAGGGGATGAGCGAGCTGGAATAGGTCGAGCTAGCGAGAATGGAGAAAGGAAAAGGGGAACCTCAGAATATCGACGGGTCCGTGACCCAAATGCTTGACCGTCGTGGAGCCGGAGATCTTCTTATAGAGCTTCAGAACGAGCTTGCTGCCCTGGACCTTGCGCGCGGCCGCTTTGTCGGCGAGGAGAGAACACAGCGAGCGGAGATAGCGGAGAACGTCGTTTCGGTTGGAGCAGCGAACGCCGTAGGACAGCTGAATGCTCACACTTTTGAGTTCGGAGACCACGGAGAGCAGGCGAGAATCGACTCCATTGGCGAACTGGATGAGAGTGCTCGCTGTTTTGGGACCGACGGTGCGAGTCAGCAGCTCCTTCTGATCAGAAAAGTGATTGGAAAGGAACTCGATCGCAGACTCGCAACTCTTGACAGGTTCGAATTCCGATATCGGAAAGCTGCGATTTCAAAACATGGCCGACTCCCGGGAGAATCTCCACACCGCTCTCATCGAGTCGATTCTTGGATTCGTTCATCGGAATATACACGATCCCGTTGGGTTTGGCTCTAGTTCAAAGCCTCGCATGAACACTACAACTTCGTGGCAATTCGACTCATTAAGAGATTGTGGCCAGCGCCAATCGAGCAGGAACAGCCAGTTTGCGTTTCGATTTGCTTTCTACAGTGCCAAACAAACAACAAAAACGACTTGATCCACTCCAGCTTGCTCATAAACGATCCCTCGCCCAGAAAAACGGAGAGGTCGCAGTACAGCTCGTCGCAGCTCCCAATTTCGATCAAGGGCGTTACTTCCAACACGATCGAAACCACCTTCCGCGAGATCTTTTCTTTCACCCGCAATCTCGATCCCTACTTCGCGAATCCGATCCGATTCATAAGGAAGAATCACCAAATCGGGGCAGAGTTCTTTGGCTCGACCCATCCACACTCCTTTAGTAACTCCACGCGAACGAGCCACATAATTGCACGAACTCACTTCGCTATGGGGACTGACGATTAGGCACGACATGCAGAGCTACCTATCACTGCTAGCGACCGCACAGGGACGGTCGCGAAGTTCGGGACGCGTTAAGAGAGCGACTTGAACGAAATAGCAGTCCATGTCGATGTGAGCATAGAGACAATTCGCTCCTGGAGAATCTATTTAGAAGGAATAGGTGATAATTAACGAGGAGGAGGTTGATTTGCTTCTAAATAGTGGAAGGCAACCAAATCTTGCAAGTCATGTTTGATTTGACCCATCAAGTGGAATCGGCTTTTTGAAAAGACATGTTGGGGTGTGTAGGATTCGTTTGGGAGCGATTTTACTTGAAAGGAATCTATGCAATCGATTCCATGTTGAGACGTGCATACTTTGGATTGTATTCTTTGCGCTAAATAAACTAAATGATGATTCGTTTAATCTCTTCCCCGAAGAGACACTTTCGGTTATCCATTCCGGTTTTACAATGTATAGGTTTTTCAGCGACTGGCTACGTATCAAAATTTGGGTGCAAGGTATACAGAGACTTCTTCTTTGCAAGAGATACGTTTTCGGCAATGTAATGGGTGATCTTTGCTCCGTACATAGCAGGTACAAAGCTCCCTCCATGGTTACATATCATTTGACGCAGCACCAGATATGAGGTTTCTGTACTTCCATCAATATATGCGCAAACGCCTTCAAAGATGGAGGATTTTTTCCTAGGATTTACAGTTCTCCAAAATGACACACTCCCCTTCAAAGCTTGTTTGCTCGACGATTCTTTTGTTTTTATGAGCGAAATAGTCCCCTCGTGTCCACATTTGCTATTCACAACAATCCATTATTACAACAAACAAAACTATTTAAAAGGATTTTGATTCAGTCCTCCAGACCGTCTCTTCGGAATTTCATAAGAAGTCTCATCACAGAGGGTATTTCCGTTCAAAAACACTCTCTTTCCCTCACTCACTCCCATCACTTCAAAAACCCGCCCATTTTTAACCACTTTCTTCACACAGTTTTGGCAGGTAATCATATAAAACACATCCTTCCCTTCCAGCAACACAATCCCTTCAATCCCCACATCCTGCGGCATCGATGATCGAACAACTAAATTGATTAAATGAGCATCAAAAGAAAACCTCTCAAAATCGAGCCTTCTTTTGGAATTGACAGAAGCACAGAATAGCCGCTGCTACGTGAATAGATCAGAAAAAGTACTCATACGATTTGGCTTCCGAAAGAAGCATCTTAGAATAAGAAAGCCACTGCTCGTGCATGAAAAGATAATCGTTATATCTCACATTAGAAGAGTGGAATTCATGTACTTTATATCTGGAGGAAAACTAATGGAACGCAGTTTGTTTCTCTCCCTGCAGTTTAAATATTCACAGCGGGTCGTAGAAAACCGAGGTTTCTTCTTACGCGCAGAGCTTGCGCGCCTTTCCTTCGTATTTCGCACTGAAAAAGCCATTTTTCCATATTCTGTTAGCGTGGAATTTGTCTTAATCTGAGAGCTATCGTAAAAACATACGAATTTCTGATTGGCTCCATACAGATTGATAATCGCAGAAACCATATCCGTTCCACTCACATTTGGCTAAATTCTATTAGGAAAGAAAGCAATACTGCTTGCTTATAGACGTCTCGTTGGAGTGACAAGGGAATCGCTCGTAGCTTACATTCCTCATTAAAGGACACGACCCTTCCACGATAGTTTACGCTATTTAACAAAGAGGGTTTGGAGATAGGAGAGGGAGACTTGGATTGTTGGATGAGCTCCTTACTTGGTTGTTTGACAGTAATAGACTCCATGCTTTTTTCATTTTCTTTCATATGTATTGACTTTGGAAGAAGAGGTCCTTGTGGCATATCTGATTGCTTCTTCTTTTTTTCTATGGTTTGGACTATATAAAATAAATGTTTCCCATTTGATTCGTACCTGCCTTTCCAAATTGGCGATCGAGCTTAGCTAGAACATCTTTTGTTTTCTTTTTGGTCTTTATTCGTTTGCTCTTGTCCATTTCCGATATATGAAGAAGGGTAGAAGAAACGAATGAGTGAATGAGAAGGAAAATAAGTGGTTTTATTTGACTATTAAATAATAAAAATAATAGAGGACAGTAATGAATTCCGAAAAGTGATGCTCGAGAAAACAAATAGTGTGCTGATAAACACTGATCGTGTGATGAATCCACCAAATCTTTTTAAATTACTACTTAGAGATTTCGATCTGATAGGCAAGAATGTAAGTGTTTCTAATGACTGTCAGTATTTTGAATAGAGTAATGTAAACTGTGTGGTGATTGGCTAGTATTGTTGACAATTGACGAAAGAAATATGATGGGGTTTTGCATAGTGTTGATAGCATCAAGAACAACTAGATATCATGTGTTCTTTATATCTTTGAATGCATTATTATGAATGTATGATGATAGGAATATAGATAATATTATCTATGTTGAAGTTTACTCATAATGAGAGTATGAATCAAATACTATGTTCGTTAACAATTTGAAACATAAAATAGTAACTTGGAGTGAATAGTATTATTCAATAGATCCGACCAAGATATGGTAATTCAAATTCATCCATAATAAAATGGATATTCCAGATGACCCAAGTAATCAAAGTAAGGTATAACAATTCGATAAAAAGAGTAATACTACTACTACTACTACTACTGTTATTACTATTTTCCCTATAGTCTCTAATTGTATGATACAGAATAAAAATAGAGTTGTCGACTTGACTATATTACATCATAATTTGCTTTTGTTGAGATGATTTGTTCATCTACTTGATTATCACTACATAAATTGTCCTAAATTATGAATCACTGGGATATCACCAAGGATATATAACCATTCAGTGTAATACTACCAGATATAGGAATCATTGTATCAAGAAATGAATATGTGAATGTGAATATACCATCACACTACTTGTTTTATATCCTGTATCGTCTCCAATAATTCCTATGAGAGTACCAATGATTAGAAACAAATGAATTATTCAATGATGTGATGTAGTGAATTGATTTTGTGTGATGTATCCAGTAGGTCTAGAACTTGTGATTGTTGTACCTGATAAATTACTAGTAGTAATGATATGTGTAGTTCAGCTATTACATTAAAAGGATAATAAATACTAATTCTGTTATTATATACTATTACTGGATTATCTATATTGATAGATCAATCAAAATTGATCATACAATACAATCATGTAAGGGATTCTAATGGATATTATCATCTTCATAAGAAAAGGATTTTAATGACTATAGTGCCTAAACAATATGTTTTTAATTTGAATGAACATGACAATTTGTGAAATCGCACACTTATCATTCTTTTGCGGATAATCATGTTCCAGTCTTATTGAAAACAAACACTAAGTTCTATAGCAGATAACTGTTGCAATTCTAGAAGCACTTACATTCATGGAAGAGTGTCGCAAACATCAAAAGATAACCACAGACAACCGCGATTATACACAAAACAATAATCGAGTAAAATATGATGTCCACAGTTTTCCAAACATCTTTCCAATTATTAAAAGATGTAATAAGAAATGTAATTAATAATAATAAACCTATATTAATTCCCATTATCCACATCATTATCTTACCCATAGTTTCCTTAAAACAATCATATGTACATTTACAATCCCTTTTATTATCTTCTTTTGACTCTATTGAAAGACTCCCAGTCTTAATTTTCTTTTTATAGATTGGAACATATTCAAAGTCTGACTCTTTTCTATATTTTCCACTGAATGTTTCTTCTCCGTTTTTAAACACTTTCATTTTATGACCATTGAATTCCTTTAGTAACTCTGTTTCTTTACCATGTTCCCATCTGCTTATCTTACTAATTTCGCCATCATAATACAAATAACATATTCCATGGTTCAAGCCATTATTATCTATTTGAAATAGTGAAACCATTTTGCCATTTTCATCTTTTTCATCCCAGTAGTTTGAACCATCCGATCTCAGCTTGATATTGGGTGCTCGACGACCATTTCTATAAAATCCTTCATAAATTGTACTTCCATCTTTACTATATTCCACTCCTGGACCATTTCGATAACCTTCATGCAAAAATCCAGAGAAATAGATATCTCCGGACCTATAATACATTCTACACATACCATTAGCAACACCTTCCCGATAAGTCAAACTTGCTACAAATCGATTATCATAATCATAAAGAAACGCCGTTCCATCCAATATTCCAATCTTTTGACTTGCTTTTAGGGTATAACCGTGATGAGGGCTACCGATTTGACAAATGGCCATATTCTCATTTATATCTAGATTAATAATTGGAAATTCGCTTGAAATGCAATTGTTCCATATATCAGTGCTTTCTTCATTGATATCAACAGTAACACTAATTATAGGTGTATTCTCCTCACTAATAGGATTTGGTTTTTTATATAATTCCATTATATATAATAATATCAAGTAAATAGTGCAAATATCCAAAAAGAAAACGAATCCATAGAAAATGACTCTAAATTCTTGAGAATAATTGGAATTCACAAAATTGTTCCTATTTCGTAGAATCCTATCTATTTTGCTACACTACAATAACTATTATCAATAATGTTCCATATTCCATATTCCATATTTATCCTCCACCTCCATTATCAAATAGTGTTTGAAACAAACCGAAGCAAATCAAAACAAATTGAACTTAAATCATTCTCATAGTTGCGTTTCCATCATCACAATATGTCCAGTGTCCTCCCCTTTCATATCGCAGAGCCGTACTCTATCCCTTCTACTCCAAGCTGTGAGGAACAATCTACACTCAATCTTCCCCATCGTTCCTACTCCCAAGTCCTTGAATACAATGCATTCCGTATGCGGGTCCGGGTCCAGAATAGTATCCGTCACACGCAGCTCCATTTCGCTTCTCGACAGATACGGCTTCGGACCCAACTCTAACAGAAACGCGAACCAACGAGCCAGTGTTGTGGGCGTGCGAGGCAGCTTCGTCGAACTCACCATTGTTTTCTGGAACCACGCCGCCAGATCTGCCCACAAGATCACTTCCCTCCCGCCAACTCCATCGTCTTTCCTACGAAAGCGTCCGGAGTCATGCAGTACTTCCGAATCGCCGTGGCCACGTCGCCCATCCACACAGGCTGCTTCAGAGCGCTTCTGCCATTGATATCGATCAGTCACGGATCGATGTGCAGCTGACTGCCGATCCTGCCAATAAGCTCTTCCCCGCGGTTCTACCAGGTCAACAGGCGGTCATCTTCGCTGAACATGTTTGCAGGACGAACGATGCAGGCGCTGGGCATGACTTCGTGGAGCACTTTGTCGCTTTTAGCCAACATGGAATGGAAAAGCCGAGCCCACCTTCGTACGAGCACACTCCGAACGATGTTTGAGGTTCTGTTGCAGAGCCGACACATGGAGAAAACGCGTTTTGCCCATCTCGTTGCAGATCTTCGCAAGGCACTCGGGGAAGTCGATGTTGACGTCTTGGAATCTGGGGAGAAAGAGAAATGCGAGTAGTTCTTTCAAAGATACAGATTCTTGGTCTTGTAGTACTTTCCAATCAGATTGATCATGATATCCGAGTTACCAATACAGTCACAGATTGATTTCTCGTTGAGAGGATGGAAAGAAATCGGATTCACTTTACCAACATCTCCAGACTGTTCAGAAGACGAACTTCATCACCTTCGTCATGGTACGGAATCATACAGGTCACTCCATGAGAAGCTGTGGCTCAAATCCAACCAACAAGCAAAACCCAATTCACAAAAGCAACCCTTCTACCCAAATTATCCGTAGGGCATCAGAGAAAGACTTTCAAAAAACACTTAGACATGCGGCTGTCCAGTCCCACAATTCCAAATTTGATTGTCGTCACAAAGCAAACCGAGAAATCAAAGCATTCTGAATTGAACCAACGAGTCAGGAACATTGTCCATCATGTGTTCTGCTTTGCCCTTGTTTTACCCAAACCTGTAAAAAGATATTTTACAAGATTAGAAACCATTATGTAATACTAAGGGGTGATAGTGAAAGACAGTTTGAAGGTAGAAATCATGATTCGGATTGCTCCAAATAGAATGAAATATGATCCAGGACCAGTAATTAATACTCCATGGTCATTTTCGAGTAATACGGTTGGAAACGATTCTGGTATATATCATCAAATAATACAGGAACAGTAGATAGCACTTGGTAATCGAGAGACAAACTATTATGCGAATGTGTGAACTTATAGGCTGTAGAAAAGGGACAGATTTTGAATATAACATCACAGATAAGACGTTCACAACAATAAGAATCACAGGAAGTCAGAGTGAAACCACGATATACCTAAAATGAAACATACAAAAGAGAGTAACGAATTTGAATGTGTAAGGTGGGGTAGTGTAGTGTAGTGTAGTGTAGTCTTATATTGAATTTAGAGTCCATGAAAGATAATCACATGAAAAGACTTATGGTCAAGTAACCTATGCGATTATCTTCGTATGCAGTCGTATTTATTCATATACACGATTCATCTACCCCCAAAATAGCATTTAGAACCGAGACACTAACAAATATCAACTTCAAAAGGTTTTCGCAAAAGGAATCAGCTATGGACTGAGCTAAAAACGTTAAAAATAGAAGTACCATTATCAGCATTTAATATTGTTCTTCATGAACAGAACGAATGATCTTCACTTGTTTTATACATCTTTTCAGACTCATGAGAATTGATTGCTTAAAATCTCTTTTCCTTTTGTGGAATGCTAATAATAATAATTATTATTATTATTACAATAGTGCGAGATAAATATATTCGACATTGTGGAGGTATGAATGAAGTCTTTGCTGGATAACGCGATATTACAGTTATATCATAAATGTAGAATATAAAATGACGTATTAGATAATAAAATGTACCTTTGATTTCTTAATGTTTCCAAACAGCAGCAATTTGTAAAAATATATTTACCTCTGAATTATTTCAACCCATAAAATGTTAAAAAAAGAAGGAGAAACACAATTGACTTCTAATCCTGAGCTATTTTAATTACAATATATATCCTACTACATTATGTCCCAATTTATAAGAATTTATGAAAAATGAAGATATTAACATAACATACGATCTTCTCTGTTTATTCATAAAATTCTTTATTTGTACCTAAAATTATGAATTCGAAGAGTAGAGACTATAAATATTGGATTAAAAATAGACGGACTACAGGAACTCAAGGGAAGCGAATATCTTCTGGATGGCTACATAACACTTGGTGAGCCAAAGGAAATATCGATTGGAGGTTCGATCTATAGCCTCCAGAATTTTCAAGGCGAACATGAGGATGAGTACACGTTGAAGAAGGATAACACAGTTTGCCTTTTTCAGAATGGAATACTGAAAATGGTTTATGAAACAGACAATAGTGGAGCTCAGACAGGTAGTTTTACCCAATTCACAAATGGTCGTGTATCCTTCGTGCAGTCGTTTGATGACATTCTGGATCAACACAGCTTCAATCGTATTGTTAATCATGTTCAAGGAGAACGGATGGAAATCTATTCTCAGGAGAGTGGAAAGCGACTTTATCATGGTGAGTTCAATGAAGATCGGGAACGAGAAGGTTGGGGAATTCAGTACGATGATAAGACGGGAGCTATATTGCTTGAGGGAATATGGAAGAAAAATAAACTGGTTGAAATAGTTCGGAAGATCGAAGGAACTATTATGACAGAATTTAAACGAAATGGAGGCAATATTATAGCCTCCAATCGAATCCCCATTTATGTGGGCGAATTCATATATGATGAATCGAAGGAGTCGTTTATACGGAATGGTCGAGGATATTACATTGATGAAGAAACTCGGATAGCTTATCGAGAAGTGGAGTGGAAAGATGGAGTGGAAGTGGGTGGAAGAGATCTGTATGATGGATGGTACACTTGCTCTGCTAAGCCTAAACCAAAACCCAAGTACGTTTGGAAACCTCAACCTGTTGCTAAACCTGTAACGATTCCAGCTGTCGAGCCAGTAACTGAACCTGCTGAAATTTCCACTTCGTTTGTTGAGCCTTCTCCTAAACATCAACATGGTCAGAAAACTGTTCCAAAATCGGAGCCACTTTCGAAGCCTATTCCTAGACCTCCTAAACCCCACAGAAGTCTCGTCGAACCTCCTTCTGTACCTGATACAATTGTTGAACCTGCACCAAAATCGAAACCTTCGATATCGAAGGAAGACGAAGCTGGATATGAGAAATTGAAGAAATTGTGTATGCATATAACAGATCTGGTGGTTCCTTCGAACTATATTGTAAAAATAAGTGTTTTGAATTTGGGTATATTCGACTGGCTGGAATCAATCGAAATTGGGGATGAAAGTTTCTGTTCAGTGCAAACATTCCAAATCGATGGATTGAATCGATTGAAAACTATCAAAATCGGAAACAATTCATTTACTCAGTCTAAGAATGGTGCTAGAGAAGATAAATCGAAATCATTCCACATATTGAATTGTGAATCATTGGAATCCATTCAAATTGGTGATTATAGTTTCAGTGATTTTGGAGGAGACTTTGAATTGAAGAATCTACCACAATTACAATCCATTCAAATTGGTTCAATTGAAAGAGATTATTCATACAATTTCTATTACAGTTCATTTGTGATTCGAGGTATTGATATGATATTGAATATTTGAATGATGCATAGATCTTCCAAATCTACAATCCCTTACATTAGGTAATGATGCATTTTATAAGTCCTTGACAACAATAATTGAAAGTATTGAATGAGTTTGAATGAAATGATTGATGTAGATCTTCCATCATTACAATCCATTCAACTAGGTAATAGTGCACTTCAAGGAAAAACAGATGACGATTCATGTTCCTTGACAATGCGAAGTAATAATGAAATAATCTGAAATGATTTACTTTGTAGATCTTCCAAATCTAACATCCATCAATTCTATAAATAATAGTTTCGTATGGCCTTGTTCAGTTACATTGGAAAGTATTTCTTAGTATCGAATACTGAAAGTATTTAGATATTCCAAATCTTCAAACGGCCGCTATTTCAAATTCTTTGCTTAAAGTATTATATCCTATTGTTAATAGTAGGTTTATTAATTTCAGTATAGCATAGATGTGTCTGAAGTGCTTTTCCCTAAAGTGTATAACTATGATTTTGTTCAATCAATAAATACATCAGTCGCTTCTATTACTCTTCCTAATTGGACTTGTAATGATATTGATTATACAACATTTGATTTCTCGCGATTTACACAAGTTGAATCAATCGAAATTGGGGATGATGGTTTCTGTTCAGTGCAAACATTCCAAATCGATGGATTGAATCGATTGAAAACTATCAAAATCGGAAACAATTCATTTACTCACAAAAAGAATTATTATGGAAATGATGAATCGAAATCATTCCACATATTGAATTGTGAATCATTACAATCCATTCAAATTGGTGAATTCAGTTTCAGTGATTTTGGAGGAGACTTTGAATTGAAGAATCTACCACAATTACAATCCATTCAAATTGGTTCATACAGTTTCAATGGTAGTTCATTTGTGATTCGAGGTATTGATATGATATTGAATATTTGAATGATGCATAGATCTTCCAAATCTACAATCCATTACATTAGGTGGTACTGCATTCCATGATTCCTTATCAACAATAATTGAAAGTATTGAATGAATTTGAATGAAATGATTGATGTAGATCTTCCATCATTACAATCCATTCAACTCGGTTATGCTGCACTTTATGGAAGAAGGGATGAATCTTGTTTTTTGAGAATGCGAAGTAATAATGAAATGATTGGTTTTGATTTGTTTTGTAGATCTTCCAAAACTAACATCAATTTTAAATGTATCTTCGGGAAGTTTCCAAAATATACATATGTTGATCCTTCAAAGTAGTTCTAAATCATTATTATTATGGCGTTTAGATATTCCAAATCTTGAAAATGTCAAGCTATCTGGTTCTTTTACGAATGTTAAATCGAAATCAATTTCAAGTATTGTTTGATTGTGTTATTTCATTTATAGATGTGTCTACCATTCTTATGAATTGTATCCAAACCAAAAGATATTAATTCCAACCATGGATTTACACGTTCCAATTAATTAAATGATGATTACATATTCAGTGCTATTAATGATGCTTGTTCCAAACCCTTTTTTATCATTCCTTGTTCATTGATTAAGAATCCAATCATTATGTGAGTCTTATTCAATATCACAACTCAGAATGGTTGAACCAGTATGTTTCTATTATTAGAGTAATCGATAATAAGAATAATATGAAAAATAGGAATGATAAACTGAAACATACGATTTAGTATTTAATGTATAAGTGTACTATATATATATGAGAGTACTATATTCTAACCAATTGAATTGAGACTAGCATATGAACACTTTGTAATATACTAATCAGTCTCATGTCAAAAGAATTTGATTAGCTTTTAAAAGAATGGCACAAGAAATAAATAAAAATGAAGTTTATTGAAATAGTCAATCAAAGGAAATCATTATTATTGCTGGTATTACAGGTATTAAAAACAATGCATTTCTTGAATTAAAATTCGAAACAAATTCTTAACAGTTACTGGTTTTATTTACAACACAACTGATTGATTGATAAAACACTTAAAGAACTATTAAGAGAGAAAGTGCAGGGAATCTCACTATTGAACAGAGAATAAGACCTGTCAGTCATCTAAATGTGAACAATATTACCTTGATCCTACCCAGAGACAGCAATTCTATTTTCTATCTATCAAATCACCAATTCATTATGTCTTTCACTAGCTACAACCTGAGAATCATTTTTCACACCACATTCACATGCCTCTGAAAATGGAATAGCTTCTCATCAATCACAACTATACTACTACCATTATTCATTCAACAAACATTCCAAAAATAAAATACTACTATTTTGTCACACTCTTCAGCATATTCGCAAAAATCGTCTCTACGGCTCACACCACCACCTTTCTACTACGCATATTATGCATTAAAGCCTCTTGCTGTTCAGCTGATATAGGAGGAGGAGCCATGAACGGCATCATGGGCATCATGGGCATCATGGGCATCATGGGCATCGCAGACATCATGGACGTGTTGCCACCCATTTGCGTCGTTTCTCCTTCCTTTCTCACACCTATCTCACTCTCTCCAGTCCCTCGATTCGCTACAGAATCGCAAGAACCAGGCGAATCAATTTCCATCGGCGAGACTTCCGAATCGATTGGCTGCGCCAATTCCACACTCATTTCCGCCTTCACCAATCCTCGTTCTTCATTCCCTCTCTCCAAATCCGTCGGATTCACCGAACTCGCATCGCCGGGCGTTTCTTCGATTCGTTTCGCGGGCGTTTTCCCCTCCAACTCGTCTAAAAACGCGAGATACGCCGCGTCTCGCTTTCGACTCTCCTCCACCTTCTTCCGATCGTGTCGCAGCGGACAATCCTTCGTCAAATGCGAGGTTTCCCGGCAGATCGCGCACACCACGTTCGCTCGAACCTTATTTTCTACGTTCCACGTTTCCACGTTTCCCCACTTTGCCGCTCGGGACAGTCGTATTGGTTGTGTCCCTCCTCTCCGCAATAGGAGCAGAACACGCTCCGCGCTAGCTGCCCATTGATGATCGCGAGCTCGCGCATCTGCGCCTGTTTGTACGCGTTTTCGCGGTCATCTTTCACCACGATCAGCTCGCGAATGCGCTGCTCTGCCGCCTTCACGTCCTCTTCGTTCTCTCCTGTGATGATCACGTGCAACGGCTCGTCTCGACCGATCCCGTCGATCGATTCCTTCCCTTCGCGGCTCGCTCCCTTCCCGCGGATTATGATCTTCGTGTGCGTCTCCGACTCCAGCTGCCGGTGCGAATTCCCGCGGGGACCGATGATCAGTCCCACGAAGTTGTAGTCGGGGTATTTGTCCTGCGGAACGTAGATCTTCCGCTGATACTTGCAGTGGTGTTTGGACTACGATCACAGCCGGAACGGATGGCTACGCGGAGCGTGGGGTTGAGCGCGAGAATCTCGTCGACCAGCTCGCTTCGCTCCTTGTCCAGCTTCTGCCGAAGTCGCATGGCGCGCGTGTTGGTGCGATTCCCCGTGGAGTCGTACACGGGAGGAGGGGAAGGGGAGCGGTTCGGGTCTTGCGAGATCAGCTCGGCTTCGATGTCTGCCTGGTCGATTCGGTCCGAGAGCTTCTTGATGCGCACACGAAGCTGGATTTCCTGGACTTGTTCCAGACTGATGACGCCCGATGCAACGGCTATACTCAGACCTTTGCGTAATACGGAAATTAATTTTAAAAAAACCTGGAGGAATATAAGGTCGGTGGAAATCCCAATGAGAACGGCTTAGTTTCGAGGAGGCATCCGCCCAACGGCTAATTTTTGTTATTGAACCTTCGGATTTCGGTTTAGAAGCCAGAAATTTGGAATACTCCATATCTACCTCTTTCCAAGGTTCCCAATCCTCTAATTCTTGCCAAAATAATGGAAACTCGCCATATCTATAATGAACGATTCAAAAAGTTGACACTTGTTCTGGAGTTCGGGATTATCGTTATACCACTTCTTTACATCCTTGTGGCGACTTTTTAAATATGTTTCCTTCTCCAGCACGTCTTCCGATTTACTTTCTCGTTTCTCTGTATCGCTTTCTGATTGTTAGTGTTTATTACAGCACAATACCCTCTGTTGGATCCATTCCAATCAATATCCAATACTTACGATACCTAGATCACGAGAAATTGACTCTTGTTTTGAATCGGTTAGTCACGGTTATTCGGACGATTTGGCCAAATGAATCGTTACCTCCTAGTGGTCACTCCTGGAATTGAGAAACTATTGCACAAGGAAGTACAGAGCCTTGTGCCAAGGTTGCAAACTCTAGGAAGTCGTGATCGCTTTGTGAAGGGTGGCATCGAATTAGATTGTAGTAATTATGTTAAAACGCTAATCTACAGTAACCGAAGCAGAGGCAAGCAATATTGTACAAAGATCGCGTCTAGTGGGTTGATTTCATAATATTAAATCATATTCAGAATCCGTTCGGCTGAGACTCGACTCTTGTTGGGTTTCTGAGTGGTATCAACTCGAGAATTTTGTTAATCACCTCTCTCTTCCTAGCGCAATGGATTCGATGACTTCTTTCTCTTTATCTCTCTTTATTGTACCATCTTCACTCAGGTTTCTCATTGTAGTCAACTCATCACTCCAAACTCTATCATTCCAAAGCAATTGAACAAAGAATTCGAAACACGAAACGGATCAAACATCTCTCCCAAACTCCCACCATCCCTCTTTCTCTCTATTTTCGCTTTGAGCATAATCATTGCACGGCAAGTCTTGGAATAGGCGGCTTCTACAAACGCGGATATCGTACTCACGTCTCAAAAGCCCCAATTCGTGAAACACTCGCTGCAGCAATCGACTTCAGTGCATTAGCATCTCACTCATCACCTTCTTCAAACAACAATATCACTATTATAGACCCCTTTTGCGGCTCTGGAACGCTCCTCCAAGAAGCCTGGAGTTTTGCTGATGGCGATTGGCCGTATCTGCAACGCAAGCGATTGATGCCTGATTATGTGGACATGTTGATTCACTCTTTTGTGCTAACCAACAGCTCCTCGCTACTATCGACGGCTCCATCTGATAACACGATCATTTATCAATGGAGTGAATGGAGAAAAGCTCGGTTTGTGGGAAGTGATGTTGATGATGCATGCATTCGCGCTGCGAGAGAAAACTTTGCGAATCTACACTTACCACCAAAAATCGATTTAACGCAAAGCGATTTTTATGATTTTCGAGAGAAAGTGAAGCAATTTGAAAAGATTGTGTTGGTGTCAAACGTAATGATTCACTCCAACTAAGACCTAGCCTCCCTATGGATATAGAGCCAAAGCAGAGAATGCCTCGGTATTAAACTTGTATCAAACTCTATTTGATTGGGTTTTGACCCTTCGAGAGGAACACTCTCTGCAGGCAGCATCGCTTCTTGTCCCAAAGTATATCTTCGACGATCACTTACCGAAATCGATAAAGAACGAACTGCAAAGTGCTTATCCCACACGTAATGGTGGTCTTCCTGTAACCTTAGTCTCAATTTGTATATGCTTGTTGCAACAAAAAGACCAACTCTGAATCTACAGGATGAGATTGCAAAAAAGACACAACTTGTTCCATCATCTTCATATACTCTATACAGGATTTGATTGCATGACTCTCCTTGTCCGTCGGTATTTCATCAGCGAACCACTCCGTTACCTCCTTAAACGACTTTTCAATTTCCAATCTCTCCTTTCCGTCTGGTGTAATCTTCTTTGACATTACAAAACCTATGTATCACAAACACCAAACTAATAAACCAGAAGTCTTCTCTGGAAGAGAAATGACCTCGCCCTTCAACAATCTACCTCGAAACGTTGCTTCTTTCCCTTCTCCGTCCCCTTTCACAACGAAATAGGTAGAGATCGGAGCGCCGCCTGTGTATTGAATTTCGCAGGGCAAATGCTGCACCGTAACGTCGCACAGCACGCGATCTCTTCCAACCTCCCCTTCACTCATCGCTCAAAAAAAAGTGTGAAACAAACACATCACCCTCTACATAATCCGCGGTGTCGAGTTTCCAGCATCCGGTTCTGGAGGCGGATTAATCTTAATCATATCGTCAATCCGCAAGATCGTAATGGCCGCCTCCGTCGCGAACTTGAGACATTTGACCTTGTTCATGGTGGGTTCGAGCACGCCTCGCTCGAAATTATTCGCCACCGCTCCCTCCACCAAATCCAACCCAGCGAACCGGTTCTCGGGATGTTCCTTCCACCCCGCGTGGCGCGCACACAGCTGCGCGATCAGCTCCGTCGCGTCCTTCGCCGCGTTCACCGCCAGCGTCTTGGGGATGACCAGCAGCGCCTTGCCGAACGCCTCGACGGCGAGCTGCTCGTGCGTGGAGAGCGACAACGCGAAGTCGCTCAGATGCGTGTACAGCGCCGTCTCCACGGCTCCGCCGCCCACCACCAGCGACTTGCTCTCCATCACGCGCTGCTCCACGCAGAGCGCGTCGTGGAAGGACCGCTCCATCTCGCCGAGCATCATGTCGTTGGCTCCGCGCAGCACCACCGACAGAGACGCGTCGTTCGACGTCGCCAGCCCGCGGAAAAACACGAAGTCGTCTGCATGTCACGCCTCCTCCGTCGCTACAGTCGCCCAGACGCTTCTCCTCGACGACCTGGCAATGGCCGACCGCGGACGCGTCGACGCCCTCCTCGCCGTCGATCGTGCTCATCGACTAGTCGTCATTTCCCCGCGGAACGCCCACCACGACCACCTGGCCGCCCACCGCCTTCGCCACGCGCACCATATCGTCGTTGCTGACGCGACGGATTCCGATGCACCCGCGCTCCACGAGGTATTTCAGACAGAGATCGTCGATGGTGTGTCCGCAGACGATCACGTTCGCGCCCGTGCTGAGCAGCACCTCCACTTTCCGGCGCGTGATCTCCATTTCCTCGCGCTTGATCCGCTCCAGCGCCTCCGAGTCCGACGTCTTCACCTCCACGCCCATCTGCAGCTTGTGGCGCTGCAGCGGGAAGTCGATCACCAGCACGTGCGCGTTCTCCACACGCAGAGGCATTTGCTGCGACGCGCGGCTCCCGGACAGAACGATCCCGTCCACTAACTCGCTCTGCAGCGCGCTCTGGCCGTGGGCCTTCACGATCCCGATGTTCTCGATCGGGTATTTGTGCTTCCCGTCGCTGGAAATGAGGGAAACGGGGAAACGTTACTCAGTCTCGGTGCGAACTGCCTTGACGGCGTCAACGGCCATTTGGGAGAACTTCTCGGTCTCCGCTCCGAGGATCTTGGAGCTGAGGGTGGTCTAGACTAGACTCGAGGGGTTGGAAGCTACCTTCGCTACGTTGAACAGAATCGCATCGGTAATCTGGTCACCCGAAATGAGAAGGTTTTCTCGGATGAAACGGATACACTCCTTGAGGGCGAGACGGTAGCCACTCATAATCAGCGTTGGATGCACGGCAAGTCGAATCAACTCCAAACCGTTCTAGGAGGAATGCTTCCTGCTGAAAAACTTACTTTCAGAAGCTCAGCAGCAAAAATAACCACACTCGTAGTTCCATCTCCCACCTCCTTATCTTGAAGGTCGGCAAGTTGAACAAGGACCTTGGCAGCCGGGTGTTCCACCTCCAGTTTCTGAAGAATGGTAGCACCGTCATTTGTAATTGTCACGTCACCCACCTTGTCCACCTAGGCATAAATCGCAAAAGGCTGCTCTCACCAGCATCTTGTCGAGACCAACGGGTCCAAGAGAACTCTTTACAATATTTGCCACCGCCATACAGGCCATTGCTAGAGAATAACAGTCCACTTCACAAACCATACTATTTTGCGTTCTCACGTCGTTTCCACTTGTTCTTTCACCGTCAAGAGTTAAAGACATGATATTTGATATATTCTATAAAAGAAAACGAGTTTTCCAAATTTTGGCACGTTTTTTCAGAACATTCTAGTTTCATTTTTCCTTTTGATTTAAGCGCATTGGTGTATGAATGCATGATGCACAAGACGACAGTAACTATTTCTGGAGATTCCAGCACATACAGTTCCTCTTCAGTGTAGAACAAACACATAGGAAAATTGGATGTCACACTATAAACGACTAAGATACGACAAAAGTAAGGGTGAAATATCTATTCATCAGCGGTATCCATTGTTCCTACTTTCAGTCTCCACACTTTCTCTGTTTGAGAAAGCACTTGGTAGAGACACCTTTGTTAAGTTGGGGATATCTATCCATCAATTCCCAGTACTTCACCTACTCATCAACACAATGTGTTGCTGATTCATAAAACTATAGCCCGAAGATGTCAACGTCTTCAAAGATGGGAGATCTCTCAAGACCAAACTGCTCTCCGACGCATCTCCCATACAGGATTTTAATCCAAGAGAAATGGAATCGAGGGCCGCCAAATCTATTGGTCAAAAAGAAAATTTCCAATTCTATTACTGTCAATTTCAACCGCGGGCGCATTCATAAAGGAATACATGCCCAAGTCGAGTGTGATCAAATTAGGAAGGTCTAGAAATGAGGAGTGGGTTGTGTTGCTACCAAACAGTTTCAGAGGAGCGTTCATAAAGTTATTCGACTGCTGTGTAGTGTCTCCTATGTAGATTGACTGTAGAGATGGGAGAGAACTGATGTCAAATTGGAGGAAACCTACAAAACTATTCTTTCCTATAGTAATCGATTGGAGTGAAGAACAGTTAAAAACGGAAAAGGAAAGATCGTTAGGGATAACGCTCTGAGGTTGTGAATCCATCCCAAAAGACATGTCCCCAATGGCCAGTCTTTCCAAAGAAGGAATTGCCCCAACCTCAAAATAAGTAACATTCTGGAAATTATTTGCATCAATTCGAATCAGTCTCAATTGAGAGTGATCCGTAACGATGAACTCATTTGATCCATAACTAGTACAACAATTCGGTTTGGCTATTAAAAATAAGGTTCGAGGACTTAAATTGAGCAGATCATCCACAGTCTTGATCCTCACTGTACGGAAAAAGAAGACATCAACAAGAAATCCAATACAAGCACATATCGCTAGTATCAAAATCAAGAGGCAAAAAAGGAAACAAATAATGTTGTGGTTATGATAATAGTATCGAATCCTCTTTGTTTCCCCTTTTTTCTTTATTAAACAAGACCCATGAAGCATGCCATTCTTGTAGTGACCCTCGGAATATACATATCCATTTACAAAAATCCTTCCCTTCCCATGGAACTTATCATTGGCAAAGTCACCCTTGTAAAGTAAATCCTTATTTCCATCAACATAATACTCCGTTCCCTGACCCGATCGTCCATATCCTTTGGTAGGGTCGTTTTCAAACCCTCCTTCATAAATAACATTTCCATTATCATCGTACACCGTCATCTTATCTTGTAAAAACGCTCGCCGTGTAATAATATCCTTACCATCACGAAATTCACGAATAGATTGAATAACATCTTCTTCTTCTTCTCCGTTTACTTTCTTCCTATAATACAAATAACAAAGGCCATGTCGCAAATGATCTCTATTCATTTGCGAATAAGACATTAGGTGATCATCCATATCTCTTTCTTCATAAAACCCAGGCATTAATGTACTCTGTGTGCAACGAGTAACTTTACATCCATTTTCTATATGACCAAAAGCAATTTCTTTACCTTTTTCAAACTCAATATAATCGCCATTGGTTCCTTCACGATAGTAATATTCAGTATAGGATCCTTTGTCAGAGCCTCTGTACTCTTTCAAAATAGTGCCTTCAATATCTCCTTCAGTAATTACGCGTCCTGACTCATCAAATAGTTTACCTTTGCCTGTTCGAGGATATCCTTGCTCCACATTATCTATGTAGCTTCCTTCATATCTCAAATACTTGTCTTCATCATATTCTTTCATTACATCTCCATTAAATTCTTTACAAATTCGCTTCTCTACTCCATCTTCCCATATACTAGCTCTCTTTATTATACCTCTTTCAAAAATGTAACATAAATCATTGCGAAGACGAGTGTGACCAATTGTATTTAGTTGACTCATTGATATTATAGTACCTTCCATATCTGTTTCTTTATAATAACGACCGAAAGCTGCTACAAATCGATTTGCTTTAGCACCATTTATAACATAACCAAATGCGATTTCTTTACCTTTCTCAAATTCAGAATAATCGCCATTGGTTCCTTCACGATAGTAATATTCAGTATAGAATCCTTTGGAATATCCTTTGTATTTGTCTAAAATAGTGCCTTCAATATCTCCTTCAGTAATTACGCGTCCTGACTCATCAAATAGTTTACCTTTGCCTGTTCGAGGATATCCTTGCTCCACATTATCTATGTAACTTCCTTCATATCTCAAATACTTGTCTTCATCATATTCTTTCATTACATCTCCATTAAATTCTTTACAAATTCGCTTCTCTACTCCATCTTCCCATATACTAGCTCTCTTTATTATACCTCTTTCAAAAATGTAACATAAATCATTGCGACAGACTGAAGTGTGACCAATTGTATTTAGTTGACTCATTGATATTATAGTACCTTCCATATCTGTTTCTTTATAATAACGACCGAAAGCTGCTACAAATCGATTTGCTTTAGCACCATTTATAACATAACCAAATGCGATTTCTTTACCTTTCTCAAATTCAGAATAATCGCCATTGGTTCCTTCACGATAGTAATATTCAGTATAGAATCCTTTGGAATATCCTTTGTATTTGTCTAAAATAGTGCCTTCAATATCTCCTTCAGTAATTACGCGTCCTGACTCATCAAATAGTTTACCTTTGCCTGTTCGAGGATATCCTTGCTCCACATTATCTATGTAACTTCCTTCATATCTCAAATACTTGTCTTCATCATATTCTTTCATTACATCTCCATTAAATTCTTTACAAATTCGCTTCTCTACTCCATCTTCCCATATACTAGCTCTCTTTATTATACCTTCTTCATAAACATAACATAAATCATTGCGAAGACGAGTGTGACCAATTGTATTTAGTTGACTCATCGATATTATAATACCTTCCATATCTGTTTCTTTATAATAACGACCGAAAGCTGCTACAAATCGATTTGCTTTAGCACCATTTATAACATAACCAAATGCGATTTCTTTACCTTTCTCAAATTCAGAATAATCGCCATTGGTTCCTTCACGATAGTAATACTGGTAATAGAATCCTTTGGAATATCCTTTGTATTTGTCTAAAATAGTGCCTTCAATATCTCCTTCAGTAATTACGCGTCCTGACTCATCAAATAGTTTACCTTTGCCTGTTCGAGGATATCCTTGTTTGATATCATCTATGTAGCTTCCTTCATATTTCAATCGTTCTTCGGTATCATATTCTTGCATAATAGTACCACTAAATTCTTTACAAATTCGCTTCTCTACTCCATCTTCCCATATACTAGCTCTCTTTATTATACCTCTTTCAAAAATGTAACATAAATCATTGCGAAGACGAGTGTGACCAATTGTATTTAGTTGACTCATTGATATTATAGTACCTTCCATATCTGTTTCTTTATAATAACGACCAAAAGCTGCTACAAATCGATTTGCTTTAGCACCATTTATAACATAACCAAATGCGATTTCTTTACCTTTCTCAAATTCAGAATAATCGCCATTGGTTCCTTCACGATAGTAATACTGGTAATAGAATCCTTTGGAATATCCTTTGTATTTGTCTAAAATAGTGCCTTCAATATCTCCTTCAGTAATTACGCGCCCGACATCATCAAATAGTTTACCTTTGCCTGTTCGAGGATATCCTTGTTTGATATCATCTATGTAGCTTCCTTCATATCTCAAATACTTGTCTTCATCATATTCTTTCATTATATCTCCATTAAATTCTTTACAAATTCGCTTCTCTACTCCATCTTCCCATATACTAGCTCTCTTTATTATACCTCTTTCAAAAATGTAACATAAATCATTGCGAAGACGAGTGTGACCAATTGTATTTAGTTGACTCATTGATATTATAGTACCTTCCATATCTGTTTCTTTATAATAACGACCAAAAGCTGCTACAAATCGATTTGCTTTAGCACCATTTATAACATAACCAAATGCGATTTCTTTACCCTTCTCGAATTCAGAATAATCGCCATTGGTTCCTTCACGATAGTAATACTGGTAATAGAATCCTTTGGAATATCCTTTGTATTTGTCTAAAATAGTGCCTTCAATATCTCCTTCAGTAATTACGCGTCCTGACTCATCAAATAGTTTACCTTTGCCTGTTCGAGGATATCCTTGTTTGATATCATCTATGTAACTTCCTTCATATCTCAAATACTTATCTTCATCATATTCTTTCATTATATCTCCATTAAACTCCTTCCAAATTCGTTTCTCTTCTCCATTCTCATAAATAGATGCCTGATAAACAACATTATCGCGTAAAGCATAGCAGATTCCACCCTTCTTATATACTTCGTTTATTTGGGTAATAAATAGCAATTCTCCTGTATCTACGTCGGTTTCATTATAAAATCCCTTCATTTTCCCCTTCAGTGGGCTTAATCGATGATAGCGCTTTCCATCCTTATAAAACCCAAAGAAACCTTCTTCTTTACCAGCAACACGGAATCCGTTTTCAATAAAACCATCAAAGAAAATATCTCCATTGGTAGTGAACAACTTACATGGACCATTTAGGTTTCCATTATCAAAGTGTAATTCTGCAAATACAATACCTTGTGGGTCCCTTAATAATCCATCTCCGTCTATTTTTTCTTCAGCTGACAGACCTGCTCTAAGCGTATAGCCAGTGAACGGTGGTTGTAGTGTAAACAGAGTACCTCCTCCTTCGATACAAGCTTCATGTGATTCTTCTCTGATATACTGTCCAATATCCCTCGTCCAGACCTCTTCATGATCAAGAATAGCCTCTCTACGTGAGAAGAGATCTTCCAAACGCTGAATTGTACCTATTGTATTCATTTTGGAAAAAATAAAAATAACAGAGGTAACAAAAGTGTATGGTAAAAAACACAATAATGATAAAACTGCTTAATACTATCAAAACAAATATGCGATATGTAGTTTCGGATGAATGCAAGGTCATTCGGGATAACAGAGATACGGCTGTTTCGTAATGGCAAACTACATCATATTCCTCCAAAACCACAACTCCTGGATATCCTTCGGCATAATATTACCCGCCGGAGCATTCAACGCCTCTGCTACGAAGTAGGGGAACTTTCCCGGATGCGCAGTATTCAAGCAGATCAACTTACACTCCTGCTCTCCGTTCACCACTGCGTCGAACATGGTCTCCAACTCGCTGGAATCCTCTCCCGTGCGCTGCTTATAGAGCGATTTGAGTCCCACGACGAAGGCATTCGCGGCGTTGGGACAAACCAGATACTGATTGCAGCGATACAGAAGACTGATCATACGAGACGTCGTTTCGTCCGCAATGGGAAGGATCTCCACGAAGCGGAACGTCTCCTTCACCTTCTCCAGCGGTAGAGCGATGCGCTGGCCCTTCTCGACCGCCTCCATGTACTGCGAGACATCGCTGCGAAGCGTGTAGAAGAGGATGCTAGGCTTGAACAGGGCTGGAGAACGCACCGCTCCATATTGCTATGCACGAACCGAAACTCTTCTTTGCAAGGATCGTTCCGCAGCGACGCCTGGTACTCGCCCTTGTTGAAGAAGTCGAGAACGGTGCTCTTCGGACGGCAGGACAGCACCACGTGGTCGATCGGAAGACCCATATCGCGAGCCAGACAGAGCGCGTAGGTCGATTTGAGGTTCGCGATGTACGACGAAAACGCGGCCTGGTGAGGATATTCCACGCTGTGGAAGTAGGCGTAGAAGAGGATGGGCAGCTCGCAGAGCACACGCACGATGTGCCCGCTGTTCGCAGAGATGATGTGGATGCGATCGCGATGCACATTGTTTGTTACGAGGTCGCGCGTGATGCGAAGTACCTCCGAGATCCCACTGTTCTACCTTTGACATTGCGCACGAAAAGAAACCTCCATGCAGAGGCTGTATCCGTTGGTTGACACGTTACTGATCATTTCGCGCTCCTGGATGTAGTCGATCTTGTTACGAGGGTAGATGCAGAACCCATTCACACGATAATCGACGGATCCTACTCCAGCTAGCATGGAAGCACCTGTATCGCTGTCCGTTCCCACGACTACGGCGTAGATGTGGCACTAGGACAAACGAGTGGAGAAGGCATACGGCATCGTTCGTCTCATCTTTCTTAACGAGATACTTCAGAAAATGACCAATGAACTGCATGGAAAAATCCTTGATATGATAAGTGGGTCCATAGAAGGATTCTGCCAAGGAAATGGGACCGACTTGCTTGATCTACGCTCAATCCACATATCATCCAATACAGTGACAAGTTCGCGTTGATGAAACTTTTCGAATACAGATTTCAAAAGGACTTCCAAGTCGTCGGATGATATATCACTTTCGTCAATAAATATCGAAAGAATCGCCAAATAAAGATCAAAGAAATTCAGATGCTATTTTTAACAATGCAACAGATACCTACACTCCACTTCTCCAGCGTATCCGTAGAAATGCGCGGTATCTCTTTCGGGCACAAAAGTCCTCCATCCTCTGCGAAGGACTCCAGAAATGCTTCCGTGAACGTATATTCGCGCTTTGTTGTTCTTGTACTAATGTATTTCATCCCTTTTAGTCTTTTTATGAAAGCGGTTTCAATTTTCTGGAAAAGAACAAGAGTTTTTGGTTGGATACAATACGGAGAACACAATCGATAATGTACGAAGGAGTGTTGACAACACCATTGGGAATATAAGAACTGATGTAACAGAATTGTGATTTTAACCCATTCTCTACCAGTGGTACACGATTCAAGTTTAGGTATACACATAATTCCCTTATTCCTATCACTAGCTTCCAAACTCCCCTAGTTCGCTCCTACATAAACCACCTCTTTCAATACAAAGTGAATCGCTCATTTCAATTGAATCTGGTAAATATTCCCATCCAGCTCATCGACATGCATAATGTTTTGGTCCCTTAAAGCTGTATGTCGTCCCTTCACTCATCTTCCCTGTTTCTCCATTATTCTCCCATTCTAGGTTTTCCCAAAGAATGCTCGCATCTGTTCCTTCTATGATTTCGAAGCGTGCTGTGACTCTTGCTGTACGATTTTGAATCTGTGAGTGTGATGGTGTAGCGCAGTTTCGCCGGAGCTGTTGATTTAACGAAGCCTTTCACTGAAAGACTTGCTGAAGCTCGCCACAGCGCCCTTATTGGTGGAGGCGAGACAGCGCAGTTAGATTCTCAGCACAAGCGTGGCAAGCTGACCGCTCGTGAGCGTATCGAGCTGCTGGTGGATAAGGGTTCGTTCCGCGAGTACGACCAGCTGAAGGCGCACCGCTGCGTGCATTTCGGTATGGAGAAGCAGAACTACCCTGGCGATGGTGTTGTGACGGGTCACGGAACGATCAACGGTCGTCTGGTGTTCCTGTTCGCTCAGGACTTCACTGTGCTGGGAGGTTCTCTGTCTGGCACGAACGCTGAGAAGATCTGCAAGGTGATGGACAAGGCCATGGACGTGGGTGCTCCGGTGATCGGTCTGAACGACTCCGGCGGTGCTCGTATCCAGGAGGGCTGCGACTCTCTTGCTGGCTACTCGGAGATCTTCAAGCGGAACACTCTGTCGTCGGGCGTGATTCCGCAGATCTCTCTGATCATGGGTCCGTGCGCTGGAGGCGCTGTGTACTCTCCTGCGATCACGGATTTCATCTTCATGGTGCGCGACACGTCGTACATGTTCATCACGGGTCCGGACGTGGTGAAGACGGTGACGCAGGAGGAAGTGACGCAGGAGGAGCTGGGCGGCGCTGCGATCCACACGAAGAAGTCTGGCGTGGCGCAGGGCGCGTTCGACAACGACGTGGAGATGCTTCGCGCGATGCGTACGTTCTACGACTACCTGCCTCTGAACAACCGCGACGGCGTTCCGAGCCGCGTGTGCACGGACCCGCGGAGCCGCGCGGAGCCGGCGCTGGCGAACATCGTGCCGCAGGACGCGAACATGCCGTACGACATGAAGAAGCTGGTGAAGCTGGTGGTGGACGAGCAGGAGTTCTTCGAGACGTCGCCCGACTTCGCGAAGAACATCGTGGTGGGCTTCGCCCGCATGGAGGGCCGCACGGTGGGCGTGGTGGCGAACCAGCCGCTGGAGCTGGCGGGCTGCCTGGACATCAACGCCTCGGTGAAGGGCGCGCGGTTCGTGCGCTTCTGCGACGCGTTCAACATCCCGCTGGTGACGTTCGTGGACGTGCCCGGCTTCCTGCCCGGCGTGAACCAGGAGCACCGAGGAATCATCCGCGAGGGAGCCAAGCTGATCTACGCCTACGCGGAGGCGACCGTGCCCAAGGTCACCGTCATCACCCGCAAGAGCTACGGAGGCGCGTACTGCGTGATGTCCTCGAAGCATCTGCGCGGAGACAGCAACTACTCGTGGCCCAACGGAGAGATCGCCGTCATGGGAGCCGAGGGAGCCGTCAAGATCATCTTCCGAGGAAAGGATCTCCAGAAGAACAAGGCCGAGTACGCCTACAACTTCGCCAACCCGCTCATGGCCGCCCAGAGAGGATTCATCGACGACATCATCGAGCCCACCGAGACCCGAAGAAGACTCTGCGAGGACCTCGAGATCCTCCAGACCAAGAAGATGACCAATCCTTGGAGAAAGCACGGAAACATCCCGCTGTAAAGAGCGAGAGGTCCGAGCCGAAGAAAAAGGAGAAAAGGAAAATGAATGGTTGGTGTATTGGAAAAGAAAGAATGAATGAAAGTTCGATGAACTGGATTAGGATGTATAAAGTGTCTTCTTTGTTCAACAAACATCCCAATTGTACATTTACGGCTCTTCCAGAGATTGCGAATAACTGCCCTGCGCTTGTGTATCCATAGAAGCCTTGATGTCGCGGCCAAGCTTCTCCATGTTCACCTTCGCCTTCTGGGCTCCCTCCTTCATCGCAGCGCCAGTCTTCTTGGCTCCTTCCTTCATCGCAGCGCCAGTCTTCTTGGCTCCCTCAGCGACCTTCTGGCCAAACTCGGATTCCTTCACCTTCTGGGCTCCCTCCTTCATCGCAGCGCCAGTCTTCTTAGCTCCTTCCTTAACAGCAGCGCTGGTCTTCTTGGCTCCCTCAGCGACCTTCTGAGCAAACTCTGTCTGCTTGAATTTGTCCATTTCAGCAACAGTTCTCTTGCCAAACTAACCATCAGGTAATGGACATGCTTCCTACCTCAGTCTCCTTGAACTTTTCGTTGGCCTTCGAGGCTCCGCTCTTTACGGCGCCCCAGCCCTTCTTGAAAAGTCCACCCAGAGCACCAGCACCCTTTTTCAGCGCTTTGATTCCTTCGCTTTCTTCCTTGGGCTCCTCAGGGACTTCTTCAGCCCTACAAATTATCAAACACGATTTTTCCTACACTACTTCCTGGGCTTCTTCAGACTCTTGGGCCTCGACCTCCTCCTCGTATTTTTGATCCTCAGTGCCAAAATCAATCAGATCGGTGGAAGACATTCACACGAAATAATGGATATGCCAATTCTTGCATTTTGGGAGTTTCATTATCAAGTTTCCCCTGTTTTTTGGAAAGGTTTTACGAAATCGATAATTCCAAATTATAGGAATATATATATGACATAATCAGAAAACCCAGAGAGATTAATTTGAATTTTGAAAAAACGGCTCCTAGGGTTTTGCTCCTAATTTCCCTATAGGATTTACGCGGGGATACGCATGTTGCCTTTTCTATACGTAAATCAAATTATGGACAGTTTAAATCAAAAACGACCCTATTGTTGATCAAGGTTTCGAACCAATTATTGTCCTTGTTGTTCGCATTCTTGGTTAGCATTATTGGACTGTGTATATCATGTAGTGAAATGAAGCACAACAACGTTTTACCTAATGCTCACTTTAAGAAGGACTGGGATCGCCGTGTGAAGACCTGGTTCGATCAGGCTGGACAGAAGAGACGCCGCAGACTGCTCCGTAAGGAAAAGGCTGCCGCGATCGCTCCTCGCCCCGCTGCCGGACTGCTCCGTCCCGTTGTCCGCTGCTCTACGCAGAAGTACAACATGAAAACCAGACTGGGTCGTGGTTTCACTCTGCAAGAGTTGAAGGTGTGTTTCGGTTTGGTTTGGTGTGTAATGGAATAGGAGGCCGGAATCAACCCCCGTGAGGCTCTGACCATTGGTATTGCTGTGGATCATCGTCGTGTGAACCGCTGCGTGGAGTCTCTGCAGGCGAACGTGGAGCGTCTGAACGCGTACAAGAGCAAGCTGATCCTGTTCCCTCGCGGAGTGAAGGGAGAGAAGGGAGTGGCCACTGCTGAGGAGATGGCTGCTGCCACCCAGCTGAACGGCACCATCCTGCCGATTGAGAAGGTCGCCCCGAAGGTGGAGTTCATGGAAGTGACTCCCGAGCTGAAGAAGCGCTCTGCGTTCATGGGACTGAGACAGGCTCTGTGCGATGCCCACAACTTCGGTAAGCGTGCGAAGCGTGCTGCGAAGGCCGCCGAGAAGGAGAACTAAGGGGAGAAGGAAGGAAGGAAGGAAGAAGTTGTGAGGAGAGTCAAGGACATTGCGATTGTTTGATCGAACAAACACACGGACAATATTGAAAGGGATAAGATATTGGGTATAGGAGGTGATGTCCTTCTACTCTTCTCAGCTAGTAAGAAATGAAAAGTGAATAAGATTCGAGAGGATTTGAATCGATGACAACAATAGATCCATTCCCTGATTCCCTGATTCCCTGATTCCTTCCCTGATTTCCCCTTTCAAACAAACATCATCACATAAACTACACTACCCCTCTTCCTTGGCCACCTCCCCGCTTTGATTCCTTCTCTCCATCTTCAATTTCAAGAACTTGCTCTGCTGCCCCATCAACTTCTGCCGTCCCTTCGAGTACAACTCCTCCAGCTCACTCCTCCACCCGATCAGATCGCACAGCTTCTTCACTCCTTCATCACAGTCCCCCAGATACACCACATCGCGAAAGCAGCAGTCCATCTGATAGAACCGGAACGGACCGACCGGCTCGCGGTTGATGAGCATTCGAGGCACGTTCTCTTTCACCTTGTGAACCAGACCTACACGTTCAATCCCGTCGATGCGTTGACCTGCAAAGGGCTGGACGGTAAGAGAAGTGCCGATCACGATCAGCAAATCGCAGGTTACCATGTCTGCGGTCGACATCCAGTTGAATTTTTGGGGAAGCGGCTCGTTAAAAAAGACGATATCGGGCTTTACGAGGCCGCCACACTTACAGCGGGGAGTTGTATCTATCATTCACCACGAAATCAGACAGCACTTGAAAGGATCTGCTTTTTGAACCACTCAGTCTTTTGCGGCTTTTTACACTCAATACAAGAGCATGTAGCCATCGTGCCGTGCGATTCGACCAAACGACTCTCGGGAATCTCGGCTTGCCTTTCAAGACCATCAATGTTTTGAGTATAATTCCTTAGCAGAATTCCCTTCTTGTTTAGTAGTTTTATGAAGTAGTGTGTATAGGTAGGTAAGTATTGTTCTGGAAAAAGGTCCTATAGGGTCAGAATCTTCCCACGATGATACCATCACAAAAGAATAGAAACATTCCGGATGTTCCCGGAAGAAATCAATATCAAACATTGATTCTGGAGTTGGCAGTTTATATTTCTCTAAATTATAATACAGTCCCGTTCCTGGAGATCGAAAGTCCGGAATCCCTGCAGAAACAGAAATACCAGCACCAGACATCACAACGATGTTTTTCACTTCTCCATTTTTTATTATCTTCGCCACACGCTCAACTGTCAAGTCTCCATGTAAAATACTGTCATTATCAATATCATCAATACCCTCAATATATACACTCTCTAATTGTCCCATTACGCTTTCAGTGAACTCTTAGAGGGAAGGTCAAAGAGACAAGAACAAAGAGTGAAGCTTTTCACTTCGTAATGAGTTGGACCAAAATTGGCCTTTTTCTTCCAATATCAAATAATTCATTTTGTTAGTACAATCTAATAGTCTCTGGATTCTCTGAATGGATTCTTTGCAACGGAACTTTGTTCGCTGTTATTTGAATGAGTTTATTGTAGCGTTCCAATGAGGGAAAGGAACAGCAAGGATTGCTCAAATCACGTATTTGCGATTGTGAAAAGTCATGGATCAGAGGTATATCCAGGTAACCAACGAAACATTCAAGATCGCGGAACTATGTCCCATCCCTTTGGTGTAGACAGTGATTTTCAGGATGTTCTACGTTATTTGTAGTGCAAACAAGTCAGTTTGAACGAATGAAGCGTTTTCAACACCATACAGAGCAACAAATGCAGCGGATGTCCCAAGAACCGAAACAAGTTCGCTTCTATTCATTTACTCATCTCTTCTGTAGACAGAATATGAGAATTGCGTCATTCAGCCTGTCAACGATTCCGACTCGGTTCACGACAACTCTGCATCCTCATTCCTCTCTCCTTCTCTCTATTCCGGAACTCCCTCACTCCATCTCGCATCCGATTCTTTCCTCAAGGATACGTTTCCTCGTGTGAACAACTACGGCCGCGTCCGTTCCCAAGCTTTCTCCGTCGACTCCCACCCCTCCTCCATCCAAGAGCCCGTCTTTTCCAACCGAAAAGCCTTCACCAAGGAGAGACTTTCCCTCCAAAAATCCCGCCGCCACATCGTCCCGCGCTTTTTTCCCGCCTCACTCGTAGGAGCCGGATTCGGACGACAGCTCCGTCAAAACGCCCCGCGACAAAAAGAAAAAACGCCGCCGATTCGGGATCTCCATTTTTGGAAAAAAGAAGAATTCCCCGCGGGAAGTACCCTCCGACTCCGACTCCTCCTCCGACCCCAAGCCCTCCAGAACCGCGGGGGAGGGCGCACGACCGCGGGGAGGGCTGCCCGTTTCGCTGCCGTCGCCGACTTCGAAGAATTCGATGAGTTCGAGCGTGCTCCCCGCGGGGAACGCGGCGAGCGTTTCGAATTCGATGGGTCCGATGGGCGCGGGGAACGGGGGCGCGTCACGTGGACTGGGGAAACCGTCGAAGGAGTTCCACACGGAGGATTTGGAGAACCTGCGGCGGAAGGTGATGCAGCAGAAGCAGGAGATCGAGCAGTTAGTGGAAACAGGGAAACTGATGCAGGCGGAGCTGGGCCGTTCGCGCGCGGAGCATCGAAAGAACCTGAAAGAACTGTCGCGTCTGGCGAGCGGGAATCGCAGCAGCCTGAAATCGATGTGGGCGCGGCGGAGCGGATGGACGGTAGGGAGAAGGGGCTGCTGGAGAGAAAGCGGCAGCAGGAGAACCAGCTGACGGAGAATCTGCTGAGCCACTATCGGTCGACGGTGGAGGACCAGGTGACGGACGTGCAGAGACGCGTAGAGGGAGAGAGGAAGGAGTGAGGCGTAGCTGACGGCGTGTAATAATCGGCGACGAAACGTGATGGAGAGCACGAACTCGCCGGTGTACGACTTCGTGTCGAGGCTGCTGGCGTACGCGGTGGCGGGATTCACGGTGGTGTGCAGCGTGTTTGTGTGTAGGAGAGGCGGAGAGAAGGGATGGTGTGTAGATCTGTACATCTTTTTGCAAAGCTATTTGGGGTTGTCGTACACGCGTTCTATAACAAACTAACTCGCTTTTTGCATCATTATGATGATTATTCACAACATTCTTTCATCATCCATATTGTTATTAATGTTATTATTATTATATTTACACTTTATTCGGTTCGGTTTCACTCTGTTTTTTGAGAAAGACTCGTTATTTTCGATCGAAGTTCCGGCCAGTCCGGATTATTACTAAACTGCTCTTCGATTTCCTTCCTCATAAACTTCAGCTTCTCAATGCTCAGCAGCGTTTTCAGCACGTTGTTCTACCCCTCACCCTCCCATTCCTCGCCTACTTTGATCTCTGTCGCCACGTTCTCCGCATTATCGCACTCCACCTGCACCGGATTCTTCACACACGAGAACAGCAGCGAAATCATATTCAGCTCCATCACATACTCCACCAGCTCCGTCGTTCTCGCTTTAAACAGCGACAGCAGAATCGCAGAGACGTCCAGCGCGTTCCCCGACCCTTCTCGCAAACTATTCAACAGAATCCGCAGCAGCGTCGGCTTCTGAATCAGCACCGACAAGCACTCCGGAGTCTCCGCGATTTGCTTCACGATCGAGCAGCACGCCGTGCTGATGGGTCCGTTCAGCGCGTGCTTCTGTTCGCAGAGCTCCCACTGCTCCACGATGCGGGCCACATACCCCGAGCTCACGAAATACTCCAGAATCGCGGGGCCTTCGAGCCGGCAGACTTGGCACAGCGCGCTCACCGCCAAATCGAGACGCTCCGCGCGTTTGCCTTCCTCCTCGGCGCTCGTCGGGATGTTTTCCGGCTTCGAGTTGTCGAACAGCGCGGCGACGCCGCAGAACTCTTTCATCAGCGCGTCGACGAACTCCTGCGGCTGGCGCAGCTGATACGCCTCGTAGTTCAGATAGATCTTCACGAACACGCCGCCGATCACCGTCTCGTTCTGCAGCTGCTCGTACACGACCTCCGCGTCCTCGTCCAGAACGAACTCCCTTCCTTCGTGGAACGCGGCGACGAAGCCTTCGAACGCTCGACGCACCACGACTGCCGCCGTCGCCTTCATCTGCGCGTTCCAGATCATTTCGGCGGTGCACGTGGTGGCGTCGAAGGCGTGCAGCGCGTCCGCGTTGTCCTCGGTGAGCAGAAGCACCATGTATTCGGGAAGGAGGCGACGGAACGTCACGCGCGAAATGGCCTGGACGTCTTCGTTGTGGCTCCATCCCTGCAGCACGGCGACGCTGAGCTGCCGAATCGTGGCGAGCGCGTCTTCTGCGGGGAGGAGAATCAAATGGAGGAAGAGAACCCAGAGTCCGGAAGCGAAGAGCGCGTGCTCGAAGCCCTGCGAGAAGAGACAGACGTGGTGGAGGAGAACGAAGAGAGGCGTGCGGAGCTGATAGTCCTTCTGAATGAGGATGCGCGTGAGAATGTCGGTGGCGTGCTCTTCGACCGCGAGAGAGGCGAGACGCGGCGATTGGAGGAGAAGGGAGAGGATCTCGACGGCTTTCTGGGTGCAGGGATTGTCGAGAAGCCACTGCGGAGCGTCGTCGACATAGCGAGGCAGCAGGAACGAGAAGAGAAGCAGCAGATCGTCGGCGGACTGCACGGAGTTCGAGAGCTCCGGCGAATTGCTGAGCAGAATGTGGAGCGAGGTGAGCATCATCAGCACGTAATCCTCGCCCAGATTGGTCTCGTAGTAGCCGATCCAGACATCGTCGACTTTCGGACCCAGGCGTTGGAGTCGCAGATAGCTCAGCAGCCCTGTGAAATACTTCGGAGCCTTCACGAACTGCTTGGGCTTCAGCTTGTTGAAGACGCGGACGTAGACGTCCGCGATGAGAAGCTCGTTTCGAATCGCGTCGTAGACGAACTGACTCACGTCCTGCACGAAATCGCCCTCTCTTCTCAGCGCCTTTTCGCGTTGATCCTCCAAGAAATCGAGGAGTTGCGACCGCATCGCTTGCGTCCAGATGATAAACGGGGATTCGTAGAAATCGGAGTTCAGAATCGCGAGGAGGTGGTCAATGTTCTTCTCCAGCAGCAAGCCAATCAAACTCGGCGTCAGCAGCGACGTCAGAATCTGCGTGAGAGCCGCGGAGTTGTTGCAGACGTTCGCGAGGAACTGCACGACGCGCTTCGCGAGCGAATTGTGACTGTAGGAATAACTGCCCATGTCGCTCTGCGCCAGCGTGACGAGCGGCGTGTCTTCGCTGTCTTCGATGCACGACACGGACCCTGGGATCGCGTTCAACGCGATGTCCGACGCGATGGACGACGCGCTGACCGACGAGGGTCGCGATTGGCGAAGCTGCTGGCCGATTCGATTGCACTGCTCGTTGAATTCCTGCTCGCGCGTTTTTTCTTCGTCGGCGTTGTACCGGAAAAGAAGCGGAATCGCGGTGATGAAGACGGAAACGGAGGTGTGGAGAAGCGAGGCTTTGAAGGAGGCTTCCGAGGAGAGATTGGTGAAGTATTCCAGGATCGAGCAGAGCACGGCGACGGGCAGCGAGGAGCACAACGAGATCGCGAGATAGTCCGTGATGTTCGTCGCATCGGCCAGCGCTCCGTGCAGCGAGGAATGGTGCGACAAGTGAACCAGAATCGTCACTTGCTGGTAGAGCAGCTGCTCCGCGTTCTCGTCGCCCGCGGTTATTTTGGCGTCGTTCCAGCGCAGGAGATGATAGAGCACGGTGAGGCCGCCGCTCTGCACGAAGCTCTCCGCGTTCTCCACGGAGCAGACGCACGTGAGCAGCACGAGGGACACGAGCGAGCTCACCAGTTCGGGCAATGCCAGCTGCTCCGGATTCTCCACGACGACTTGGATCTGCGCGACCAGCATTTTGAAGGAGGGGAAGAGCAGCTTGTGCAGGCGAGAATGGTAGTGTTGGTAGAGGAAGCACTGCGTCTGCACGATGAGAAGCAGGCGCTGCGGAATCGGCGACGTGGCGGTGATTACGGCGCCGGTGAGCATGTCCAAAGCCAATTGAAGCGTGTCGTGATTCACGTCGGTGTTCCAGGAATCCCAGAACGCGCGAATCAGCGTCATTTCGTCCGCCGATTCGTCGACGCCCAGCACCATACGCGCCTGCTCCATGGAGAGAGCGCAGCCTCGGCGCTTTCCCTCGCGGATCCACTCGCTTTTCAGAGCCAGCAGCAGCGCTTTGGGGTTTTTGAGGCTGGTGGGATGCTCCAGATCCATCAATCGACGCAGGTAATACTTCCCGCAATACACGTCGTCGTCCAACTCCGAGTAGTGAATGTGGGGCAGCGGAACGAACGTCCAGCGCGTGCTCGGATCCTCTGCGAGCTTGGCGATGTAGCCATCGATGTGGGCATGGATCACGGCCTGCAAGTGGCTTCGCATGCTGCTGGTCCAGATAATCAGCGAAGACGTCGTGTCGCCGTTGTAGATATCCGCGAAACGGCTCTCAGAAAGCACTTGAAGGCCGTAGACCAGAGCGTCCGGAAGAATGCCAGCGAGGAGCGATCGCTCGTGCAGCAGAAGCTTGAGCAGCTGGACTTGGATGGCATCGAGGGAAGGGAGAAGAAGGATGGCATCGATAATGGGAAGTTGGTAGAGATCTTGAAGCGACGCGGTGGGGATCGAGAGGATGCGAAGCAAAAAGAGAGTGGCAAACGTTACGACCTTGGGGGATGCGTCGAAGAGGAGATCCACGAGAATCTTCAGCGCGTGGGGGCTGCAGAAATGCTCCAGCACGGGGGAAAGCGGGAGCTGCGGCACGGTCGACGATCCGATCGTCTTTTCGAGACATCCGTAGAAGATGTCCAGAATCACCACGGCGCGGTGCGACGCTCCGTTCGCGTGCGTTTGCATGAGGATCTTAAACAGCACGGACACCCACGTGACATCGCGGCAGATCTGCTCGACGTTCTCGGAATAGGTCAGCAAGCTCTGCAGAAACTCGAGCAGCACGTCGAGCAGACCGTGCGGATCGTCCTGCTCCTCCTCGATGACCTCCACCACGTGGCTCAGATCGAAGAACACGCGGCAATCGCCCTGGTATTGGTGGTAAATCACGCGGAGGCACTGCAGGAAGATCTTCTGCTTCTCGACCGTCTTCGCCGTCAAAAACCGCGCGTACACAGACGTCAGAAAGAGCGACGGATTCCCCAGACTCAGCCGCGGGTCGCTCGACACCGTCGCTTGAATGAGCGAGGAGCAGCCGAACGTTGCGGGGGTCTGCGCGATGTACTGCAGGAAGAGATCGTAGAGAACGAGATCGTAGTCGTAGGACGCGTAGCGAATCCAGGCCTGCTGGATGTTCCAATGCACGCGCGGATCGGCCTCGTAGATTTGGTCCCAGCGAGCCAGCTCCGCGTCGATCCACTGTTGCAATTCGCGGCGCTGCGTGTCGCCCCAGATCAACTGATAGGTCTCGGTGGACGCCTCGTAGAGCTTGAAAAACGCGGGGAAGTTGAGAGAGCCTTGCGGCGAGGCGAGAACGCTCACAGCGCTCCAGACGGCTTTTTGGAGGGGAGGGAAGGACTCTTTGGAATCTTTGGAGTCTTCAGAGTCTTCAGAGTCTTCAGAGTCTTCGGATTGGAGGAGGACCGCGAAGGAACACTCGAAGGTGCCTTTGTTGAGCGAGTCGATGAGCGTTTTGGGGAAGCAGCGACGCAGAAAGAGCGCGGCGGACTCGTTCTGATAGCAGAGAAGCACAACGAGGCAGCGCGCGATGATTCGCTGGAAGGGATTGGCGTCGAAGAGCGCGCAGCGGAGGATCCGCAGAAAGAGCCCCGTGTCAATAGCAAATTGCTGCAGATCGATCGAGAACTCGCAGGCGGGCAGCGTCACGAAGGTGTGAAGCATGGTGAACAGATAGATCTGCACGGCCGGCGTGAGGGACGAAAGAATGGCGGCGATCCATTGCGAGGACGGACGAAGCAGCGTGATAAGCGAGTCCAGAATGGGAATCGGAGGCGGCAACGCAGCGACTTCGTGAAGCACGTGATTCAGACATTGCATAGCGAGGAGTTGCGAGAACGTCGTGGACGCGAAGTCCGGAACGGCTCGCGGAATCGCCTCCTCGACCAGCGATTCTAACAGCGACGAGCCGGGAACCAGAAGGGAGGAAAGCAGTCCTTTGATTTGGGTGGACAGAACGGCGAGAGCCAAGACGCCCGCTGCGCGCGTGTCTTTGTCTTCGCTCGCCACGACCTTCGCGAAAAACGGCTCCAGGACCAGACTCACCGCGGACACTGGGAAATCCCCGACGGTTCGGAGGAATTCCTGGAGGAACTTCGCGAAGAGCGGCATCTCGGCAGGATCGTTCGCGGCACTGCTGACGATGGCTTGCAGTAACTGCTTCAAAACGTCCGCAGTGATGGAGAAGGCGCTGATATAGCGGGAATTGGAGAGGAAGCACTCGCAAGCCTCCGCAATGGAGTCGATGCAGAAGGATCCGGAGCGTTCGGAGCGAGTTGAATGCTCCGAAACCTCGGAGTAAGAGAAGGAGCGAAGACGAGGTCGGAGCGATTCGTCGAGGGAAACGAACGAACCGCGAGGAAGAGGGTCGGTTTCGACGATGCCGATGCAGCGCAGAAGCGAACGGCGACAGCTAGAAGGAAAGAAGGAGCGAGGAAAGAGAATACAGATAGGTGATGTCTGGAAGGTGATGATAACTGGCTCGGAAGCGAAGCGAAGTTCGCGGTCGAACGGAGAAGGAAAGGAGGTAAAGAAGAGAAGGGCAGAGCGTGAGGAGCGTGTTTAGGAAATCGTCAAGCTGATGAAATGAGGGATGGGAGAGAAAAGAATACTTGGTTGCAGTGATAACAGCAATGACAGACCTTCGATTTGTATTCGTATTTGAAAATGAGGGAGCGATCGCTCCGATTGGCTGTGATCTGAAAAATGTTCTTGAGGGGGATCTGCCGAAGCACGACGGCTTTCCCGCCGCAGCGAATCACGCCTTGGATGGCGGTTGAATTGACGAATAGGAAATGATTCCCGGCCGACTCGTCTTCGGGTTCGTTGATGATTTCTTCCTTTTTCTCATTTTCACATTCACAATCACATTCATGATTTGATTGCTCGGATTCGATTGGATTCTCGCTTCCTTTTCTATGATTGGAGGCGATTTCATCCTTATCAATCTCGCTTTCATTCTCCGACTCAATTTCAATTTCACTTCCATTTTCAAATTCATAATTCGCATTATTCTCTTTCATTTCCGTTTCTTTTTCTTTCTTCTCCTGTGTTTCTTGCTGCTCTTGCTGCTCTTGCTGCTCTCCCTCTTCATCGGATTCAATTTTCATCACAGTCTTCGCTCCTGGCGATTCGTGCAAATCGAACGAATCCAGAAGCGTGTAGCTCAGCACGCGTTCATTCGCTTCAAACGAATAAACCGGGTCCTCCATCACTTCAAAATCGCTCTCCGGAATCTCCTCCATCTTCTTCGTCTTGTCAATAACCAAAGCGCAGCGTCGCATTTCTTCGTCGAGCGCGGTAAGGAATCCGAAGCGTTCGGAAATTCGAAAGGTGTGGCGAATTCCGTTGTAATACAGAACCACGATATCGTCACGACCCACCATGTATCCGTCTGTTATGTGAAACAGAGAAATGCGGCGAGAGTGACTTTCTACGATTCAACGCAAACAAACGTCATTACCGAAAAAGCGTATCAAGAGATAGCCGTTTTCTACTAATAGTTCACACTTCTTTTCAATATCTGGATAAAGCAATAAAGATCCCGAAAACACATAAGGAATGGTCTCAGATGGCGGAGATCGTAAGTGAGAACGGATTTCACATAATAATTCACTTATATTTGCTGTGCGAAAGCGAAGCTTCGATTTCGATTTCGATTTCGACCTAACTATGAATGTGTCCGCTAAAAATGACTTCTTGTCACAAATCTCCAAAATGAATGTGTTAACTTTTGTAGTATCGGGAAGCGCGTCGGATACTTCTTCCCAAGTCCAGGAATTCGTCAACGTACACAAGTCGGGGTTGTAAGTTGCAACTCCGTCCGTCGATACAGTGACAATACGAGAATAGTTTCCTTTCCATTTACTCAGCTTTTGACAGAAGTAAGACACACCCATGAAGGGTCTCTATGAGTTATGTTTCACTATATTTTCAAACTCCTGAATTCACCATCGTGATGCTAGATTGTGACATGGCATAGGAATCAAATGATATCCAACCCACACTTGTGATCCCAACGATCGGAATTCCAAAAATCCGAACTATTCCAAAACCAGGCAGAACGATTCTTTAACGAATTGCATAAAGTCAGGACTTTTGTATCACAATGCTTCACAACGCTGTAAGAGTGGGCTGTCTTACTCGAGCCCGTTTGACTGTAAGTGGTTTCTATTGTGTGAAATGTAGGTTATTCGAGGGATGGCGACCCGGTATTCATATAACAAAACGATTCCACAGACGATTTACTCTCCAGAAAACGTGGTTTTCACATATTCAAGTGAAAAGAACCCGGAAATACGCAATCCACGACGAACGAAGCTGGGATTAGCTTCAGGAAAGGCACTTCCGTCATGCGACTTTGTCTACCGTCATATTCATTACGACGAGGACAAGAACATTCTGGAAGACTACCAAACGCCCTTCGATAAGCCGTTCTACGATCTGATTCGAGATGATCTGTGGGTGTGTGATCCTTTGTCTCTCACTGTGTTGATTCAATCGTGAACTCACCAATAGGATGAACAAATTCCCGATTCGCTAAATCTGTTTCCTGTCCTCTGCATTTAACCCAATTTATATATAGAACGGAAAGCATCCTCTGGACTTCATCGCTCCTGGAGGTAAGCTGATGCGTTTCAGCGAGTCCCTTTATGTACCCCTCTTCTCCATTCTCATAATCAGCACGGCGTTGTCAACACGACCAAGATCACAGCGAATATCGTCACAAACCCCACCGAAGTACACATTGACTTCATCTCTCTCCCAGGCGCGTCGTCTTCTCTCCTCTTCGCTTTCCAGCCTCAAATCAGGAGCTGGACACATTTGGACGGGCGTGAAGCTCTACGGCTACGAAGTGAACACGGGAAGCCGATTATTCTGGAAACTGATCAAAGGCGGCCAGCTTTCCTACCGTGAAAAGAAACAACTGAGCCGCGCCGTTAACGACACGAGCCGTCTTATTCCGTTCACCATCTTCGCCATCATCCCATTCAGCGAGTTAACGCTTCCATTCGTTTTAAAAGTTGCAACGCATTCTCTTTTCGAAGTAGAAATTCCCGAACTTCTTGCCCTCGACCTTCACCTCGGAGGCCAAAAAAGACGACATTCGTCGAAACATTCTCGAAGCGCGCCTCGGCCTCGCCCGCGAATACTACGACCAAATGAAAGCCACCGCGAAGAAGCATCGCCGCGACGACCTGGGCAACGGCGACTGCGCGAGCGAGCTGCTTCAGCGCATCCGCGAAGTTTCGTACGGGCAGATCGACGACGTGGACGACGTGATCTCGGTGTGCAAGCTGTTCCGCGACGACATCGTGATCGACAACAGGACAAGGCGCAGATCGTCTCCGTGGCGAAGTATCTGAGCGTGTTCACGCTGGGCGGCGACGAAATGGCGCGCGTGGCGCTGCGGACGCGACTGCGATCCATCGTCCAGGAAGACCGACTGCTGTACTTCGAGGTAGCGTTGTGGGGCGTGTGGGACGCAGGGACTGCAGGGACTGACGAAGAGCGAGCTGGAGCAATGCTGCGAGCTGCGAGGCTTGACGAGCGATGGACTGCTCAAGGCTGATTACCTCGATCTCATGAACACGTGGCTGCAACTCGCGGTGGTGAAGCGCGTGCCGACGACGTTGCTGGTGATGGCGAATATGCTGTCGATGCTCGCGAAGGAAGACACGATTGAGTCCATGTTGCCATCGGCCGTGTCGATGTTGTCGGAGGATGTGATTAAGGAGGTCAGGATGGAGAAGGGAGGTGAGATGTAGACGATTATATCGCTGGCGCCGGTGAATGACCCGACGGCGATGAAGATGCGGTACGAGAGAGCGGTGAAGGCGGATGAGGAGATTAAGGAAGAAAACATGGTCAAGGAGGAGTTTACTGTGAATAATAAGGTAGGAACGGGATTGAAATTGGGATGTAGATAACGATGTTTAATCCGGTGGTGAAAGAGAAGAAGAAGCGGACAGCGAAGAGCAAGTCTGCCAAAATTGAGTTTTATTGAATTGTTTGTGAGAGCAAATTCTTTTTCTCAAATGAAGTCCCTTCCGGAACGATCCTCAAGAGGAGTGCGGCAAAAGAAACTAACAGGAGCTGCAATCGAAGCGGACAGAGAGTTCTGGAATCAGGACTTTTTCAAAGAGGTGAGCGACGATGAGGACTTCTCCGATTCGCATGGTAGCAATGGTTTGTGTGTTATGAATGGAAGGAAGCGAGCCATTAAGCGATAGTGAAGATTCAGACATTGATTTACCCGAGGATGAGGAGCCTCAGGCACCTGTAGTGGAACCCAAAGAAAAGAAAGTGAGTCCGCGTGATGTTTTTGAGTGATTTAGGAAAAAGTAAAGCGAAGTGTCTATTTAGATCCCTCTGCCAAAAAGAGTAAGCCGAGAAAGAAGGCAGCCGCCGAAAAGAACGCGGAAGGCAAGCCAATCGCAAGTCCTCCGAAACCAAGTGATTTCTCTCCTTTTCCCCCATTTTAGAGCCTGTTTTGCCCCAGCTCGAGCTAACCCTCCGTGCTTCGACGCAGTACAAGAGTCAAGTGTCGGCCATCCAGCGCCAACTCGAGGAAGAGGACAAAAAAGACGTAATTCCCCGTTTCCCCGTTCTTTCATAGACCGTGCGTCACCGCAAGCGACAGCCGGTGCGCCGTCCTCTCCAGCGGCAGATGCTCCAGCAGAGCATCGCCACGGAAGTCGAGAACACCATGTTTGTTTCAATCCTTCTTTCTTTCACACCCAGTTCTCTCCACCAAATCCTCAAAGAAGAAGAGAAGAAAAAAGTCGTTACCAAACGCAAAGCGTATTTTTACCACCCTCTTTTCACCACAGAATCACCGGCAATCGCGTATGCGAGTTGTCCTCCCCTCGCTTTCCCCATCTTCTCCTTTTCTCCTCCCCTTCTCTGGCTCCTGCCTGGCCGGCAGTGCCGCGTCCTAAGCGAGCGCGCTGCGCCTTCAACGACGGGCCTGCGCGCTACTTCGATCCGCGCTCCAACGCGCCGCTGTGCAGCCTGGCTTGCGCCAAACGCCTCCGCGAAGAGAGGAGGGCCAAGGAAACCACCGCCCTGCTGGGCACCGCGGGGGACGAAGCCTTCCGATCCAGTGGACTGAGTGGCCTGAATGGGGTCAATGGGGTCAATGGGGTCAATGGGGTCAATGGGGTCAGTGGAACCACTCGACCTAATGCACCCAATGCACCCAATGGACCCAATGCATCCAATGCACCCAATGGATTCGGTGAAACGCCCGGGAGAACGGGAATGGGAGGCATCAAGGGAGAAGCGAAGCAAACGCGGCAGATGGCGAGTGGCGGACGTACGGATGGGAAGAAGAGTGGAGAGAAGGGAAAGGAAGCGATTGGCGCAGGGACGCAGAAAAACGGAGACGCATTAAAGGGCATTCCGAAGGGTGGAGTAAAAACGGAAAACCCGCCGCCGCCGAAGAGAACGATACCGCAACCAACGGCTCCGATCAATCCCACGATCGTAACGACGACCACGACGCAAGGAAAGGTGTTGCAATTCCAATTGAACTACGCCAACGTTCTTTATATCAACAGCAAGGCGCTAAATATCCCAGTGAACATAAATCAGATGTACTATCTTCAAACGGAGGTGAATGGGAAGAAGGTGGTGAATGCGCATCTTATGACGGAAACGAAAAGGGATGCGGATGGAAATGTATATTATTGTATGGTACCGATGATTCCCTTACAGAATCCTTCAACTTGCATTGTTTGTTTGAATCGCGGTTTTTACGCAAATTTCGCAGGTCGATCTGCCGATTTGATCTGCAGTTTTTGAGCCAAAACACACCGTATTGAGTCAAAATGAGCGATTCTATCTTTACGGTTAATCAGCTCTATACATTAGAATCACCGAAAGTCGAAGCTGTTGCATATTCAAGTACTTTGGCAGAGAGGAGCACATAATGTGTCAGATGGAAGTGGTCCTAACGAGCTGTGCATTTTTACAGCAGTGAAAGGCGGAAGATTGTACGAGCATATAGTTAAAGCAGAACCGCGTACTGAGAATCGGACCGTTCGATCTTTGGTTTTCGTTGTGACAAATAGTCCCGAAAGTATTCGCTTGTGAGTTCGATATCCACAGTGGCGAGTAAAAAGAAAATCACAAAGATTTTGCCAATTCGCTCTCTGTCTCGAGTGCTTGTACTCAGCAGTATTGGATTAGGAGTGGATTCACGTCTAGATGGAGTGCTTTCTGCGTTTGACTTTTCAAGCTTGTCTCCTATATTTTGCGATATCTCAGTTACAAACATTTTGGATATGGGAATTAACGGAACGCTCCGCGACAACTGTCTCCAATTCTGGATATTGGTGAAGAAGCGCGTGATCCTCTACACCTTTTCGCAAGGCCAATTCACCAAGCTCCAAGAAATCCCTCTGGCCGACACCCCTCTCCTCGTGTCCTGGATCGGCCCTCTTCTCCTCCTCCAATCCAAAGATTCCCTTCTCGTCATGGACCTCTCCACTCCCCAATCCTCCACCACCTTCAAAACCTCCCTCAAGAACTCCTCGCAAGCCACGCTCCGTCTCCTCAGCAACAACCGCATCTTCTTCAGCACCTCGCCCGTCTCCTTCTCCCTCCTCTCCCTTCCCGACGGCTCCGACGGCCCCGACGGCCCCGACGGCCCGCACAGCGCTCTCCCCCGCGAAACCTCCCTCTCCTACACGAGCCCTGCGCCCAGCAAGGGCGTGTGGTTCAGCAGCCCGTTCATCTTCGTGCAGTCGGACGCTCTGCACGTTCTGGACCAGTGGTCGCTGCGCCCCGTCGACTCGCTCGCCCTCCCCGCCGCCCAGCTGCTCTGCGACATGACGCTCCTCGACGCAGAGCTCCGGAACGACGAGCTCGGCGTCGTCATCGCCGTCCTCGCCGACGGAACCGTCTGCGCCATCGATCTCCGCGACGCCGACGCCGCCATCAGCCGCTTCAGCCAGGCGGGCGACGTGGCCACCGCCTTCGACCTCCTGCACCGCAACGAGGCCGCGGGGAACACCGTCCGACCCGCGGAGAGGCGTGAGCTCTAGGCGATGGACAAGCGGCAGATGCACAGACAGGCCTGTCTCACCTTCTTCGCCCATCTCGACTTCGCTCAGGCCTTTCACCACGCCTGGGAGGCGCGCATCGCTCCCACCCAGCTGCTCCCGCTCTTCCCGGAGCTTCTGCTCCGCCCCCTCCCCGACAGCACCGTGTTAACCGCGGATCTGCTCGGACGAAACGTCCACTCCGTGCTCGAGTTCGTCCTGGCCACGCGGAAACAGCATTCCAGCGACCCCTCCGCCATCCGCCCCGACTCCGAACTCGTCAAAACCGCGGTGAACCAGGCCGAGAGCGAGCTCCTCGAGTTCTTATGGAAGTTCCACGCCGAGAACCAAGGGGAGAACCGCGGGGAAGACAAAGGGGAGGACCAGGCGGAGAACCAGGCGGAGAACCGCGGGGAAAGCCGCGTGGTGGATGTGGCGCTGTTCCGGCTGCTGCTGAACCGCGGGGATCCGCGTCTGTCTGGCTTTATCGCGGGGCAAACGAGCTGCGAAGAGGAAGATGTGCGGGAATCGCTGGTTTCCCGCGGGTTGTACAACGCGCTGGCGTCGTTCTACGTGCAGAAGAAACGCCCGCGCGACGCGCTGCAGCTTTGGCGGGAGCTGGGAGAGGGCGCGCTGCGCGAAGAAGGCGTGGACGGCGTGAGTTTGACATGTCAATTCCTGCGGAACCGCACGGAGACGGACACGCTGGAGCTGATGCGAGCGTTTCTCCCGTGGGTAATGGACCGCAACCCCGACGAGGGCTACAAAGTGGTGATCTTTGGAGAGGTGTCGACGGTGCCGATCGCAGGGTTCGTGCTGAGCGAGCTGGAGCGCGTGGGCGCGTCGAACTACCGGTCGTCGTACATCCAGTACTTGGTGGTGATGAATCACGTGGACGATCCCGCGCTCACCACCGAGTTCATTCTGGAACGGATCCATCTGCTGCTTCGGCAGGTGCAGGAGCACGAGCTCGACATGGCCGTCGCGCGAGTGGCCGACACGCCGTCGTTGGTGCGGGATCAACGCGGGCAAATTCTGTCCTTCCTCGAGAACAACCAGTCCTACGACGCCTCGCAAGTTCTCGCCGAAATCGACGCCTCCGCGCTCTTCTTCGAGAAGGTCGTCGTGCTCGGCCGCCTCGGCCGCTATGAAGAGAGTCTACGCATCGTGGTCTATGAGCTGAAGTCGATCTCGTACGCGTGCAGCTGCTGCGCGAAGTTCCCTGCGAGCTCGTGGTATCTTTTGCTCCGGATTTTGTTCGCCGAGCAGGACGAGGAGTGCGCCATGGAGCGGGAAGTGACGCGTAGACGCAGGGATTCCTTCCGAGAGGCAGCGTTGCGCGTGTTGGAGGAACACGCCTATGAAATCGACCCGATCGAGGTGCTCAAGATCATCCCCGAGGACCTCACGCTGCAGCAACTGCTCCAGTATTACCAAAGCGTTGTGCCTCACTCGACGAATGTAATGCGAGAGGCGAGGATCCAGCGCGGAATGGAACAGTGGAGATAATGAGGGGATTTGAGGAGTAGGGTGCGAACGAACCAGCTGCGTCGGGAATTGAATTCGATTAAGAATTCGTATGTGATAGTAAACGGAGGCGAGACCTGCGCTGTCTGTGGAGAGGAGTTCAGACAGGATGACTGTATGGTGATAGATGGCGAGGATAAGAAAGTGCACGAGCGCTGCTGCTGCAAGGAGAAGGAGATTGAAGTGTTGAATGACTTGTTTTTGCGTGTTTATTTACAGAAATAAGAATGGGGGTGGGGGTGCAGAATTGCGATGGAAGTTGCAGGTGAGAATAGTCCACCCCCTGGGTCGATATTGTTGATTTTCTCAAAAGTTTGTAAGGACTCGTTTTATCAATGGCTAAGACTGAAAAAGGTAAGTTGGAGACGTTATGAATGCGAGGAATCGTGTCTAATCGCTCATGTAGCTGCTGCTGCTGCCAAGAAGACCCAGCGTGTTCAGAATAAGAAGGCTGGTCACATTCACACTACCACTCGTTTCTACCGCCCAAAGACTCTTGAGCTTGCTCGTAAGCCCAAGTATGTCAGACATGCGGTCCAGAAGGAGAACAAGATGGACGCTTACGCCATCATTAAGAAGCCTGCTGTGAGCGAGTCGTCCATGAAGAAGATTGAGGTATTTGTCTTCAGTGTGTGGGTAATGCGTAGTCTGAGAACATCCTGACCTTCTTCGTCGATATCCGTGCGAACAAGAGACAGATCCGCCAGGCCATCAACAAGCTCTACAACGTCAAGTGCGACAAGGTGAACACTGTGATTTCCCCTCTGGGATTCAAGAAGGCGTTCGTTCGCATGAGCGGAGAGAACGAGGCCATGGACGTTGCCAACAAGATCGGAATCTTCTAAGGTGATTCTGAGGTAAACCTGTCCTTATTATGCGTGTTTGTTTGAAAGTCAGGTGCTGAATTGATGTGTCATGGGAAGTCTTAATGAGCAGGCGTAGAAATCAGAAGGCGCTCATTTTCATACAGAGGAAAGCCAAAAGAGTCAACAGAATAATTCATATCATTCTCTTGGCTGTAACTTAATCTAATAATTCCTGTATACAGGTTCCTGTAGATTATTGTGTTATGTCAAATCCGGGAGAAAACAGTGAAACTACGGACTCTAGTTCCCTGGACTATTCGATCGAAACCGTATCGAGAATTGCGTTGTCTCTGAATTTTAGATCGCATCTGTATATCCGTCTTTTATGGAACTGAAGGATTTACAACGTCCGTGGGAATGGTCTGTTATCAAACAATATTATGTGGGTCTCCTAAATATATTAAGGATCAATCGTGAAATTCTGATCACTGAGAAGCTATCTAGTTGCATCGTTGGGTTTTATCTGGAAAGTCTCCGATCTATGGAAACTATCAGCAACGACGTATTCTCGTTTTTCAGACAGGTCCTAGATCTTATTCCGCTTACGCAAACCTTGGTTTATCATATATTCTTTTTCTTTTGCTTATCTGTGTCTTCTATCATTTTCTCTGACATTTAGGAAACGCCGTTGCCCCAGCTCGAATCTCTCTACTCGTTTCTCTCACAGCGTGTTTCCATTTCTGAACTCAGCTCGATCGTTCTTCTTCTTCTTCTCCCTTCTCACCTCCAGATCATGCAGCTGCAAGCTGATTCCGATATCAACACCCAGCCCAATTTCCCAGGTCTGATTTCGATTCTGAACCAGCTTCTCATCAACCGAAACACCGCCTTTTTAAGCCAGCTCCCTTCTCTCCTCGACGACTTCACCAACCAGCTCACCGAGCTCATCGAGGCCATCGGCTACAACGTCAGCTCCCAGCTCTGCAACGTGCTCAACGAGCTCCGCATCGTACTGGACGACTGCAGCGATCTCAAGCCCTCCGAAGCCGTCGGGTTTCCCCGTTTCCCTCATTCTAGAGCCGCAACCTGGTGAAGAAACTGCTCTTTCTGACGAACTACCAGAACGAACGCGTGCAGATCTGGGCGATCTACGTGCTGAACCAGATCTTGGAGCTGTGTCCGTCGCTGGTGACCAACCGCACGGCGCTGGCGCTCGAGCTGCTGCGCCTGGCGCTGAACAAGAAGTCGATCGAGCTCTCCATCGTTATGTTTTCTCCTTTCTTTTTAAAATCACCTCCAGTTTCTCCATTCTCGATACGCTCTCCAACGCCAAGGCGCAGCCGGACCCTCCCAGCGACCTCAGCGTCTTCACGTCGCTCCTCGGCGTCGCCAAGCGCAAGCTCCAGCCCAGCGACGTCGCGCTGCGCAGCCTCCGGCAGTCCGACGGCTGCGTCTGCGTGCTCCAGTGGATCCACCAGAACCGCAGGCTCCTCGCCCCGCTGCAGGCCAAGCTCCGCTTCGAGCTCGCGCGCTCCTGCGTCCTGCTCTTCCTCAACTCCAACCGCCCCGTCTGGCCGATGCTCCGCGACGTCGTCGAGGCCACGCAGGTCCCCAGCCGCGACGTCCGCAACGTTCTCTCCTCCCTCAAGCCCGATCTGCAGAGCCGCGCCGCCGAGAACCTCAAGTCCCTCTATCCCGACGACGGTTTCCACGGTTTCGACTTTCGAAGTGTAGACTTCGCCGATCTGATTCGGGCCGTGGGATCCCCCAAACTTCGCGTCCAGTCGCCGCATCGGTCGATCGCTCCGTCGTCGCCGCGCTTCTCCACGACGCCGCGCAAATCGTCCGCGGTGTTCACCTTCGATCCGCAGCCCTCGGAGTCCCCCGCGGTGAGTCCTCACCAGATCAAGCCGATGGATCCCCGCGATTACGGCCGAATCCGCCAGAAAAGCGAGGAAAGCCGCCAAGGGAGCGCGCTGTCGCAGAAAAACGTCCGCGAATCGGCGGTGGAGTTGACGTACTCGGTGCTCTCGTCGTCGACTTTGTTCGCGCAATACTGTTCCTGTCTGCGTCCCTCGCCGCTGCTGGACATCGTGCTGGGATTGCCGGAGAAGGGAGAGGTTCCGCAGGGCGTGTACGACGCGATCGCGATGAAATTGGAGGAGGGAAAGGGGTTTTCGGACGGAGATCTTCGCTATGAGGTCGACTGTGTGATTCGGTTTTTGGTGCTGCGACTGCTGGGGAAGCGCATTCTGGGGGAGAAGGACAGCGTGATGCGATTGGTTCTGACGCTCTGCGAGAGCAAGAAGGTGACGCTGAACCGCCTGGAAGTGAAAATGCTGCTCTTGGGACTGTTCTATGTGAACGGGTTTTCTTCCATGTCGAGCTATCTGCTCCGCGTCATCGACTCGTGCGGACTGGACAAGGTCGCCTTCGCCTTGCTCGCTCATCTCTAGTTCATCTCCATCCTCGTCGATGTCGTGAGTCTGTATTCCCGCGCCGTATCGCTCTCCGAGCCCATCGAGTGCATGCTCCTCGGCGTTCTCAACGCTCTCGAGTTTCTCGTCACCGAGGATTTCTTCTGCCAGCAGGGAAAAGCCCACCTCACCCAAGGCCTCCTCGCTCTCCTCGACTCCGTCTCCCCCGCCGTCCAGCAGGCCGCGCAGCGCGTCTGTCAGCGCTACTGCGACGAGGGCGCCGCGCTGATGGCCTCGGGCGTGTCGACGAGCACCGATCTCCGGATCCAGCTGTACAACGCGCACAGCCATCGCTTGCAGCGCGTGGAGCGCGCCAAATCGAGCGAGTCGATGCGCAGCCGCGCGGGGAACGGCGCTGCCGCGCATTTCCGGCCGCGACCGATGCTGAATCTGAAGAAGAAAGGATCGAGCTCGGGGTCGAGACACTCGAAAGATTACACGTCGAGCTCGAAGCAGTCGAAAGATCACACCTCCAGCTCCAAGCAATCGAAGGACCACTCGTCCTCCTCGCGCGGCGCCGCGTCGCACGTGCTCTACATCGACAATCAGAGCAGTATCTTCTCGGACGGCCCGGTGGACGCCACCTTCTCGTCCTCCGTCTTCGCCTCCCCGCCCGAATCCGAAGCGCCGCGGTATGTCCCGGTGAACCGCGCCACGCTGGTGTCGCCGACTTATAACGGCCTGGCCAATGGATCGTATGGATCGAACGGAGACAAGGACGTCATTGGGGACCACGATGGAATTGGAGACAATGGAGACGACAATGGAGACAATGGAGACAATGGAGACAACCCTTCGAATCTCTCGGAATCGGAGATTTCGCCGGTGGAAGAGTCGGAATCGCCGTACTTCGAGAAAATCCGAGCGGAGAACGGGAACGCGATGGTGATCGCGACGGGGATGAGCAGCACGAGCCAGGCGAACAGCCACGATTACAAGGGGAACCAGATGGTGCTGAACTCGGACTCCTCGGAAGACGAGCTGGTCTCGCATAAATACACGAACACGTACCCGGAAAGCGAAGAAGAATCGCCGGAGCGAAGGCAGATCAACGAGATCGCGTCGGTATTCCACGTGTTCATCCAGCTCTATCAGAGCTGCTCGTACATCTGCATCATTCAGCGGCAATACAGCGTGCTGTACGAGCAGCTGCTCAAAGTTCTCGTCGATATCAACCAATTCGTAGCGATGGCCGATCGAATTCACCGCTAGTTGAGCAGCGAGCAGGTCGTCGACATGTCCTCCGAAGAGCGCTGCGATCTCTTCACCGGTTTGTTCGTGCTGTTTCGCCTCGTCGTCGTGCAGTACGCGATCCTCAACACGCGAATCGACGAGGAGAACAGCACCATCCAGGCCTGCAAGGACGCGATCAAGCAAAACCGCGAGGAGTACGAGAAGTCGCGGATCGAAATGTGGATCAACGTCGCGCAGGAGAACCGCCAAATCATGTTCGATCATCGAGCCACGCTGGAAGTGTTGCTTCGCGAAGTAACCGTGCTGCCCGAGTTTGTCAGCAATCTCCTCACTCCCTTCAAAATCATCTCCGAGTCGCCTTTCCGCCAAGAGGTCGCTTTTTTATTATTGACTCGATTGTGTGTAGATCTGCAGCGAAATGACGCTTCTTTCCATTCATCACATGGCTTCGGCCGTCTATTTTTGCTATCAATATCGACAGTATCTCCAATCGATCGTCGACGTGCTGGCCCCCGTGCTGCACGACATGCTTTTCTTCAGTCAGACGCACACCGTGTACTCCTGCTTGCTCGACTTCCTCGGGAAATACGGGCTGAAGAAGGGGTCGGAGGAGTACAGCGAGGACACAGTTCTGTACGTGACCGCGCTGCTCTCCGAACTGCATCAATACAATATGAGTTGTCGACCGCCCTACCCGCAAGCGAATTACTCGAAGTGTAGGCGAGAAGGAGGAGAAAGGGGCTGATGTGTAGTCTGCAAGATGACGGAGAATATGCTGGAGAAAGACCTCATCGATCCGCTTCGGCAGTGTGTCGAGCAAATGCACCAAGATCTCGAGCGATTGGATCAAAGCACTGAACCCGATTCGCTCTATTTTAAGTCCGACGATAAGCAGCGCTGTACCGTGTTTCTTGAAAATTCGGTCCATTCGTGGAGTGTTTCTTCGAACAAACAATGCAAACAGGGATTTCGCCTTGGAATGAATAGGGATTGTGCTCCAGCGAGATGGGCTTTGAAATGATGCTGTCCCTGCGAACGAGTTTCTGCGATTTCTGAGAGGATATATGCTTTTTGGCCGAGTCCTTGGCAGCAGAGACGAAGGAGCTCAGCATGATCACCATGATTACAATCGTGATACAAACGACGAATATGATAATGATAATATTTACAATACGCGAAGAGGAACAATCTACGAAAAACAGCAATATTTGGAAAAGAGTACAATGATCATCGTTAAGTGTGTATTTGATGGGGTCGAATCCGTTAAGACTGAAATGCAATGAAGATGTTGCTACGATTTATGAGCAAGATATCCTTTACGGTAAGTAACTCCCATACTCACAACTGTTTCAGACATCATGAGAGATACATATGGACTGAATATCTCAAATGGAATGCACGACCAGTTGCTAAAAGGATGATTACGATGAAGAGTGACTAACCTGACTGGATATTCGACACCAATTTCGAAACCACTGCACGATTTCAACTCATGATACAATTTCATTTTCCCGCTTTCTCTTTTGAAAGAAAGCACTGTTCCCGTATAAGCCACATAATGAAGTGTAATAATGTATGTCACAGTCTCACTGTATTCTTTGCAGTCTGTAGTGTTGTAAAAGGTAATTGTATTCGTAAAATCGGTACAATTGCAAACACCATAGTCTTGAAAGAATAGATCGCTCTTAATCGCTAGAATAAATCAAGGAAAATAGATTCATACAATGGGTATCTCTGTTCAGGCAGGTGGAAAACACACCACAAACTATAAAGTTAGAATGCGTAAAATAGAATACTTGGAGAAGAAGCATCCTTTACATTTGAATCTTTCAAAGAAAAACGAGAAATTGAGCAAGTAGCTACTTCGCATAGGCATAATGATAGGATAAATAAGCTGATTGATTTTCCATTGGAATTGCTTCTCATACTGCATCGGCGATAACAAAAAATGATATGACCCCAATGTTATAATGTCGCCTATGTCCCAGTTAAAGTATGCTTATTTCTCTTGAGTTCAAATCTTTTACGAATACCAATTCTGCAGGGTTTCAGTTATACCAAATCTAGTAAAGAGGTTAATCTTGCTATGGTTGTTTTCCAAAATAAGAACTTCGCTGTTTATGCAAATAATAAGCAAGCATACAATTAATAGAGTGCAGTAGAAACGATTATCAGAATATGGATTATAATGATCATATCAAAATAGTCAATATCTATAATCTTGACAAACCTATGCACTCTTCACTTCTATGGCTTCATTTGATTCCTAGCAATCATTCCACTGTCGGAATCCTTCCATTCTTTTATCTCCATAGCTCCACTTTCACTCCCTCCCTCCTCTCCTTTCTTAAACAAACACTCCAAACTACGCGTGTTGCAATAGCGGGTCCTTTTCCGTCTTCTCCTCATGATTCGACATCGGCGTCAATGGTGACAATTTCATGTTCTGCACGTACTCCTGCACTGCGTCCTCGTCCCTCTCGATCGTAAACCGCAGCAAGAACGACAACGCCGCCGACACATAAAAGAACCCGCTAATCTTCAGCATGGCGGCAACGCGATCTCCCTCCCTCAGCATCTGCGTAAACACGATCGGCCCCACGATTCTTCCCGCGTTATTGAACACCTCCCCGATCGCGGTGGCGGTTCCTCTGCACTGCGGCCGATTGACGTTGAGCAAAATGCTTTTGAGAGCGGGCCCGGGGATGTTGAGCAGCACGCCGAGCACGGCGAGAAGCAGCGCGTGGAGGAGGAACGAGACGGAGACGGAGAGCCCCTCGGAGAGAGAGGGCGAGAAGAGAACGGAGAGCAACGGCATGCTGATGAGATAGCCGATCGCGACGGCGAGCGGGAGATACGATCGATTGACGCGGTAGAAGAACCGGCAGACCAGTCCGGAGAGCACGTTCCCGAAGGCCGCGCCGATCCCGAAGAAGATGAACAGCGACGACGCCTGGGAGTGAGGAAAGAACGAAAAAATAGAGACGGAATCGGCGGAGAATTTCTTCTCGTTCGCGAGAATGTCGTGGAGATAGCTGCTGTACACGCCCCACGGAATGGACCCCGGCAGTCCCTGCAGAAATACTACGTCGGCACGCTACAAGAATCGTACGGAGCACGTTGGACCCCACGCGGATGCTTCGCAGCACCTCGCGGAAATTCATCTGCAATGGCTTCGAGTGCTTCTCTGGGCGGCCGAGGCCGTCGGACTCCCCGCGGGAGGGGAGCTGGATGACTAGAGTGAAGGGGAAATAGGGAAAAAACAATAGAGGAAACAGAAGGAGATCATGCCGAGGAAGGGAATGACGCGGAAGTAGCTCCTCCAGCCGAAATGACTGCTTACGTACCCACAAATCGTTTGACCTGCGAGCATCCCAAAGCCCACAACGGTCGAACTAATCACCGAGGCTGCAGAGCGTTTCGAGGGAGGAAAGGTATCTCCCAGAATCGATAGGTAGATAGGTAGACTGGAGATCACGCAGACTCCAGAGAGACCTCTCCAAAGGAGAACGGAAGAGTAGGTAGTGGTAAAAGGAATAAGGAGAGCTGTTGCATGACAAAGAAAACTAGTGATCAAAAATACTGTCTTTCGTGAATATAAATCAGCTAAATAAGTTACAAGCACTGAGGAAGGTGCTCCGATTAGAAAGAAAACCGTGCTAAATCGACTCCCTATCTCTTATCCCACAGCCAGAAGAAATACCAATAAGCCTGTCTCTTTCTTCGTCTGAAAAACCAAAATCCTTGGCCATCGGCGTCAGAATTGGTGCAAAACAATTATAATAGAAATACAAAAGTAGGGTATTGACAGAGATTAAAATGATTGTACCCAAATATTGACTTGTTATAGCTTGCTTATCTAACTTGTCTGGACCTTTTAGATCTGGCACAGAAACAGAACTCTGTGTCATTGATGTCTGGACTTCAATAATTGTTTAAATATGATGTTTCCAGATTTTAAGGCTATTTATTGCGTTTGGATTTAATGAATGGATTTGTCGTATTGAACTGCAAATAGATTCGAATCATTGTATCGAACGTGTAGAGACGTCGATTTTGAAGTAAACGAATCACATAAAATCAACTTTGCGAAAAACCATCACAGGGGATAGCGCGAGACATGTATCATATATCCGTGAAGTATTAGCGAAAGTTAAAGATCGATCATAGTTTTGCGTGTTTGACAACCTTGGGTTCCTCCTCCCCGCTTGGTTTTCATTCGATGTCCATTTTGCAATCAGTACACAATCTCTACATGGATAATGAAAAACGAATCCTTTGTAAAATTGTAAGAATCGAGAATCGAACTCGAAGCATCCGATCGACATACCTATCCTCAGTACCACTCATCCATATAAACTGGAAAAAACAAGTGTAAATTGTAAACCACACTATTTCACATATTGAAAATGGACCCTCTTCGAACTCCCTCCAGTATGTCAATGCTCCCCAACAGGAATAGCGCAGTCAGTGAGGATTATGCAAAAGAGGATTCTATCGTCATACCCGACTGGCGAGTTCAGTATAGCATTTTTGAGTACTGTGAAGCCTAGCAATATCGTTTCCACGGTTAATATGAAGAAAGAGATCAACCTACCTGAAGTGGTAGATAAGTTGCGTAACACAGAGTATAATCCTAAGGTATGGTTTGGGATATTGAATTGACTGTTAAGCGCTTTGACGCGATGATCATGCGTATTCGAGAGCCCAAATGTACGGCTCTCGTTTTTAAATCTGGGAAGGTCGTTCTGGCAGGAACAAAGAGTACAAAAGATACCGAGGCCGCCGGAAGACGAGTGGTTGATATTCTATCTGTTGCTTTATGTTTTTGCATGTGATGCTTAGCGATTCACAGGAGGAAATAAGTCAGACGATACCAAGCCTATTATCCACAACATGGTCGCTGTCGGTGACTTTAAATTTCCGATTCGCCTTGAAGGCCTTTCAATCGAATATCTAGAATCAACAACCGTACGGCCGGCTGTGAAGATTAACTCCTAGTACGAACCTGAGCTTTTTTCTGGACTTATTTACCGCATGAAGAATCCGGACGTCGTTTTACTGATCTTCGTATCGGGCAAAGTGGTTGTAACGGGAGCCAAGGATGAATCGGACATCCGCCAAGCGTTCCGCAAGATTTCCCCGCTTATTTACAACTGCAGAAAGGTGTAAAGTATTCCGCTTGTTCTGTTTGCAACAAACACTCGATAGGTTCGGGTTTATCAGAATCCGGCCCAAGGTTCCCTTCGCATGTTCGATTACCTCCACATGTGCTTCGCTCGCTTTCTCGAGAGGATACTCGCAGTCCACGACGGGCTGCATCAGCTCTGGGCATTTTTCCGCTAGGGAATTAAGCAACTGAAGTGTATCATGGCGCTGTTGGGTCTACGCTCGATTCACGAAACAAAAAAATACGGTCTGGTTAAAAAGCATCACTCCGTGCACCGTGGATCCCTTCACCATCATGTCGCGGGGATTCACTTCGATAGTCCCGCGGTTTCCAATGACCAAAATCTCGCCATTTTTGTTTATGATTTCCTACGGTTTGCTGCGAAACAGCGCACGTACTAAGTCTTTCTGGAGATTTACGTTCGCCAGCATTTCGAAAATAACATCGGGACCGTTCCCTCCATTCACTGCATGAACCTTCTCCATATACGTGGAATCGGTTCGGTTCACCACAAGATCGATTCCCAAGCGGGTCAAATATTGTTCTGCGCGTTCTGTAGAGCAACTAGCGACGATCTGGATATTCTTGAATTGCGGATCGGTTTGACGGAGACTGAGCAGAATCTTTGCAATGCTGGTTCCCACGCCTCCGGAAGCGCCATGGATAAAGAAGGTTCGGTCCTTCATCTGTCGTGTGCATTGGATGGCACTAGTCATCAACGAGAACATAATTCTAAAAACATACTAGAGAGACGTAAAATATCCAGTGCCAAAGCAGGCACCACTTTTGTAACTACACTCCTTAGGAAGCAAATACAACTGATCCGGAGAAAAGACTCCGTGTGTAGCGTATGTTCCCGATACAGATCCACAGGAGTAAACACGATCTCCCACCTTGAATCCTTTCACGTCACTTCCCACAGAAATCACATCTCCCGAACAATCCAAACCCGGAGTATAAGGGCATGGACGAGCCTGTGTGTGCCATCCTTCACGTATATAAGTATCGACCGGATTAACAGCCGCATAGTGAATCTTGACAAGGATCTACTGCTTTGATGGTACAGAAAAACGAAAACCTGGCTTGATGTGATACGCGGAAGCTCGGCATTGGAAATAATCTTCATCATTTCGGGTCCTCCATGCTTCACAACCTGAACAGCTCTGAACATTGTAATAACACGCAATAACAAATTCTGCATTTCCCGCGGGATACCCTACAATCCTTCATAATCCCAAATCTACGTGTTCTTATGCCTCTTCTGTGTGTATTTTTGGACACGGTAACGCGTTAGTTATTCCCTAATTGCTCGTGGAAAAGTAGTCCTTGCAGAGAAGGAGATGTCTGCAGGGAACTTCCCTACGATCGGTCGTGTGTTGCTTAACCGCGTAAAACCAACCGATTCAAAAATGTCCTTTTCATACGACAAGTACGGGTGTTTTTGTTTGTATGAGGTGCAGGTATGTGTTTTACTATGTCGTCGACAATGAAGTGGTCTATATGTGCATGGCAGATAAGGATTTCAAGCGCCGAATCCCGTTCGCCTACCTCAATGACATCAAGACCCGGTTTGAAGAGATGTACGGCGCTACGATAAAGACGGCTGTTGAGCTAAACATGAACGAAGAGTTTTCGAAAGTTATGGAGAAGCGAATGGTTTAGTGTCGAGAAGGGTGTTAATTCCAGGAGTTCTTCAATAACGATCCCTCTGCCGATGCGATCACGCACGTCCGCGGCCAAATCAAGGAAGTGAAGGAAGTGATGGTGGACAACATCGGTAAGCGCTATGTCTATGTATTATCGAATCGCTAGATAAGGTTCTCAGCCGTGGAGAGAAGATCGAGGAGCTCGCCGATAAGACCCGCAACCTGGACCAGCAAGCTTTCATCTTCAATTCGGACGCTCGTGCTCTGAAGAACCAGATGTGGTGGCAGAACACGCGGTACATTGTTTTCATCGCGATCTTCGTGCTGGTAATCATCCTGGTACTGGTGTTGGTGGCATGTGGCGGTCCAAGTTTTTCGAAGTGTAAAAGATCCTAATTGAGATGTTTGTTGGAAAGAACGATTGGTAGATAGGATAGGATGGGATGAGAGTTTGTTTATTTACTTCAATGTTTGATTCAATACTTGTTTCATGGAGTGGTAGAATGCTTGCTCAACTGTATATCTGCTTCTTTGAATCTGTTCTGCTCGTTTGTTGAACCAAACATCCTAATCCTCATCACTAAACACGTTGTTCAGCTCCTTCTGGATCTCCTCCATGTGCGTTCGCTTCTCTTCAGGAACCGGTTCCTCATCTTCGGAGCTTTCCACAGCGCGAATTCGCTTCTTGGGAGCCTCTCTCTTCGGTTCATCATCATCCTCATTATCATCATCATTGCTCTTCGATTTGGCTTTCGACTCCTTCTCCATTCCCTGCTCCGACTCCGAATCGGAATCAGACAAATCTCCGAACACTCCCTTCAAGTCTCCCTCGCTGATCTGCTCGTTATCCTCCGATTCTTCCTCTTCCTCCTCTTCCTCCTCTTCCATTCGTCCCTTCTTTCCTCCTTCCGCGCCGCGTCCATGTCCCTTCGTCTTCGTCTGCCGCGTTTTCTTCGGCTGCTTCTTCTCCTGCACGATCTCCACCTCGTTAATCGTCTCCAGCACATGGCGGAACCGCGCCTTTTCCTCCTCCGCGATCCTCTCAATCCGCTGCTGCTGCTCTCGTTTCTCCCTTTCCACCTTCAATTCCTCCTCTCTCCGCCGCTCCAATCGCTTCTGCGCCGCCTCGCCCGGCTTCCCTGCCTCGCGCAGCTCCTCTCTCTGCGTCTCCTCCACTCGCTTCTGCTTCTCGTACTCCTCCCACAGCGTCCGGCACTCGATTCGCATCGCTTCGATCTGCTGCTCCGCGCCGCTCTCACCGCCCCACGCGCTCTCTCCTGCCTTCTTCAAACTCACCAGCGTGCTCAGCGCGAACTGGATCGAAATCTGCGCCTGCGTCAGATCCTCCGGCTGCCGCAGCGACCGCACGTGACAACCGGGCGCGTTTCGCGCGCCGCCGCAGCAAGGAAATCGCTGCGAGGCGTCGTCGAAGGGCTGCGGGTGCGTGTAGAGCACGTTGGAGATCACGCTGCGCGCGCGCGCCACGTGGCACACCGCCAGATCGAACCACACGCGCAGGTCCTACCGGTGAAACGGGGAACCAAACGGGGAACCGAGGGGTCCAGCTGCGCGGCGCGCGCCAGCTCGTCGAAGGCGCCCGGGAAATGCCCGCTCCGCATGCGCGCCAGGGCCAGGCAAAGCCGGACGTCGAGCTCGCGGTCGCAGGGCTGCGCTAAAACGGATTCGTAGAGCGACGCGGCGTCGCTGAACCGGCTCTCGCGAAGAAAAAGCGCGGCAATGTTGAGGCAGGTGCGCTGGAGAGACAGCGCGCTTTCGCGGACTTTTTTGAAGACGTGCAGCGCGGCTTGCGGCTTGGCGGCCTGCTGGAGCAGCGCGCCGGCGGCGCTGGCGAGATAGACGTTGGAAGGGTTGCGCTGAATGGCCTTGCTGAGCATCTTGGAGGCGAGGGAGGCGTAGGAGGAGGCGGGATCGGCGCGAGCCAGGCGGAGATAGAGCGAAATGAGGACGAGATTGAGGTAGAGATCGGGGTGCCTCGACGTGGAAACGTAGGAACTCACGATGAGGTTGACCGCCTCCTTCTCGCGCGACTGCAGAGCCAGCACGCGTGCGAGGAGACATAGCGAGTCCACGTACGTGTTCAGAACGTACCCCAGCAGCGTCGACGACTCCTTCAAGAACTACATCAAAACCCGATCTCATCGCTACGCCCGCGCGCAGCTGCCGATCCAGCTCCGTGTTCAGCTGCCGCAGCCGCTCTTCCGCCTCGCGGAGGCGTCGCGTGCGGATCTCCTGCTTCGCGATGCGCAGCACGCAGTCGAAATACTGCGGCACCTCCGCCAGAATCTTCTCCCACAAGCTTCGCGCCGCCTTGGACTCGCCTTCTTCGTCCAGAATCACCGCGTAGTTGAACAGCAGCGTCACGTGCAGCGGGTCCTCCAGGTACTGACGCATCGTCGCCGCGTCGGCCGTGATCAACCCGCGGGGATCGTCGCCCAGCTGCGCCTCGGCGAGCGAGTGCCGCAGGACTTCGTTCATGGCGAGCTGCGCGTCTTTGAGATCGGAGCGGAGGCGTCGCAGCACCGCCACGTTGTTCCACACCAGCGGGGCGAACGGCGTGCCGCTCTCGATGCTCAGACTCACGTACTGCTCGTAGAGAAGACGCGCCTTGTCCAGATCGTCGGGGTTCAAGAAGTTGCCCTGCAGCAGCTGCGCTTTCAGCAGCAGCGTGTGCAGCAGGATGCGCTGCGACATCGACCCCGGCTTCTACGCGTCAGATCCCCGTGGAACGGCCACATCGGGCAGCGTGGAAACCGTGGAAAGCGCCTTGGGGAGATCGTTGTTCTTGTAGAGAAGATAGGCGGCGATGAACGTCACCTCGCAGCTCGTGCATCCGTTCTGCGCGCAGGACGCCAGGTACGACCGCGCTTTCCCGCGCAATTCCTCCTTCGCCCGCCGCGTCGGCGCCTGCGACGAGAGATGAATGAGTCTACCTTTGAGCCCGCGAAAGCGCACGCTACACCTGGGCCAGTCCGTAGAGCGCGAGCACGTTCCGCTTGCTCACCGCAACGGCCTTCGCGAAGTATTTCTCCGCCTTGTTCCAGAAGTTCTCCGCGTGGTAGCAGCGACCGATCAGCTCCCACGCCTCCGACTTCAGCGAGCTCATCGTGGCCTGCTCCGCGCTCCGCGTCGCCAGGTCGAGGCACTTCGCGGTGTCGCGCGCCTCCACGGGGACGTCCGCGCAGCTCTCCCCGGCGAACGGCGACGACAGCAGCACCGACCCCGTCGCCGCCGCCTCGCGCACCGAGCGAACGCGGCAGAGAACGCCGTTGATCCGGATGGGCTGCGCGGCGTGGAGCTTCGAGGTGTCGCCTCGGACCTGCACGGCCTCGCTGTGCTGCTGCGCCGACACGGAGAGGCCCTCGATCGGCGACCACTGCCAGAACGTGTGGTCTGCGATGTAGTTCAGCGCTTGCGGGTGGTTCGGATTCACGCGGTAGAGCTGCTGGATCGTCTGCAGCGAGGCGATCACGCGCTCTTTCGGAGAGAGGTCGGCGGCGGTGCGCTGGAGCGCGGCCTTCATCGCTAGCGCTTCTTCGTTGGCGGGGTCGAGCTGGAGCGCGCGGTCCAAGGCGAGGAAGGCTTTCTTGTAGTTGTTCTGCTTGTAGAAGCAGTAGGCGATGCCCACGCGGACGGAGGCGGGAGCGTCGGGGTGGTCTGCATGGGAGAAACGGAGAAACGGTACAGAGAAGAGCCATTTGGTAGGCGTTGATCGCTTTGGCGTAGTCGCGACTTTGAATGAAGTAGAACGCCGCAGCGATGCTGGAGAGAAGGCAGGAGCGGTCGCGGTCCAGAGCGTGAATCATGTAGGTGTGGGCTGCTTTCATGTTGTCCTGGCGTTTAGAAAAAGAATCGACAGCAAACAGTGCGAAGGCAGTAGATGCACTTCAGGGCGAGGGACGTGGCGGAGGCTGCGCGGTCCTGCTGCTCCATGTTTATGAGCCGGTTGGATTCTTCGTCCTAATATAAATTCTCTTTCGCAGCACGTACGAATTGACGGTATTCCTCGGCTGTGAGTGTATTTGTTTTTAACTACCACGTCAAAACACGAAAACAGACCCCACTTTATAGGCGGTGCGATAGTTGATGAGAACGAGCTTGCACTCATACTCACTCTCAAAACGACGGAAATTCTCCTCCCGTAAAATTGTGTCAATGATTTTTAGGAACTGCTCATACTTTTTGACACTGTAATACCCAACCTAGCCAATGAAAGACTATCCACTACAATGTACGGCAATTTGGATCCAATAATGGGGGTGAACGTTTTCTCCGAATAAGGTTTGCGTTAACTCGTCCGTGTTGTCGCTTAGCTCATCCACGAACAATTCGATACATTGCTCAGAATCCGTAAGCGGAATACGAATCGAGGCCGGTTGTTCAGCAGTTTCAATCTCCATTATTGAAAAAGCAACTAATCGAAGAAATTTGGACTATTTTTCTCATTCCATTTTTATTGTCTTTATTTGTTCGTTCTTTCATGAAAGTAGCTGCATTATTGAGTGGTGGGAAAGACTCGTGCTACAACATGATCGAGTGTGTGAGGCACGGACATCAAATCGTTTGTCTGGTGAATTTGTGTCCAGGTATTGCTTAATCGTATTCTCTATTAATAGAAAATCGAAAGGTGAATGAGTTGGACTCGTATATGTATCAAACGATTGGTCATAACGCAGTTCAAGTCCGATTGTACCGTTTTGCTCACTTGTAGGCTATTGCAGACGCAATGTGTCTTCCGTTAGAGCAATTTACGATTTCTGGCAAGTGTCTCGAAATGGACTTGACGTATCAACCCAAAAGTGGTGATGAAGTGGAGGATTTGTACTCAGCTCTTCTGTGTGTGAAGGTCCGGCTTGTAGAGGATGGATAAGTGCTAGAAGAAGTATCCGGAAATCGAAGCTGTGTCTTCGGGAGCCATTCTGTCCAATTACCAGCGAGAACGCGTCGAAAACGTGTATCTTTTCCTCTTTTGTTCTTCCTTCCAGCTGTAATCGACTCAACCTAGTTTCTCTGGCGTATCTTTGGGAACGAGAGCAAAAAGAACTTCTTAACGATATGATTCAGAGTGGACTCGTAGCTCGAGTCATCAAAACAGCCACCATGGGTTTGGATCGGCGCCATATTGGGAAAACGTTAAACGAACTGCAGCCTTATCTCCTCAAAATCGCAACTTTGTATGGTTGCAATCCCTGTGGAGAAGGAGGCGAGTATGAAACCTTTACGGTGGATTGTCCTCTTTTCCAGTACCGCATCGAATTGTTGGAATTTGTGGAATTGATGAGTTGTAGTGATGATGTGGAGATTGTCACCCATTCCGAGTCGATGGATGCTCCGGTTTTGTTACTAGTTCCCAAAGCTTGGCATTTAGAGAAAAAAGAAAAAGAAAAAGAAAATGAGAATGAAGGGGAAACTTGTTTGGAGGGAATTGATGATACGGATATTTTGAAATCTATTGAACTGCCACGAAGTATCAACCCTCCATTTGATGAAATTCATAACAATAATAATGATAATTGGCTGAATTTAGAATCAGATGAGAAAGATACAGATAACGTAGTTGTAATTTGTCCTTCGCAGGAAAAAGCAAACGAACTATTGGAATTATGGAAAATGAAACAGTCAAATCCTTTATTGTAACTCCTTTCACCGATTTCAATGTCTAGACGCATAATCATATCTTCTCAGGCGAAATCGGTTATTCGAATGCCTACAAGTCTTTCTACGCCTCGTTTGTTTGCTTGGTTTTCAAGAACAAGCTGGTGCGCACCAGTTTTGTCTCATTATTCCTCGATTGGTGTGGAAGGACGCTGGGTTTCGATGCCGATGGTTCTTCCCATCGATTCAGACACGCTACTGAATTGCAATCACTCCGTAGAAGAAGCATATGAGAAGCTCTGCGATTACGAGCAGAAGATGTTACACAAGGTTTCTCGTACTGCGAAAACGCTCGTTCAAAGCTGCCTTACAAGTCTTCGATGGTCTTCCGAGCCGTTTGTTCCTCAATTGAATGTCCCTGCCACCATCACAGGCTGTGTGGATGATATTCTGCGAGGATGCCCTCTGCAGGCCAGTTTTGATGGAATTGACGCGTATGATGCATACACGGAGGCAGAAACGGAGACTTCGTTAGATGTTCATGTTGATGGAGACAAAGTGACTCTTACTTACGGTAATTTGGCTCAGTTTGTTGTTTGGAAGGATCCAGAGAGCGTTCAGTCCGTTCTGGAGAATGGCTTTGCTCATCATCAAGTCGTTGTTTATTTCGATCCAGATCACAATGTGGAACGATTCTCTATGGAAAATTGCGTGTTTATTCCGGTAAAGCGTCTTGGAGTTGCATTTGATGGGAAAGCGGTGGAAGCGGCTGGATGTGTTGTCCAAGTGATTTCTACGAATTTGTCTGTTTGTTGCACAACAAAACATGTGGGATTTTGAAATCAAGCGTTTTTCTGGAGTCAAGGAAAAACCAAAAAACGTTTGAACCCCATGGCCGAAGCTTCTAACATATCTGTGTCTCCGAAAGGAAAGCTGATGATTTTGCGTATGCGGGTCGAGAGGAAACACTAATGTATAGTGAGAAAAGATGAGGAATCGATTGTTGCTTTTATGGTGAAAAATAAGTCCGCTACTAGTGTTTGCTGTTGGATGGTAATGTTATGGATAGATAGTGTGTATCGTGAGCAGCAATCAGAAAGGTTTGTATTTTGTGAAGCCCACACGGTTCATCCTCCATCCTGCGGAGTCTAAGTTAGTTAGTGGTAAGTGTTTTTGCATTGGATAAAACTTAGTGCGTTGTGAAACTAAAGTAGTCAACGATCTTATGAACGCTGACCTGCCTACGAAGTACATTCTTTGCAGCGATTTGATGCGTAGTAATAAATTGCAGATTGTTAGCTATGCTATTGGCGAAAATCTTGCTGAGGTTATCAACAACTACAACGCTCCTTCCGAAAGAGATAAGATTTCCAAGCATGTACTGGCCTCCAGCGAAATTCAGTGTAGATGGAGCTGATCTCCAAGTGTCCGAAGGCGACGGATTTCCTTAACGTTCGTTTTACAAATATCCGATAAACGACTCTCTATTTCCTTGACTGCCACCTAATCCAGCATATGTCTCTTACTCGAAGAGCGTGTCGCCCACGACCGAAGAAATGTCTCCGACTGTAGCAGCGGAGGACGAGCGTGAGGTGAAGGTGACCCCCGCGATGTTTTCGAAGAACATGCTGTACGCAGCGGTGGCGATCGCGGGCATGGGACTGATTTTGAACTATTTGTTCCGATGGATTCGATGAGGAGATGGAACGGTCGCTTGCTTGTCTGTTTGTTGCACACGCATGAAAGGAAGTGAGTTCGATTGAGAGAGAAGAAGGCAATGCGATGGGTCTTGTTGTGTTAACAACATTCGTTTATTCTGACTGTAAGAAGAAAAAACATGGAACTATTCATCCATTATATTATCTTTGTTGAAAAAATAAACAAACAAAGAATTAAGTAAGTAAATAAATTAACCATCAATCATCATTCATTCATTCATTCATTCATTCATTCATTCATTCATTCAATCCACCTCTCAATCCCTTTTCCTTTTAGTACACAACACCACTTCCCCCGCCTTTAAAATCACCAACAGCCCCACCAGAACACTATTCCTCACCCCTCCAATCCGCGCCATACCTCAACACCCGCATAATCTGCTCTTCGATCCAAAAACTCTCCGCTCCTTCTCCCATCTCGCTCCACTCCATCCCAGACACTCGCTTCATCCCCGCTCCAAACCCCTCCCGCGCGATTTCCCGCGGTTCCAGACTCACCAGCTGCCGCACCAAATCGCGCACCGTGGATTCGGCCCAGAATCCGTCGGGCATCGCGATCCCCACGCGCTCTCTGACCAAAATCTGGACGATTTCGTGGTTGCGAAGCGACGGAACGCACAGCAGCGGGATCGAGTGATACAACGCCGCCTCCACAACCGCCAAATCGCAGTACGAAATAACCGCGGTGATCGAAACCTGCTCAAACAGCGAAAAAACCGACACTTTCGAGCTGTCCACAAACACGATATTGTCGCTCCCGTGCTTCCGCCGAATCGATCCGGTTCCCGCGATTATCACCTGAGTCGACGGGTCCTGCAATCCGCCAATAATCGTCTTCACTTGCCAGACTTCGAAGCCGTTGTTCGCTCCCATAAACACCACGATTCGAGTCGTAAACCGCGGGTTCAGCAACCCTGCCGCCGGTTTTTTGTGGAGCCAGTCCGGCGATGAAACGCCCGGCAAACGAAGCGGACCCAGATCGATCCAGTTGGAGGGAAACGTGGAACCCGCGGGAGAGAGGGGAGAGGAATCGTGGAAAACGCGGTGAAGGCCGTCGACGAAGAAAAAAGGGCGGGAATAGAGGAGGAAACCGCGGGGAATGGCGAGGTGATTGGCGCGAATGAAACTGTCGAGTGCGTGGGAATACTCGTCGACCGCGCTTTTCATCTGCAAGTAGCGGAAGATATCGTAGAAATGGTCTGGGTCATAATGAGGAAACAGGGAAACAGGAAGGGAGAAAAGGGGAAACGGGTTCCGCGGAGAAGAGGAGAAGGGAGCGATTGGAGGCGAGGGCCGCAAATTGGGCGCCTGGGAGTGTGAAATCCGAGAGGACGATGTCGGGGCTTTTTCTGGAATGGAAGGAATCGAAGGAAATATACTGGGAAATGTAGGAACTCACTTGATCGTATAATACAACAAGAGACTGCTTGCCGATCTAAAGATTAGATGGAAGTGTCATACACACTTCGAAAATGTGATTTCTGTAGTAATCACTGAAAGAAGAAACGTGGTAGGATGTTCGGATCAAATTGTTCAGCGATTCCATAGGGATAGGGAACTTTCCCATGCTGTATATCTAGATTGTACAATCAAAATCAAATAAAACAGTATATTTGTTGTTTTCGTTACTAAGCGGATATCCTATGTTATCGAACATACCAATCGTTACTTCATAGCGGCTGCAGAGTTCTTCTACTATAGAAAGCATTACCTCTGCAGAGTAATCCAAAAGCAATCAAAACTCACCAAAATGAAAGAGGGAAGGTAGTGCAATAGCGAACAGACTCGGTTTTTGCCCTTCCTGATTCGCTTTGAACTCAGAAGAATCTGCGCTTGAAGTCTGTACCTGCACTCCACACGAAATGCAAAATACAGCAAGAAGCAGCAGATAGCGTAACATCTACTAAATAAGAATATCAAGGCAATTATTGTGAAAGAAGTAATCAGTCCGTATTTGAGCATATCTAACATTTTGCTGACTAAATAGACGATCGATACAATTGTTTGCTTTTCTACAAAATTGCCCATGGAGAGGACGGTAATTGACGGTTGGGTCATCTCTAAGGAAATTAAAAGAGATACCAATTTCAATATTTATTTGGGTAGGAAATACCTCATTTCGTATTGATGTAGCTTTCAATGAATCGGATGCTGCCGAAAAGTATTTGTTGGTCATCGAACAAGATCTATCATCCGAATTTACTGATTACGATAGTCTATCGGATTCGAACATGTTTCCTGTGAATTTAGCATGCAAACCGCGCTTTAATTATTATAACAACCACTGTCTATTCAATCTCGTTGTTTGAGTCTAGGCTTTCCCATCGTTCCTCCAAGACGAGCTAGCGGTACCTACAACGGAAACGAATATTTCCTGATTGAGAAGGTGAACCGCAGCTTGAGTGCTGTTATATCTGATGAGTCATTTGTGGTTTCCAAAGATGATCTATTGAACCTGGCTTCCCAGATACTAGAGATTCTGTATATCTTATTTTCGAACGATCTCGTTCTCAAAAACCTTCACATCAACGACTTTATGCTCCGTCGTACCACCCGCGGTTTCCGCGCTGTTCTCATCAATCAGGACTTCTACACAAAGTACTTTTCGACAGAACCTCCATTCACCAAACAGAACCAGCTACATAATCGACGATTCCACGTTCACTTCGCTCAGTGTAATGGACGGGAATGGTACTCGAGATCTTATTTCCTTCATTCTTCAGAGCCCACACAGCAAGACAATCTCATCTCTCTCTGCTACATTCTGTGCTTTATGGCGTATCGATCGCTTCCCTGGATCGGTCTCACCGACTCCGAAATCAAAGAAAAGAAAGCAGCCAGTGAAGACTTCGTGCGACGTTGCCCCGTCTATTCAAGTTTCTCCGTTTCTCTTTTTGTTTCCTCTCAGAACTGCTCTCCATTCTCCTCAATCCCGACGTCTCGCGCGCACCGCTGGACCGCGTGAAGGACGCCATCGCGTACATCGCAGAGAGCGTCACCACGCCGCAGATCACGCTGGGCGTACCTTCCTTCTTCTTCTTTTTGCTCATTCCTAGGTCGACATGCTCAAAATCAAAAAGAAAAGCACGCTTCCGCGGGGATTCTCACCTCTAGAGCACATCCAGCCCCAGCAGAAAGAGCCGCTCCCCGCGGTTCCGCAGCACACTTCAGCGGTGGCCGCAGCGGCCGCAGCGAAGGAAGCGAAGGAAGCGAAGGAAGCGACGCCGCGCGTGTTGATGGTGGCGGGTCAGAAGTACGAAGTGAAGGTGGTGAACGGGAAGCGGTTGATGGAACCGATCGCCAGCCCGCTGCCGCTGCGAAGACCGCTGAAACGCGAACGAGAGAAAGAGAGAAACGTGGAAACGAGGACGGAAGCAAAGGAATCGACGGAAGCAAAGGAGCCATTCAAGGCAGATGAAGCAGGCGAATCGATTGAGGCATTCAAGCCGATGGATGAATCGACGAGCGAGAAAGCGTTGAATGAATCGGAAGCGCAGAACGCGAGCTACCCGCCCAGCAAGCGAATTCGAGCTCACACCATCGAGACGCGATCGATGTACGCTTCTGTTTGCTCTCTTTCATCCCAGACGATCCCACGCGCGCACTCTCTTCGGATCCGCTCTCTTCGCCTCCCTTTTCTTTGCCGGCGCCACTCTTCTCCTCGACCTCCCTTCCCTTCTTTGTTCCAACAAACAAATCACAAGCCTGGCGGCGCTTCATCGTCGTCAAAACCCGGCGGCGCTTCCTCCTCCGCCTTCTGTGTCGTCTCTCCCTTCGCCTCCTTCGCGCTCTCCACGCCTCCGCTCACCGCACCGCTCTGCGCTCCCATTCCGCCCATCGGAGCCATCGGAGCCATCGGATTCATTCCATTCATCGGGTTCATCGCTCCCATCGGATTCATTCCGTTCATCGGATTCATTCCTCCCATTGGATTCATCGCTCCCATCGAAGCGGGCAACGCCGAGCCCATCTGGGCATTGCCCGACCCCTCCATCGCGCCGCTCTGCGCTCCCTGCACGGCTCCCATGCCCGGCATCCCTGCAGAGCCCGCGCCTGGCGCCACGGCTCCCGCCGGAGGGACGGCCTGGTGCTGGTAGAACTCCTGGTACTGCATCTGCATGTACTGCTCGAGCTGGTTGAGATCCAGTCCGGAGGTGAGCATCTGCTGCATCATCATCATGGGGTCCCACTGGTTCGTGGCCTTGCTGCTCTCGCGATATTCGGTTCCGGTGCCCACGGTGGTTCCGATCATCCGCTGGATCTCCGCCTTGGCGAGCTGCTGCTGCTCTTCGGTGCCGCCAATGTTAATCACTCTGCCCGTTACACCAACGACCGAAGAACTACCGGACGGGAGGGTAGATGCCTTCGACCGGCTTGCCCGGGATTTGAATGTACGCGTGCGATTTGCTCTGGATGTCCTTGATGATCGTGCCCTTCTTGCCGATCACCAGCCCCACCTTATCGTCCGGAACCGTGATCGTGCACACCGGCACGTCCGGCGGAATGCTGCCCATCTGCCCGTCGATGATATCCTGGATGTGCTTCTTCGCCTCCAGCACGTTCTTCGGATCGCCCGTGATGATAATGTACCGCTTCGTCGGGTCCTTTTTATCGGGGTCGCGCGGGACTTGGATCTGCGTGCTCGTCTTGGACATGAGCTCTTTAATCACGCAGCCGTCCCGACCGATCACCAGCCCCACTTTATCGTTGGGCACCGCCACCTTCTCGAATCCGTCGCGACTGCTCTGCAATCGCGTGATGATGTCGCCCTTCCGCGTCTCCACAAGCGTCTGGATCACTTCCTTCGTCTTCTCGATCATATCGCGATGCCCGCGAATCGTCACGTCGCGCATCACCGCATTCCCCGACACCTCGTTCTCCTGCTGGATCTACGTTTCCACGATTCACAGCAAGCCCACTCGCAGATTGACGTTGAAAATATCCTGCAGGTGTCGACGGTTCTCCCCGTTTTTCCCGATGATCAGACCCACGATCGCGAACGGAACCTGGATCGTCTCGATCTCCACGTCTGTCTCTCACCGCTCTCCCGCGTCCTCACCGCCATTGAACTCGCTCCGGTTGAAAATCGAAGGGATCGCCGACATCACCGAGTCCACCGCCGGCGTTTCGACCGATTTCTGCGTGAAAACCGCGGAAGAATCCTACGAACGACTTCTCGACGAGTCGACGCGCGAGGTCGGGCTGCGTGAAGACGTTTTCGACGCGCTCCACGGCGCTGTTGAGCGTTTCTTCGTTGCTGGCGGAGATCAGAACGTGCAGGGGCTCGTCCATCTCGGTCACCATCATCTAGAGGGAGAGAAGAGGCAGAAAGCGACGTCTTTGCCGCCCACGGTGAGCGTTGTGTGGGTGTCGGTCTCGACTTCGAGGCGGAAGGGACCGTTGAAGATGGCTTTGTAATCGATGTCGTTCTGCAGCGGGAAATAGACTTTCTTTGTTAGGAGAGAGCTGCTGAAGCGAGACATACGAGGCTTTGCGGTAGCTTTCACTACAGGATCATGGAGTGCGATAAAGCAAACTGGATAGGGATAGCTTCTTAGCAGCCTCCATTGCTGCAATAACTGCAGCGCTAGGATCGGGAATTTCACTTGATGGTTTAGCAGTAGTAGTAGAAGTAGAAGTAGAAGCAGGTGGAGCCTGAACATCTGTCACTCCACGAGACGCATGTTCTTTTCGCTCCGCAGAATGCTCTGAACGATGGCTTCTGTCAGAACTGCGATCTCTTCTCCGACCGCTATCATAGTCGCGCTCGCGATGCCTGTCATGACGTCTGTATTCATCTCGACTTCGTTCTCTATCATGGTCCCTTCCTCTGGAATAGCGCTCAGAATCGCGATGATCTCGACTATGTCTATCTGAAAGTTGAAACAAACAATAATCAAATTCATCTAGAGTAAGAACTATCAAAATAAGCACTTACACGTGAATGGCGACTCTCCATAGCCTATATATTCTATTTTGTGTCGATAGAACTAATGATTAACTTAGCCTACCCTGAAAGCATACATAAGAGGAGATTATAAGTGTAATAGGTGATAATCGATTATTGCAATTCCAATATTCTGGACAAAACAGTCGGTGTACCGAATCTACTTATTTTTAAGTTATAAAATAATTCTAAAAGATATGGAAAACAATGATAATGTTTTGGGAGGATGCATTCTTGCCTTTTTCATCCTACTAATTCTGCTTGTATTATTATCGGGTTTTCCTTTGATCACATAGTATTGGTTTTTGTGCAAATGTGTTATCATCGTCGCGCAAGGAACCGCAGTTATTGTGGAACGATTTGGAAGGTTTTATAAAAAGGCAGGCAGAGACGATGTACACTTATTTCTAGTGTGATGCTGGATACCATGTCCTTATTCCTTTTGTGGATGTTCCGAGAAAGGTTATTTGGAGAACCTTCGTAAGCTATCTTACCCCGTTTTTAAATTTTAGCTCGTGGACGGTTCTTCCTCCGGCTTTTACCAGGAAACCTTCTCTTACAATTTGGACCTGCGCCAGACCATTTTTGATCTCCCTATTCAACAAATTATCACTCGCGATAATGTGACCATCAGTGTCCATCCGATGATGCTCGTGAGAGTCACCGACCCCGTCCGTGTGGCCTACGAAGTACTCTCGCACAATTCCTTCTCTCTAGACCTACGACCTCATGGAGGCGGTCGAGCGTCTCGTCCAGACGTCTCTCCGTTCCGTAATCGGCGACATGGGTCTAGATGACACCCTGGCGTCTCGTCAAGAGATCGAGAAGCTGGTGTCGAACAAGGTGTGCAAGATCTGCCAGGACTGGGGCCTCACCGTCACCGGCGTGGATCTCCTCGAAATCGACCCTACGCGCACCATCCAGCAGGCCATGCACGAGCAGATCCGCGCAGAGCGTTATCGCCGAACCCAGAAGGTCACGGCGGAAGGTATGGCGGAGAAGCTGCGGCTGCAGGCGGAGGGAAACTGCCAGGCGGCGAAGACGCGCGCGACGGGAGACAGCACGAGCGTGAAGTCGATCGCGGAGGGAAACCGGAACGCTCGGCTGATTATCGCGGAGAAGACGGCGGAGAGCTTGAATGTGGTGGCGGAGGCGTTGAAGGGCGTGACGAAGGACCCGACGCAGTACTTGATCGGAGTGCAATATGTGAACATGCTGAAGGAAATCGCGAAGAAAGCGAAGGCTGTGACGGTGTATTTGCCGCTAGAGACAGATATTGGAGGAATTGCGTCAAAGCTGTAGTGTGATTATGATGAGTTTGAGAGAATAAACGATTGAATGAATTGCGATAACAAACAAACAAACAAACAAATGAATGAATGAATGAATGGAATAAAAAAGAATAAAAGAACTAGTGCATTGCGACGAGGGTTAGAGAGTTAACAGAATCGCGTCTTCGCGATCGTTTCGGCTGCTTTCATTCGTGGAATCGTTTGCTGCTTCGCTTTCCTTTCGCTTTCCTTTCTCGGCTCCCTTCGCTTTGGATTTGGCATTGGATTTCGTATCCTTTTCCTTTTCATTCGACTCTTCCTTTGCCAGCAATTTCGTTCCTTCTTTATTCAATTCATCCACAAACGCTTCCGTTATCGTTCCATTCTCTTCCTCCTCCTCCGGTTTCCCCGGTTTCCCCTCTTTCTCCGGTTCCTCCGGAGGCACAAAATACGGAATCTTTCCTCTCTGCAAATCATTGATCAGCATCACCGCGGCCTGCTTCGTATCGCCGTCTCCGCCCTTCAGCAATTTCCCGAACTTCTGCGCGATCTTCTCCAAGAAATCCTCCCAATCCTCCCAATCCTCGATGTTGTACGTCTTCTGCAAGTACTCCTTCTTCACACGCGACAGAACCTCCGGAATCACCATCTCCGGGTCCGCTAAGCGCTCTGCGCGCACCACACCTTTGATCACAATCTCGGCGTCCGAGTCGTTGGTGGGCGGAACGATTCCAGGACAGTCGATCAAGTAGATATTGCGAAGCAGCGTGATGTATTGCCACACTTTGGTCTCGCCTGGAATCGGCGCGACTTTGCAGACCTGCTTCTTCTTCAGCGTGTTGATGATGCTGCTCTTCCCGACGTTCGGATAGCCGATGAACCCAACGCTGATTTGCTTTTTGTCCTTGTGGAGCAGCGCGAGCTGCCGCAGCAGATCGAAGAGAGCGGCTTTGCCGAAGCAGTGCTGGAAGGACGCGTGATAAGCCAACGTCGGATATCTAGAAGGTCGAAAGAGAGAGGAAAAAGAACCTACTCGGCAGAAAGAATCGCGACCCATTTCTTTGTGCACCATGTGGGAACCAAATCGCATTTATTCAGAATGAACACTAAGTGCTTGTGACGCATGTTCTTCTTCAGATACTCCTCGATTTGCTTCGAACGCGTGCCCAGAGGGTCGCGTGCGTCCAGCACTTCGATCACCACATCGCTCGAGTCCAGCACTTTGTACAGCTCGCTGTGGATTCGCTTGCTTTGCCCGGCGGTCAGGAAAATGTCTTTCGCGGCCGCTTGCGAGATCTCGTCGTTCAAGCGCGGCTTCTCTTCTTGCTTCTCCTCGTGTAGTTTCTGCTTCTTGGAAACATCCGAAACCAAGTTCGCCAGATCGGTTGCCGCCAATTTCACACTAACCATTAGGAAAATACACACATGAGGCGAGTACCGTTTACGACGCTTGTCAGGACCGAAAGTACTCTGGAACGACTCCGTCGTGAGCAAATTCATCCGCTCCACTTTGGAAGAATCGGTGATCAAACTCATAGGAAGAACTTTCGTCTTTAAAACCACAGAATACCTGGATGCTAAAAGCAAAGCCACATTCAACATACGGGTCATTTACTGTTTTCGCCATCTCTTCACGAAACGTGTCCAACTTCTCTGGAGTAATTGTTCGCGTGTTTCCAAACCACTTTCTGTTGGGGGCAATGCGAGCAGGTCCCTCTATTTCCTTGTTTGCTGTTTTGGTCGTGCTCCGCAAATACCCGCCGATTACCTTTCCATCGCGGTCGTATTTCGCCTTTCCCTCTCGATACATATGCATTCGGTTGATGGTGGACCGATCACGCATATTCGAGTTCTTACGCACACGATCGGGGTTATCCGAACTGTTACTCTTGTATGAGCTTCGTTTCACCATAGTGGATGGAGAAAAAATGAAAAATGTGGACAGTGGTGTAATCAGTGCGAAATAGATGGAAAATCAACAAGGGATGAAACTTGAATAGCATTGAACATCGAATCACTTTCTTATATGACTCGATTCCTAGTTCTATTTCACATTCATTTTCGCATTTAGCGCGATCGTATAACTCGAAACTATTGAATTTGAAAATACCCCCTTGATCGAAAAGGGTATTGGGGAACTGGCTTAAAGGAATGTATACCCCCACAAGTTTGCTGTTGTCCAATACAGAAAAGCGACAATCACCATGAAGGGACCTTGGGAAAGCATTGCTTGCGGAAGAGAGAAGGGTTTCCAGACCCAGAAGCTGGAGAAGAAGGTGAGCCACTGCCAGAAGAGAGTATGTAGCTGTTGGAGACGATTTAATTATGTAGCACACCTCGAAGAGATCGAAGGTTGTTCGTGAGCTTATCAGCGAGGTCACTGGTATGATCCCCTACGAGAAGCACATGATGGATATCCTGAAGGTATAGGGTGACGGTATGTACTGATTTTCATAGGCTGGCGGCAACAACACCGAAAAGAAGATGTACAAGTTTGCCAAGAAGCGAGTAGGTTCAAACCGTTCTGAATGACCCCTAGCTTCACTCTCACAAGAGAGCTCTTGCTAAGAGAGATGCTATCAAGGAACTCTATGCCAAGATGCGTCGTGCTCATCATCACCACTAAGTGTATTGAAGACTCACTTCGGGGGTGTATTGTCCGTGTGTTTGTTCGATCAAACAATCGCAATGTCCTTGACTCTCCTCACAACTTCTTCTTTCCTTCCTTCCTTCCTTCCTTCTCCCCTTAGTTCTCCTTCTCGGCGGCCTTCGCAGCACGCTTCGCACGCTTACCGAAGTTGTGGGCATCGCACAGAGCCTGTCTCAGTCCCATGAACGCAGACCGCTTCTTCAGCTCGGGAGTCACTTCCATGAACTCCACCTTCGGGGCGACCTTCTCAATCGGCAGGATGGTACCGTTCAGCTGGGTGGCAGCAGCCATCTCCTCAGCAGTGGCCACTCCCTTCTCTCCCTTCACTCCGCGAGGGAACAGGATCAGCTTGCTCTTGTACGCGTTCAGACGCTCCACGTTCGCCTGCAGAGACTCCACGCAGCGGTTCACACGACGATGATCCACAGCAATACCGATCGTCAGAGCCTCACGGGGGTTGATTCCGGCCTCCTATTCCATTACACACCAAACCAAACCGAAACACACCTTCAACTCTTGCAGAGTGAAACCACGGCCCAGTCTGGTTTTCATGTTGTACTTCTGCGTAGAGCAGCGGACAACGGGACGGAGCAGTCCGGCAGCAGGGCGAGGAGCGATCGCGGCAGCCTTTTCCTTACGGAGCAGTCTGCGGCGTCTCTTCTGTCCAGCCTGATCGAACCAGGTCTTCACACGGCGATCCCAGTCCTTCTTAAAGTGAGCATTAGGTAAAACGTTGTTGTGCTTCATTTAAACAAATCTATAATTTCGTTAGAAAGATATTCACAGATGATATAAAACACATAGCAAAAACATACCAAGGACAGATAAAATATAACCACAAAAAAGCCGCTATATTTGTCAATAAATCGATCAAAGGAAAGCAAGCAAGATAAAAATCCGCTATGATTATAGATATGGAAATCAAATTGCATCCCTAAAAATGCGTGGAAAGAAAAGGACATCATTACACCGATGTGAATGTCTAAGACTATCGATACATATTAATAATGTGAGCCGATAGATGGAAGGACGATAGTATATACTGAAGATATTTCTAACAAGCTTTTTTATAATAGTAAAACGGAAATATGGTAATCGCAGTAATAATAGTAAGTAAAACGAATCATATATGGGACTCTTTTATCCAAAACCTTATACTGAGTTAAGAGTTTATTTTTATATTTTTTTTGCTATGCAGCAATATCCGATCCTTGGAATTGATTTGGGAACTTGCTATTCTTGCGTGTATGCTTATCACAAAGGTAGTATAGAACCTGTACCTATTAATGGAGCAAACACAATAAGATCCGCTATATATGTTAGAGATGGAGTGATGCTATTCGGAAGTTTGGCTATGGCCCATGCCCACAATGAACCTGACAATGTTTTTTATGATGTTAAGCGATTTATTGGAAGAACTTATAACGAGATTGGAGATCTCGTCCAGAGAAAGAACTATCAGTTTTCTATTATGCAGTGGGGTGATGTACCAGTATTCGTGGTTCCTTCGTCTCAAGATAGAAACAGTTACTCGGTCTGTACTCCTGAAGTCCTTGATAGCTATTTTTTGAAATATCTCGTTGATGAAGCCCAGAATTATTTGGGGTATCAAATCACAGATGTTGTTATCACAGTACCCGCTTTTTTCCAGCAATCTCAGCAGAATACCACTCTGGCAGCTGCGCAGCTTGCGGGTTTAAATGTTCTGGCTCTATTTCATGAGCCTAGTGCCGCAGCGTTGGCAAGTAACCTGCCTCCCGTTTTAGAACTGCGCCATGTTCTGGTGTATGATTTAGGAGGAGGTACTTTTGATCTTGCTTTGGTAGAGACAAAGAATGCTTTATATGATGTTATTGGAAGTGATGGTGACCCCTTTTTAGGAGGTAGTGATTTTGACTATGAGATGTGTAAGATTATACAGGACCGGCTGGTACAACATGGAATTGATATCAATATGTGGAATCGACAGAAGATTTCTCGGCTCCAGGATCTTTCAGAAAAGGCAAAGATTGAGTTATCTACAATGAAGTCAACTTATATTGATATCTCTTTAATTGATTCTTCTATTGAATGCGACTTTGATATCTATCGAGATGAGTTTGAGAAGGCTATTTTCCCGTATATCCAGAGAACGTTGGATATTTGCCATCGATTACTACAGTACACACATGTTGTATTGACTCCTAATGATGCTATTCTCCTTGTAGGAGGATCTTCCTACATTCCGTTAGTGAGAGCTTCCTTGGAGAAGGCATTCCCTAATACTCCTATTCTTAACAACGTGAATCCTGCAGAGATCGTGGCTCATGGTGCTGCATGGTACTGTCTTGATATGTATTGCAGCAAGCACGACCCTCCTCTTCAGAATCCTCTCCCCTGCCCTGTCATCCATCCCATTGTGGTCCACTCGGTGTATGTTCAGTTTGGTAATAATCCACCTGTTCTTGTCCTCCCTTCTGGAGTTCGCTGCCAGACTGTGGAGCGAAAAACCTATGCGTTTTCTTGGAATGGAGTGAGAGTGAAGATCCTGACTGATGGAGACGATCACCAGGCTGGAAATCTGCGCGAGTTGGATACGTTTAATATTCGAGGCTTCTTTGGTCAGGCTGTTATTGAGATGCAAATGAATGCCAAGGGTGAACTTGAGTTCTCTTATGGAAGACAGGGGCATCGACTAGAGACTCGAATTGTGGGATTCCAGCATAGCATCTCTATGACCCAGCTCAACCAGTTTACCCAACGATACAACCTGATCAAAAAGTGTAAGAATGACATCACAGCCATCTTTACACAGAAGCAGCAGCAAGGAAGAGTGACAGCTCAGGCTCGTAATCAGTACAACCTTATTATGGACTGGTTCAATAATCCTAAAGTTATTCAACGCGCCAGTGATGATACTATCAACAGAGTATATAGGGAAAATTATTATGATTATTTTGCTCGTTTATAAATGTATTCACTTTGTTTGTTTGACACTCTTCTTCTATGTTTGGTTGATAACACCAAGGGAAAAAACAATGGTTCATCGTGTCTGCTTCTGTTTGCATTTGTGATACAATAAGGGAGTATCAAGTTGATAGGCACAACAAACAAAGCACTCATCCATTTCCGTTCTATTACAGCTGTATTTCTAAATCTAATCAAGAAGAATGAAAGAAACCATCTTCTCTGCCTCAGATAACAACTTCCATTCCTTGGACAATTGGGACGACAACTCCACAAACGTGATTTCTATCGAATAACAAAGAAATTACGATAATATACGTGGATTCTTTTTGCGTTCCTCCTTCATTCGTACTTTAAGAAACACATTATAAGGGATGCGCTCACGACGATGCTGTATCGTACGCTTAGGCTTACTCGTTTTAGATTTTGAGATCAGTGATGCAGACTCTAGGTAGGGAGCAGTGTTAGAAGAGGAAGAAGGCAATAAAACTGGATCGTTTGCAGCATCCAGAGAGTGGCTATGCGATTCAGACATGAAAGAAATGAGAGTGGTGCGGAGTGAAGAAGGGATGGAGGCATTCACTAATGTGTTCATAGAGAGGAAAATAAACAACTGAGTGGTGTAGGAAGAGATAACGAGGAGTTGTAGAAACGGGGCTGACGGTATTGCAAAGAGGGAGATTCTTCTTTGCTAAAATGTTATCTTACGGTTTTGGAAATCTACGAATAGCGCCGGCTATACTCATATCGTGCTTGGGGAAGGGATTCTTGATATGTCTACAGCTTACATGTGCCAAAAACATACAACTTTCTTGTCATACTCCGAAAGTGCATTCCATACCTGCTTGCATGACTCAACAGAATAAGTTTCGGTTATATTTTCGCGAGAATGAAACAGCCAAAAGAGCATGAAAGGAGTTAGGGGCTCTATTGAACTAATAAACTCCAGCTAGAATTGTAAAATAGACGGATATCTACTTTCGCAGTTGTCGATGATAACGATGACACTGAATTGAGTAAGACACATCAAAACGCCTACAACGCTCTGCAACATAGCTAAAATACTCGGCATTAATTCGACACAGAGTGGAATATAATATCTAGATGAAGAAAAGTGACAACAGCAGACATTAAAGGTTTCGATAATATATTCTATATTTTGTTCAGCAAAAGTCATGCTTAAATTGGTTTCACTGTTACTAAAGGAATTCATTATATCTCTTATGGTAATTGATCTAGAATAAAGGGTCCAGTCTGATACTACTGTGGATCACTTGATCTGATTAGCAGTTCTCGTAGAACATTTTCGATCAATCCCCTTTCTTCCATAACATAAACAGTACAGTACTTTGAAGGAGTATTAGAAAACTCTTTGAATGAAACAGGACTACACTGCTTATACGACTCGTGTATAGAACCAAAAGTGAAAAAGAGAGAAATCAAGGTTCTCATAAAATGGCATTGAAAAAAGATGGAGTGAATTCTCTGTGGAAAGTTCTATTGTTGGAACAATGGTGTCAGTGATAAGGAACCAAGCAAGTGACTTGGATCTCAAATTCTGGAATTCCATATTTTCGGGTCAAAGTGGGGGTTTGGTCATACACCCAATCAAGTGCTTAACATATTTTATTAATTTCACAATGCCTATTGATATTAACCTGCTTCGTGTCTCGCGTGGAGGAAACCCGGACTTGGTTCGTAAATCCCAGAAAGACCGTTTTGCCAGCGTGGAGCTTGTCGATGAAGTGATCGCTCTGGATGATGTACCTTTCGTGTTTCCAATTCACTGTAGAAATGGAGAGCTCTTGTTGGAAGCATTGACAACATGAAGAAGGAAAAGCGTATTTTGTCCACTGCTGTATGTTTCGACAATTGAATCTGATCAATAGATCGGAAAGGCTCGCAAGGAGGGCAAAGATGCAGCGGAGGAAGCCGCAAAGGTGAAGGAGGTGACTGCAAAGATCGAAGAAACGGAGAAGGAAGTGGAGAAAGTGCGTGTGGAGCGTGATGCCAAGTTGGGCAAGATCGGTAACATATTATCGGACACTTGCATCATCGACAATAACGAGGACAACAACGGTGTTGTCTGGAAGTGGGGAACGCCCCGTCCCATGACCAAGGATATGTATTGCCATCACGAGCTCTTGTGGATGCTCGATGGCTACGAACCCGAGCGCGGAACGCGCGTAGCGGGTCATCGTGGATACTTCCTGAAGGGTTCTGCGGTGCTGTTGAACCAGGCGATCATCATGTACGCGATGCAATGGAACACAAAGCGCGGATTCACGCTTTTGCAGACTCCGTACTTCATGAATCGCGACGTGATGGCTGGCGTTGCGCAGCTGGAGGACTTCGACGAGAGTCTGTACCACGTTGAAGGGGAGGAGGGCGAAGAGAAATATTTAATCGCGACGTCGGAGCAGCCGATCTGCGGGTATCACATGGGCGAGTGGCTGGACGAGAAGGAGCTGCCGTTGAAATACACGGGGTTCTCTACGAACTTCCGGAAGGAGGCCGGAGCGCACGGGAAGGACACGTGGGGCATTTTCCGCGTGCACCAGTTCGACAAAGTGGAGCAGTTCGTGATTTCGAAGCCGGAGGAGAGCTGGGCGATGCACGAATACATGATTCAGAACTCGCGCGAGTTCTACGAGTCGCTGAATCTGCCGTACCGCGTGGTGAACATCGTGTCGGGCGCGCTGAACAACGCGGCGGCGAAGAAATACGACCTGGAAGGATGGTTCCCGGGGTACGAAGCGTACCGCGAGCTGGTGTCGTGCAGCAACTGCACGGATTATCAGAGCCGCGCGATGGAGATTCGGTGCGGCGCGACGAAGAAGAAGAACGAGGAGAAGAAGTACGTGCACATGCTGAACTCGACGCTGTGCGCGCTGACGCGGACGCTGTGCTGCATTCTGGAGAACTATCAGACGAGCGAGGGCGTGGAGATCCCCGAGGTGTTGCAGCCGTGGATGGGCGGAATCAAGTTCCTGCCGTTCAAACGACCGCTGCCGCCCGCGATGCTGAAGGCCAGGGAGGAGAGACTGAAGCAGATGAAGTAATAATCCATCCTATTATATAGTGTTAGCTGGCCGTGTTTGTGAACAAACAATCCATTCTTGCCATTTACGTGCTCTTGGTTAGGCATCGACAGGTACAAAATCGGGTCCAAAGCGGGGGTCGCTATCGAATCAGGAAGCCAAGTCTGTGTGTACTTCGGATTGTCCATGGCAGCCATGTGCAGCCCGTTCGGATCAGCAGACTGCGTGTTGTTGTTGTTATTGTTGTTATTGTTGTTATTGTTCACGTTCACGACGGTTCCAATCATACGTACACGCATTGTCATCGAGATTCCATTGCAATCCAAACGCTGATTGTCGAATGTCTGGATCGCCTTCTCTGCATCGGTGCGGTTCGAATACGTCACTGCTCCGGTTCCCTGGAGTTAACACCATTCGTATTAATAGTAGTAGCTACTTTGAAATGGTTTTCGCTATCCGTATCCATGAGTATAGACACCATGTTCGGTACGCTGCCGAAAAGCTTTTCCAACACATCCCGATCAACAGAGGGGTCTAATCCTCCGAAAAACACCTGGGTGGCTAGTGGTGACTTTGGAAAGAGAATACTACCGACTTCGAACGTCACTGGAGCTGGTGCGATTCCTAAATACACGTGTTAGATAAGCTCATCATCTTGAGAATGGAACATACTTTGAGGAGCAGGTTGTTGAGGAAGTGCAGCACCCTGAGCTCTTCCAGAAAAACGATCATGCTTCCAGTTTCCTTCCATGTTGCGGCTTCTTCTGTCCTGAATGCGGTTTTGCATCATTCTCTAAACAGAACATTGGGAACAGAAATAGAATACGGCCGAACGACCATTTCTGTTATTCAGCTGTTGCTTTACATAGTCGTTTCTGCCACGATAAGCCACTCCAGGCTTGCCTAGTATGAGATTATCCCTAAAAACACAAGATACGAATAACACTATCCCGGTTGAACTTCATTTGGTTCTTATTCCTCTTTATTTGATTGCTCCTCTTTCTGGAGATGATTTCGTCCAAACCCATATTTATATAATCATTATTATTATTGTTCATGTCTCCTCTATACATAATATTCAAATCCAGCACAATACGTGGTATTTCTTTCTATTTCTTTCAATTTCACTGTTATAGGAGTAACCGCGATTTTCCAGTCAATTTGGCTCGATGATGAATCTATTCATCGCTTTCTCATTCCCTTGTATTACATATATTTTTAATAATCGTTGATCATTCACAATAGGAATCCATTTATAATTTCCATATTAAAAATCCCACTTTCCAAATATGGAGGGAATTTTGAGAGTTGATTGTTTCAAATTATTGATTGTATACCTAAAGGATTGCCCGCTTTTGTAAAGGCACAGATTCATTTAGATAAAATGAATCCAGTTGGTTCACAAAGCAAGGGTGAACCAAGTTCGTTGAGAACTTCACAGAAGCTGAGTGTATCTCAAGACCAACCTGATTGCCGTACTTAATGTAGAACGGATACTAAGAAAATAGCGATTTGTTTACGAACTATTGAGGAAAGAGGTAAGATTGCTGGCTGCAACCATTTGTTTTGCTTTACCTGCATTTATGAATGGTCAAAGGTTACGAATTCGTGTCCTTTATGCAAGCAGACGTTTCATCAGATCGAGCGTTGCACAGTTGCGATCACAGAGTTGCGTTCGATTATAGATACAAGGAGAGAGAATCGATAAACCAGGGAGAGTGTCGGTTCTTCAGATCCCAGATCACAAACCTGATAATGACATTCTCGTTGAAGGGTTTACGTGCTGTCGCATCTATCTCTTGATATCTAGATTCACCCAAGCTAACAACCTAAACGAATACGTAGTTGACGACTTCTTAGTGGATGACGACGATCCCATCATTTACGAAACTCAGTTGAGAACGGATGATTCCGAGGCCTTTTCTATCCACAATCTAGAGTACTACTCGTTCCCCGACTCTGAGTTCACTGCGTCCATTCCTCGTCGAAGTGCTCGTCAGCACGAGCGCAATGAGCAGCGCATCGCAGAGCGCGAGCATCGCGACGAAACGATCGTTCTTCCCCATCACCGCCGTCGTGTGATCATCGAAAGCGACGAAGAAGACGTGATTCTCGACAGTGACGAGCCTTCCGAGTGCGAAACGCCAAGCGAATCGCCCATCGAAACCTCTCAGTTGGAGCGTCGATCGACATGCGCATCGGATGAAAGCTGGACATGGCCTTCTGGAGAATCGGCCAACGTGACTCCGGTGCTGCCTTCGCGCGTGCAGAGAGTCGTGGAGAGGCGACCGCCGATGATCTGTGCGGATTCGAACGAAGACGGAAGCCGATTGAGCGGAAGTCGCTCGGCTCTGCTTGATTTCATGCAGTGCGTGATGAAGGTGGATGCGGGAGAGAGCGAGGGACCGCGAGGCGATGGGGAGGTTCGAGTAGAGGAGAGAAGAGAAGTGCGATGTAGGAGCTCTTGATTGTGCCGGAGACGCCAGTGAGGAAGAAGAGGTGTCGTGAGGCGTCGGAGGAGTGCTGGAGTAGCAAGCTATCGAGGATGTTGTGAGTTGTGCCATGCTCTATTGGATTGTTTGTTGGACGGAACAAGTTTCGGTTGGCAGTTTTATTTGTTTGTCGGCTTTGACCTAGTTTGTATGTGTAGATGGATGAAAAGAGTGAAATGGATCAGAGAAACAAAAAAATCGAACGAATTTTGAAGTTTTTCCTGTTTGAAAGCAGATTTTCGTTGGTTTTATGTCCGCTATTACGATTTCCTCTTTAAGTCTTGCCATTCAGGAGGTTGTGATCCCCTGGCTTGTTGCACATCATATTTTCGATGTAACCGTTGATCAGTACGTACAGAGCTTTCTAGTAACTCTCAAGGGTCATTCACGCAATAATCCTGGCGGTGATCGCCTTGTTTATAGTATTTCTCTATAAAGAAAACCAAAAATTGAAATTCGAAAAATCGTATGTCTTCTTCTGATCCTATATTGTAGAAAAGACGGACAACTTTTAGCAAGTGGATATTTGCGCGTACTCGACTTCGTATTTACTCTCCTCTATCCTCCCAAGCTATTTCGCTTTATTAATCTTCTGTATGAAAAGCGAGAAATTGTAAAAAAGGTACTCTCTTGATATGGAATTGATACGAAGATCCGTGCGGAGGAGGACGAGAGAATCCAATTTATGAAGCTGTATCCCCAGAAGATAGAATCAACATCCAACCTCATTCCACAAGAATCGAAAACGTACCGATCTGGCTTTTCAGACCAATCAGACAAGGACATGCTGCATCTTCTTCTCTCAGAGCTCGGCATGGGGTATTCTCATCCTTCCTCTTCTTCCCAGACCCAAACACATCGACACAGTGTGCAGTCGCCAGCTCTCCTGCACTCGCTACCGCGTTCCAGCAGGGACGAATCTCTACACATTCAAAGACGCTGAGAATTACCCAGTTCTCCACTACCTCGTCTCAGGCGACGTGTTCATCCAGAGCCAGTCGGGCGTGAAGCTCCGCGAGTTCCGAGGCCCCTCCGATTACAACATCAACCACCTTCTTCAGCCGGCGGTAATCCTTCTGGGCTGCCGAATCCACAATCCGGTGTCGCTCTGCACAGCCACCGAGTGCATCGTCGTCCAATTCGTGTTTAAAGTTGTCTTTTCGCCGTGGATCGACTTCTAGAAAGCGTCGATCGACAACATCCCCGCGGCTTTCATTGATTATTTGCGCTGCTTGTCGCTGGTGCTGTACCGCACGATCCACAGCGAGTTCCATCGCTTCTTCACGCTGCGCGCGAAGGAGGAGAACGCGATGGAGATGATCCCGGAGAAGCTTTCGGAGAACGGGTACGTGCTGATTAACCGCGAGAATATCGCGAGGGAAGTGGAGAAGATCACGGATTCGATGGACGGTGGGCGATGAATGAAGGAGGATGATGGGATAGAGGAGACGATCAAAGGGATGATTCTACCGCATCTGCAGGAGCAGCTGCATTTGGGCGATGAAATCATGGACGGCGTGCAGTGGAACGTGCGGATTATGAAGAAGGACGAGCAATACCGATTCCGACGGGATGTTCTGTGAAGGAATGGGAAGCTAGTCATGCGTAGAATTCTGCTCATCAAAGGAGAAGTCGGGTATTCGAGCATCGATTCGATCACTTATGCATGTCTTCGCGCGTCCGCTCATTTCTAGAACCAAAGCTTAATGCTCGTCAATCTCATCCCCTACCTTCTAGGCGACGAAGATCGTCTTCTCACCGTTTCTAACTTCTTCTTCTCCGTCTCAACTGCAGAGCAAACAAGACAACACGGTTCTCTTCGAGGTGGAGCTCCTACACAACACCACCGTCAACAACCTCCTCGTCTGCAATCTCCTTCTTGACGGTCTCACCCACGAGTTCGCCAGCCACTACGGCGACTATTTCTACGGACTCGACTACAAATGGGTCAACGACGGCGTCAAGCTCATGGAGGAAGGCTCCGTTCCCCGCGAAATGTACCCTCTCCCTCTCTCTTTCTCTCCCTCAGGATCTTCTTATTGGACGGCCGGCTTCGGTCCGTGGATCTCTACACACAGAGCGACTCCTCCACCAAGTACCAGACCAACAAGCAGATCGATCCCGACTGGCGCAACCGCCGATGGACCGAGCAGTCCGACAAGGCCGCCAAGCAGCCCGTCGTCACGGTTTCCACGGTTTCCACTGTTGAGTGTAGGACTACCCGCGGGGATCGTCGTTCGGCGCGTCGAATCTGCTTAACAACGAGCCGCTGCAGTTTTCGCTGTATGCGGTACGTCGGTCGTCGCTTCTGTGCTTCGGCCACTCGTTTATTCTGGACGTTATCCGAGCGAATCCGCACGCAGTGAGCGTGTTAACGGAATCCACTCAAGCGAAATCGAATGAGATTCAGTACTCGCGCATCTCGGTGATTCCAATGAATCACGTGACCGATTACGACTATTTTATTTCGGTGTTGCACGCGTCGATCCACACGATTTTCCCCACGAATTTGGTCAAAACGCAGCACTTGCTGGAAAACGTGGGATAGCGCAACGGTGGTGAGAACTAGAACGATTACTACTTGAATGAGTTCGATGATCAGTACCGAATCACGCTGTTTGCGGGGCAGAATATCGCGAAGGAGGACGAATCGAAGGGAAGTGTAGATATTTGGAATTCCACTTTAATCCACGACGTTTCTTTTTCTGTTTGTTGTTGTTGTTTAGTCGGATCTCGTGCTTTTCGCGGTGGAAATCAACGCGGAAGAGGAGGCGGTGCGCGCGTCGATCGAGCCGAAGCTCGCTTATTACAACACCATTCTGAAGAATGTGCGTCGCGAAATCGTGTTCCTGTACCACAACAACGAATTCAATCCGAACCACACGAACAATCTCCACCAGAACGAGTGGCAGAAGCGTCTCAACCTCTTCGACAAGTCGCACATCAACATCGACTTCGCATACTCCGACAGTTCTCGCTACATCTACCCCAACGAGCTCTCTCTGTACCGCATTCGCCACCAACTCAACGTTCTCTCCCCCTCCCACTTCCACCACTGCCTCATCAATCCTTCGCCCTTCCAGACCTCCACCGACCTTCTCCACGTCTCCTCCGACGTTCGCCGCCTCGCTCGCTGGCTCACCCACACCTCCATCGGGCTCGTCTTCAGCGGCGGCGCCGCGCGCGGCTGGGGTCACGTGGGCGTCGTCAAGGCCATGAACGAGCTCAATCTCCCCATCGATATGTGCGGAGGCACGTCCGCCGGCTCTCTGGTCGGCGCCGCCGTGTCGATTTTCCGCGGGGATTACGAGCTGGTGAAGGAGGTGACGCGGCGCGCGGCGAAGTTCTCGTCGAACGCCGCGCTGTACATGCTGGACGCGACGCTTCCGGTGGTGGCTCTGGTAGAAACGGCGAAAGAGAGCAATGCGTAGACGAGCGGCGAGTTCATGAGCGAGGTGACGATGGACGCGTACGCGAACAAGCTGGTGGAGAACACGTTCCTGCCGTTCTTCGCGATGTCGACGGACGTGACGGACATCTCGGAGTTCGTGCTGAAGACGGGCTGCTTGTGGCGCTACGTGCGCGCATCCATGTCGGTGATCGGCATCACGCCGCCTGTGGTGGATCGCGGCGTGTCGGACCACTTGCTGGTGGATGGAGGCTACGTGAACAATGTTCCGACGGGCGTGATGAAGCAGGTTCGCGATGGAAACGGGGTCGATTGTAGCTGTTTAATCCGGGAATTTTGTTCACGTCGTCGGTGCAGAAGCTCGATCCGCCGCTAACGCAGCGATTGGGGGACTCGGTGAAGGGACTCCCGATGTTTTTGAAGATGATCAGTCCGTTTAGCAAGAGTGGGGATTATTTAACGCAGGGACAGCTGAACATGCAGGTGATGTGCGCATCTAGGTAGGAGTCGCGTCGGGAGGTGAGGAATAGTATTATGGGGGCGGAAGAATCGGTTTTTATGGATTCGGATTTGGTGATTCGACCGTCGGTTAATGATGTTGGATCGGCAGCGTTTGATCAGTTTGATGAAACGGAGAGACTGGGGTATGAGGAAGCGGTAAAGCGGATTCGGGAGTGGATTTCGGAACTGCCTCAAACGAGTCCCGTGTATCGGGCATTGTTTGCTCTTCCAAAGGTGGAGTTGTGAGTTGTTTGTTATAGCACGCAAAGGAGTGGTGATATCGGGAAAAAACATAATTCTTAGTTTTCAGGTAGTATTGTAACACAATTGATTGCAAAATATGGGGAAACCAGTCAATACGAAATACACACCTTTGATTGGTTATTACCGACCAATTTGTAATGGGTGTATATTATTGAACTCCTCGGGTGATCATTCTGTGTACTACACTATTCTTTTTGTACGTCATGATTCTAGTCATGCTGACGTTTATAGATACTTTGTCCTCTCTTGCTTTTAGTTATTTCTAGCTGTTATCGGATTTTGTACCTGTTCTTCTCTTTGTTTTATGTAGTGATTATGTGCATTGGTCTCTTATTGTAATTCTATATGTCTTAAATATACTGTAAGCTAATCTCTTTTCATCTACCTCTAGGTGTCTGTATACTCTTTTTCGGACGTGGCTTACGGAGCCTGGTGTCATTATGAAAAACACAGAGGAGGAAATTCTTCATCCTCCTGATTTAACACCGAGTATGTCGATTTATGTTCTCAGAATGTATTAGTTCAAAGACAAGTCTCCGGTTTAATGGTTTCTGTGAAGAATTCCCGTATCGAGTATGTCGAAGTAATGACTCTGTTCTCTCTGTGATCCCTAGAAATCGCTAAGCTCTGTTCCCCAATTAGTAATCGCCCCTCCCTCCCTTCACCGTAGATCAACGCTCAGAACGTGGAAGGGCGCACGGTTCTTCATGTCGCTTGTCAGTTTCGCTTGGTTGAAGTTTCTTCGTCTGCCGCCTTTTTCTCTTTTAGATGACTCGCGTCCTCCTCTCCTATCATCCTCTCACCACGCTCCGCGATCGCTACGGCCTTCTCCCCATCCAATACGCCATCCTCGGAAACGTGGAAACCGAGGTCCCGAGTCACGTGCAGAGCGACGAACTGGTCCGCATGCTGCTCGACCACGACGGAATCCACGACCAGCTGCTCCAGGAAGTCGCGGTTTAGGCGGCAATTGAGGCGTAGGCGCGCCGCCAGGAGTTTCAGCGGGAAATTGAGCGGCTCGTCCCGCGGTATGACGCCAGAGAGAACGTGTACAGAACCGCGGAAGGAACCTTCGATCGAATCGACGAGTATTTCCTGCGTCACGGCCACGTGGAAACCGAGGCGGAGGGAAAAACCGCGGGAATCGCAGGGGAGGAAACGAGCCAATCAAATGAATCAAAAGAATCGAAGGAAAATGAAGCGAAACCGGATCCCATTCCATCGAATTCTCAGCCAATTCCATCGAATTCTTCATCCATTCCATCGAATTCTCAACCCATTCCATCGAATTCTTCACCCATTCCATCGAATTCTCCATCTTCTCCTCGTCTTCTTTCTTACATTTGCATCGATCAGGGCAATCTGTGCACTCTGAAATATTGTTCCAATTGTGGCATCTTTGTGCCGCCTCGTGCCTACCATTGTCGATTCTGTGGCGTGTACCTCCGTTTCCACGTTTCTCAGATAGATGCATTCGGAACTTCGATCATCACTGCCCCTGGGTGTCGAACTGCGTGGGGATTCGCAACCACAAATTCTTTTTATGGTTTCTCGTAGCGATTTTCGATCGAATTCATCGAAGCTTCTCAGCGAATTGGCATGTGTCCTCGGTGTGGTCGTTATGCTCGTGGTGCTCGGGAAAGCGGCCTATGAATACATTCAGAACGGTGGAACCGGAGAAACCGGCGGATCGAACGAGATGCAGCTCATTGTTGATTACATTTCCCAGTTCTGGTCTGAGATGATCTACCTGGTTATTTGTTTTGGTTTCGCATTCCCCTTGTTAAATATGCTGTCGTATCACCTTCGAATTGTGAGCCTGCAGAAATGGTCTGATGGGTAGACGAGTCGGAATATGACGACGCACGAAGAAATTATGCTTCCAGATAAGAAGACTCGAAAGAAGCACCCGGAAGAAAACTACTTCCCATACTCTAGAGGGGTGTGGAAGAATCTCCGGGCAGGATTCTGCTCCCCGTCTTATAAATCGCTTGTTAGTATTCAGGACGTTTAAGAACGTGATGTACAAGGATTGTTTGTTCGAAATTGTGTGAAGAAAGCGTTCCGCGGTTATTGCGGAATGTTGGCCAGGTTTCAAAATAAAGAGTAACAAAGGAATGTCAGTTCCAAGTAATATGATTATGCGAATCGGTGATGCGTAGATGATGATGAATTGAAGAAAATGAGCAAACAAGAACTCAGAGACTTGATTTCTGCAGTTCAGACCCAGAATAGGTCGCTCGTATCTCTCATCGATGACTTTAGACGTCGTCGGCAAGAATTGCAGAAGGAGATCGACGCCCTTGAAAATCAACTGACACGAAGTATCCGTCTTCCCTACTTGGTTGCGTCGATTTCTGAGGTATTTTGAATGTTGGATATACGAAAAGTTAGGTTCTCTCCGTGCGTGTTGAAGATGAGGAGAATCTCAGTCTTCCTCCTGAAAAGCAGGAATACGAGGAAGGTGTAATCATGTCAACAATTCAAAAGAAGGTTTGTTGTTAGGATGTTCCTTGTCTCCTAGAAAGTGTTCGTCGCCAGCAAAGGAATGCTCTACGGCCAGGAAATCCACCCAGGCGACCTCGTCGGAATCAACAAAGACACATGCATGCTCTACCAATTGCTCCCCACGGAGTACGACAAGCGCGTCAAGGCGATGCTCCTCGAAGAGAAGCCCTCCGACGACTACACCGACATCGGTGGTCTGGACAAGCAAATCCAGGAGCTGCAGGAAGCGGTGGTGCTTCCGCTCACGCGTCCCGAGCTCTTCACGGAGCTGGGAATCCGCGCGCCGAAGGGCATTCTGCTCTACGGCCCGCCCGGGACGGGGAAAACGCTGCTGGCGCGCGCGTGCGCGAAGCAAACGGACGCGGCGTTCATCAAATTGTCGGCGACGGTGCTGGACCAGGCGCATATCGGCGAGGGATCGCGCGTAGGCGAGAGAGGAGGGCGCGAGGCGTAGATCGTGCGGGACTGTTTCTCGCTGGCGAAGAAGAAAATCGAGGAGAAGCAGGCGAAGGGGAGCATTATCTTCATCGACGAGGTAGGCGAGGAGAGCGCGGTGAACGGTAGCTGGACGCGATTGGAATCAAGCGGAGTGGCGACGGGGAGGGAAGCCACGAGGTCCAGCGAACATTGCTGGAATTGCTGAATGCGATGGACGGCTTCAGCAGCGACAGCCGAATTAAAGTTATCGCGGCGACGAATCGCCCGGACATCCTGGATCCCGCCTTGCTGCGCTCCGGACGATTCGATCGCAAGGTGGAGCTGCCGAACCCGAACGAAGAAGCCCGCGTGAAAATCCTGCAGATCCACTCCAAGAAACTGGTGCTGAATCGGGAGAGTAGGCGGTAGGGAGCGACATCAAGCCAAGGCGTGAATTTCGAGGAGATTGCGCGCTGCACGGAGGATTTCAGCGGAGCAATGCTGCGAGCGGTGTGCGTTGAGGCCGGAATGCTCGCGCTGCGTCGAGGTGCGTCAGCGATCGAACACGAAGATTTTATGGAGGGTATTGGGCAAGTAGCTTCCAGGAAGAAGGCAAATCTTATGTACTATTCGTGAACTGTTTGTTGCAGAGCTTATGTTGGCGTTTTGGGGATGGAAAAACAGGACTGTATAGTGCAGTGGCTAACACGCTCGCCTGACACGCGAGAGATCCCGAGTTCGAGCCTCGGTATAGTCATTTTTTGATTTTTTTTTATTTTTAATCGTTTTTTTAATTCAGTTTTCCGTATTCTTATGAGCACGACTGTTGCTATCCATATTGGCTCACAAAATTCAGCAGCTTGCTATGGAGAAAACCCTATCATTCCTTTGATTTGCCAAGATCATACTCTACTGAATAATGTCATTAGCTATAGTAGTGGCCAGCCACGCCTTCAGTTGGAAAAGAGTATCGTAAACTCAGAGAATACCATTCGGTATCCCCTTCGCTTATTTGATCTAGCGTTGAATAATGTCGGAGGCCAGAAGATTTCTGATATAGCATTTGGTTCTCCCGTGGTTCAGTACAATCAGTCTCTCTACTTTCATTTGGCAAATGGAAGCATGAAATCCTGCGATGACGCAATTTTGGACATTATGCGTTTCATTTACAACGAGGCATTTCGGTTGTCAAATGAGATTGATTCTCTTTCTCTGACGATTCCTTCTTATTATAGCTATGAAATGAGAGATAGACTGAATAAATGTATCCAGCGGGCCGGAATTACTTCCCGCGGTCTGTTTACTGAAGCAGAATGTTTGGTTTTGGACAAGTTGTACTCTCAGGATAAATATTGGGAAGAAAAGAGCAATTATTTCGTGCTTCATATTGGAGCTGTTGTTTGCGAAGGTAGCTTTATTAAAGTGAGCGAAGGCCAATTAACGGAGTACCCAATTTTCTTTGAAAGAAACCTTGGTGGAGAGAAGGTCGATGAGCTATTGTTAAACTTTTGTGACAATAAACTGAAACAGGACGGTATTGACATATATGAAGGCAACAAAAAAGAAAATAAGAAGAAACGACTGGAGTACATCAATTTAGCAAAGGAGTTATATCTTGACGATGAATGCATTGAATTTCCAATGACAAAGGGAAGTCAAAGCGTCGATATCGACGCAGAGCAATACATTGAGATTCTTAAACCCGTAATCGACACGATTAAAAAGAGCATTGTAAATGGGTTTGCTCTGGAACGAGATCGAATGGAAGATCCCGATATCTCCATCGATAAAGTCACAAAAGTCATTTGTCTTGGCGAATTGCTCACAAAGCAACCCGCTTTCCAAAACGAAATCATGAAATTGTTCTCCGTAGCCCCGATCAATTGTGGTGTGAACCAGGAGCTGGAGGGTTGTCTTCGCCACTTGCGATGTGAGAAGAGCAAGGCGATGAAACTGCTCCATCCTCTCAATTTTTCCATTGGAATCGGGTTGGACAATAATCGAGCGAAACGAATCATCAGCGCGGGAAGCTTGCTACCTGCGAAGAGTTCGTTGATTTGGCGGCAAAATGGGTTGCTGAAGAACGAGTTGAATACTGCCATTTTTTGTGGAGATATGTTCATCAGTATGCCACTGCTGGATAATCTGAAGCGTTTGCTGACAATCCGGGAAAAGTCGGCAGATTTTGTAACACACCATTTGTTTAGAACGATGTTAGAGGTGTCGACTGATGGAGTATTGACGATCTCTATTCTGAATATGAAAGACAAAGAACTGTATAGGAAATCGATTATGTTGACGATATATTGATAGGTTTGTTGCAAAAAAATAAGATAATCATATCTGTGAAAATGAAAATCCTTTATTACGTGATATTTTGTAAATCATTGGGAAACGATTTAACTGCATAGTGTTGAGCAGCATCGAAGCTGTTTCCAGCGATTCAGCTAATACACTTGTTGATCGATTGTTTGTGATATAATAGATAGTCTAAAAGCGATTCATGGTACCAAGGTGAAGGTAGCACCTGGTCTTCTCTGAAAACAGGAAATAGTAGGTTTCTATAATTTCTAAACCCGGTTTATTTAACACTATTGTAGCTATTTCAAGGAGCACTTCAGAGAAGTCAGCCTTCCGAACATCATTTAGTCAGACTAGAAACGGGCCGAATTCAGACTCATATCGCTCTGGTACGTTGTTGGGTCCCTGTTTTGACGTGAAGAGATGACAATCAAAGAAGACTCAACTGGTCGCAATCGCGAAGGAAACAAGGAGAAGTACTTACTTTCACAGCCTTCCATCTCTAGATTTTTGCGAGGATCTTTTGAGTCAGTGGGATCAAAAGGAGAAAAGACCTCCATCAAGACAAACAACCAAGAAAATGTGGAGGAACGTGCTTCAAACCCTATGACAAAACATAAAGTCTCCCTCTCTTTCTCGATTCTCCGTGTCACTCCCATCACCATTTTTCTCCAGGTCAATGTGAGTTCCGAAGCCATCGTTTGGTGCGGCGCCTGGCCTTTCGGCCAATTCATCGATTTCCACGCACTGCAACGGAACGTTTCTGGGCAGGTGATCTCCAGTTCGTCTTTTCTCTCTTCCTCTTCCATAGAATCTTCTCGCTATCGCATCACCGATTTGCACCCCTCCTCGAGCTACGACGTGACCTGCCTCGCTCTGAACAAAGCGGGGTACATGAGCGAAAACCCTCTCGATATTCGGCAGATGGTGATGACGCAAGACGCGGAATTCGCGATCACCGAGCATTTAATCATGGACAACAAAGTGCATATCATGCTCAAATCGAACTACGACACGCCTGTGCTGTGCTTTTTGTTCAATCGACGTGGCATGCGCGTGGATACGAAGATGTACAATCCTTCTCAGGATCCGTATATCTCGTTCGACATCCCCTCGATGAAGTTATCGTATCGCGTGCAATGCAGTGCGATGAACGAGCGTCAGAAAGGTAGGCAGGAGCTAGAAGAAGGAAAAAATAACGCGTAGTGTTCGCTGTCACTGATGCGGTTGTGTGGAATCAGCCGCTTCGATGGGGTCGAATCGTTTTGATTGTGCTGGTGATGGTGCTCGTGGGAGGGGCAATCGCGTATGGGATCATTCGGATGTAGGAGTGAGGGATTGGTGTGATGTGCAGACAGAGGAACTCGAGTCCTGCAGTGTAGAGAAGAGGCAGAGGAATGAAGGATAGGTATGAATTGGATGATTTGGAGATCGTGACGCTGTTGAATAAGACGAAAGAGCAGCGATTGAATAGCGAGAATAAAGACACGGAGGTGATGATTCGATGTACAAAATGTAGGATGGAGAGGAAGGGATTGAGAGGAAGGTGGGTTCTCGAATCCTGCTTCGACTACGATTTGTCGCGATTGTAATTCTCTCTTAAAAAGAACGGACTATACTACTTCTATTTCGAGGAAAGTATATTAGTTGAGCAATTCGTTTATTTATTCATTCATTTACTCATGGGCTTGCATACTTTATTTCACTCTTTCTGTTACATATTTATCTATTTGTGTGTCCTTCCTTTGTTCCAACAAACACGATTACTTTCTCTCCTCCCTGGCCTTCAGCATCGCGGGCGGCAGCGGTCGTTTGAACGGCAGGAACTTGATTCCGCCCATCCACGGCTGCAACACCTCGGGGATCTCCACGCCCTCGCTCGTCTGATAGTTCTCCAGAATGCAGCACAGCGTCCGCGTCAGCGCGCACAGCGTCGAGTTCAGCATGTGCACGTACTTCTTCTCCTCGTTCTTCTTCTTCGTCGCGCCGCACCGAATCTCCATCGCGCGGCTCTGATAATCCGTGCAGTTGCTGCACGACACCAGCTCGCGGTACGCTTCGTACCCCGGGAACCAGCCTTCCAGGTCGTATTTCTTCGCCGCCGCGTTGTTCAGCGCGCCCGACACGATGTTCACCACGCGGTACGGCAGATTCAGCGACTCGTAGAACTCGCGCGAGTTCTGAATCATGTATTCGTGCATCGCCCAGCTCTCCTCCGGCTTCGAAATCACGAACTGCTCCACTTTGTCGAACTGGTGCACGCGGAAAATGCCCCACGTGTCCTTCCCGTGCGCTCCGGCCTCCTTCCGGAAGTTCGTAGAGAACCCCGTGTATTTCAACGGCAGCTCCTTCTCGTCCAGCCACTCGCCCATGTGATACCCGCAGATCGGCTGCTCCGACGTCGCGATTAAATATTTCTCTTCGCCCTCCTCCCCTTCCACGTGGTACAGACTCTCGTCGAAGTCCTCCAGCTGCGCAACGCCAGCCATCACGTCGCGATTCATGAAGTACGGAGTCTGCAAAAGCGTGAATCCGCGCTTTGTGTTCCATTGCATCGCGTACATGATGATCGCCTGGTTCAACAGCACCGCGGAACCCTTCAGGAAGTATCCACGATGGCCCGCTACGCGCGTTCCGCGCTCGGGTTCGTATCCATCGAGCATCCACAAGAGCTCGTGATGACAATACATATCCTTGGTCATGGGACGGGGCGATCCCCAAGACGCGACTTCTACGTTTTGTGACTAAAGGAAATAGATAAATAGTTGACAAACCTCATCCTTAGCTACAGGAACAGAGTCATGTACAATATTCCCAATCTGACCAAGCTTTGTATCTCTCATTTTCCTCACATTTTCGATTGATTTTTGCATATCCAATATTTGTTGGCTGAGAAGGGAGACATTAGTCGTTTCCCTATCGGTATTTAAACCCTGCTTTCTCTTCATTCCAATCTACATAAAATGTTCTACCCAGGCAAAGTACCTCTTTCGATAAAACGCGCTTATCTCGGTTAAGTTTATCTAAATCACCCACATGCTTTCTCCATTGCTTAGTATAATGAACAGCATGTAATACTTACATTATCTAGCGATATTACTTCATCAACTAAAGCGACCTTTGCAAATCTCTTTGCTTGAGACGCTTTCACGAGGTCTGGTAATCCCCCCTTAAATGCTCTCAGCAAATTAATATCAATCGGCATGTTTGAGTATTGAGACAGGATACTAGTCTTAAGTGAAGTGCTTGAGAGCTGAAAACAGGTCCCATATAGTCTAATAGGTTAGGATAGCAGGCTCTCACCCTGCCGATCCGGGTTCGATTCCCGGTGTGGGAATTCTTTTTTCATTTTATTACAATTTTCATTTGAAAAGGAATGAATGAAGGAGTTCCTGAAGTATTCTTTATTTATAGAATAAACAATGATAGGGTAGAAAAGTAGCTGAGGGAATGTTACAAGCTGCTGAAAGGATGAGTACTTTTTCTCCCGATATAGGTGATGAAAATAACCCATACGTATATTGATGATAAAAGTATTCACAATTTAGTATTGGGAACCTGAGTTTCCTGATGATCAAACAGATCAACTGAGTTTATATACTATTGTATCACACAACGTACATTATGCACTAGCGTCAACTGTTAACAGTATGCTTTGTTTTTCTATATATATATATGAAGTTTGTGCAAAGATAGGTTATAGCATAATTGATTTTTTGGGATGGTCTGCATCTCCCTACGATTGGATTCAAGATGAGGTCAATCAAGACAAAGAGGAAATCGAGCTGGAACGTAGAGAGCGAGAAGAAGAGAGACGAGAAATAGCTTTTGTTTTTGCTGATTTGTAGTTTTTGGAGGCGCAATCCAAGGCTCGAGCCAAAAGACAGTGGAACAAAGCAGAAACCGGTCAGTCTGCTTCTAGTTACATTTGTTTTTTGAACACACTTTGTCACTTTTGGTCATGGCGACTGTTACTGACGAGGTTTTGAAGTTGCACATATCTAAAGCTTTAGATATACTGGGAGACGTGGAGTGGTTGTTTGTTGTTTGTTTTACAAATAGGGATTACTCCGTTGACATTATTCGTCGGTTTATCGAAAAGAACCTTGGATTGAAAAAGCATTCGCTAGAGAATTATACCAAAAGAATCTCCTCTCTGCTCAATGTAATGACTTGACTATTTCGTAACGATATTAGAGCCTAACTGTGTCAAAGGCTGAAGCGGATGCCAAAAAGAATGTGGAAGATGGTGCATTAACTACTTTCGATACTCCTGAATTGATGTGTAGTTATACACGTGCAGTATGACGACTAGATGATATGGTAAGCAAAAGTTTAAAGTTTACTCCTGAACCTCGTAAAGTGGGGTGTTCCTTCTGGTACTATTTCGAATCCAAGTTAAGACACGCTGAAAAGAAGGACGGGCGTAGCACTTAATTTGATTTATATTGTGTAGGGATCCCAACGTCGTTGTTTTTCCAAAAGTATGCATTGAAATGGAATTCTTTATCTTTGGAGCAGAAAGCGGTATTTCTCTATCTTTTTAAATTTATCTCATTCTTAGAAATATGAAAAGAGAGTTTCCAAGGAAAAGGAACGTTATATCGATGAATACCGTGTATGGAAGTCTAAATTGTATTTTTTCTGTTCTCTCTTTGTTGTAGTCGTAGCGCCTGTTCCACCTACGGAAACATTATGTTCTCCAATCGTACCCAATCGTTGCTGTTTCTCTCTAGATGATTACCCACTGCAGTTTCTTTCCCATTTAGATTATTTCTTCCTCTACAAATGGGACCAGGTCATCGAGGAGTATCCGACGATCAAGCGATACGATCACTTGGATAGGCTCCGAGAACAATGGGAAAATCTTTCTCGTCCTCAACAAGCGCTCTTTCGAAAGGTTTCGGACCTTGATCGCAGGCGGTATGTCAAAGAAATGAGAGAAAGAAACCCTGATTGGGATCCGAGCGATGCGTCTCGCTATCATGGAACGTTTTTAAAGAAGGGCGTTTATCGTTCCCCTCTGTTTTATTATCTCTGGACGCAGTTTTATTCCCATCTCTCCGAATTATCGGAGAATGAAGATGTCAACGCAAAGCTCGTTTCGCTCTTCGAACGCTGGAATAAGCTGAGCGAAAAGACGAAGCAGCCGTATGTTCATATGAGCATTCTCTACGCCAATGAATACAACAAGGAAGAGCTGAAGAAAGGGGAGATTTGCATGAGTAGTTTCCCCATTTACCCAACAGCCGCGACGTATTATTACTCGCTTTTGAACGAGTATCGCTCGCTGAAGGAACCGGATGAAAGACAAATTATGGAAGTGCTGCGAAGCGAGTTTGCAAAGCTGTCCGAAAAGGAACAGCTTCCGTTTGTTACGATTCTGAACGAGGTGAAAGAGAAGCGAAGAGAAACCTTGAAGGCGCAGGAAGGAAAGTAGAGAAGTGATGGTTGGTGATTCGATTGTAGGGGAAAGAGTTTAAAGGATCGAATGCTGGATTATCGTAGGAAATTTGGAACAATTGTGATGACTGTTAGGCGTTTTTGGTTCGACGATTTTCAGTGCGAGCTGCTATTACGTCTGCGAGTTTTTGGATCAGAAATTGAAAAAGGATGCTGGTACATTGCGTTCTATGCTTTGAAGTAGATGCGGATCCTTATGATACTGTCGGGGAGGCGTACAATAGTTGGACAAACCTTTCAGAGGGGCAGCGAAAGCCATACATTGAAATCGAGGAAGAAAAGAAGTGGAATCGAAAAGGAATGAATGAATCCATAACGTGGAAGGGCGTGTTTTATGTAATCCATAAGCGCTATATTGTTGCCGAGAACATCGGTTTGTTTGCTTTTTTGAGTGTAAAACGCAGATACAATAGAGAGTACAAGCAGAAAAGTAGTAACGCAAGAGGCAGATAATGTTCCTGAGGAAAAGCGAACTCCTTATATCCAACTAGCACGCGATATTAACATTAGTCGCAATGTGTGGAAGGAAGATGTCGTTCCTTCTTCCAATCAAAGCTTGACAATCGTGCGAAATCAGCAGAGAAACAGCAATAAATGGAGACCCCCTCGCTTTTTCTATTTGGATGATCGGATTCATCTCGAAACTGATCCTCTTCGCTGTAAACGATCTTCGAATTGCTCACTTTTAGTCACTGAAAAGCCGCGATTTATTCGTCAATACCTCGAAGACTGGGAAAAGCTCTCTGCAGAACAGAGAAAACCTTACGAAGAACGCAGTGAGCAGTTCTCTGCAGGGAAAACATACGTGATCGCTGCCGATCTGTATAAGGAACTATACAGAGATTACATTACCGATCAGTTCCACGTTTCTCTTAAATCGCAGGGATACAATCTCTTGAAGGAAGAGTTCCGGAAATGGGCGCCTGAAGACCAGGAATTGATAAAGGGGATTACGCGAGAAATGAATAAAGCGACGAACGAATCAGAATGTGTGGAGCTAAAGAGGATGCACTCGCGGAATGACGCGGAAAGTCGGTTTATTCGCCAGCAATACACCAAAGAGAGGAGAAAATCGGACGGTTTCTTTCAATTGCGTTTGTTTATGTAGTGAAGGATGCGTCCGTGCTGTTTGAAATGCTGCGAGAAAAGTGGAAAGCTCTTCCGGATGACGAGAAAAAGCGATATATTGACGAGGAGGAGAAGTCCAGCAAACGTCCAGAGTTACTGGGTTTGCCTTTTATTGTTGTTTCATTGCCAGCAAATCGCAGCAAGGTTCGTTCTGTGTGCTCGTTGCTTGAGTTTTACTACACTCTCGCTGCTCCTGAATCGCGTGTCTTGAATCCACGTCGTGGTTTATTCTGCTTATTTAATGTAGAAATGGGTTATAAGGAGCACCACTCACGGGTCAAGGATAAATACAAGGAAGAAGAACCGTCGATTTTGGAGATGGGAAGGTATGTCTTACGTCTTGACCGAAGTCGACACGAGCGAGATCTGCAAGTCGCACTAAGGTATTACAAAGCTTGTTGAGTTAGTTCCAGCAATTCTGAGATGACGGAGAGGAAGAAGAAGATCTTCTTTCAGCTTTTCGACAGTAACATGATACATACTTTTATCCGTCAGATCATCGGAGATTCGAGTTCTCCGCTCGGTGAATCGTTTTGTTTTGTTCTTATGAATAGAAGAGATATGGTCGAATGTGACGAATGAACAGAGATGGATGGCATATATAGCTCTGTCTCACATGTATCTATATTGCGATACACTAGCGGAACAATTGGCCAAGAATGAATCGTACAGCGAAGATCAGCAAAAGAACAAGCTTGAACATAAAGGAAGAAAGTTTGTAAAGTTTATATTAAAAGAACAAATCGATTTCAAGAACAAAAACATGTTTGAACAAATAGAAAAGAAATGGAATGACAGGGAACATTTTTTTGTTTGTTGGTAGAAGTATGTCAATGTTTTTATAGACAGTTGCGCTCTGGCCTGAGTATCTTTAGTGTCTTCTGTTTATGCATGCAATACTGCAGTAACAACTGAAAAAGGAATTAGCAAGAAATGAGCCGATCTGATTTCGAATCTCTAATTGGATGTTCTTACCGAATAGGATTTTGGTTGTAATAATAATCAGAAAAACAAGAATGAGATTGTGGAAGACGAGAGTGTCTTGGTTTGTATTTTTGCTTTGTCTGAGTTTTACCTGCTTAAAATGACTTCTTCGCCTTATGAGATTGTATCTCAAATGCATTCGAACGTGTTCGTGCTATATTTCACTTTTAGTGTTGAGCATATCTTTGTTCTTGCAGTTTTATTTGATTAAAATCGTTTGTATATAATATTATTGGAATTGAATTTCTAAGATAGCTACTCCTTTACTTCTTGATGCATGCTACGACACTTTTCTATTCTTATCAAATACTAATGGATGTGAAGAACAGATTCGTAATAATACTTGATAAGATAAATGTACTTTGGGTGAATGGATTCTTGATGCTGTTTTTTTAGCATAATATTATTATTAAATTAGAATTATTATTATTATTATATAAAATGAAAAAGTATCAAGGAAGAATAAGATCCTTTTAGAAAAACCAAACAGTAATGGATATAGAGCATTTTACAGTTAACATTGATAATCCCGAGTCTCACATCCAACAATATTATGAGCAATATCCAAAAGCCGTCTTTAACTTATAACCATATAAGAATATCCTAATTCATTTTAAATCCATTCTGTTCCTGCCATTTCATAGTTGCAATGCAAGAGAAATGATATCAATAGATTCGTTTTGCCCTTTTTCTATCAAGATTATGTATATTTTTTTGATATATGCGAGATACACTATGAGCACAGACAGCGAATTAGTCTCTGTGATAGTAAGTAATTCATTGAACAAGGAATCCTTCACACGAACCAACAATAATGGAATTGAAATATGGAATCATTGCCTGTATAGCGAATTTCCTATCAGTAATACGACATATGACAATAAAATAGCCACATGCCAGATTGGAGCACCTCATCGAGGATTTTCTTTGACTACCTTCACAGATCATAATAGATTTGACGGTGAAGCTGAAATAAGAGATCCAAACGGTCAATTGTGGGCGAGATATGAGTATTCTCAAGGAGAAGCAACTGGGAAATGTGAACTTTATTATGAATCTGGAGACCTTTTTTATGATGGATATATGAAAAATGGATATCGAAATGGAAGAGGGATTGAATATGACGAAAGTGGCGAAATAATGTTTGATGGTTTTTTCTCAAATGGTTTGAGAAATCCTTTAATTCGGGAAAACGGAGAGAAACGTAATTATTGGAACGAAGTAGATGATTTTGGGGAGCTCGTATCAATATGCCGAAGAGATAATGAGGGACTAATATCAGGAACTTGCTATTTTTTTAACAATGGTAGAATAGCAAAGATCAGTAAATGGAAACATGGATTGGAAATTGAACAATTACACACCTTTAATGGAAATGAAATGACCTCCTATCGAAAAGATAAAGTAATATATAAAGGAGAGTTTCAAAGAATCTCCGACTTTAAATATGTTAGAAAAGGTAAAACAAATGAATGACATTTTACTTTTAGAAACATTTGTCCGTCCTCAAGAACCAAGTTGTTGTGAACAGATGTGTAAAGGGATTAAGAATGCTATATTTTCAATAGATTTAGTTATTCTGATTCTATGTATATATATGCTGATTAATGCTGTAGAAGTGTGGCATGGTATTGCTTTTTATTTGTTCTTTTGGGGCACATTTACATTTTGTATATTCTCTTGCTCATTTCTTTCCGCAACTGGGGCTTGCTTAATTCAGGGACGTATAAATAAATGTTTTGAAAATCGATAATTCATGTTCTGGATATATATAAAGCAGACTTTAGTCCTACTCTATTTGCAGTTCAACGATTAATCAGAAATAAGTGTATTATCATTTGTTTATTAAAGAAACTATGTCGATTCATGTAGATCCTATTTGTGATTTTGTTTTTTATTTCTTGTTGATCATAACTCTTAGCAATGCAATTTTATTCGAATCTTTAAAAGTAGGATCCTTAATAATGTTTATTTTTTCAATAGAATTAATAAAATGGAAAAATGTGTTTTCATTCTTGCCGAATCCCCATTTATATTAGGCAAAATGATAATGAGTCAAATAAAGGAAGGCAGTGAATGTCGTGTTTTTTTTGAAAATAATTTTTCTTTCACAGTGGAAAGATGGATAACCCTCGTTTATACCCATTATTACTATTTTATGTATAGAACACAAAGAAGAGTTAGATAAACTAAAACAACTATTATCTGAGTTAAGCCCAGGAGTGATTAGGGATGAACTCCAGGCTTGCATTCATCGCATCGGTAAGCCATAAACATGCTTATATCACAATAGAAGAAAGATTGGGATCCAATTGTTCAACCCTCTTTGACCGTTTGCAACAATATGGTTTTTGAATTCGTTTAATATGACAAATAGGATTCAGACACGCTCCACGAATTGGAGAGCCCCAAATCACTGATTCCATTCAGTTGGACAAATGGTTGGAGGAAAGAGCAGAAGGAGCAACATTCGTAAATGAAAGAATGATTCCACTTCATGTATTGCAGTTGGTCAGTCTGAGAAATAGGTGACAAAGTTACGTAATGAGTTCATATTGTCTAGTCAGGAAACATCTTGCACTCTAAATTCTGAGTGGACTCAAGATATATCGAAGCAATTCGATTCATTTGTTGGTTATTCCTGATTATTCTCTCTTTAGATTAACCAGCTTTCTAACCGCGCAAGATACCAGGACCCTTACCCATCTTTTGATGCAGATCGCCTACCGGGTCCTTCCTTTGTTCCAGGTGGAAAGTATGCGTTCCATGGGTAGTTAAAAGCAGTTTGATGGGTCCTGAGTATTTCCGGCGCAGAAGAGACGAGATGGATCCGTCCTATCGACCTTCAGGCGCTCGATTTGATCCTTTTGGGCCGGTTGGCTCATACCCAAACAGGTCGCCCCAGCCTCGCTATCCTCGCCCCAATCCGGATTACCTTCCCAAACCTGGGTTTCATGATTTATATTAAAGCATTGTTTGGAGTGAACAAATTTTCTACAAAAAACGCTTGTGCAAATTTTTCTTCATCCCATATTCTTCTTAAAAAACGGAATGTTTTCTGGTCTTACTGGTCTTGCAGATAAGTTGTCTTCATTGATTCGCGAACCTGTTACTCCTTTGGGAAATGCGGTTCATGATTGTATTTATGCTAGTGGTTATGGAACATCTCAATTTCAAAAGGTATTTGTTCTTCTTTACTCATGTGTAACTCTTTAGATTACTGATATGGTCTTAAACACTAGTGACCCCGATGCTCTTGATGAAGTCTGGTTTGTGCTCTCTAAAGCCCTCGGAAGTAGTAACAATAGTGACATTCGCCAATCTCTCAAGTATCTAACTGTTTGGAGGTGTTTATTCTCAGGTTGGCCGATTATCTCATTAAGCATACTGGAGCTCGTTTCCACAATACCTGCAACCCTCTCTTTATGCGAAAGATGAAAGAAATGATCCTGGTGAGTTGTGTCGTTTGTTGTTGATGATCAGTACAAAGCGAAAACCGGAGGCGCCGATAACATGCACCTAATGAACGATGCTCGTGCCATGGTCCGCGTGTGGGGAGAAGGATTCCTTCCGTATGCTTCGCAAGGTCGTGGCAAGGTGATCGTTGAAGGCTACCAAGACATGCAACGCAGCGGCATCCGTTTCCCTGCCGCCCCGAACGAAGAAGAGAACAAGTGGGTGCCTATGGTGACCGTTCCGACGTCTCGCTCGAACGCCTCCAGCAGCGCCAGCAGCGCCAGCAACTACTACGGCGGTTCCAGCAGCAGCAGCAGCGCCAGCGGCGTGCCTTCCAAGTCGGTGTCGGAGGTGAACCCCAAGGAGCTGTACCGCAACGTGAAGAGACTGCTCGCGAAGCTGGACGAGGAAGGCCTCGATTTCTTCGCGAACGAGCGCGCGCGCGTGGGCGAGCGAGCGGTTCCTGAGGCGTAGAGCATTCTCGACGACAGCAAAGCCAGCCAGAAGGCCCTGATGGTGATGATCGACCGCGAAACGACGCGCGGAAACGACGAGAACGTGCGCTCGGCGCGAGCCTCTGACGTGTAGCTGCTCAGCCACCTGCTCACGCTCAACGACATGTGCCAGCAGCTCTCCAAGATGTACGCCAAGTACGAGAAGAAGCTCGCCGAGGCCAAGAAGAAGAGTGTGTTTGCGGCGAGGCTTCCACCACCTAGATGACGGCTGGTCCGACGACGACGACGCGCCCGCCGACGACTGGGACGACGCGCCCAAGCCCGCGCGCCGCGCCAAGAAGCCCGTCGACGACGCCGAGCCCGCCGTCCAGGTGCGTTCCACGCGCCGCCGCCCCGCGCGCGACGCCGAGGACCGCGCGCCCGAGCCGGAGAAGGCCAAGCCCGCTTCTTCCTCCTCCGCCACCGAGGATCTGCTCGGCCTCGGGCTCTGGGACGAAACGCCCGCGCAGCCGGCGCAGCCCGCGCAGCAGGCGAAGCCGAGCCGCAAGCCGGCGGCGGACGACTGGGGCTTCGACGAGGACGCGCCGGCGCAGCCCGCGGCGCGGAGAGCGAAGAAGGTGTCCATCGACGATCTGTTCGAGGACGCGGAGGAGGAGGCGGAGCCCGCGCCCGCGCCGCGAAGAGCGAAGAAACCGAGCATGGACGATCTCTTCGAGGAGGACGACGCGCCCAAAGCGGCGCCTCGTCGAGCCAAGAAGTCCACGATGGACGATCTGTTCGACGAGGACGACGCGCCCGCGCCGCGCAGAGCGCGCAAGCCCGCGTCGGAGGACTGGGACGACGAGCCGAAGCCCCGCGCCGCGCCGCGCAGGGCGAAGAAACCCAGCATGGACGATCTCTTCGACGACGAGCCCGCGGCTGCGCCCGCGCCGCGACGAGCCCGCAAGCCCACGTCGGAGGACTGGGATGACGAGCCCGCGCCCGCGCCCGCGCCGCGAAGAGCGAAGAAGCCCGCGGAGGATGATTGGGGCTTTGACGATGAGCCCGCTCCCGCGCCGCGAAGAGCGCCCAGACAGGCTGCTGCACCCGCTCCTGTGGAAAGTGCCCCGGTAGATCCGTTCGCTTCGATGGATTTCGATTTCACGAAACAAAATTTGTCTCCTTCTGCCCCTACCTCTGCTAGTGCTCCTGCTGCGAAGAAAGATGCGTTTGACGATCTGTTCTCCTTGTAAAGCCCGATTGTATTCTGATTGTGTTTTTTTACATTCCCATTTTCGGCACTTTTTCATAATTGTGTTTTGCTGGATAGAGGGTTAATTTTCTACTCTATGGTAAGATTGGTTATCAACACCGACAAAGAAATCTTTAGAGTAGAGAGTTCGAGAAACTGTTCAACATAGGATAGTGTTTCGGGTGTTGTAGAGGTTATCCCTAATAGTTGTGTCTCGGAAGACAAGGAGTTTAGAGGCTTCGTTGTGCTGACGGCGTGCGTATTCATAAATTCATAGTAGGTATGTTGATTCTACCTGAAACGAAGTTCGAATCTATTTGCAAAGAGACGTATCACCTTTTATGAGGAAAAGAAAGAATTGTTGCTATCCACCCGAGCAGGATCTCCCTTTAAGTTCAATTTACGTTCAGAATCTGAAAAGCTCAATGTTGCTCTATAATGCTTTCCCTCACTTCTAGTTTCAATTTCCAGATAGTTATCTCGGGTTTGGTGTGGAGGTTCGTTACACTTTGAAAGCATTCACAAAAATGCTTATCCCAAGAAATGTAACCTACCGAGCTATCGAAGTGAAGAGTTTTGTATTTGTGTTCCAGTATGGTGATGAGTAGGGCATGCCATCTCCCCTTCCCTTAACGTTGACTATTAGCGAAGAGGATATACAGATGGTAGAGCGTCCCTCTTGCTCCAGCAAGAGTGATTTTTGTCCTATTGTGAATATTACGTGTAATCTTTCGACAACGGAAGTGAATTTCATGGACGGAGTGCGCGGGACCATTTGTATCAATCAGTGTTCCCCGAACATTAAAAACATCTCCGTAGGTCTGGTCCAGAACGAGGAAATTGGTATGGAAATCGCTTGTTTTCGTTATTTCTAGAGCGACGGAACAGTTTGCGCGACTTCCGTTCGATTTTTTCTGAGGGGGTGAGGTGTAGATATCGTGCGAGAAACCATTGATATCGGAAGCGGCGAGAACTGCGAAATTCCTTTTGTGCTTTATCCCACGCTGTGCCATGTCGCGCATGACTTCGCTTGTGAGCTGTTCAAGCTGAAGTTTTCGCTGCGTGTGTGTATTCTCTTTTCCAATAACATCCGTTGCATCCACTGCCTTCCGGTTCACTTTTCATTTTAACCTACTTGTGTTTTTGTTTGTTGGTCACAGCCTTTTTTGTTACGATGTCCTCTGATTATAACATTTGTTGCGGAGAGGTACAGGATATAATACAGGATGCTGACTGCCTGTATCAGCAACTCCTTGAGTTGGCGCTCCTTCCCAGTTCGTACGATTTTTTTTTTACAGGGTATCTTATTCGTAGTTTGTACAAACTATTAACCGATCGAAAAAAGCAGTATAATCCGAAATTGCGTTCTGTGCTGATTCCCTTTACGTAACCTGTGCACCATGGACATTAATAGCAGATACTTCAAAGATACAAAGAAATTCGATAGGCAAATACGTAGTGTACTAAGCGATGAGGAAATGGTGAAAGAGATTGGAGAAGACGATATGGTATGGGTTCAGAAGTACACTGCACATTGCTTCGTTTCTTGTAGACTTGGCACAACACTGAACCGGGTTTCCATTTTAGTTAATCATGTCAACACCTTCTTCAGCAATCTAGACGATAATTATTACAAAAACGTGCAATGTGGGTGCTTTTCCAATCTCTAATACAGATTTGAAGCTCCTGCAAGAATCTCAAGGTCGCTGTCTTATTTTAGAAATGTTGGCGTGGATTAGCCGTCTTTTGTTGATGATTGATATTTGCTTCCCAGGTGAGGTTCGCGAATGCGTTCTCGTTGTCTACTATCGGCTTATAGTACAATTCTTGACGCGGTGCGATCTCCTTCTAGCTCCAAAAAGAAGCGCGCGAGCTGCACAATCTCACGCGTCACATCATGGAGTCAAACGGCGAAGTTCGCTCCGATTTGTTCCCTCGTTTTTACCCGTTTGTATTCTGCGAGCGTTGCCGCTTCCCCGAAGTACGTGCAGCGCAGTTCTCTCACATCAAAGAGCAAAATCAAACTGCTAATCAACACTTTCTTGGAGCAAAACAACGATCGACTCATCAGCCAAGACGAAATCACCAACTTGTTTTCCTCCTCTTCTTTGCCGCCTTATCCTCAGGATTTTGGTTTCGTTCTTCGCTTCCGGTCTGAAGGACCCGGCGAACTTGGAGGACTTCAACGCGCTGAGCGATTTCCTGTCCACGCACGTGAGTTGGGACGAAGACGTTTACTTCGGTCCGCTTCTCTCAATCGCGTTCCCCGTGCTGATGTCCAACGCGAAGGCGCTGCAATACAAGCGAGAGCTGAATCGAAGCAGCCAGAAACAGCGCTCGGAGCGGCAAAACTCGCTGCGAAGGAGCAACAATTTCGTGATGGAACTGCCTGCGCTGTATTGGGGCAACGAAAGATCGCCGAATTGGCCGGTGCGATGAACGCAAAGCGATTGAAATTTAGCACGACATTGCTTCCGTGCTGGAGAGTTACGTCAATCAGTTGAAAACGCTCGTCGGGAACTCGAAGATGAGCATTGTAACTCTGCTGGTGTTTGCAATTGGCGGGTTTGAGGGATAGGACAATCTCTCCGACCTCGAAATTCAGTTAGTGAAGACGAACGAGTATCTGAAGAACGTTTCTTTGTTTATCGTGCGAAAAGCGAAATCCGAATCGGTGGATCCGTCGCTTCAGGTTCTCTTGTTTTTTTCACTTTTTTGATGTATAGAGATTGTTTTTCGCTTCGTTTGTAACCACCATGCAAATCCTGTATGGCGTTCTCGAAACATTGAAAACGGTTCGAGCGAACAAAGTGAGTCTGTGGGGATTTTGGCACACGAAATTGTGCGGAAAACTGGAAGAAATGGGTGTCATGCAGGAATACCGCGAGTTTATGGACAAAATCCTGGAGTTCGAGGACGATGAATCGCGAATCGACGAGCTGTATCGTTGTTTAGAACGCTTCGGAGAGACGGTGAATGGCGTGAAAGAGCTCTCCGAATTCCAGCGAATGAATTCGATCTTGCTGATTGAGCGAGTGAATCATTGATTCAACGATCGAATCGTAGGTTCATTTCGCGGATCGGATTGTGCAGGAACTCAAAGTCGACTATTTCTTCAATTGCTACAGTCTTGTCGTGAATGTGTTCCCAGACTTTTTATATGGAGTAAGTCTTACGTTCAGCGTTCAGTGCAGAAAGGCGACATCGCGCTGGAGTCCGTCTTGTTGATGATGAAAAGCGTTCGCTGCTTGTATCACGCGCCTCTCGAGCCGAACTCCGAACTGAAAGAAGTCATTACCGAAATGGAAGGCCACGTCTTCCAGCAGTTAATCAACGTCTACACTCGCAAGAGCGCCGACATCTGCTTCTCTCTCTTCATCAACTACATCTCGAACTCTGCGAACGACTTCCCGGAAGAGATCAAGCGGGAACTCGATCAGATCGCGCAGAAGAAGAGCATCCCGAAGGACATCGCGTCGGTCGCTCGGTTTGGGAAAATCAACCAGGCGCTCAAGCAATGCGACGCGTTTTTGAAGGAGTTTGAGCTGCAGGGACCGCAGGAAGGAGCCAGTGCGATTCTCTTAGAGCGAATTCGCGATGAGATTTTTTCGCTGGTGCAGAAAGGAAGCAGTTTGTTGGATGTGCGGATTGCGACGAGGAATGAAACGTAGAACGTGGAAGGGAACACAATTCGACACTTGTTCGATCAGTTTACGAAGGCAGTCTCGTCGATTTTCCTGTTTAAAAAACGATCGGAGTGTCTGAGCGTTTTGGCTTTTTTTGATTTTGCTAATCGTTTTAGTTCGTAATGAAATCCGATCTTCAGAAATTCATTGACATCCAAACAAAACGAGCTTTCTCGTTAGCGATTCTCGACGAGTTCAAAGCGCGCGGACTCTCCGTTCCTTCTTATGCATCGCTCCACTCCAATGGATCCATTCCTTCCTTGCTGTTTTGCTTTGTTTTCGACGCGATTCATAGAAGCGCTTCCTCGCATTTCAGCATCATCGGCAATTTCATCAACAATCTTTGTCTCGTGATTCCTTCGCAGGAAGCCTTCTTCGACGAAACAGCGAACGGCTTCATCGTTAATCAAGACCTCGTACTCACTAGCGATCATTTCCTGCAGCTCATCTCTCTGTCTTTTTGATCGGGTTTTGACCAATCGTAGAATGGGCCTATCGACTTATTCCTGCATCGGAGAGTACATCTGCTTCCATCTTCGCGAGTTGATGGACAGACTCGAGTCTCTGCTTCGCAATCAGCTGCAATGGATTCGTGTCAGCGATGTGGATTGCAAGCAAAAGGATTTTGCTCACAAGTACGCTGTCTGAATTTTCGTGCAGCGATAGAGTGCGAGAAATGATGGCGTGGTACGAGTCTGAAATCAACGTTGATTTGACCACAGCGTACTGTCTTGGACAGGTTTCTTTCGTGTTTCTCTCTGAATCAGACAATCGGAATCGCCATTCTCAGTCTGTCCGCCGTTCGCATGTTCTGCACCATCTCGAACCAGGAAATCGAATCCTACTCGGAAGACACTTTTTTCACGACGTGTTCCAAGGATCCAAACTCGATCGTTCTCTACCCAATCAAGCAGTTTTCTGGAATTCCAGAATTCCCCATGATTTTGTTTTTCGTGCTCTATTTGTCCATCCAAGGGTCGCAGTAAGAGCGAATGCACTAGTTCAATGTAGGCAACCTTACACTTCGTCGAGTAATGAAATGGCGTATAAGGACCGAACATGTCTGCTGATGGGCATTTCATCCTTGCTGAACCAGATGAATCCGAGCTATTCGGAGCAGGTTAGGACTGTTGACATGTCTGCTATCTAGTTCTTTGAGTTTATTCGGTCGTATGTGGAGGCGGAAGCGGCGCGAGATATGGAGAAGAAGTATTATGAGCATATTACCCTGATCCAGACGCTGAGAGAGGAGGGACTGCGCATCATGAAGAAGTTGAGACATCGGAGTGCCAATCTGAATGAGTTGGAGCGTGCTTTGTTGTCAGTCGATTAACCTGTTTGTCCATTGTTTGTTTTCTAACATGGGGGCGATTTCACCATTGAGGATTTCTGTTTTCCTTTCCTCGATCGTAGCTATGTATCTTTTTGAATCGATTGTTGTGAGCATTAAGAGGATGTCTCGTTATTACCCTATATTCAACTCAAAACACCGATTCTCTGTTCTTTAAATTATCTGTACGCACAGAGAATTGATAATGAGCGATAGACCCTATTTTCTGGGAAAGATACTTTTGACAAGATATTTGAGACGAAAAATGAGCTGGATATCAATGGCGGAGATGAGAATGAACAAATGAAGGGAAGTATTCTTGATTCGACTACCTTCGAATATGACAGTGATGTATCGGAGCTATGGACGGAGAAATCATTAATTGAGAATGTACTCATTCAATCTGCTCTTTATTAGGCAAACAAGTACAAAGTGGAGTTGTGTCATCCCGAAAATGATGCAAATGCTCTTAGAAACTATTCTTCCCCATACGTGTTGAAAAAGGGTGATCATCGACTCCGTTACCTGTCTGTCAGCCAAATCAAGGAAGATAAAGTGTCACCGTATTCTCTCTACAGAGATCCCGTTCTTGATACGGAGCGGACGCTAGGCTTAACTCTATTAACTGTGTTTTCGTACACTGGATTTTTGCTTTTCTTACAATTCAGAGAAGATCGTTTTCTGTCTCACACCTTCTTATCCAACTGGAAAGGGTACTTCCTCTCGTTTTTCATTTCTGTTTAGTCCTCTTCTCTTAGTGCTATGGGTGAGAGAGGAAAACGTGCAATCCATCCAAAAGCTAATCCTAGCCAATCACTTCCCATCTCGCGTAACCATCCTGCTCGTCTCCCACGAGCCACGCAACGTCTATCAGTCCGTCTTCCCGATCAATCTTCTTCGCAATATCGGTCTTCAGTCCATCACCACCACCCACGTCTGCGTTTTAGACAGCGATCTCTCGCTCTCTCGTCCCTTTCTCCGCTTCTTTCCATCTAGAATCCTTCTGGAAATCGCTCCAATCGCTTCCCAAGACGCTCATCGACGACCCGCACGCTCTCCTTCTCCTCCCTACCGTGTACTCGCTCAACGGATTGGAGCCTCTCTCGATCGAAGCAGCGCAGGATTGCATTCAGCGGAGCGAGTGTTCGCTGCGTCGTCCGGGACGAAAATCGACGGTAGGAGAGCGAAACGCGTGTGATTCGAAGGGGATTTTGGAGGAATCGGGAGCGGAGCTGCGCTCGAATCAGCCGAAACCGGTGCGATGTGTGGCGAATGAAGAGATCGAGCCGTAGGAGGGAGTGAAAGACTTGGAGAATAGATTCTATGTGATGAGACTGTCGGTGGAAACGCCGTTCTTCGTCGAGAGTTTTGTGGACTATGGATTCAATCGAATGGCGCATTTCCAGCATCTGCGACAGCGTGGAGCGCAAATGTATGTGGTGCCGAGCGCGTTTGTGGTTCATAAGGAGCATGCTGCGTGAGAGAAGGAGCGCGAAGTGAGCCGTAGATCGCATCAGCAGATCCAATTCAACATTCAGTACCTGGAGCGACTGAACTCGACGAACGAAGTGCTGTACCGAAAGCTGAAGACGTACTGGGGAGATCGATATGCCAGCCTCACAAAGGTTGAGTTGTGCGAAAGAAACAGTGAATGAATGAATGAATGAATGAATGAATGATTAAATGAATGAATAACACAGTTTGATAGTAAAGTATGTTTTCAACAAACAAAAGAATAATCTTCAAGGATTATTATGAATCATTGGTATTAATTACGAACTAGACAAATGGCTAAATCAGCCAACAAGAGTTAAAACTGTCGTCGAACCTTCTCGACAACACCAATTCCAAAAAGTGGTCTACACTCTTGGATAAAGAATCCCTGTCATTGATCGAACACTTCGATTCAGAGGGTTTAGTAGCGTACTGCTGAAGATACTGCTGCATCGTTGCAGGAGTTCTCACAGTCAGAGAAAAGGAGTTTTTCCGAGAACTACCTGCACTTTCGAGATAGTCGTCATCTGAACTAGACTCCAGTGATGGGATAGAGTTCGACGAAGGGGTAGATCGAATGGGGGGCGAATACTCGGCCTGATTCTTCTCGATTTCAATGTCAGTAGCACAGAACTTTCCATTTTCATCGACCGCAATAGAAAAAGAAACAATAGATCCCAGAACCAGTGTTTCCTTCAGCTCTTCAGTCAAATCGGAATAGTAGAAGGTAACATCACGTACTCCGTTGATTTTATTCTTTATTCGAATGTAGCCATGCTCCAACCTCAAAAACTGCACCTTACCCGTATGTCTTTCAGGTGCTATCGGAACGGAAACACTACATTCTTCATTGGCTTGATCAGACATTTGTAGAAAAAAATGACCAAATGGGACAGAACATGGAGCATCTTCGGATGAAACTCCCTGGGTCGAAATGGCGCATGACTTTGCTCGGGAAGATTCGGTATTTATGTTCCGTTCACAAATATCCTTTTTGAGTCTCTAATCACCTTGGAGTCATTTTTCAGCCCTTTTCGCCGGCTCCAAGTATATTCTAGAAATCTGCATGTTTTTAAACTTCTACTCTTATCTCCACTTTTATGTGAATCACCAAATCATTCCTTCCGTGTGCGTACAACAAACACCCCAAAAGACGATCAAATCGCACTTATTAAAACCGTCACATGAACCTGGCTCGATCTGAGCCCCGTGAGTAGAGCTTCCATGTTCAGCGCCATCTCGTTAGTTCAACACCAGCCCCCTAAGGTTTACGGACTGGCGCATCATGTCAACAAGCATGTCGCTTCCCACAGTCGCAATCCACGCTCGGCCCCAGCGTGGACCTCGAGAACACACCATGCAGGGCATGACTGCACAATGCGCCCTCCTTACTCACTAGCGACCGAACCCGATTCATGCAGACCCTCCCCTCTACTTGCTGCTGTTGTCGCTGTTCTTGCCACGGTACTCGCGCCACTGCTGCTTAATCGCTCCGCACTTGTCCATGATATTCGCGTTCCACAACGCAGCCACGATCAGAATCGTGAAGCCTACGTAGGTCATCAGAATGGTCATGAACCAGCCCAAAGGCGACAGGCAGTGGAAGTTCTCAATGTGGCAAGTCTGACGGTATTCGCTAGAGCCAGGAGCCTCCCACCACTCCAAGTCCTGCAGGACGTGGCGGAAAGGATCGGCGCAGACTAGCAAAGAGGCGATCACGATCAAAACGAAAGGACCCCACTTCTTCCACTTATCGGCAATGTTCTGTTTTCTACGATGCTCGTAGATGTACCAACTCAATCCTAACATCATCACAAAAGTCATGCCAAAAGAAATGTAGTGGCCTGTTGCACGAGCCGAGGCGGATACGGTTCCGCCGATCAGCACCACAACCAAGGCCGGCCAACATCAAGCACCAAGCAGGGCAGGAATACTGATAATCATACTCAGAACAGACACGATCAAAGAGTTTCTCTCACTCTTCGCGATCGACGGTCTCTAGTCATAAGCTACACGGAAAACGGTTCTACCTTCGGAGCAGACGAAGATCAGTTTCCGTTTACACAGCCACCTGCTGCCGGCGCCGCCGAAGCGGACGCCGCGGGAGAAGCCGGTGTGGACTTCTTCAGCAGGGGAGACTGTACCTGGAACTTGCTCGGTGAAGCAGGCGATGTCGACCTCAATAAAGGAGATTTCACCTGGAAAGGTGACCCCACGTTAACTGAAGCCATTAACCTTTAAGTCCGAAACAAATCTAGAAAAGTCTGAATGATCCAAACTTTATGGTGTGGGGATGCCTATTGGATGAACCGGTATGGACCAATCAGATCGCGCAAATGCGCTTGGTTCGCCCATTCCTTAATAGTGTCACTAATTACTATTAATAATACAAACAATATTCTAAATGAACTTTTACTCGTCAAACACTGTATGCGAATTCACATTTGCCTCTTCCTTTGCATACTCCACAACCAACTTTCTTCCCAGCAAGTGCGTACTTGCCAGAGCCTTGATAGCGGTCTTGGCATCGTCACTAGACACATATTCCACAAATGCAAATCCTCGTGACGTTCCGTCAAACTTCTTCGGCTGTCGCAAGGACTTGAGCTGTCCGAATGAGCCGAACAATTCTCTCAACTCGCTTCTTGACGCTTCAAACGGCACATTTCGCACGAGCAGTTTCGTCCTCTTCTCTCCATCTTCCTCTGCGCGTGCCGTTAGCTTTCTCTTCTTCGTGGTGACGATTTCTGAGCGTGCGGAGAAGCTCAAATCCAGCACATGACCGTCCAACGCCTTTCCGCTAAGTTGGTTGAGGGCTCGCAGAGCCTGAGCGCGAGTCTCGTACACAGCGAAGCCAAATCCCATCGGCAACGATTCTCCAGAGGGCGTTTTCTTCTTGGGCAGCGTGATGGATTTGAGTCCAGGCACCGAATTGAAGAGCTTGCGAACCGCCGCTTCCGTCGTCTTCCAGTTGAGATTCTTGATATAGATCGTCGTGTTGGATGAGTCCTCGCCTCCCGCTTCTTCTGCATGATCTCGTTTTGAAGGATTTGAGGAGGAGGAGGAGGATTCGAGTGTGTTCGAAGCGAACGCAGAGGACTGGGAAGCCGAGTTCGCTTCTTTATCGTTGCCGTTGTTATCATCTGCGGAAGGTTGCTTCGAAGGAGCCGCCATAGACTTGCTTGCATTGTCATTCTTCGAATCAGCGGCAGCTTGCGAACGGCGCTGCTGTCCAATCGCGATGGGGAGATACTCCAGATAAAGAGGCGTGTGCTGGTATTTGCGATAGCTGAGCCGATTGAATGCTCGCTTGGCTTCGGAGGGAACGGAAAACGTGACCAGTGCCATCACACTACACTCACAACGGCCAGACCGATTCGTACTGAGACTCGGGCAACACAAGCTGCTGGACTTCTCCGTACTGCGAGAAGAGCGAAAGCAATTCGTCTCGATCTGCAGTATAGGGAAGATTCTTCACCAGAATGATTTTGTCGCTTCGCTGAACCGGTTCTCCACGCGCAACAGCCTAGAATTCGATAATTAAAATAAAGCAAAAAGCGTACTTCGAGTACTTCGATTTGAACATTCTGGGATTCCAGCCACTTTTTGGTGTCTTCCAACACTTCGGTTTCCGCCAGAGCGACTCGCACAGCCATGTTTCCAGACTCCACATCGAGGATATCGCTCGTTTTCACGCCGAGCTTCTCCGAAATCACCTTCATGACGGTGTCGTTATTCAGGTAAAGAGCGTTCCAGGACGCCGTGTTGTTCACCTCTTCTAACCGTCGCGCCAAGTATTTCTCTCCCTTGTAAGTGTGCGCATGGCGAACTATGCATGATTCTAGCCATAAAACACACACCCATCTTCTTGTAGTCGCCCTTCTTCACGTTGGCCACATTGACTCGCAGAACGCGGCCTTGAAACACACTTCCGTCCAGTTTCTACAATGAATCATCCTAAAACAAGCAAGCACTTCGATCGCAGCAATAGCCTGCTCCGGAAACATAAAGGTCACGAACGCGTATCCTTTGCTTTCTCGTTTCGAGTTCAGAGGAATAAACACATCCACGATTTCTCCGTATTGGCTGATGAATTCGCGGAGCTCTTCTTCTTTACACGAATAGGGAATGTTCTGCAGGAACAAGCGGCCTTCTTCGATAATATCTTCGTCATCCTTATTGAACGGAGACGATTGCTCCGCTTTTCCCTTCTTATTGCTTCCCTTCTTCCCAACATTTTCGTCATCTTCGTCGTCCTCTTGGTTCAACTCCTTCGACGGGCTCTCTGTTTCCATCTCTGCCTCGCTATCCTCTTCACTAGAACCCATCGAATCGCTTTCTTCATCAGAATCGCTCTCATTCAGGGTGCCTCGCAGTCTGGCTTGGGTCGTATCTTCAGGAACATCCGAAAGCTCAGGAACGTCTTGATAAGCGTCCGAATCACTTTCCTCGTCAGAGTTAACTATCATTAAAAGAAAGAATAGACACGACTTTCCGCGGTGACTTCATCGTTCTTCCACGTTTTCTTGGTTGTTCGGCTTTTCATGACATTTAAAAACTCTTGGAGTTCTTGAGCTACATTCAAGTCAACAAAAGCATTCCTACCCTTCTTTTTTCTATCTTCGTCCACTTTTGCCTTTGTCTCCTCGTCCAGCTCTTCGCTTTCAACAGAATGTGCAGACTTCGAGTTGGGTTTCACACTCTTATCATCGGGATGGAGTCTACTATACGCGGAACTACCCTTTGAATATCGACTCCAAGGGCGAGAAGTGACTTCTCCCTTCTAACACAGAATACGAGACCAAAGCCGCTTACTGCTTCCGCAAATGTGACAGACAATTTTGAAGTATGGAAATACGAATTATTGAAAAAAGAAACGGCAGCTTTGGCTTCTTCCTCCGTTTTGTATCCGACAAACCCGATTTGGCGATTTACACCACTAAAAATTGAGAACAGTAATATGGAGAGTACTTCTTTTTGAGAATCTTGACATCCGTCACTTGGCCTTTCTGCGAGAAAAAAGCCTTCAATTTATCTTCTGTGACATGCTTAGGAAGGTTTTTGACGAATAGGCGTGTGCTCATAAGTCTCTAAAAGAACAGTGAGCAAAAATAGGTTTATTGATTTGAATAGAGAAGAGAGATTGTTTTTCGATAATAAACATAAATATGGATATTCTAGAACTCAGTACATCCATCTTTATGAGAATGAATCACAAAAGATCAGAAAAGTGCATGGTCCTCATATGTTACAATTGCGAATGTGATAGAGAATGTGGAAACATAGTCAAGAATTTATTACTTTACTCTATATGGGAAAGAAGCTCTGTTGTGAATCCTCATTTCAAAGAAAGCGTTTCTGTACGTGCAGTATTAACCATTAGATGTGGCTACATAAGATAATCAATGGTCATATTAATAAAAAATGAGAGTACGTTCTTCAAACAATTGCATTCACCTTTCTCAATGAATGAAGAAATGGATGAACCTATATATGATACAGTGAACCTGTATTATTCCAGACTCACTTCAGCGTCGTTCATACTCTTTATTTATAGGTGGAAGAAGAGAAAGTAATTATTATGTCGGTCTGTCTGTTGCTATTGACAAAGTCACAAACAAAGAAAAATCTAAATCCAAATGTGCACCAAAAAGCTCATTTGGTTGGGAAGAGACAAAAACAGAAAAGATACGTAACAGAATAATGGTTAAAATATCACAGAATGTTTGTAAAATGGAATGTCAAAATTATGCCCACATAATTGACAAAAATAATAATAAAAAACAAAAAACTAGAGTTCCTAAATCTTACAATTTGAATTCAGTAATAAATAACAACTACATCCACCGCGGTTATATTACCTGATGAGAACCTAGGCACAAAAACAAATATCCAAATAAACCGCTGATTTCTCAAGTGCTGAGAGAAATGATCCCAGACAGTAGTAATCTATTGAAGGAGATAAATAGCTAGGTGTTTTATCGAAACCCAAGGGAGCAGAATATCTGCTTGAGGGTTATGTTGCTGATAGTGAACCAAAGGTCGTAGTGAAAAATGGCGTGAGGTATTCGCTTCAGTCCTACAAAGGTGAGCACAGGAATGAATATACGATGCGCTCAGATTCTGGAGACACCTATCTATACAATAGTGGCATTTTGAAAATGCATTGGAAGGAGGATGACAAAGGTTCTCGTGTTGGAGGGTTTACAGTGTACGATAAGGGCAAGGTTGATTTTGTTCAGAGATTTAAAGATATTCTGGAGCAACAAGACTTTAACCGCATAGTGAATCATTTGAGGGGGTTACGTATGGAAATCACCTCTAAGGATACAGACTTCAAGATTTATCATGGAGAATTCAATGAGAAGCGTCAAAGAGATGGCTGGGGAATAGAGTATGACAAAAACACCGGACAATTTTCTTTGGAAGGCATTTGGAAGCGAGATTCTCTTACTGAGGTTCGCAGAGTATTCGAAGATGACGTGATGATAGAGTTTAAGCGAGATGGAGATAATCTATGCAGCTACCAGCGGGTGCCATTGTATGTCGGCGGATTTCGCTATGATGAAATCAATGAAAAATTCTATCGCGAGGGAGTAGGGTATGAAATTGACGAGAAAACTGGAATTGCAGTGAGAGAAGCAGAGTGGAAGGATGGTCAAGAGATCAGTGGAAGGGATTTATCTGATGGCTGGTACAACCCCCTCCCGCTCAAGGTCACGGTAATAGAGCCTCGAGATTTGACTCGACTCAGTTTGGAGGTAACTGACTTAGTGATCGATACCACGTGCTGTGCAGATTTAAACGAGTTGGATTTGAGCAAGTTTACCCTTCTATCGACCCTTGAGATTGGAGACAATTGCTTTGGATCGGTGGATACTTTCAGAATCGACGGATTGAAAAAGTTGAAATCTATAAAAATCGGTAAGAATTCGTTCACACTGGTGAAAGACTTGAACTGGGATACGGACTGGGACGAAGCTATTGAGAGAGCAAACAATCGACACCGATCCTTCCATATCTTGAATTGTGAACAACTAAAGTCGATTGATATCAGGGAGTGTAGTTTCTCTGATTATGGTGGACCATTTGAGTTGGTGAATCTGCCCTCATTAGCAACGATCAAAATCGGTGTGATTGGAAGCAAGTCCAGAAACTTCCGTTGCACGTCATTTGTGATTCGAGGTAAGAATTGTTGATTCCACCGTGAGAATCAGATCTTCCGAAGCTCACCTCTATTTCGTTAGGCTATGGAGCGTTTTGTCGTGCATTTTCAACCGCCATCGAGAGTATATTGTCAATCACAGACGTTTAGAATTAGATCTCCCCTTATTGCAATCTATTGAACTTGGCTGCTTTGCACTGTTTGGAAGGGATGACGATTCGTCTTCACTTGTATTGCGAAGTAGGCAATCGAGATAGATGCCTTAGTTTTTTTGTAGATTTGCCTGCTCTGACATCCATTGTTTCGAAGGGATGCAGTTTGTATTACCAACGCGCTGTGACACTAGAAAGTGGCTTTCTTGCAACTTTCTTTTCTGTAGATGTCCCCAATCTTTCGAATATCCAATTGCCAAGTTCATTCTTGTTTGGGAAGCCATTCCAAGGGGTTGATTCGAAAACGATTTCCAGTACTCATACCGATTTGATTCTCGACTCATAGATGTCAGCTATCAGCTTCACAAAATCTGTCCCTTAACGATGAGCGAGTTCGCATCGATTGAATCCTCTGTTACTTCAATCAAGATTCCAGACTGGACATGTAACGAATCTGAGTTCGTGAAGCTCGATTTCTCACAGTTCACCCAACTTCAGTCCTTGGAGATCGGAGATGACTGTTTTAGCTATGTGAATGTCTTTAGGATCAACGGACTCCACTTCTTGAAAAGGTTGAGAATCGGCAAGAACTCGTTTACGCTTGTGAAGGAACGGGAGATCGATGAAAACTCGGAAGAAGCGGAGGAGAAACTGAACAATTCCGCTCGCTCATTCCACATTGTGAACTGCGAGCAACTCGAATCGATCAAGATAGCTGAATGCAGTTTCTGCGATTTCGCAGGGGAGTTCGAACTTGGAAACCTTCCCGTATTGAAGTCTCTCAAGATTGGCACCATTGGAAGATGGTCATTTAATTTTTTCTGGAGTTCATTTGTGGTTCGAGGTGCGTTTTCATTCGTGCGCTCACATCCAGATCTCCCCAAACTCGAATCGATCGAACTCGGTAACATGGTCTTCTTTGTTTCGTTTGCCACCATCATTGAAAGTACGAAAACAGAGCGAGTTTGTCGATAGATCTTCCTTCACTACAGATGATCGATCTTGGTTACGATGCGTTAGTCGGAGATGAAGATTCATCATGCTCGCTTACGATGCGCAGTTTGCATTGGGCTCATCCAATTACTAATAGAACTTCCCAAACTCGCATCCATTACTTCAGAGGTCGGGAGTTTCCTATGCTCTAGGACTGTAACATTGGAAGGTAGTCAGAAAGGAGAGATACTGATTGATGATGTAGATATTCCTAATCTGAGCAATGTCAGATTGCCTGATTCGTTCAAGAGGGTGAAGTCGAATACGATTTCCAGTAGTATTTTATCGTCTCCTTTTCTTTAGACGTCTCTTCGATTCTTGCTGATTGTGTAACAATCAAATCGGATGATTAAGTCGCTTTTGTTTGAGCTCTTTTATTTGGCAGAGCTTATTGCAAACTCCACTCTGTTTGTTATATTACGCATTCTATTAGTACATTGTGTGTTTTGGAAGGTTCTATGAAAAGTAGATCTCATTAATGGAAATATCGTTCGATAACTATCCTTATAGTGACCTCAAATAGATAATATGTGATAATTCAAGAAACAGGCAAATGTCCTATAGAATTGTGTCTGATTGTTATTATTTGTATGCATTCATTACAGTTGCATAATCCAAATATAAATAGTGCAGGAATCACGAATATTCTCACTGAAATTAGCAAATCTATATCTATTTGTGGACATAGAACCTCAGAAAAAGACAGTATTGTATCAAACCGATTCATAGTGAACAAACGACAAACAATCATCATTCCACTTCATCCATAAAATTAAGCAAAATAAGACGAATAAACTGGCACCAAATATCTCAAAAATGAAATTGAGTCTAGTGATTCCCAAAAAAGCCTGTTATTTTGGACTTGAATTCTGTATACAATCTTTGCTGTTGATATTTATTTGGGGTGAAATTTAATTTTGATACTGCTTATAAGAATACTATACTATCAATCATGGAAACTCCACTGAGGGAAAACCCTAAGAATAAGGATTATCTTATTATCATTTCTGTTGACGGCCGTGAACAAAGAGCAAATGTATATAATTATTGTTGTCGATTAACACTAGTTCCCTATTAACTCAATATCTTGGATCTTGATTGGTAGAAATTTCTGTTGACGATTCATTTGTAGATACAAGGAGTGGAAAATCGGTGATACAGAAGGAAGTTGATTTCGATAGTAGTGTTAATTCGTCTTCCATGGTATCGATATCCTTTTCCATACAAATTTTTATTACAATTTCCTTAATAATACTGTATCACTTCCTTTACTAGTACCTTCTTTGAAATCCAGGATTCTTACTCACAACACTCTACAGAAATACTGCAGAATCCATGTGTGGTTTTTCCTGACCGTGAGAACGCCTCTTTGCTCATGTAAGTATTTTTTGTTGCTGTGATGCTAGGAGCTGTTTCAAGAAGTTGGGAGTGCGCATCCCCTCTATTCTTTTTCGTGTCTATTTATTTCTGACCGAATTCAATATCTACCAAGACCAAAATCAGAATCGTTACCCAGTCGAATCCACCACGTATTTTGCTCTTTTCGTCTGCAACAACCGCAAGCCGGCTTCTTTCGGTCTTTCCCGCTGCATCGATGTGAAGGACGCTTTGTTATCGCTGTTCCAGAAAGGCCATTGTCTCGCCAGCTCCACGCTTCTCTTGAACAACGAATCGCCTCTCTCCGCGCCTCGCCATGTTTCAATGGACGCCACCGACTCGCTCTTTCGCATGTACGAGCCTTCTTTCCACTCCAACACGCCGCTCCTTCACCCCAATTCCTTCTTCGATTCTCGCACCTATTCCGGAGACGACTTCTGCAGTTCGCAGTGGTCCTCCGATTTCTCCGCGTTCCGCAACCCCTCCGTCCTTCCCGCCGTCTCCACCTCCTCCATCCCCACGCGTCCCTTCGAGTTCTCCGATCCCCGCGGGGCCGAAGTGTGGAGCCAGCCGCTGAATCGATGGGACTCGCAAGAACGCTCGCTGCGCCCGTCCATTCGAACGGGGAGCCTGTTTCAAGACCTCCCGGCAGAGCGTCGCCGGTCCAATTCGATGAGCGTGATGCACTCTTCGTCTTCTCTCTTCTTCCAGAACACGTACTCGCCCACGCCTCTTTCGTTCGGCTATCTCACGCCCGCGCAGAACGCGCTTCCTCTCTCCGAGACGGACGCGCTCGACGACTTCTCGCTCGGAGATGTCGCGCCGTTCGACGCTTCGTTCGCGACAACCGAGCCGCAGCCGGTTGCGGAGCGCAGTTTGAACGAGGGGCTTCACTTAGCGAAGCTACCGAGCGAGGAACCGATCCACACGGGATCGGCTTTGAATCCGAACAGCGCGGAGTTCATTCCGGGAGGCAAAAAAACGGGGAAACAGGGAAATCGGGGTGGAGCGGAGCATGGAAAGGCGGGCGTGAAGCCGCGCGATCTGTTGGAACAAACAATGCTGCAGCAGCGAATCGTGGAGAATCGAATCACGACGTTGAAGCTTCGCGGATTGCCGTACACCGTGGAAACGTGGAATCAGATTGATGGATAGGCGACAAAGGAGGAAATCGCAGCCTTCTTCGCTCCGCTGGAAGTGCCGCGCGATGCGAAGGGCGAGTTGACGATCGTGATCGGACAGGACAATCTGCAACGACCCAGCGGAGAAGCGTTCGTGACCTTTTCGTCAGTCGAGGACAGCGCGAAAGGACTGGAATACCATTTAAAGAATCTGGGGAAGCGGTACATCGAGATCTTCCCGCTGTTCAATAAGGATTATTATCGAAGAAGTGAGTGGCGAGGAAGGCGTGCGAAGTGTAGATATGATCTATTGTTCCATTTGCAACAAGTACGGACACACGAAGGAGTCGTGCGTGCTCCGCACACACTCGTAGATCATCCAGGGTAAAAAAAATGTTTTGTATATCGTAAGTGTATTATGGAGGGTTTCGATGTTTCTTGGAACAAACAAGACGTGTGCTCTGCTATACAGCCTAAACGTTGAGCGTTTATCGGTAAGACTTCTGGTAACGGGCACGAGCCGATGGACCTCCGTACTTCTTGGGCTCGCAGCGACGAGGATCTAGCAATGAAACCAGCGACAAAGAGACTACCGGCAGCGATCAGGGAACGATCGAAGGAAACGAGGAGATCCTTGATCTCACGCTTGGCCTGCTCATCGACGTCTACAGATCAAACACTCCAGACAACACTACATTTCTGGTAGAACGCAACGATCGCTCTAGAGATAGCCTGACGAATGGCTGTTCATTACCAAAACGAATCGAAACTACCATAAATCTGAGCAACGCGACCTCCTCCCTTGACAGTCACACGGATGTCGAGGTTGGCAAATCTCTCAGCTCCGAGAAGGAGAACCGGCTCAATAGCCTTCATCTTCATGCATTCGGGCTGCATAATGTCAATCGGTTGATTATTCAATCTCATGACTCCCTTTCCATACTTGCAGTGAGCAACGGCAATGGCGTTTTTCTAAAACGGAGATTAGCACAATGTTCAAGAAAAAAGAAACGCTCTCCAAAATTTGCTTACCTTACGGCCAAAGGTTTGCACAGAAGGCTTAGCTTGTTCAGTGGACATCTCAAAGGCACACTTTCTAAGTCCAATAATAACCCCTGGGTAAAATCGTTAGTGCGGTGGGGGTAAATTCACATATAACCTATGATCTTGGATAAAAAAGGCCATTTCAGAACTTTGTTTGAATAATTTGTATTTCAGAGGGTTAGAAAATAGATCTTAGTGGTGAACCCTCAATTTGTTAGAACCAGTAATGTAGACTGTATAATTGTAGGATAATTCGTAAAATATGGAATGAGAGTGAATGAATAGAGAAAGCAAAAATTGAAATGTATGCTAAAAAAGAATCTTTGGCTTGAAGAAAAGTACTCAGCATTATGATCAATGGATGAGTTGAGGCAAATAGTACAAGCAGATAATATCGGTACTACACAACTACTAAAAGCATAAAATCGGGGTATGAGAACGAATTGAGTATTTTCCATATGTTTTATTTTCCGATCACTTTTTACTCTGTGTGATTTATAAGCACTACACAAACATAGATGTTATATATATAGAAAAGCACAAAGAACTGGATATTGGTGCCAATTCGAATTCCCATTTACCTACATGAATGCCGATCTATTTGATTCACGTAGAAAGAAATCCAGGCATATAAAAATATTAAAGCTCAATAATATATATACTAGTGACTTAGTATCCTGAGAAAAAAACTCCATAACAAAGTAAATCTAATCATTCCTATTCACAATCCATAAAATGGCAGACATTAAGAGATCGTAAGAAGTGAAAAACCTAAACACTACTCAAGAAAGATAACATCATGAAATCGATAATATATATGAAAAGCAGATAATACAATATGTATGGGTCATCAATTAACTCACGCTCCTTCATATAATAAAGGCAATTCATTTTCTTTCAAATAACGCATACAAAAGCAGCAGGAACTCTCGAAGCACGTTACCTAAATGCGGTATGCAAGTTCTCATGGAGAAAGAAAAATAGTAAGTAGTATTATAACGTTTGGAAAGTAATAAACCTCGATAATTCTAGCTGCACCCTCCCTACCATCAAGGATCTCATGTATAGGAATAGGAATAGGAAGCGAAAATAGATAAAGAAGTGTGTTAATTTTGGAACAGATTACGCAATACAGCCTCTATGAAGAAGAAAAAGACGTCGCTGAGATTGGGGATTTTACCCCATTACAGAAAGGTTATGTTCCACTGATCCAATCATCGGATAATCTACAGGCTCTCGTTTCTACTTCGCAAAAGTGACTCACACAAACGGTAAGCGGCTGGATCAAGATTCCATAGTACTGGAAGGCGAGACAGAGACAAATCAAATGATGAAACTCGGGGATATGGCTGAAGTCCTGCTCATGATAAAGCCACCGATTCAGAGTACCTTCTCTCCGATCAGCTGATTGCGATTGATCAAAATCAGTCCATACGAGACCGAGTAGGGCTCTGGAGAATCGGTTACGAACACCACAACGGTCGATTGAATGAGCTTATAATGCAAAATCGAATCGTTCATGATAATACTATCGAGAAAACTGACTGCCTTGTCGACGGTCGCCGCGGCTATCCATCAGTCAGCCCATCAGACACTACCATAGTTGATCATGTAGTGATGGACTCGCGTAATCGCAGCGATAATTTGGTTCTCGTGCGTCTTCACTTGCTCGTGGAACTCGCCGGCCACAAATCCGATCGAGGACGCGGACATGGGCGTTTGGGAGGAGAAGAGGAAGATGGTTTTCTGATCGCCTTTCGTTCTACTGAGCACACGCGACCTCGCCCTACAGTGTTTTCTTTACCAGTTTGCCGCTTGCCCACACAGAGAAGGTCGAGGGAACGATGATCTCCAGCTCCCAAAGACAGCGCTCCAGCTCGTTGTCGATGCACGGCACCCACGTTCTCACTCCGTTACAGAGACTTTCCTCCTGCTTGCCAGAGAAAAACGAACTCCACGAATACACGTGCGGAGTGGGGTCCGTGCGAAAAAAGATTCCAACTTCAGGATTCTTCAGTGTGTAGCGGATCTGGATCTCCAGAGGGTTGTGCTGGTACACGCCACTCCACACTTTGTGATCGCTGGGAGGCAACTTGAAACCAGGAATGGAACGCAACGATTCGGCCTCGTTTGTGCTGGAATATTGCTCAATAACAATGTGATCTTTCGAAGAGTCGTACTCACGACTTTGCTCTTCTTCTAGGTTTAGACGATTCACCAGCCCCATATAACTTCCACGGTTCATTAACGTCAGTTTCACACTTTGGGGTATCTCGATTATCAACTCGCCGTCCTTCGATGCGTTCAAGTCAAGAAACCAGAAAATAGTATCAACAAAAGGATATTGCCAACCCACCACGAAGCATTGTATAGTATGATTTTAAATCACGTACTGTGTCATACACCACCTTGTCCATGTAATCAAAGTAAGAAAAGCGCGCTGGAACCTAACGCGTTAGACTTCCCACTATCCAATTCATACATTGTTTACATGCACTGACAGAACCTCACACTGACGGCAATTGAGTCGAATATCGCGAAGAGTGCTGAAATGAGGCACAAGACAAATATTTGTGCATCCATTAATGCATTTATTTTCTATATCTAGAGAAATATCCATGCAACATATTCTAATTACCAATATCGAGAGACACTTGTTGTTTGATTATACTACTCCCAATTTCTGTCTTGAATCGCTGAAACCCAGAATCATTGCGAGACGCCATAATTGAGAAAATAGAATAGTTTTCTGAGCTTTGATTATGGAGTGGATGATTTAGATTTGAATATGAGTGATGGGAATGGAAATAGAAAAGGTGCTACTCTCTAAAAAACTACTTGGATGGTTTTGATATTGCTTTGTTGTTCTCCCTCTCTCAGCGAATTCCTATAGAGTGAATGGGAAGTGTGATTTGTTCCCAAAAGAATATTTCGAGGATCCTTTTCGTTCCTGTTATAATGAGCCTTGCTGGTTTGTTTGTTTGTTTGTTTGTTTGTTCAAGCATATACAGATAGAATATTGACCGTGAATATTGGAGAATATTCTACTAGCCTTGTTTTCACTTTGAATAATCACAAGTATTGGAGTGGTTTGTTTTCCAACTTTTCCCTCCAACTATTTTTTGACAAGTTTCAATAATGGAGGAAGAAGAAGACATATTTGCATTCGACTCGCTATTCTACACAGAACCAAACAGTAGAGAACAAGCGAAGGTCAGTTTGGTGGACCAAGTATTTCAAAGAAAGCTGTATTTCTGTCCCACACATGTGATATATCCGTCGACCCATACTCTCGATCGACTGCATGCGAAGGTACAGATAAGCAGAACAAATCAAAAGATAGATTCTAGTTGACACCATCGATTCTGAGTATATTCGTTTTTTCTACGGTACTCCTCTCTGCAGCCGTTCTCGCGTGTGTGACATCGTTCAGTTCCACGAGTATTTGATCGTTCTTTCTCGGAAAGGGGCTTGCCAAGCGTATGACTGTCGATCCTATCGTCGCCACATGTTTCTAAACCCCTCCAAGTTCGATATCATTCAAACAGTTTTCGTGAATCACTTGAATGACCAGCTGATCATCGTGTCGTACCATTGTGTGGATGGAAAGAACGTTCTACAATGTCGCAGTGTGACAGCGGAGTTGACTTTGCGTTAAACTCTAATCCAAAGAATGATCGACCAGCGCGACTTGAGCGAAGGAACGCTTCTCTTTCAGGACGACTATTTCACATCTCCGAGCTATTTTGAGTTTGACGAATACAACGAAGTCATCATCACCTTCTGTGCCTCGAAGCAGTATAAACAACACATAGGTGTAATACAAAGCGAATACAAGGTATGGAGACAGCGGGACTATTCCTTCCTCTACTCGATCTCCGATGAAAGAATCCAGGAAGTGCGCGTGGGGTCGATGCGGTTCGTGCGAGTTAACGATAGAAAGGGGATGATTCTGGTGGCGCAGGAAGCGCACTTCATTCCCACAGGCGACTTATTGGTGATGCCCATCATGGTACTCGCTCTCCACACAGGCGAAATCATCTACCGAGCCAACTTCTTCCTTCACAGCACCAACGAGGTGGAGTTTCTGGAGGTTTTCGAAGAGTACATTTTCATCAAGCAGCGAGATCACCGTCTCGTTATCTACAGCGTAGCCCACCTCCGCAGCACATCCCATCCCTAGATGGTTCACAATCGAATCGTGAATCTAGCTCCGCCTCAAGGCTTCGACTCCAAATTGATCGTGTTTCTGAACTACCAAGAGCTCTTCCTCGTGTTCTCCAAGACCTCCATCGATATTTACGATCGCCATCTCGCGAGAAAAGCCTCGTACAGCCATGGGTCGGGTGATTAGGAGATTGGAGAAGAGCTATCCCTATGCGGACAACACCTACGAGAATATCGCGTTTATCTCGGAGACGCAGGACATCTTGGTGTGCTATTACAACGACCGCCTTCGTACAGGAAAGATCGACATGTTTGACCTGCTGACAGGAGAACACTTGTTCTTCCGCGACAGTCGCTCGATGAACCCCTCGGATAACTACGGACTGGAGGACGTCAGTGGATTGTTCTTTGATTTTGAACGCGACAAGCTGTACACAGGTCCAAGTGGGAACAGCCATTCACAGATAGGCACACGAGCAGGATTGATTCATGTTTGGTCTGCATGACGTGTTTGTTTCACACTTTTAGCAGGAAATGATAGAGGTGAAAGGGAAACTCCGTGTATTGAACGCTCGCATCAGGATAATGCAATAGGTACTATATGACTTCACCGGAACAGACACAAACCAACTTTCTGTTCAAGCAGGAAATATTATCCTCTGGAATGGCGGTTCTCTTTCTGATAGCTGGATCTTGTGCTCGCTGAAGACAAAAGTGCGATAACTGGGTGTGTGTGAAATCTTAGGTCGGCTGGGTTCCCTCTTCGTACGTAGAGTTGCTGGAGGAGAAGAAGAGCAATAAGAACAGGAAACTGTCGAATTCATCTGTCAATTCTGACTCACGTCGAAGTTTACGAAAATCGATTTGTCTCCGGTACACATTTCTGAGAGTAATTGATGTAGATGGGAGGGCGTAGTTGGTAAGAGAAAGAGTGTAAGGAGTAGGACGAAGGAACTGGAGCGACTGAGGAGGAATGGAAAGTAGGAAACTGTGGTTGGCTGCTCTTCGAAGTGTGTGGATTCTATTTGCTTCGTGGAGATAATAGCGAACTCTTCTGCATTCGAAAAGGGAACAATCCTCCAAATGGCCTCCTCCTCGGAAAAGGAGGTGCAGGTTATTTCCCAATCCTCGGTAGACGCTGTTAATGGAGTGCCAAGTAGATCGTGACCCTTCCCAAAACCCAGTGCATCTTGACCTCCAAGTCACTCCCAGCTTCAGAGTGCGTTTCTCTCTCCGTTCTCAAAGGACTGGTTGATAGCAAGTCCGAACGTGAGTCTAAAAGTCCGGGTCCTGGGCAATTCTATTCGAGTGACAACTCGAAGGGATATCATTTAGTTTGTTTGAAGGTGCAGAATGAACCGTAGTGCATTGGATTTGACGAGGGATATTGCTCAACAGAGGAATGTTCCCCGACTCACGAAAATGAATATGTACCAACACACTATTCACTTTCGCATTGGTAGTGTATGTATTTTTAATGTCATCTTGATGTTTGTTGCTCGATCTATACAATATCCACAACGTATCCGGCTCCTATGGAAGCAGCAACAGGCTTTTCATCGATTTCTGTCTGCTTCCTGTGAAAAGCCTTGTTTCGTATCTCCAGGGACACTGTAGCCATCGTTCAGTCAGGTTCTATCTAGACATCTCGTGAGCACGCCCATCGGTTGTTTGAGTGATATCAGCGATCGCGCACTGACTGTGCTAAAAGAATCGGACGTTGTTCTGTGTGAAGATACGCGAACTACAGCTTTTTTGTTATCTCGGTTTCATTTTCGCTAGCAAGTGACGGACTAGTTTTGGAATCCGGCGTGAATTGATATCGTTGAACCAGGAGAATGAGCAAGCTCGTCTTTCGTTCGTTCTCTCCCAACTGCAACAGGGCAAATCTGTGGCAATTGCCAGCGATGCAGGAACTCCCTTGCTATCGGATCCTGGGTCTCTTGTAGTGAAGGCGTGTGTGGAGGGCAAGTTCCGCGTGACGCCTATTCCCGGAGCGAACGCAGCGATTTGCGCTCTGATTTGCAGTGGATTTTACTCCACTCCTTTCAGTTTTTACGGGTTTATCAGTCGTAGTGGGAAAGCTCGCTGTGAAGTGTAAAAGCTTGCTCCATCTTTGTTGTAGACTTGAGGAGATCTCTGGAAGCAGGTATGCGTCCATTCTGTACGAATCTCCCCATCGCATTGTATCGACAATGAACGAGTTGAAAGGGTACTTGGAGGAGGATCGTCGTGTGTGCATTTGCAGAGAGCTAACGAAGGCTCACGAATCGATCGAGCACACGACGATCGGCAATGTAGATGGAGAGAAGCTGGTTCTGAAGGGAGAATACACTCTGGTTGTGGAAGGGAAGCGAGAATACTCCAATCGCCACCCAAAGATCGCTTCGGTCGTAGACGAGAAAGCAATGAAATGCATGGACGTGCTTCGAGCGGAAGGCGTGTCACGCACGGTGATTCAGCGTGTGATGAAGGAAGTGTTCAATGTAGGGATGGTTCGCGATTTGGATCTAGCTGTCGGGATCTGCGGTAAAGAAGGTCTTGTATCCATCCTCGTTTGTTTTCCTCAAACACACGAATTGTAAATCATGCCCTTGGCTACAGAGGCACGCGTCGCTTTCCCACAAAGCGACTCCACGAGTTGAAGAGCGAATTCTGCGACAGTTCCGGGACCTTGGGATGTGACTAGGGAGTAGAAACTGAAAGGAACGCAAACTGCAATTCCCAGAAACGACCACTTTGTCGTTCACATAGTGCTCGATATCTTCCTTAAAGCTCTACAGTTAACGGGACACAAGGAAAGAACAGGATAGCAGGTTGCCTTTACACCCTCCAAGAGATTATGTGACTAGGAAAGAAGATTCGAGTGACCAATACAGCAAAGACAACAGCGGGAGAGGCACAGATGGCAGCATAAATGCGTCCTTCTTCCTTCTGTTTTTCTAAAAGCTTGGAAAGCGTCTTACTATCACGGAGATGTTCCTACAACAGGCAAAAACGACAGAAACCTACTGCTCCAGGAAGACCGCCCGGCAAAACAATGGCATCAAAGGTTTCGTCTTTTACATCTTTCAGCAGAGCATCCGCAGTCTACGAAAATTAAATAGAAACAAAATATCTACTATTATCGTTCCCTTGCTACATTTGACAGTTTTTTGATGATCCACGGATGCAAGTGTAACATTCACCTTTCCACGTCGTAGCACGTCGACGATACCAATGGTTTCCAATTCTTCGGATCCTTCAGAAACAGCAACAAGAGCTCGAGGCATTGCAGTAGAAAACTAAGGGAAACAGGATCTGTAATGGTTACAGTACGTAATACAAATCTGGAGAGCATAAAATGAGCTTGTTTCCAAAATCCTTTCTGCCGTTTTTATTTCATCTCTCATATTATCTTCTTTATCGATATATATATTTTGGCATATATTTCTAGAAATAGTATGCAGCAGTATCGAAGCAAGTTATCCAGTGGTTTTGATGAGTGTTCCTTAACTAAGCTCATTTCCACCCAACCATTTTACTACTTATTTTATATCATGAATGTCATTCATTTGTGGCTGTTACAAAAATGGAATAGTTCAAATACAACCTTTCGTTGAAACACTATATAGCAATAGAACACAGTAGACTGGATCTGTCTATAGAAACAAAATGAACGTAGTGAAAGAAACAACAACATGGCTATCCCCTTCTTTGTCCCTGAACTACCACATGATAATACATCCCGACTGTGAGTTATCTCCATTGAAACAGCTGGATCTCACAAGAATAGGTTTTCTTTTGGTATTGTTTGCTTTCACGCGATGCAGGCTAATATTATATAAGAAATAGAGATAAGAATTGTTCAATTTGGAAAAAAGAGGATTTGACACATAACAAGAATAAGTCCTATTATTGGAAAAGCAGATATCTTACAAATGGATAGCATCGAAGAGAAATCGGTAAACTGCACACTCTATTGACTACTTTGTAGATAAATAAAAAATACTGCTTGAGGGAGAGTATTAGTCGTAGGTGTGAATTCGAGGAGTTGATCGTAGTTTGTATTGTCTGTACTCTTCTTTCCATAATATTTGTTTATCATTGGAGGCCTTTGCCGAGTTTTCCTGTCGCTGAATATTGTTACGATGTTCCACGTATTAAAAATAATACTGAAGTGTTCTATGTTGGGAAAGATGCTTGTAATACTATGAATCAAACGAGCTTCGCAATTCAAAACTATTTTGGCTTAGTTTCTTTACAGATCGAGAGTAACAGCTTCCAATTTGTAAATTCCTTTGTATTGAATACTTTACCGAAGTTGAAGGAGATTCAAATAGGAGACAATAGTTTTGAGGGTTTATCTAGTCAGAGTGGCTATCGATTCAGCATTTCCAAATGTACTGAGCTGAGTTCTGTTTCTATTGGGAGAAAGTCATTTTCTCAGTATTCTGATGAATTTGAGATTCGAGAATGTCCTTCTTTAGAGCGGATCGTCCTCCAGGGATTCAACTTCCAATTGCCTCGCCTGGTGTTAGATGGTACTTCTTTTGCTGCCAACGTGCTATTTAGAATCACTTCATTTAACGAAATTGTCTGTTTTCGAAATCGGTCCCTCGAGTTTCTGGAATACGGAGCAGTTTGAAATCAATAGTTTGCCGAACCTACAATCGATCACAATCGGTGATGAAAGTTTTAATGGAGCGATACAAGATCATTCATCTTTCCAAATTGCAAACTGTGGGGAAATAGAATCTGTTATTATCCCCAATTCGAGTTTCCTCTTTTATAGGTCCTTTACCATACGCAACTGTTCAAAGCTAACAACCATCATTATTGGAAATCCAGAGAGCACTTCGTCATCCTTTTATCTGTCCGATCTATCAATCGAGGGTAATTCTATGTTTGCTATAGGACATAGATCTACCGATGTTACAGCAACTGGAGCTGGGAGGAGGTTCATTCTATCAGGCAAGTCGAATATCATTGCAAAGTAGGATCAAAGCTATTTTTCTAAAGAAGATTTACTGGAGTTACCTTCTATCTTTTTCGGTGTAAATGCGCTGTATGGATCTTATGATAAAGAGAACGTGTTAATCATGAAAAGTAGGAGAAAGGAGGATTAAATCATTGATAATAGACCTTCCACGCTTACATTCGATAGTTTCTGTTGGTGGTAGTTTCCACAATGTTCGTCATATTGATCTTTCAAGTGGGTCAATCGATACATCACTAGAATATAGATATTTTGCTCTTAGATAGAGTATTCCTCCCTGAGTCGTTCAATGCAGTATATTCTTCGTCAATAAGGAATGTATCGATTGCCTTGGCCTCTCTCATCCATCATGTAAACGCTTCTAGTATCGATTCGTTACCATCCACAACGAAACACTTATCTATTCCGGATGATTTGTGGTATAACGAGACCAGTTTTTCCAGAATAATAAGTCGATTTAGTACCTTGGAGGAATTGGATGTTGGAGATCGCAGCATGAAAATGATAACGAAGTTTGACTTGAGCGGATTGAACTACCTAAAGAACTTGAGAATCGGTAAAAACAGCTTTACAAATGCAGTTAATTCGTATGGAAATGATCCATCACGATCCTTTGAAGTGACGGCTTGTTCTGTCCTCCAGAGTATATCAATTGGCGATTACAGTTTCAGCGATTATGCCTCTATTCTTCGCATTGAGAATTGCTCTATGTTGGAATCCATTCAATTTGGTAAATTGTCGTTTGTGAATATCCGAGAAGTATATCTGAAGAGTATTGTATCCAAAAACCCTCATTAGTAGACTTACTTCAATTGAAGAGCATATCGTTGGAGGAACATTCTTTAGTAGGTCAGTATTCTCAATCATCGAAATATTATGAATCATTGGTTGTACTGAAAGGTAATCTAAAAAGAAAGGTGGTAAATCTTAGATCTGCCCTTACTCCAAACAATGTATTCTTCAGGTTACAGTTTCCTGTTTTACCGCCAAGTTGTGATGGAAAATATCCCTTCTGCGTCGAATGTGTCTCTTGCGCATTCCTTCGGTTATGTTTTCAAGAAAGAAATAAAGAGTAGCGAATGATCTGATTTTGTAAAATACAGATGTCCACACCCACTTGGAAGAGTATGTGAAGGTCATGATGGATGATACATGTATGGAAAGAATATACATGGAATCTCAGGAAGACACTATTCAAATTGAAAGTAGTATTTGTGAGGAATATCTACTTCCATTCATTCCATGGAAACCAAACTCTTTGGGCAAACATCTTGTGATAGACAATGATAATTTTGCAAATGTCGATAGATTTGAAATTATTGGAGAAAATACCATAGAGAGTCTAAGGATAGGAAGCAATTCATTTACAAAACACAAGAATAGTTATGGTAAAGATGATTCTCGATCATTCAAGATATCGAATTGTGACAAATTGGAATCTATTGAAATCGATCAATATAGTTTCAGTGATTATTCTGGTAAATTTGAATTGACAAACATTCCATCATTGAAATCATTGAGAATCGGTATAATTGGTAAAACTTCATCAAATTTCTATTATGGTTCACTAATTATTCAAGGTAATATACTAAATTGAACACAATGATATTCTAGATTTACCAAATTTGATAACAATTGAACTTGGAGATTATACATTTGGATGGTCCAATTTAGTTGATATTGAGAGTATTATTGATAATAATCACATAATTGATCAATAGATCTTCCGAAATTGTTATCTATACAATTAGGATATTATTCGATATTTGGTAATTGGGGATTTGATTCATGTTCCTTAATAATGAAAAGTATTAATTGATAATATAAATGATGATAATACTTGTATAGATCTTCCTCTATTAGAATCAATTATATCAGATAAGTATTCTTTATGGTCTCCTCGTCGTGTTACATTACAAAGTATATATATTCATTTAAAATGATACTAATAATGTCTAGATATTCCTAAATGTAAAACTGTGAAACTACCAGATGCATTGAAATATGTAATGAAATCATCATTATCTATATCGAGTAATGAATATTGAATCGATTTCGATGACTAGATGTTCATTCTTCATTATCTTCGATGATTGAATGTCGAACAATACCTTCTGGGTTTTCTTCATGTTCCTATTTATCGAAATTGTCAATGTCATCACCACTATTATCGATTCCAAAAGAAGCATGCAATTCTGAATCCTTAACGATATTTGATTTGAGTGCATTCAAACTTCTTCAATCGATAGAAATAGGTAATGAAAACATGTATCATACAAATTCATTACTAATCGATAACATAATTCAATTGAAGACTATACGAATAGGAAGCAATTCATTTACAAAACACAAGAATAGTTATGGTAAAGATGATTCTCGATCATTCAAAATATCAAATTGTGACAAATTGGAATCCATTGAAATCGATCAATATAGTTTCAGTGATTATTCTGGTAAATTTGAATTGACAAACATTCCATCATTGAAATCATTAAGAATCGGTATAATTGGTAAAACTTCATCAAATTTCTATTATGGTTCACTAACGATTCAAGGTATCATTATTCTATCTATCATTAATAATACTTTAGATTTACCGAAATTATCATCATTAATAATTGGAGATAATTCGTTTGCTGAAGCTAAATCATATAATGTAAAACAATTGAATTCACTGCTATCATATGAAATAGGTAATAGTTGTTTTAGCACAATAGATACATTCAATATTGATAAATTGAAATTATTATCAAGTATAAAGATAGGAAGCAATTCATTTACAAAACACAAGAATAGTTATGGTAAAGATGATTCTCGATCATTCAGAATATCAAATTGTGACAAATTGGAATCCATTGAAATCAATCAATATAGTTTCAGTGATTATTCTGGTAAATTTGAATTGACGAACAATCCATCATTGAAATCATTGAGAATCGGTATAATTGGTAAAACTTCATCAAATTTCTATTTTTCATCATTCTCAGTTCACGGTAAAATACTAAATTGAACACAATGATATTCTAGATTTACCAAATTTGATAACAATTGAACTTGGAGATTATACATTTGGATGGTCCAATTTAGTTGATATTGAGAGTATTATTGATAATAATCACATAATTGATCAATAGATCTTCCGAAATTGTTATCTATACAATTAGGATATTATTCGATATTTGGTAATTGGGGATTTGATTCATGTTCCTTAATAATGAAAAGTATTAATTGATAATATATATGATGATAATACTTGTATAGATCTTCCTCTATTAGAATCAATTATATCAGATAAGTATTCTTTAT